TCATCAAAATGTGCAAATCTTACCTGTTTGGATGCAAACAAATAACTGTTTGAGGTCTGCGTTGCCCAACCGCTGTAAGAAATGTTTTCCAACACAAGCCTTCAATCAAAGTAAACTATGTTGAGAAATACTCAGCACAAACTGCTGAAACTAAGATCGACCTTTTAGGAAAAGGCGGAACTAAGTCGATCGAGAAGCTTTACAAACTTGTTTAGCCTCTTAGCCACCTTACATGGCTGTCAAAATAAACATTTGCAAAGTGATGGAGTATGTTAACCGGATTCTAGTGAAGGAAAGGCCAACAAAGACAGACAACAAAGACAGACATACTCTTCTTGCTCTTCATTAGTAGGAAATGTTTCCTTATTTGTTCAAATAGTAGGACCGACTGCATGAAATCTATTTTATGTCCACCAAAGACAAATCATTCAAGCGAGGAGTACATAAATTCCTGAAGTAGGAGTGGTAATTTTAATTACTACTGAAATTTCTGAGAGTTTGTAAAAACTTTTTAAAATTTATCAGAGGAATATTTACAGGTTGAAACAATCCACAAGTTTTAGTTCAAGCTCACATAGTTTAAGCTCCGTGTTTGAAATAAAACACTAAAGTGTCGTCTGCAATCTGACTCACAGGACTCTCACAAGGATTTCAAGATAATCTAACAGGCCTAAACAAATTCCAAACACTTAGTCAGAACATTTCAAAGCAATGTCCATTTCTAAACAGAAAACTCAATTTTAAAATAAGACGACATACACTCTTTTTACGAGCTTTGCAAAGGAAACAAAGAGAATTTAAGAAACACTCATCAAAAACCTAGAATACAGGTTAACAATAAAAAGTCAAAATGTAAAACTTTTTAAAAAGCTACACTCTTTTAAGGGAAACAAAGAGAATTAAGTAGAATACAGGTTAACAAGAAGTACAAAAAGTATTTAAGGCGTTAAAGAACAAACAACAAACCTTCAAGATAACCAAATTTAAGCCGATTATAAAGTCTTCCAGCTTCTAATCACCATATCCACTTCGTGGTCGTTAAAATGCACATTCGCAAAGGATGATGGGGAGGTTAAAAAAAAGACACGTTTTGATGCAAATTTAAGAATTTCTTCATGCTTAGCGTGCGTATATCGAGTTCTGGGTGCACACAAAAAAGTAAACAAACGTCCCTATTGGCTGGTCAGGAAGACTACACATTTTATACTTTGGTTTGAGGGAGAACATTTGATCCAGTTAACCGATACCTGTGAATGAAAAGCTCAAAATTTACGGGGAAAATGGAGAAAAATAAAGGCAAATGAACTAAAGTGTCGTTCCGATGCACGTCCTCAATTTAAGAGTGCATTTGGAAAGCGTAAACTTGCCAATATGGAGGAAAACCTACAGATACTCCAGCCAACATTTTAGACTGGTATAAAATGGGAATAGCAACGAAACTTCGAAAAAATCATTAAAAAAGAAATCACAAAGAAAAAGAAAAAAGACAAAACAAAACGGCAAGTCCCCCGGTACAGGATTTCCATCCTGACTCGGACCGCATTCGCGGTACAATGCTCTACCCACTGAGCTGCGGGGAACTTGCCATGAATGGAAAGCAAATTTAAAGATTATGTGTAACAAGAAGAGTTCGTACTGCAAGGAAAAAGTTCACAGAGATTGTGTGGAAAACTGAGTGTTTTGACTCTAAATTGGCATTAATTAAAAATCTTTGTTTTTTCATTTAATAACGCTCAAATTCAGCAGCGTTCCGATGCACGTCCTCGATATAAGAGCGCATTTTGAAAGGGTAAAGTTGCCAATAAGTGGAAGAAAACCTTGGCTAATGCAATAAAGCGAGAAGAGGACTATACAAAGGTACTCTATGCTACTTTTTAGTCGGGCATAATATGAGAATAGCAGCAAAGCTTCAAAAAAAAAAACAAAAAAGAAAAAAAAACAAAACAAAACGGCAAGTCCCTCGATACAGGATTTCTATCCTGACTCGGACTGCATTTGCGGTACAATGCTCTACAGACTGAGCTGCGGGGAACTTGCCATGCATGGAATGAAAATTTAAAGATTATACGTAACAAGAGGAGTACGTACTGCAAGGAACAAGCGCATAGAGATTGTGTGAAAAACTGAGTTTTTTACTCTAAATTGACATTAGCAAAAAAACTATTGGTTGTTTGATTTCATGATGCTCAAATTCAGCAGCGTTCCGATGCACGTCCTCAATTTAAGAGTGCATTTTAAAAGGGTAAACTTGCTGATAAGTGGAGGAAAACCTACAGATACTCCAGCCAACATTTTAGACTGGTATAAAATGGGAATAGCAACGAAGCTCGAAAAAATAATTGAAAAAGAAATAACAAAGAAAAAGGAAAAAACAAAACAAAACGGCAGGTTCCCCGGTACAGGATTTCCATCCTGACTCGGACCGCATTCGCGGTACAATGCTCTACCCACTGAGCTGCGGGGAACTTGCCATGCATGGAGGGCAAATTTAAAGATTATATGTAACAAATGGAGTACGTACTGCAAGGAACAAGTGCACAAAGATTGTGTGGAAAACTGAGTGTTTTGACACTAAATTGGCGTTAGTAAAAAACCTTGTTGTTTGATCTAATAATGCTCAAATTCAGCAGCGATCCGATGCACGTCCTCAATTTAAGGGTGCATTTTGAAAGGGAAAAGTTGTCAATAAGTAGAAGAAAACCTAAGCTAATGTAATAAAGCGAGAAGAGGACTGTACAAAGGTACTCTACGCTACTTTTTAGTCTGGCATAATATGAGAATAACAGCAAAGCTTCGAAAAAAAAATCAGTAAAGGAAAAAAAAAAAAAACGGCAAGTTCCCCCGTTACAGGACTTAATAAAAAACCTTGTTGCTTGATTTATTAATGCTCAAATTTAGCAGTGTTTCAATGTACTTCCTCCATTTAAGAGTGCATTTTGATAGATAAACTTGCCAATAAGAGGAAGAAAACCTTGGCTAATGTAATATAGCAAGAAGAAGAGTAAAGAAAGATTTCTCCAGACTTCTTTTTAGGCTGGTATTAAATGGGAATAGCAACCAGGCTTCGAAAAAATAATTAAAAAAGAAATAACAAAGAAAAAAGAAAAAAAACAAAACAAAACAAAACGGCAAGTTCCCCGGTACAGGATTTCCATCCTGACTCGGACCGCATTTGCGGTACAACGCTCTACCCACTGAGCTGCGGGGAACTTGCCATACAAGGAAGGAAAATTTAAAAATTATATGTAGCAAGTGGAGTAAGTACTGCAAGGAACAAGTGTACAAAGATTGTGTGGAAAACTGAGTGTTTTGACTCAAAATTGGCATTCATAAAAAAAACTTTGTTGTTTGATTTATTAATGCTCAAATTCAGCGGTGTTTCAATATACTTCCTCAATTTAAGAGTGCATTTTGATAGATAAACTTGCCAAAAAGAAGAAGAAAACCTTGGCTAATGTAATATAGCAAGAAGAGGAGTAAAGAAAGACTTCTCCTGACCTTTTTTTAGGCTGGTATTAAATGGGAATAGGAACAAAGCTTCAGAAAAAAAAAAAAAAAAAAAAAAAAAAAAAAAAAAAAAAAAAAAAAAAAAACAAAACAAAACAAAACGGCAAGTCCCCCGGTACAGGATTTCTACCCTGACTTGGACCGCGTTCGCGGTACAATGCTCTACCCACTGAGCTGCGGGGAACTTGCCATGCATGGAAGGCAAATTTAAAGATTATATGTAACAAATGGAGTGCGTACTGCAAGGAACAATGTAAAGATGGCAAGTCCCCGGTACAGGATTTCTATCCTGACTCGGACCGCATTCGCGGTACAATGCTCTACCCACTGAGCTGCGGGGAACCTGCCATGAATGGAAAGAAAATTTGAAGATTATATGTAACAAGTGGAGTACGTACTGCAAGGAACAAGTGCACAAAGATTATACGAAAAACTGAGTGTTTTGACTCCAAATTGGCATTGCTAAAAAAGCTTTGTTGTTTGATTTAAAAATGCTCAAATTCAGTAGCGTTCCGATGCACGTCCTTAATTTAAGGGTGCATTTTAAAAAGGTAAACTTGCAAATAAGTGGAAGAAAACCTTGGCTAATGTAGTTAAGCGAGAAGAGGAGTACACAAAGATATTCTAGACTATTCTTTTAGCCCGGTATAACATGGGAATGGCAACGAGGCTTCAAAAATAAAAATTCTCAAAAAGAAAAGAAGAAGAAAAAAAAGAGATTTCTATCCTGACTCGGACCGCATTCGCGGTACAATGCTCTACCCACTGAGCTGCGGGGAACGTGCCATGAATGAATAGTAAATTTAAAGATTATATGGAACAAGAGGAGTACGTGCTGCAAGGAACAAGTGCACAGAGATTGTGTGAAAAACTAAGTGTTTTGGCTCTAAATTGGCATTAATGAAAAAACTTTGTTTTTTTAATTTAATAACGCTTAAATTCAGCAGCGTTCCGACGCATGTCCTCAATTTAAGAGTGCATTTTGAAAGGGTAAAGTTACCAATAAGTAGAGGAAGACCTTGGCTAATGTAATAGAGCGAGAAGAGGACTATACAAAGGTACTCTTCACTACTTTTTAGTCTGGCATAATAGAGAATAGCAGCAAAGCTTCGAAAAAAAAAATCAATAAAGAAAAAAAAAAAGAGAGAAAAAAAAATCAAAACGGCAAGTTCCCCGGTACAGGATTTCCATCCTGACTCGGACCGCAATCGCGGTACAATGCTCTACCCACTGAGCCGCGGGGAACTTGCCATGTATGGAGAGCAAATTTAAAGATTATAACAAGAGGAGTACGTACTGCAGGGAACAAGTGCACAAAGATAATGTGAAAAACTGAGTGTTTTGACTCTAAATTTGCGTTAGTAAAATTAAAAACTATGTCGTGTGGTTCTATAGTGCTGAAAGGGTAATGTATTTATGATGGGCAAAAATTATATTGTTTTGACTACAGAAATCTTAGATTATCGTGTGTGTAATGAAATTAAGGCATGCGAGACTTCAATTGGTTATCAGAGTTTATTCATGTCTCATAGGTATGATTTTAAAACTGTTTTTAACAGATCTGGGCATAAATCTGAATAGGGAAGAAATTGTCACATAATGTATGCGATAAGTTATTTGCCTTACAATAAGAAAGATAATAAATAAATATTAAATACGTAAAAATAAGCATTAAGTTAGTCTGACTCACTGACTCCCACTACAGACTCATAATACCGACTGGCCTCTTAAAAAAATCTGAGTTTCAATAGATAAATATGGACCTATTGGAAAAAAAAAGGAACAAACTTTCTTTTGTTTCCTAAGAAAAATAGAACAGGGTTTCTAGAGTTTTTAAATCTTACTCCTACATTTCGTTTAAACTAAAGCATGTTGAAATCCTATCAAGTTCGTACAAGGGATTCGTTCAAGGGATTCTTTTGCAATACAAGTGAATTACATCTTAAAAAGTCATATCATAAATATATAGATTTACAAATTTTTCCAGCTTTATGCTGTCGTTCCTATCTTGTTTTAAAAAAATGGCATAAATGAGTAACTGTTTGAAACTGATAAAATGAAACACCTAATAGCCTCTTAGCGGGCTTTCAAATAAATAGGTTATTCGATGCAGTTGAGATTTTTAAATACAAATCTTGTGCCTGCTCCTGAGATCAGATCAGTTTGACATTGAACCGACCTTGCGTCATATGTTTTATTGAGACAGTATGTTAAAACTTAATGAACGGGTAAACTAAAATGTTAATTTTTCTCTAGTTGCCAACGAAAAAGTTTGCAGAAGAATGTTGAACTGTTGAATGCCTTGAATGCCGCATCAGTTTGTGTTTTAGTTACTCGATGGCACTTTTTTAATTTACGTTATACTAACTCTTGGTCTTCGACAGTGTCGTAAACATCTCTTCTGTTATCAGATAGGTCAGGCGATATTCCAGTTTTTTTCGCTTTGTGGCTGTCCTTGAAAATATTTTGTCGCAATCTACGCCACAAGCTACCAGAAGACTGTGGATAAAAAGAAAGCGATTCACTAAAGCACATTTCTCCATCCTCCCTGATCAAAAGATCATCAAGCTAAAAGACTAGTCGTCCATTTGAAGGCCTTGTTCCAAAAGTACGCCCCCTAAGTTAGTTTTAAGACTCATTCCCTGAATGAAGAACGATTCTACGTGAGCCAAATTTTCGACACAGGATTGGTTATTTTCAGATCATAACGGAATTGATCATTTACTGGAATCACTTCAGGAATAAGGGGCCATGTGGTAAGGGGGGTTGAGGGGGGGGGAGGGAGGGGCACGAGTTTCAATTATCCATTACTTACCCGAGTTTCAGTTGAAAACTTTTGAGAGGTTGACCTAAATCCATCAGCTGCATTTTGAACGGTATCAACTTTGGCTCGTCTTTCAGCCATTTTTCTCTAAAAAAAAAAAAACCAAATAAAAAAAGAAGGAGCTCAATGAGGAGTCAAAGTACAAAACAACCAAACTGTCCAAAACGCGGGAAAAACGTGGGCGACCAAGTCGTGATTGGTTTTTAGTTTGCGCCTGATTGGCTGGCAAGTTTCTGGACCAATCACAAAGCAAAGTAAGGCAAAACCAATGTAACTCGGATTACTTTCGTGAACTCACTTGTACATAAGCTCATCAAAATGCTATGAAAAAACGCCCGTAAAGCGAAGACACATGTCAGTGGTTTCAAGGGCGGTAAAACATGATATGGAAGCGGTGTGAAAGGCTGGGAAAGACGTAACCATGCAACCAAGGGCGCAAAAAACATAGCGGGCGATAAGCGACTATGCCTCGTATCATGAATTAACGTTTTCTATTTAACTTACGTCAAAGTCTTCATCATTCTTTACATCGTCAGGAACTTCTCTAAGCTCGTCTTGCTGTTCAAAAATAAAAGTTGAGGTGATGAAAACAGTTTGGATCACGGATGCTGTCCATTAAATGTAACCCAGCACCACTGAATCATTTCAAACTCTGCCCCCCATTCCTTACCACCTCTGAACGGTGGGTCAGTCTATCACTGGAATTTTACAACAGAGCTGTATAAAGCAGACAATACTTTAAGCCACCCACTGTAGCCACACGTCAATTCCTCTGTTCTGGCTCTGATTCCGTGTACTAGAACCAGTGTTCTTAGTTAACGTCTAAATATGTCACATTGAGGTCATCGATTAAGCAAGGGCCCACAAGCACCCTAGTAAGGATAGAAGGGTGCTAACACTACAATTGGGGGGAGGGGAGAGTGTAAAGACGTTTAATTTTTCCCTACCTGACTAAGTTGTTTTTTGCGCTGAAAGTAAATGCATTAGAAAACAGAAACCATAACCTTAACTTTAATGGTGAGAGATTATGTAAAACGTTGATACTATCTACCACTCACATAGCCTTATTTTGTATAAGGAGAAGTGATTTTGCTAAATTTCTTGGCGGAAGGTTTTATTAGAAATCCAAGCCATTTACCTTTACAGTTCTGATTCTGTCATTCGATTCTGGATGCACAGCACCCTGAAGAGGAGGTTCATCCTCCAAAACACAAGCAACATCTTCCTGAGTTATCATGGAGTCTATATCTTCGGAGGGAGCATTTCCACTAGGCGAATTTTCGTACATGCGATTCGAGACTCCATCGTTTGGGATCTTATCAGCATCAGGAGTTTTATGAAAAAGAGGAACATCATAGCCAGGTGGTTTCTCATAGATGTGATTTGTGATTCCGTCGATCGAGCATAAAATGTCATCATTGCTGGGTACCGTCGAGGATTCTCCTTGCGTCAGTCCTTCGCTTTTTGTCCCGTATGTTACTAGGGAGTCCGGAGATGTATTTTGTTCAGCGGTTTCCTCGACAGAATCCTTCTGTGTGTTTTTCTCCTGAGCACAGGTGATGTGAGGTGAGCCTTTTTTATCTTAAAAGAAAGGAATGAAAATCAGCACAGTCTTATTCGAAGAAACGAGAAAGATTAGGCACACCTGCACTTGCTCACAACTGAGCGCCTTCTTTTGAAAAATTTCTAACAGCTGTTAATGAAAGATCAACTACGTTGCTACTTTCTGACTACGACTCGGTTTCTTCTCTTTAGCTCATACTAATTTTTTTTAAATATGAAGCTGCCCTCACGCCATCTCACATCTCTGGTGATTTGGATTTAAAAGTTGGTCTGTCACTCGAACAAGACTCTAAACAATTCAACCGTTAACAAGAAACTTACTGTCGTAAAGTGACGGCTGCTTTTGTGAAGGTGCCTTTGGGTTTTCAGGCTCCTCGCTGATACTCATGTCATTGATGGCGTCTCTCCTTGGTAATGGTGAATCTGACTGGCTTTTGAGAATATCAACCATTTCATAATCATTTTGTGCCTTGTTTGACCTCTTCTTTTTAGCTAAAGGGAAGAGATTTCTGGTTAGAAATTAAGAACCGCTTCCTGTCTCTACCTCAACAATAACGAAGGAATGTTGGTAATACATGACGGCGACGAAATCTCTGTTTGTCAAAATGTTTTTGAACGATGTTAGCCGGCCATCGATAAGCCATCATTTGACTTATTTGATCCCATTTTACAGTCGAAGCTCCTAATTGCTCACCTGATGCTAAAACAGCACGTGATTTTTAAACAAATTCCGTCCACACTTCGTGTTTGGTCTCCTTAGGGCGCTATAGCTTACAGTACAGGCGCCTTTTTCATTTCTCGTGTTTTTCAAGTGAGCGGAGGCAGACGCGAGGTGAGCATGAAGAAAACGCAGGGAAAACGCAAGGAGAAGACACATATGGAAGAAGGGGGGCCCTGCGCGCTCACTTTGCGCTTGTCTCACGTTTTCCTCGCGTATGTCTCGCTTAAAAACGTAAAAACGCCTCTTTTGCAGACCACGCGAAGTTTTCCTTCAGATTGAGGAAAGCCCCATATTTCAAGAAAAGCTCCTTAGGGATAATTCTGTACTAAATAAGAAATCACCTACCATTAGAAGTAAGATTTATGACGTTTTTTGGGTTTTGAACAGGAGAAGGTTTAGTTTTCGGAGTCGTTGACGCGCCTGAGCTGCTTTTGTCTCGTATTCGTTTGACGGCATCCTGGATCTGGTGCAATGAAGAGAAACAAATGTTAACACTCTAAAGCAAGCCTATCCAGTTTGTCTATGTAGTTAGAGGTGCAAACATGCTGGTGTATGATTGTGTTTCAATAGTATTTCTTCTGAGATTATGTTTATTTGTCCCTACGGATTCCATAAACTTTAAAATGAAGACCTTACGATATATTCGCTCTATTAAATCGACTGAAGTGCAATCCGGAACAAATGGAAGCCTATTATTGGATCATGAAGAGAAAAAATTACGCAGATTTCAACAAAATGATATCATTATTGATTTCATATATGTGCAACACATTTAACTATTTTCGGGGTGAACAATTTTGAGAGGTTCGTAAGCCATTAACCTATCTTTACTCAACAGATCCCAATCATTCTAATCTGTAGCTCTTAATTACCTGTTTGTTTAACAAGCAGTGAAATATAAATATCATCAGTCCCTGAAGAGAATTAGCAATGACGAATATATATTTGAAAGCAATGGTAGACGAGCTTATGCTGAGAAGACCGAACAACCACGCGATTCCAAGCAGGGGAAGAACGACCGCGGAGGCCTTGACACCAGCTTTGACCTTCTCGAATTGCGTCTTGTTTTGAATGTGTCGTGTTCCCATCATTTGACGAATCACCAGGATAAATACCACGATATTTATCTGCGCAAAAAACCAACAATTTTATACTTTGAAAATGAATAGTGTTTGCGAAGCCACAATCCTTACTTAGCCCCTTCCCACTTCTCTACGATTTTTGCACTTGGGATTGTACAAAATTAAAAAGGAGAGGGAGGGGAGGTATTACTTCGACCTGCATTTTATTTAACTGTCATTTCAAGTCGCCACATGAAAACTAGTTTTGTCGTGTATCGTACCTAATAAAGCTACAAATATCTATTGATGACATCGTGTGGTCCATTAGATGAAATCCTTCGTGTTTTGTGAGTTTTGAATAATTTAGGTTCGGAAAATTTTGAACTTTTACCATTTTTAATCGGTATTAGTCAAAAACGAACAAGGATGGCTGAGGATTGATATTTTGGCCACTAGTTTTCCTAAGTCACAAAAACAAAGCTCCCCCCAAGACACGCAATCCAAACCAAACATTCAGAACTGATTTTTCTCCATTTTGGATTTCAGACCCGAAAAGACACTGGAAACAATTTGTTTCCTGTCAGAGCATCCAGTGGACTGAACCTTTCATTGATATGAAGTAAAACAGAGAACTATGGAATATCCACTGACCGAGATGATGAGTATTGCAGGCCCAATAAACGCCCAAACGACTCCACTTTTTACATCAAGCCAGCAAGCCTCTGACGAGCCATACCCAACAGCCTGAGTAGCACCTAACGATATGGCGACTATAACAGCTGGAAAACCTTGAAAAACAAAGATATTTAATTCATTTCAAACGAGAAAGTCTCCTACTCTGCAGAAGACGAGTGAGTGGTACACTTTCCAGAGAAAAGAGGCTAACTTCTTCATGCAGGCTTCATTCCTCAAGAGATCCCTTTTAAAGTATTTTTAGACTAATGAATTGTGCTCACGTGGACGTGTGGCGTCAAGTTTTTGTTTGCTTAATCATTCTCAGAATATCTGATACTTTGAACCTGAAAATAACTTGATGGAAATAAAAGTTGGAATAGACCGCATATCAATTAATACTGTCAAAGTGAGACCACCAAAAGCGCGGGAAAACGAAGGGCTTTAGTTTTGCCTCTGACTGGTTCAAAATCTAGCGAGAGTTGTCGGCAGCCAACAAAGAAGGAAGTAATACAAACTTTGATGAAAATAAAGGAAAAATGAGAAGACAACAAACAAACTTACCCCATCCAAGCAAGTAAAAATACTTGACTTTGTCATCAGCTCCACCTCCAAAGACTTTGACGAGCAGGATATAAAGTAACACTCCCTCACACAACATCCAACAAAACAATGCTAACAGGAAATAATGCAGTAAAGCGGCCATTATCGTGCAGCCCGTCTGAAAGATAATAAAGAAAAGGTAAGATTGAGCGGTGCTCTCTCCACCGCAGAGCCATCTTTATGGCTGAATATCGTAACTAGGATGTGTGCGGGAACTTCGAGGCCTGGGTAAATGTGGTTGTCAAAGACATAGTTGCCAAACCTAGCTTCCGCAGTTGCGCAGTCCTTTGCTTCATAAAATCTCGTATCAATGGCTTATTTCCAAACTTTCAAAGAAACAACATGCAACTCCCAACCTCGTGATCGTAACAACAACGTCTCGAAGGGAAATAAGTTATTCATTCACTGAAAACTAAAGAAACGAAATTTCCTTTACTCCTGCTTACGCTTTGACTTCACGCGTTCGTCGTGTAAAGGAAACAGCTCACAATTGGCAACTCTAACCCGCTGCTTTTTAACATGAGAGAAACTCTACACTCCACTTAGTTGACATGCATGGGAATAATCAGGAATGATTCAAAAGGACTTAATTTGAGTGAGTGAACGTGACCATCTTCATCGAACGTACCTCGTTATTTCTCGCTGAACCTTCTGCTATCACAAGTATGCAACAAATGGCGATAGCAGCGCACAGGTTTAACAGAACTTTCGCCCTCGGGCTTTTTACTGCTCTCCAGAAAAACACAGTAACGACCATAGTAACAATAACAGCAAGGAGAGAAATGGAACAACCAATGATTGAAATGATATCCAATGCTTTCTTGTGAGATTGTTCGATCTGAGAAAATAGATGTACACACAAAAATGTTAAGGGCGGCAACTAGATTTCACCAATCAAATGCATAGTTACAGCCAATCATCAATTATGACCAGTTCACTTTCGTTAACCTGCGCCTAGGGACGATCGCACTGATTTATGATTGGCTCCTTGCCATAGTTTATGATTGGCCGTTGAGGTAGAGATGGTTCTTGATGTAAGTGTCTCTTTTCTCCTCAACCCTTCTGATCAGTCACACAATTTAGAAGCACTGTCATTTACGAAAGATAGCCGTGAAAGGGATGCCTTAAACACCATGTAAATTTTTTTCTGTGGTCAATCTTTTTAAAAAAGCGGCGATCTGTTTCACTTTTACTCACAGGTGCATCGTGAGGATCCATGAGTGAGGCGAAGACGGTCAGATGATTACATTCACATGTTGTGACACTGACGTTAGACTCTTCAGCAACAAGTCTACAACCATTGGTCTGCCATACGCCTCCTCCTCCAGGCCGCCAGAAAACACACTTTCTTTTTACATCGACTTCCGCAGGAACATTTACCTTGAGAAGAAAGTCAGAAGAAAGATTGGTGTTAAGATTTATAACAAATCTTATTACTTGAACAATCAGAAGGAAAATAAAACGTTTGAGTAGAACCAAACCAGTAAAGAAATAATTACCCTTTTGTTCTCTAAAACAATCTTGACCGGCTGCTTGAATACATTTGGGGGCCTGGGATAGACAGTGGATGATACAACGGTGGTATTAGCGGTGACCGCTTGTTTCTTGTCCTTAGTTTCTTTGTCCAGCGGTAACACATCGTTTAACGTGAGAAGTACTGAAGTAATGGCGCGGGAGTCTGGGGATGAGCTGAATGCCTCGCCTGGTAAATGAATGGAGCTTTGATTGTAGCTCACACTAAAGCCTTCAGTTCTTAACTAAAAGGAAACGTGAAAAGAAACATGAATTACATTTAACAAAGGTTTCTGTTAAAGCTACGTAGGTAATGACTTTTTGCGCGCAATATTAAACGCATTGTTGCGAGAGATTATTTCACGTATCTTCATCGTGTCATCATCGTTAGCTGACTACTTTGAATACATTACCGTAAAAAAACCTGGCGCTAAGCATAACCGTTTTCAATTTGTCGGTGTTACTATAGGCACTTTACTGCACTTTTTCTTTCACTGCTTAAACGTCGTCATGTGAAGCCATTTATGGTAGCAACCCATTCTCGGGGCCCTCTTTCTTCGTCCCTCGGGGAAGTAAGGGGAAAGAGAGAGGACACTGGGAACGATGTTGTTGTCGTAGCTATTTTCCCTAAGTTACAATCTTTTTTGTGGCTTGGCCACATGTGCTTATATAATTAATCGTCTTCATACCGGGTTGTCTCCTTGTACTCGGTCGATCCTGACTAACACGTTTGTAGCCTGAACGATTGTGTACTTTGAGGATCCAGTAAATGTGGCTGCCACACCCAGACCGTAATCATCAACTGCTTTCACTAAGATTCTACTCCGGCTATCACCCAACTGCGAGTAAAATCAGTCACATAAAAGTACTGTTAAACAAGCCTCTGTATGATAACGAGATTGGAAGCTGATGACGACAAGCGCGCACTAATGCGGCAGAGAGACATGACCCGAGTAGGTTCATGAATAGTACAATCTTAGAGGTGGACAACGGAATAAAATCAGTGAGGGGTTCAATCAGGCCGGTAGTCAAAAGAGAGAGATTAAAAAAAAAATGGCAAGAGAAAACTCGTCCAAAGCCAACAACTTTTCAAGTTTCACTTAAAAAGAAAGAAATTAAAAGGGACCACGCCCTCCTCAGGCCCTTCCTGATCCACCCATGGCAATTTATTTATTACAGAAAGATTCTGACACATGAAGGACTGTTTGTAGCTACATTAACACTTTTGGTATTTTTCCGTATGTTGTGTCCAAAATTTGTAGAATTTTACCTTTCCGTAACTAAACCAATATTGGAAAACAAAACCACTCTTTTACTCAAACAAACTCTCTCTAAAGCTAGAAAAATGGATAACAAAATTAGCGCCTAATCCTAGGTAAACTTGATATTGCTACATTATTGAACAACCGGCTAAGAGCTGTCTGTAATAAAGTAGTAATTCTCCCTACTCTGTGCCAGTCAATTCTTACGATGTTATTTTTAAGAATTTTGTATTGCATCAAAAGATTCTCATCACTTCTATGCTTGATATTGTAGCAATTTTGTAAGGAGAAATTCTCCCTTGGTCACTCATGGGAGTTTAAAGGGTTAGAGGAACATACACTAAACTTACATTCTCGAGTTCCTGCCAAGTTACACGATTGACTGGTTCCAACAAGTTACTCGCCACTTGAACGAAGTTCTTGACATCCTCCTCGTTACTCACGTTGCCTTGTTCAGCATTATAATCAGCCACTTTGACAAGTACATTCACAGCGATGACCAAGTCTCCACCAAAGATCTCAGGAGATTTCTGCGTGCTTTTTACGTTTGGAAGAGTAACGTTTAGTAGCTCTGATAGAATTTGTTTCGCGGTAAAGTTTGTCTGGAAACCTTCCGTGACAGCTTCGATCTGAAAATAAAAGGATCTTAAGTGTGATTGATGAGAGGACGAACGAAGAAACGGGTGTGTGTATGATTATCGTGTAAAGTCCTCCGATCGAGCTGTTACAATTTCCATAAAGAAATTATGAGTGATAGGCAAATTAACATGAGAAATCTAAACTAAGGTTCAGGACATGAATATCAATTAGCTCCTACCTCGTCACCCAGTCGGAGAAATTCACGTGAACTGCAGTCTACGAAGTTAGCGTTTTCCCACTTCCCATTCACATCACAAAAACGCGATACTTTCCCTAGGATGAATTTATATTAAAAATATTTCACGGTCAGGAGTCCACTGCAATCTATGCTTAACGTCTGGGAAATGGGAGGAGAAGGAGGAGGGACTGGGGAGGGAAAGGAAACCGACCCTGGTTGTACCTTCTATCATATTGCGAGGGTGTAATCTACGCTTTATCGAAAAAAAAAAAGATTATCTATGTCAATAAAAACAAATGGTATACCAGCAAATAACGAGAGAGACAATTAGAGTTGCCCACCCACTGGAAAATCTACTTACACAACTGCCTCGGTCGGTATATCTCTTTAGATCAGGTTAGGTCACCTAGTCTGCAGAATGACGGAACTGTTCAATGTTCATTTATGTTTGGTTCTAATCACGGGAAAAAGGACATATTGCCATTGTATCCAAACCCTCTTATGGCTTACCCCTGGCTCCTGGTGGACAAGGTTTGATGTCAGTTTGTTCTGCAGCTGTGGCTGACCACAGGACTCCTTTAAGCCACTCTTCTCGACACCTTGGTACGTCTGTGAGACAAATAAGAATTTTCATGTGAATATCTGGGACAAATTCTCAAATCAGCTGAATGATATGACTTTAATTTGAATGAAGGGATCGTGAACAACCTTGAAAAAAATCACGCAAGTTATGTGGCTGTTCCCAAGCTTTCTAAAACTCCTGAACTTTTATTCACCAAAGAAAGTTTAGTGATAAATCTTCTTTGCTTGCCCTGTTAATACATGGTACCATTCCTTCATGTTTTAGCTTATGTATGTCAGTTTTCGCATCGTTTCGGGGATACAGTTTTTGACAGGAGATGTGAGGACAATACTGCAAGAGTTTTCCTCAGCTATTTCTGACCTTTTCTCGTGATAAGTATTATCCTTTAGCGATCACACTCGCCTGGATAAACTCTTGTTAGTGAGAATTAAATTCTCCATTTAAGGTATTGTTCAGTTCTTAAAAGTACCACGCCTACCTGGTTTTATAATAATCAGCTCAGCCATTTCACTCATAGCCAGAACAGATCCTTCCTGTGACCGCATCACACAGACAAATTTTCTAACATAACTCTCCCCTCCGTCTGGAATTTCTAAATTGGTTGCTGTGTAACTCGGTCGATCATTGAGGAATTCTATTCCTTCCGATGTCACTTCAACTACAACTACGCTTGCTCCTTGCCTGACGCCGCTGACCACTCTGCAGGAAAACGATGCTTTACCACCTAATAAATTTGTAGTAAAATCAGTGCTCAGTGTATGAAGTTCTCCCTTCGTTTAAGGATGAATAAGAATCTCGACCCCATCGCTATGCCAACTACTGAAATTCCAGTTTTGTCTTTGTCTACCACATAGCAAGCCACAGCTATGAAAAATTTAAAGCAATTTTCAAAGAAATCTGGGATGGCTTTAGTTCTATTCGTTTACGGTCTGGGATTGGTCGAAGTTAAAAAACTTGCCCCCCATTCCTCCACCAAACACCTGCAAACGTAATAACGACTGGGACCGGGCTACTCTAGTTCTCCCGCGTTTCAGGATGTTTAAAATTATTGACTTTCCGCTCTCATTGGCTACTTGTGATATTGTCTCTTGTTCTGATTGGTCGACATTACAACTCTGGTTTCAATTTTACAACAGCCCATCGACAAGCCCTCCGATACACAAAGTAATACATCTTTTGGCCTGTGAAAGATCCTGAAGGAAGTCTTTTAAGAAATCTGTGAAGCACACTGTCATGGAATAAGCAGAGCGATGGAGAACGAGGGCTGCTGAATGACTCTGCACTTACCAACGAACTCAGAGACTGCTCGCGGTGATATTCTAAGTACAGGAACAACCTGAACTGATACGTTTGCTGTACCAATCTGGCTTCCTTTACTGTAAAAGATACGAACAGAGGAGGAAGTAAGTACAGCAATTCACCCTCAAACTACTTCCTGAGTCTTACCATCAGTATGGTCGTCACCCTGATGATATCATCCAAAACACTTTTAGTGGTGTGATATAAATACCAGAAAAAAAACGATCACGTTAAACCAAAGAGTCAATTAAATTTAACACGACGCCCTAAACAACCGAAAAAAATCAGCCCCCCCTTTCTGTTTCACGTTCATTCACTGGATTTAAAAATTCAAATTTTCCGAAGAGAATTATTTTATCTGTGGCACATATGGCTCTCTAAAAGTTGACAAACCTCTTGGTGCCCCTGAGCGGTAGTTAGAAAAGTGAATTCACAGCATTGTTAAAAGTCTTCTCTATCATCAAGTTGAACGAGCTTACCCTGCTTGGCAGACATAGACTCCCTCGTCAGAAGCCATAGCATCTCTAACGGTGAGGCGGGAATAGCCCCTGTTAGTCTCAACTTTTGTCCGGTGACTCAAACCAATGATATTTACTCCTTTAGACCACGTGATCTGAAGGTCGGGAGGACCGCCAATCACGGTGCAGTTAATGACAAATCTGCCGGTCACGTTCACCATCAAATGTGAAGCTCGTATTGTTACGCTCTGTATGCCTGAAGTAAGAATGTTAGATACACCTTTAGTTAACCCATGGATGACCAAGAAAGAATTTCTCTTCACAATATTAGTATAATATCAGGCACACAAGTGATTGGAATTAAGTAAAATATCAGCTGGGGGATTATTAGTTGATCCAATTAGGAAAATTGAAGATGAGATCTTGGGAGTGCTTTTGTAAAATGATCACATCGCGTTGTGCAGCTTTGTGACGATTCGTCGTTATCCTCGATCAATAGGGAAGCATATATTTCTTTAAACACCTGACTAATTATTGCAATCGGTAAAACAGAGTTCAAATAAACGTTACGCAGTCCTATAATAAGTTAAAGATGATATGGATGACCTTCTCAAGTTTTGATTTCGGTTTCTCACAACAGATGTAAAGCGTTAAATACCAGTTATAACTTCCACCCTTCCCCCTCTCCCCCTTAGTATAATCGTCTATTTGAATGTCCATGATGTGATGCTGCTCACTCAAAAAGACAGAAAAAGACCCAGGTTGACGACAATTAATACAATTGACTGATGTACGGCTTAACTGTAGTGATTTTATGCTAAGGTTTTTTTTTTAAGTCTCGTTTTAGTTTGCTTTTAATCCAGTTTGATAAATTACAACTTATTCCTTCTAAAAACCATTTAAAACATCTGTTTTGAATTATCCATCAAATTCGAACGGAAACCATAAACGTCAGCTACCAAAACACAATTCTGGTCGCACAATTTCCCTTTAAATTTTTTTTTAAGAATTTAGTTAAAAAATATCAAATATTAGGAAATGAAAACTTTACCTGCTTGGCTTTGTAATTTTGTTCTGTTTCTGTCCAACGAGAAGTTTCCAAGATTATCAGCTTGGGACACCACTTGTTGGAGAAAACTCATATTGGGGCTCGCTGCTTCCAACTGAATTTCTGCCTGAACGCTTCCGGGGCTGAAGAGTGAAATGGAGCTTATCCTTTAGAACAGCAGACTAAAACATTTTACTCGTGAAAATTTGAGATTAAGACTGAACTTCCGTGAAACCCAGATTCGAATTTGTAGACGAATGACACATGCCCTTTTTTCAAATTTATTGGGAACTTTTCTACAAAACGTTTTAAAATAACTTCTTCGATATCCGTCACATACTTTCCCGTTTATGTGTACACTATGAACCTCGCCCCCTTAAAATATTTCTCATTCTGACCCCCAGTGATTGGCTCATTTCATATTATAATAGCGGAGCTCGCAGAGCGTACCTGCGGGAAAAAAAATGCGAGCTCCGCTTTTAGGCTTGGCTAAATCTATATATTACCTTTACTTGAAATACTTGAAATAAAGCATATACAAGTAAGAATAAATACCTAAAAGACAGCACAGTAGCTCTCTTAAACCATCCATGTCTGGAATAGAGTTTCGTAATCTGTGAAAATGAACGCCAGTAAAAGCTGTTTACTCGGTTAAATGAACTAAGAGGGTGAGATTCCAAAGAAACTGTGGTGCTACATTGGTGGAGTGTATTACAAGATAATTTGGTTTTTTTTCAGACCGCCTCTGAGGAGTGCAGGGGGGAGGGGGTAGAGAGGTGCCTTCACCCCCGTCCCGTCCCATACGCTTGCACCCCTTTCTCTCTCCATCTAAACCATTTACTTCTCCTCAGACTGCCTCTGAGGAGTGCAGGGGGGAGGGGGTAGAGAGGTGCCTTCACCCCCGTCCGGTCCCATACGCTTGCACCCCTTTCTCTCTCCATCTCAACCATTTACTTCTCCTACTTCTCCTCAGACTGCCTCTGCAAAGGCGTTGGATAAAACGGTGTTCGACTTCAATAACACATGTTCACTTTGAATACATCGCTTTACAGTCGTCCAACTATTTTCAGCCCAATGTGCGGATGATACTGTTACTAACCTCTCTCGTCACATTCTCTTTCAAAGCCTTAAATCGACTGGAAATTGGATCTTTGAGGTCCTCTGAGAAGTTTTCACTTGTAATTCTCAGCGTCAAAATATAATAGGAATCCTCTGCGGAAAAAAAATGTTAAAAAAATGTCATCTGATACTAAGGTCACTGACAAGCAAGAAATCATGCACTTGGATGGCTTTCGTGGCCTTTAACAATATTTCAATAGTTCTTGTAACAGATCTGTTAACAACAAAATTCACTAATCTGATTGGTTCTTAACAGCTTTACTATTCGGCTGATCTAGCATCAGAACTGTTAAACTTCCCTATGCGATCTAAGATTGTTAGCCATTTCATCACCATCAGTGCCAAAAGGGGATAACTGCATTGCAACATCGACTTGTCGCCCACTTACGTGAATCCAAAGTCCTTACAAAAACAACCTCGTCACTAGGGGGGCCAAGTCCTGCACTGTTATAACCTTGCACCACCACGGTGTAGTTGGTCCACGGAGTGAGCCCTGACACCACTCCCGTGACGATATTTCCTCCTACGACCTTCACCCTTATGGCATAGTCTGGGATCAACAGGATTTCAACCGACTCTTCGTTTGGCTGCCGATATGAGCGACGACCCTGCCAGATGTAGATCTGAAAAATAAAAAATGAAAGTTTTAAAAGGGTACGTAGACAGTATTTTCATACTTCAGTGGACCTAAAGGCAAAACCGTATTGGGAAACTTTATCTAAGAGGTTTGGCGGTCGTTTTTAGTTTGATGTCAAAGCGGAGCGGAAGTAGCTGAGATCTACTTCCGGCTACCGTCCGAAGTCAGTTGATGAGCGAGGAATAATGAAACGAATATTCAAACTCCCCCTCTTTTTTCTGTCATCATATGGCAAGGCCTGAAAATATCGACTCTGTACATTTTGTGCAAGCTAATGTCATCACTTGACGGTAGCAAGCATTAGGCGGACTAAAAAAGAACTAAAACAACAGAAAAGTTACGCCCTACTGCTTGAAGTTTAACCTTTTAATATACCATGTCACCCCTGAATCAAAAGTTATGGTCACGAGAATAAAGAAAACGATCACCGATTACAGTAGTGGTGCTTGACTGTAAAACAGATTCTCCTTACGAGCGCCTTAAGAGATGTATAGAAAACAGTGTGAAGAATATGCTTACTGATGTTAGGGTGTAAAGTGCTTAAACTTGATCAAAAGAGAAGGAGCAATGACGTTACAAAATTTAAATTGGTAGTACGTACGTAGTGACCATCCACTGACCGAGGAGGTTTGGGAACGAATGGAGTCCACTTGATCTCAACAGAACTCGCGTTAACACGAACCACAGTTATATCAGTTGGTGGTTGAAAGAGGCGGTTCTGTCCAGACAGACCGAAAATGGAAGGGCTCATCGGCCCAGGCCCCTCGATGTTCTCGGTTCGAATCCTAACCTCATATTCTTGATTGGTTAACACTCCTCTCTCTAGAATAAAATTCAGATCACATCTATCAAATGAAGTTTTATTCGTCCAGGATGCGTTTGGAGTATTTGGACGATAAAATACTCTATACTTGCAACCAGCTCCACCCCAATCTAATGGATCAAGAGTCTGGGGAAAAAATAAAGAACTAGAAGTTAGCACTCTTGACTATACTGTGATTATCATAATTATGAAAATACACCATAATTATGATAATTATGATAATTATGATAATTATGATAATTATGATAATTATGATAATTATGATAATTATGATAATTATGATAATTATGATAATTATGATAATTACTATCATTGCCATAATTTAAATAACAATTGTGATAATTAATTTGTTATCATTCTTCAAAAGAGAAAATAGACTTGGGTAAGGGAAAAAACCTTTCTTTACCTCAATTATAAAAAATAAAAATTCAAAAACCAAGTTTATTTCCGTGTCAGCTGAATAATATATATATATTCAATGTTTTCATTTCTTTCTAATTAAAATAGCGACGTTTTAACGACTGGTCTGCGGACTCTCCGAAAATCTGTCTGTATTCAGCGGTAACCAATACAAAAACTACCTTAGCAACTAAAGAAATTTTCAAAATAACATATTTTTAAAAACATCAAAAAGCAGGTTCTTCTTTAAAATTATCATTCATATCGGAAAATAGTGCACTGCAATACGTTTCAATTACCGACGGAAGATGCAATAATTTTTTTAAAAAGCAATTAACATTATGAGGTTATTTAAATTACCGTCCAATTCATCTGCAATTCTCCGTTAACTTTTCTAGGAACAATCTGCAAGTTCTTGGGATATAAAGTAGGACCTAAAACAAGAACACAGGAGCTTTCAATCAAAATGTATCGGAGAAAAATTTTCTTCCTCTAAGAACCCGAATGATAAATCTAATGATGGGTAACTGATGGAGTGGCTGATCCACTGGCGCAATAACTGTCTATATTTTTTTCTGAAGGTTGGTCGACCCATGGTCATGTCAGTCTTCCAAATTCTCGGCCTTTCGATCAGTCTAGCTGTCTGCCTGACAATAGAAAGCTTTCAAGCAAAATTAAATTAACTGATGTTATCGTACTTACGTTTGCTCCTAGTGATACAAAGAGGTTTCTCCAGGGACAGGCCAGGAAAACCAACACCGATTTGGTTTTTTGCACGGATGCGAAAATGAACTTCTGTGTTTGGCTTGAGATTGTTCACGGCATAAGAACGAACAGAACTGGGAACTTCAGCCAGTTTAGTAAAAGGAATGAGTGTAAATTGTTCTAAAGACGCATATCTAGCGGACCATTCAATGATAAAACGATCGGGAGGTAAGAGATCAGAAAGAAGCCTGACATCCCATGTCAGGATGGTGGAAAAGTTTGAACAATTAGTCGTCTTCACATTCACAGGAGGAAGAGGCGCTCCTAAAATTGGAAAAAAAGGAGGCACATAAACAGTCATTGGCAAACTCAATTCAAGCATATCTCCTCCTAAGAAGTATTCCATCAGAAGCAACCTTGTTGGCTCAAAACCTGACTAGTTTCAGATCAGAGATATTCTTAATTGAGTGTCGTAAGTGGTTCGGGACAACATTGTTTTTGCTTTTCTTCGCTCTGTGATTGGTCAAAAAAACCACAGCCATCATCTCAACCAATCAGATTCAAAACTGAAAAAAGAAACATGATTAGGTCACTCATGCAAGCTGCTGGTTTTTCTATGAAATCTCAGTGGTTCGTTGAGATATTTTCCTCTGCGCTGCATGATTACCTATCGTATAAAGATGTTGTCACCCTGAATGTCCCCACCCTAAAGTTACTGAAATCACAATGCATTCCCTTAGTAATCCGCTCCAAAGAGCGTCAAGCAACTACCTCCAAAATACCCTTAAAAAGGAAACGATTATTAATTGTGGCGAGTTCGCATGTGATGAAGTGTAATTGATTGTCTCAGGGGGTAGTCACTTATACCTCGGAGGTGACTAGACTGTGAAACAACTAGTACTAAAAAGTTGTGTGGTGGATATGAGAGTCCCCCCCTGGGGGAATCCCCTCCTCTTCCCCTCACGTACCTGTTACAACCAAGTACGACACCCTGTAATTCTCACTGACTGGATTCTTCACAACGCATTGGAAGACGCCAAAGTCCTTCACTTTTAGGTTACGAATGGTCAGTATCCCAGAGGAGGAACTAACAGACCATCTGTTCAAAAACTTTAAGCTGAAGATAAAACAAAAAAAGTATGCTCGTTAAGATACTTGAAATCAGCCGTTTGAATATTGATTTGGGAGCGGAATCCCCTTTTTCGGTTGTACCTGTGCTGAAGTTTCTCTCCGTTGTAATACCAGGTCGGACTGCTCTTTAAGTCTCCAGTTGTGTTACAGAAAAGCGTCACAGTTCTGCCGTGTTTTCCTTCTCTTATGTCATAGAAGGGGTGGACTTCCTGATCGTACACCGGTTCTATTTTGTCTGCAGATGGAAAGGGGATAGAAAGGCTGAACAGTTAAATCAAGTCGCTATTATCAACTGCTTTAGACAAAAAACATTTTACGCACTCACTCGATGCAAGCTAACAAGAAAGAGACGAATTATGAAAAGTTCCGCGTCTGCGCAGGCGGTACTAGAAAATGCGTTTAAAAAAGTACAAACCTATGACTTTTAGAGTAGTTGTCTTTTGCAGAATCGCCCCTGAGATACCGGTTACACATTTGTAGATCCCATTGTGTGAACTTGAGCGAAGTGATCCCAGTCGTAAAGTTCTATTGTAATTCATATACTGGAACAGATCCCCCGTGGGCACGATCTGTACGTTGTCCTTGTACCAAGAAATGTCAGGTGTTTCACTGGAAAGAGAAACAGGAACGTCCATAAGACGCAGAAATATGACAATCCAGTTAAAAGAAGGAGGAAGGAATATGAAATCAAACATTGTTTGAAATGAAATGGTTTGTGCTGAGGTTGCTCTTGTCTGTAATCATGATTTCCGATTTCGTTCTTGACATAAGTTTTTTCTCCTAGACACCTTTCTTGAAACCTTTCCAAACATTTTTTTTTTACAGTTTGCTGTATCAGGGTCCTGGCTGGACCTTTGCAAATGCACTGAGTTGCTGCCTTAGTCGATGAAAGAAGAAAATGATTTTATCTCCTTCGTTACTTATTGTAATAAAAGTACATGTGGCAACAAGATTTAAGGAAAGAAAAGGTTGTTGAGTGAAACAAGGCCCTAAAAACTATCAAGTGATCTGACTATTCTGCGCAGTTAACATATAAATGTCCGACCTACCTTCCTCCTGCGGTACAGTTTAGGTAAAACTGATCTCCAGTGGCCAACGTATAAGAACTAGCCGGTGTGGTATAAAATTTAAGGTTTGTATTTTGTGAAGCTAAACAAAACAAAAATAAATTTAGCGTATGTGTTCTCATATTTTTCCGAAACCGAGGAAAAAGTTTGCATTGTTCCATTTGTAAACAGCTCACTTTAAACTTAAAGAAGAGGCCTTTGTAACCGCCCTCTGGAATGTCACGCAACATTCTCCTCAAAGAGTTGCGTGACAACAATTGCAAAGGGCGCTTTGCCTTGTCCTGACTGGAGGAAAATTATTTCATATTGAATATAGCAGAGTATTTTGGGCAGGAAAAAGGAAAAATAGGCGTAATTCATCACAAAGCAGACCAACATTTTCTTGTTGAAAATTGCTTGGGAAATCGAACCATTTAATGAAGCAGGCGAGATGTAGGGGCTTTTCATTATGCTGTGATAAATGGTATAGAATTCAGGATTACCATTGATCACTGCCCAATGGGTTTACGCAATTGCATTACTATCATTACTGTTACTGTCATCATTATCCAATTTTTTCTTAACAGTATTATCGAACAAAAGTACACAGAAACATAAGATCGGAACACAGCATTTATAAAAACAAAGCTGGCCTTAGACGCCCCCCTAAGGAAGAGGATGCCCTTCGGGTTACTCCCCCTAGACCTTATGAAACCAGGGTAGTCCTACAATTTTTAAAACCCGTTACACTATAACATCAGTATGAAAATACTCCATACTTTTCGCTATACATTTTCTAAGGTGCTGACAAGGAGAATTTGTTTAATAATCATAACCTTCTTTAGTTTATGATCATCACCTTCATTCCCATGACCTCAAGTTAATTAAGTTCATCTTTGATTAGGGTTATATTGTTAGGAGAAATTAGATGCTGGTCATTCCTAGGGGCTAAAGGGCTAGAATTCCCCTATGGAAGTGGTTACCCGTGGGTTACTTCCTCTAGACATTATGAAGCCAGGGTGACCCTTAGATTTACAGATTCCTACATCTTTGAAAAGTGTAAACAACGTACTCCTCTCACCTGAACTTTTAACGTGCAAAAATATATTCGGGCTTATAAAGTTTATTGCTCCATGAAGATCTGTTACGCTACATTTTAGGCGACCTCCAGAAGCCATAAAACGATTCACATCATTGGCTGTGACAGGGGAGAATAATAAATCTCCGTTTGGTTCCATGAGTATTCGCGGTCTAAACGAGGAGCTGATGGGAAGGAGTGACATCCCAGGTCTCTGAGTACTCCATGAGTAGCTGACACGGTACTTGTACGAAAGCGACCCACAGGGAAGACGAAAAGATTCATTCTCGACCATACTGACGTTTCGTACACGATAGATTGAAAATGGTCCAACGACTATCAAGAGCAGCAAAAATATATATAGAAGTGAGTGAATCAAGATAATGGTTTGCGGTCATATCGTTCCATGGTCAGATCGTTCCACAAAATAGTCACTTCGTTCTTCAAAAAAGTCAGTTCGTTCCACATATATAATAAATATTTCTTAAATGTTTAAATGAGATCTGAGTACGAGTAGCGATCGGAACACAGACGAAAGTATTTACGGATCTGACTTGGAACGATCTAACCATGGCACTAAATGACAGGATACCAAGATAAAGTTGCTTGAAGCAAATACGGATCGTAAATGTCAGTATCTGAGCAACCGCGCGCCTACCCCTCCCCTAACCCAACATTGACTCTAACTTGTTGGCAGTCGACTGTTGTTGGGTTAGGGGAGGGGTAGTTGCACAGTTGCCCAGGTAATGACATAAAACCGCAGACACCATGTATTAAGTTAACATTTGCCCAATGCCCAAATGTTTTTCTCGTCTTTTTACTGCAAAAATAACTCGTATCCAGTGGATGTCTCCATCAGCCCTTCACACCCTGACATCAACATGCATGTTCTCCACACTGATCCTTACAAATTTCCAATGGAACCGATAAGGAGAATATGTTTACCAATCAAGAGCTTCTACAAATGGCAATAATTTCCTTCATTCTCATGACCATAATTTTTGATTAAGCAGTCATACTATGAGGAGAAATTAGATGTTAGTCACTCCTTGTATTAAGTTTAGCGGATGCGGGTACAGTTTAAGATTACTCTACGAAACTTTTGAAATGTTTATCGCGTTGATGACGTCCAAATCAGCTAACTTCAAAAGGTTGTCAATTACTATTTCTCTTCTATTTTGGGGTTAACAGTTTGCTATCATTGAGCCGTAAATTGAGCCTACATTTAGCAGTAATAAGACTACATTTTTAAAACTATATTCAGCGCTTTACCTCGACTTGTTGCTTACCTGAAAATTTTAGGCCAACTTTTTTACTAAACATAGTACCAAAGGCGTTCGACATGAAGACCTGATAATCGCCTTCATCAGATAAAATTCCAAACCTAATCCCCAAATCTCCATGTCTTGTTGTCAACACGCGGTCGTATGTAGGTTCCTGATTCAGTCTCAAGGCAGAGCCATTCAAACTCCACTTAAAGGTCTTCGGAAATGGCGTGTTCGATGCGACTGTTATAGCAACTGGTCTATTTTGCCTCTGTGCATTGTAATTAGTTAAATCTGGAGGAGAAACGGCCGTGATATGTGGAATAAGATCGCGATCCACAAGCTGGGAGACACCAATCCTTGCCGTGAATGTAACTGAAACAAAAAATTTTAACAGACGTTAGAAGAAAGACAATAGCGGGAGAGAAAAAGAGAGAGCCTGAGGTCAAGTTCTGATTTGATTAGTGACCAGTCATCACCCAGGGGGGAGGGGGCGGAGGAATTTTGGAGGGCTCACATGGTTTCCAGGGGGTATACAGGGATGTATTAGTCGTCGTCAACAGAGTTTAAAAGGAGGACTACAGAAAAATTGAGTGCAAATTAACTTCCAATGAGGAGAGGTCATGAAAATACTACAAAGCCTAACTGGGAGATCTGAAAAAATTATTGTGACACAACCAAATTCCCCCTCCCCTCCCGTGCAATAAATAATGACCCGTGCCTTGATCAAAAGTTTCGTTATTGAGACAATTAAGCAAAGATTAACTCGTTCAAATCTGTTCCTTTTTTCCGGACGCAAAGATGTTCTATGTCAGCCAGCTTTTATTTGCTTGGCAATGAAAAGGAAAAAAAAAAGCCCTCTCCATGAAATAACGGTTTCTTAAACTAGCCATATCTTGGCACCTATCACCTCAGTATGTTTTTAGATTAAAGACAACAAGGGGGTGGAGAACCTTACCAGAAAAAGTTACAATTTTGAATAGGAACACTCCGAGAGACCCTCACCCTTTAAAAAAAACTAGCACTTTGAACCAAACGTTCACTTTTGTCATCAAAGCAGCTTTGACCAGCACTTAATGGAATAAAATAATTGAATGGTTATATCCTTCTGGCTGCTTTCTATGGCCTTTTCTGTACCACTACAAATAACTTTCTGTCCCTCTCTTTCATTAAAAGGTACGCCCTTAGGACGAGGCATTCCTGTAATCTCAATTACAAAAAGCAAACCTTCATCCCAGACCCCCCTCCTCCTCCACCCTCTGATAGATATTTTTCTAGTGGCAGAAATGTGAATGACAGTACTTACGGGATGAGCAGTTTTGACCAGTGAAATCTCCAACACAGTGGCACACGTAGGTATCTCGAGTATCGGAACAAATCCCAGAATTTTGACAGGGTTGTAATGAAGCGCATATCTGTTGTCCTGCAACGGCATCATAAACAAATTTAAATCGTTAAAGGCTACTGTACTCAGCTCGTCTAGTCAATCAATCATCATTGAATCATCGTACTGTGACACAACCAAAATCATCCAACTCTCTCCCCCAGGGGATAAATAATGACCGATCCCCAAAACCAATCGCTACTCCTCATCTTTCATTACAGCCTGATTTTCAAACGAATTCTCCCTATTTTCTGATGGAAAGAAATATTTATATCTACTTCCTCCTCCCCCCAATTTCCTCTGACCGTCACCTAAGGCGCGAGGTTGCCAAAATAGAGTCCAAAGGTGCAAGAGAGATTTGAGGTGACATTAAACCACTCTGGGTATGAGGGTGAGAAGAAGGCAGCCCGTCCTATCCTTGTGCAAATGGGGATATTCATGTTCATTTGTATATAGTTTGACATGTTTCTTCAAAATACTCACCATTTATATTCAATGCAAACGATAAAAGTAGGACCAAAAGGTGAACATTTTTAAGAACAGGTGAGCTTCCTGTCATTGGCTCCATTTGTAATTTGGTCCAACTAAGAGGAAAGCGGAAAAGGTTAACTCTAATCATTAATATAAATGTTTTACCAAGACTCTCAAGAAGTCTCCCAAAAATTTCTTCGTTCGTGAGAAATGAGAGCCAACGCCTCTGTGTTCTTAGCTTTGACGGCTGGGAGGGGAGGGGAGGGGAGGGAAGGAGAGAAGATGGGAAGGGAGGGGAGGGGAGGGAAGGGAAAGGAGGGGAAACCCTAAAGTGATCGGTTATTAAGATGAAATCTTAAGTTATAGTAGAATGTATTCTCTTAGTTACTCAAGAAGTCGGGAGATACCACATTTACGAATTTCGTTATTTTCTATGTCTGAACGTGTAAACTTTTAATAGCCGATTTCCTCGTCGGACAACTGAATATTCTACTTATATAAATACGCTGCAGAGAGAGCTTTGGGTCAAAGTCACGCGAAATCACGATAGGGGCGAGACAGTCAGAACAATTCTTTAACTCAGTGTAAGCACAATCTTTGATTACTTAAGTTTTGTTTAACACAGCTCAGAGATTGCTGTAGAAAATATTCGCCGCCTTAAAGCCGAGTAGCTACTTGGTTTACCTGTGCTTATACAAACTGACTTTATATTCAGTAGTGACCGAGGGGGGCATTGGGGCCTATTAGAAACCGCAAAACCGTAGAAAAAATCATCCAAAACCGAAAAACCGAAAACCGCAAGCAAAACTGTCAAAACCGATACATTTTCACACCCCAGTTATTAAAACCCTGATCGATCCGCTACAGTGATGACAAGTGGAGCATACAGCTGAGTAAACTACAATAATTTCATTACAGGATTTATGAATGCCATGGACTTGGCATTCGTATCTTCTAGTATCTACTTAAATTAACAGCTGCTCTCTCGAGGACCTCGAGTGTGGTCTCTGCGGACTCAGCAGCTAGTAATGAAGCCTAGTTAAATTAGAGAAATTCGCCCCAAAGTCCTATATATATATACTGTATATACACCGTTTATTTGCCACATTGCAGAATTAACTGAATAAAAGGGCTATAAATTAGCAATCAACAAATAATTAACACTGCTACTACTATAGAGACAATAAAAATATCATAAATAATTATTTGCATATTCACATATTTACTAGTGAATGAAATAAGGGAACCTGAACGCTGGGTCTGGCAACAACTCCTATCAGCGTAAACAATATTTCTATTGTTGTTGCTGGCCCGCAAGTTGTAACTGTGACCACTAGATGCTGTTCTCGGCTTGAGGAAGTAAATGGGGTGGTCTTTTTTAGTCATCTTCTGAATATTTTTACAGCAGAGCTGAGTTCGTCTTTGTTTCAAGCTTGCTAAGGTCGGTAGTATTAAGGGCATCTAAGGGCATCGGATATAAAATCCGAAAACCCGTTAGTATTTTTTGCGAAAACCGAGAACCAAATGTTAAAAAACGGAAAATCCGCAAACCGCAATGAACTCCAAAACCGGAAAACCGAAGTTTTTTTGGCGCAAAAACCGAAAAACCAATCTAAAAAATAGCCAAAACCGCAAAACCGAAAATCCCAATGCCCCCCTCGTGACCCAGTAGTTTTCTTTGCGATCCAGATATTAAAAATTAAAGTCAGTAGATAACTAAGGAAAAATTGATTCTAAATGGCCGGAGGCTATACCCATGGCTTTGTTCAAGCAAGACGAGAGAGCTTGAACTCAGAACTGACGAGAAACAACCTCAATCTTCATTACACGTTTTTATTTCCCTTGCGCGTGTTCTTTTCCTGATCTCACACGATTTAATACACTATTGACATTTCCGCGGTACATCCAGCTTCACTTTCATTTTGGAAAAAAAATTTGCCGACTTCGCCAGTCAGTAATTTCCTTTCATCGAGTCCAACATGCAGCTCACGAAACGCCACTACCCTTTTTTCAAGCAACCCAGCCGTGGATAATAATCGCGTCATTCATCACTGTTATGGTGAAGCAAATATTAGGATTGTGTTCTTCTAGAACCAAGCGATTTAAATTCAGTTCGGTGACACAATCGTAAGGTGCCGTGAACGTGTCACTGCACCCTATCTTGTATTTTCAATGTAAAGAGGTGATGAAGAAAGTGAAAGGGCTTAATCCTTAGGGGGTCAAGGCTTTTGCGACCCCGTCAATCCTTCGACGTAAACTTCAAGAGCAAAATTGTGTGGTGGACTGTTACCCAAACAGTAATTTAAGACAATTGATGAGGAAAATGAAAAGAAAGGCATCATTCATTTGAAAAGTCTTGAAATAAATTTGATCTCATATGAAAAGCAACTCTATAGGTATTTTAACAGTGCTTCTAATTTTAGTTCAGTTGTTTTTCTCGTGTGATTAACAGAATATCTGCTTTCCATTACTGTAACTGACGTCAAAACAAATTTGAAGTTAAACAGGAAATCACAATTTCTGAAAAACCGCCAAAGGTCCGAGGAATCGTGGTTGTTATGGGCATAGAAAGACGAAGGTGAACGTGTGTCTTGATTCAAGTAAAGCATCAGTGACCTTTGTCTAATTTAATCTCATCTGACACAAATATTGATAATACAATTGTGCACTGTGTGATGATCATTGACTCTCAACATATTCAAATTTTTGCACTCAGATTCTAAACACCTCGTTTTTGTGCAGAGTAAAGAAATATAATTTTTCCAATTGGTCATCATTCCTATTTTCACGCAAGAAGTCAAATATTATCAAATTTATGTAAAATATTATAGACGATCCACGCACGAAGGGTTCCGTGCAGCAACAGTACAATCAGGTCAACAGAGAAACGCATTAAACAAAGAAGAAGTACGTTTGAGCACGGTACAAAACAAAACAGACCTCTTTCTCCCACGCGCCTTTTCTCTGTTTTCTACCCTCGTGTTACCGTATGAGTTGTGGGACTTTGTTTTGATTTTAATTATCGATAGTTTCGACCGGATATCTCGTTAGAAATTAAAAGTTTAGCGGTCTTCCAAACTCTCAAAATTCAAATAATGTCTCACCTGAATCATAAAAGGCGCCACTGCCAAGAACTTCTGACACAGTAGACCTTGGTGAGCGGCGCAGGAAGAAAGCACGTTTCCAATGTTCGTTTAAAACCCGTAGATATGCTATATCATCGCCTTATGACGTCAAGACACTTAAGCATAGCGAGAGGCCTTGAACGATTCGAAAAATGTTCAGCTATTTACACATCATATTTCGTCTTGACGAACTGAGATTAAAGACGAAATGGGGTGACCTTGAAACCAAACCATGCTACGTGGTCACCGTTATGCCTCATGAACAAAAATGCTGTCGAAAATGAACGAGCAGTGACACAATATAATGTATTTGCATTCAAATGTTCCCACCTACCCATTATAATTAGAAATCATTGTTTGGACTACGTAATTAATTTCTTCACAAGTAAACCTGAGTTTTCTTTCTTTGGTGGAAACGTAACTAACGTCTCCGAAATATCAGAAGTTGCCAGATAGATTAAGCACGAGCGCCGGGGCTAAAAAAATTAGAAATATCATGCTATAAATTGTGTCAAAATTAAACCCTTGGGGGGAGACTGAGAAGCCGCATACTAATTGCCCACAATGAAAGAAAATCTTTCGTCTGAAAAAACGACAACTGAATACTAAAACATTATTGTTCTGGGCTAAGCCGCTCACAGTTTAAAAGATCTATCAATTGGTTTGTTTATAACATCTAAAAAGGTTTTGTAATAAATCTTGTTCCAAACGAGGCAGTGATCACATCATATAGGTCCTTTAATTACAAAATGTAGCCACCTGTTCTGTAGAATGAAAAACCGAATAAACTTAAGACTTAAAGGCTCATTTGCACAATTGACAAAGAAGTCAATAAAAAATAATAATGATGACAAAAGGTACCTAATAAGCAAACAAAAGAACTAGCCAAATATTGGCATAGTGAAGGTAAATTCAGAGACGTGAAAAAGGAACCTGCTTTAATTTTAAACTTCTCGAAGTGAAATCTTGTAAGAATCTTAAAAGCAAACCTTACACTTTTGTCTCGACTTTCTTTCCCCTCGTAACAAGAAAATTCGCTCAGCGCGGGGCTAACGCTCGAAACGTCCGCTTCAGAAACTCTTTACGGAGGCAAAATTTTACATCATCAACACAGTTCATAAAGCCAAATTATCTATGGAAAAATCCAGCGTGCCTCAATGTGACTGACCCCTTTTTAAATTTATTTTTCTGCGCAGTTAACCATGATTAATTTACGAGCCACTTGAAATAGGTCACGAACTAAGCTCTAATGATAAACAATGATTGGGAGTGTTTTCCTCAATGTTAAAGACTGTAAACGTGTTCGTCATTCAGCTGTCGAACGAGTAATATCAACGTCACCAAAAGAAAATACTAATCAGTACACAGGTATAAGTTAGAATGTAAAAACGAAATTTGCATACAAAGTCTCAGCATTTTCGCTTACAGGAGAATAGTATTTTTATATAACGAAGAACGAAGCGAGCCCTATTTCATCCTGAGCCAAACGGAGAGGGCGTGACACCCGTTGAGGCGAAAAGTAAAAATATAAGCTAAAAATAAATTTATTTTTATGATGACGTTAGTTGTCAAGGGCTGTTGTTTTTCTTTGAATCCAGGCAACAAAAACAACATGTTTCGTAAATAAAGGAGAGACTATTCTTAACAGTTTAAAACAGTTTCACTTCTCAAGTTCGCCTAACTTCAGAGACTGAGAGACCGGGGGTGTCGAATGATAAATTATTGTGTGTGCACCTTCAATTAAAAATAATGTCACTCAGAAGGTATTAACCTTGAAAGATGCGAACAAAAGAGTGACTTGGAGGCGCGGCGTATAACTCTTATCTACATCTAAGTATTGATGTTTTAAAAGATCTGTCATCATATCTAACCGCACTCACCTTGGGCTTTTAGAATAAACGATAACGTTCAAGGTTGATATAGTTTTTTTTTTGCGCAGGAATATGTCGTATGTATTGAACTAGCTTTATTTGCTTTTTTCAGGAGAAAATTGTTTGTTATTGTCCGTGGATTGATGAACATCTCCCAGAAAATTTCGTATGCTCAAATATTACGATTTCAAAAATTCTCTCTCTATTTGAAACGTAAATTATTGTGAGGATGCATTTATTAAAAATATAACGAAGGATGCTAGGTAATGAGGATTTTAAGGGGGTGAAAGCTGAATAATGAATACTGAATAACAGATGCACAAAAGAAAGGAGTAATCATCACTTAGGTTTGAAAACGGAATCAGGGGATAATCCATAACAAAGTCATGCCACTGGAATAATGAGTAACTCACATTTGTTTGACCCGCGAAAACATGTTATGGGGGAAAAAACATCTTATGTGCGTATAGTTTGTAAAAAGGTATTTACGGGCCTGTGTGACTCCTTCAGCTGGTAGGTCTTCAAAGCTTAGTAGACTCAACTAATATGTCTTTAAGGGATTTACCTTTTTGATACGATGTAAATGGGGGGTTCCTTCAGTAAGATGTCGTCGCTTCTTTCTATATAAGGCTCACCGGCTTCTTCATTAACACGTTACATTATACTTGAAAAGGCATTATCCTCTTCCGTGCATTATTCAAGTTTCATGTTTTGGCGATGTAGCTGTCAAAGATTGGAAAGTTTTACTTCTATCAGATACCACGGAAATAACCGATTATTTTTTTTATCAGCAGTTGAGGGTTGGTTATTAATTCCTTTTAAGTAGCCCTGTGTAGCACCATAGAGGCTTCCTCTTCAATAACGCCTCAAGGCTTCGTGGATGGCACGAATAGAGATTTGTGTTTACAAAGGTATCTGTGTTTCAATGCACCTCCCTTTAAAGGATAAAGTTTTTGTTTAATCAGCTGTCGCCGTTGAACACGTCTGATTAAAAAAAATGTAATGTTTTTCTTACATTTCAGCCTAAAGTTATTGGTTTCTGCTATAATACTTCGATTTCGTTTATTCTAGTGCAGTATGGTTCCAACAGAAGAACATGTTGGCAATGAATCTTTTTCCATTAAATGCTTTAAACCCAGAAGTAATATTTGATGGTGTAATCCAGAGATCGTCCGAGTGAGGGAAGTCCTGAGAAGGAATGTTGTTGGTAGTGGTGACTGACGTTTCGACAACCTGAGTGGAAGACATTATCAGAGCCGATAACAACTTCCTTTGCCATCGGTTCAAGAAAATACGTCATCAAAAAGCCTTAAAAAAAAACAAAACCAACAACTACGCAGGCTATTTTTAATACATCTTCGGGTATGTCGTTTTTCTGGACAATACATTGTTTAATACAGATTTTCCGTTGCATAAACGATATTACAATCGTTGAAAATATGGTGTGATTGAAATTACAATTAGGATTTAAAGCAGCATTATTCTGGCTACCCTGTGGCAGTTGGTTTGTTTAAAAATAACCAGTGAAACCCTGAGGGCAATTCAGTTTAACTCGGAGGAGTCATCAACCTTAATTTTGATTGATTTCCTTGTTGCTGATCTAAAAAGAAAGAGAAGGAAAACGCCTTAAAGACAGAAACAATTTTTAAGATTGTAAAAGCTAACTAGTTAAGCACGTCTAGACTCAAGCCAATTGACCCACCACGCGCCAGAGCTCATTCAGGTGTCCGTAGCCAGCGATGACTGAGAGTTTTGCTACTCCCCGGTAATCTCGTGCCCAGATCCTACCGTGTAACCCTTACTGAAATGTTGGCAGGCGCTTGGCTGTGAGATGTCTGAATACGACAAATTTTCCCCTTTAAATGGGATCCTGGCGAGGATGCAGGTCAGGCCATACCCATAGCAACGAAAACAATTGTTTGGCGCTCTAAGACTTGAAAATTTCTTGGATATTTCAATATAGGTCTTCGCGCTCACAGAAAGCTAAACGCTCAAAGACCAGTCCATAAAAGGAAAAACAACTTTTCTGGGTTCATACTAACCTTGTATTGCAGAGATGGGTTCCGCAGCACGTGAGATCACAAACCACCTCTTTATCTTTCATATCCTTCTTTTCACATAAGATTTTCTCGCATATAGTGCTGATGAAACAGGACTTTGCAAACTCGTGGATAATTTTTCCATCGTTGAGTGTTCTCGTTCTGTGTACTGACATGCAGGTGTCGAAAAAGGACCCACAATCAACGTTCGCACTGTTACGTGTACAGTTGGCCCAAGACCCCTGTGAGTAACATGTTTGGCATCTTAACGACAGGCCTGAAAACAGAAAGAAGAAAATAAAGAAATATTGATACTTAATGCTGTAGTTTACAGCTCCTCTTTGAGCACGAAACTGAAGGATTTGTGAAAATCACGAGTATCGAAAAGTGACACAACAGCAGCATTCCTATTTTAATTTTTTTTGGTACTAAAGTTGATGATATTCACATACAAAGATCAGTGTCTTTTTACCGACTGAAAATATTTGATTGTGGAAGATCGCAGGTCACGACCAATTACAGAGCGCGTAGTATTCATTTTATTGCATAACAAACAAAATGGCGCCGAGTTCATGTCGTGAGTTATGAAGAAAAAAAGCTTTGATTCATACCTAGATACGTGGCAGATAGCTGTTAACTTCTAAAGGAGTGTTTGATTTTACATATGAAGCTTCCAGCGATGTTTCCGCGATAACGTATCAATCGAGAAGATAAGAGACGGCTGTTTGTTTGACCTTTATCGGCTGTAAGTCGAAAATCTTTAAACATGTCGAAATGTTGTATATACAAGTAATTGAATTGTGTTAAACAATCGGTAAAGAATCAATAACACTGAAATTTCTGAAGACTAACAAAACGCTTGCAATGCCCTACCCCTTTAGATTGAAATTTATTTCAGTATGCTGATTTATCCCATTTTAAAGTATATATAAATCGTTGATCGGAGAAAACCGATCACTACCTGGGCGTTCGGAACATTGAGAAGTTAGTTTCACTAGTACATCAGCCCGAGAATGTCTGAAACATCGTAAAAATGCATTCATTCACACTGTTTGCTCAAACACTTAATAGGAATTTCGTAGCAATAAATCAGTGACTGTCGCCAAACGGGAGCATTACAAGGCTTGTTGCCACAGTTTCCACATTTTCCTCTTAATAATCTTTTTATCTTTTTCTGGATAACACGCGAACATGAAACTTGATTTACGTCAAAAAATAAAACTGAAACACAAAATACCAGGCAACAAGTAATTGTGAAACTGCGACAGAAGAATTAGGTACAACCTTTTTAGTCAGTAATAGACATTCAAACTCCGTTGCTAGCTGGCTATTTGAATGTGCCATCGGTGGTGCGCTCTCTATCCATTAACGTTCTATACTGTTTTGTGGGTAGTTTCGCCATATTATCTAAGAAGGGATGAAATTTTACTTTTCTATAAATCGGCATTACCTGTGCCCAGTACGTTCAGAAGCAAGAGGCCACAGATGAGAGATCCAACCATTGTTGTGAAGTCTCAAGCAAAACCGGCAAATTGACCAGGTATCTCAATGTTATGGACGTTCACAATGGTGCTAAGACTCTCGCTCAATGATATCTAACCGAGCTTAGTGCATTTATATCTCAATAATGTCACGTGGGTTTGTCGGTTAAAACAACTGGCACCGTTTGACCATCAGTTCCTGTTATGTAAGACCTCCCCTCGAAGTGAGCCAGAATAAAATGCCTTTCAAACATGATCGATGTTTTCCTTCGTGAAAAAGTACAAGACGCATCAACTCACAAATTCCTAATCATACCTCACTGACCATTCCTCTTTTCGCTCATCATGTAATCCAGTTTGTGGGTGGAAGTAATTGTCTCAAAACTTCCTCTGTAGAAGTCCCCTGACTTTCTCCTGAGGGGAAGTGTATTTCAAGTCATTTATATTTTTCGACCCTTATACACGACTTACATTAAATTAAAACACTTATTAGTGAGATTTCGAAACATTATCGACTCAATTCATTTTTTTTTCTTTAATCTCAGCTACATAATTTTACAAGAAAAACATATTTCAATTTTTATCTTTTCCTAAGGAAATACACGCCTATGAACTCTTCAGTTTGTGGCTGAAATGCGTGCATGCTGAAAGAAACTGTTATAGCAGCGCTTTAAGCGTACGAAAGAAATGATTTTCAAGGTCAACAAAAGGTAACCCAATACTTTTCGCACGAAAAACTGTACATTGTTCTCGAAAAATGAAATCCTCGGCTTTCAGCGTTATGTTGGTTTTCAAGGAAGAGTTACTCACTTGGGGAATAACTACTTGTACTGACTTGAAAATGTTTTCCAGCCATCTCTGCGCAACTCAAAGACTTCCTTTCAGTTTTACAGGATATTTAAAGATTCCTCAGCCACTAATGTATTCAGTTAACTCCCTTTTCCTTTACACGCAATTGTTTTTGATATCAAACTTTATTTTAGTACATTACACTTCAAAGGCGTGTGTTTACACTACTGGAACAAGCAAAAGCGTAGTATTGATCATTATAGGTTTTTACAGGTTTTTATTCCATGCGATTCAGTATTAGCGTGTGTGAATCTCTTTTTTTTTAACCAAATTTTTCACGAGTTCGTAGAGCCAAAACGACAGAGTTTGAAAGAGCTGGCTTAAATGTGGTTCGGGCGCCCACAAAATTGTTTTTTTTTTTCTCATCCCAGCTTTCCCAAAGTTTCTCATCATGGATCTCCATTATTCCTTCGCCACGAATTCCACCTCGATCTTTATGCAACTGCTTCCTTTCACCTCTAACTAGTTTTGAAATATGATATGATAGATGTGCACTATTTTGAATTGACCATGTTTACAATAACGCTTTGTTAAAAATTCTAACTCTCCAAAGATGATAAGAGAGGGTCCTATCATCTCTAACAACTGAGAGTAACATCAATATTTATCTTATACACATGCTGAGCAGAAGATTTGTTGAAAAAGGCACGTAAAAATAATAAATATAACGTAGCAATTTCAATTAGTTTTGAGACAAAAATCTTGCACCCCTGTTGATTTTCAATGGGGCTGCAAAGACGTAACTTTAAGTGTCAACTTCGCTAATTTTAAGAAACGGATAAAGCTACATATGTCCGTTTCCTACGTCTTATCAATTCATTTCTCTTGCTGCCGTCTTTTCTAAAGCTTAGCCTTAAGTAATTGATGTCAACGGCTGAACTCATAGGTTCGCGCTGAACATAAAGTTAACATCCCGTTTGGGTGAGGGTTCAATTAAACAGGAAGCTCCATGGATCTTTTTGTTGTGAAAAATAAGTTTCTTCTGTAAAAAGGCGAGTGTGGTGCAGAGCATCCTTAAGTTTAGTACACTTTTATTTGCTTTCTAAAAGTATTTAAAGTTGAATGGTTTCCTTTAATTTTATTATATAGGACATCTTCGTGATATCTCTTGTCTAGGAGATCATGGGCGTTTGGAATTGTTCTATATGAAATCTGTCAAGAGAACATGCATTCTGAATACTCCAAGGAGACAATAAAAGAATTTTAGGGATTCCTTAGTCTGATGTTCGAATCCTCGATATCGTTTTCGTCGATCTTCAGAGTTTTTGGCTTCGGGCTCTGAGTGGGAGGGGGGAGGGGAAAAAAGAAAGGACATGGTAAGTTTACAGGTGCGCATAATATTGAATTCACTTTTCTTAAACTTTGGATTTATACAGGCCTTTAAATATGTCAGCTGCCCAAACTGAAGTAGAGTGACTTATTTGCCAAGCACACCGCATCTGTCGGCCGAAGAGTAGAAAGATGTCAATTCTGGACTTGTGGGGTGACAAAACATGGAGATTTGGGGACAATTTTATTTGGACTGGGTCGGTAAAAACCAATAATCCAGCCTTCCTCTTGTTAGAGTTGCGATGAAGTAATTACTTTGAGGCTCCGAAGGAAGTGAACCACAAAGAAACCAATGCTACGACGTTAATCTTAGATACAGATCATAAAATAAAAAAATTTAAAAAAAAACACTTATATTTGATTTTTTTTTATCAATTTACCGTTTTTGTGTATTACATATATTTTTACTTTTAATATCTGGATTGTTTCGTCCGTTCGTCCATTTATTTATCTATATTATTTAATCGAGGCACTATGCAAATCTTTGGCTTGTTAGACTGAAACTGAAGCTATAACCTCACTTCTGATGGAATTGTTTTGCATGACAAACGAGTGCCGACAAGCGGACATTTGTCCCTCTGAAAAGCTGTCGGTAAGATGTTAACGCAACTTTTTTTTTAACAATTCAAACAAAATGTCCCATAATTACTCAGAGTGAAGTCACTGCCTGCAGTTAATTAGTGCGTTCAGCTGTAATTTCTCTAGGAAAACAATTTTATTCTAAATACTTGTTTTAATATCCAACCGCAGTAAGATGTAGCAGTTCTATTGTTAGCTCTCTTTCTTGGGTTTGGTTCCATGTGCGGTTTGGCTGAGAAATGTAAGTTGATATCTTTCAGCTTTTTACACACACGTTCGGTAGGAAATGATAGAATAATTGATCGAACCATGGCAGAAATGCAAAATTTCGTTTCTCACCCCAAAATGATATAGGAAAAGAAAAAACAGCTTACAACACGAACGCTTTCCGTGGTATTCCGCACAATGACAAATAAAAGAATTCTTAACTCAGTCCTGAAAGTAGTTCCAGAAAACATACCCCGGAAACTTTTTCCCCACTATTTCTTGGAATATTTCCTTCCTTAGGACTGAGAACCAGGTCACAGAGTGTTATTAAATTCCAACTTTTAATAATAGGGTCGACGCGCCGTGGAATTAGATACTGAGTGTTAGGTTCGCTTTCGCCTGCTGACCCTGTTTGTAGACGGGAATCGTATAAAGCTTGGTGTACGTAGACGCAAGTTACACAGATTGTAACACTTAAGACGCTCTTTCTAAATCGAAAGATGGTCGCCACAAAGGTGTGGGTGTTTATTTTTGAAGCGTTCAACTTTACCTCATTTTTACTGAGGTAACTAAGGAGATTCGACACCAAAGAATGGAAGGGAAGAACACTAGCAATATCCAAGAATTGGAGTACGATCCTCTTGGGCGAACACCATTGCAAGTTGGCATCGAAGTTACTATTGCAGTTTTAATATGTATCGCCTGCATTGTCGGCAACTCCTTAGTTGTGGTCACCATTCATAGAAATCCTCGTCTCAACTCCATCACTAACATGTTGGTTGAGAACCTTGCGTGGACAGACATCATCATGGCAACGCTGCACCTGCCATTTTGGATAGCAAGCATGCGCAGTGGTCAGTGGTTATTTGGTCACTTGGCTTGCAAGTTTGTTGGCTTTTCTGAGCTAGTCTTTGGCACAGCGTCGCTACAAACAATGGCAGGAATTGCAGTTAATCGATATTTCAGCGTCGTGAAAAGAAATTATTTTGTAAAATATTTTTCAGACCGTAAAACAACGTATGTGATTATTATTGCCACATGGGTTTTTCCCGTCCTTGTATGCAGTCCGCCTCTGTATGGCTGGGGAACTATAGAGTTTAGTGGCAAGTTCACTGATTGCACCATGGGATGGTACGTGAAGGATATCTCCTACATTACATTTTTACTAACGGTTGCAATTTTTATAACAATGAGCATCATAATCTACTGCTATTTCACCATATTCAGATTTGTAAGACAAAGCTCCCGCCAGGTTCAAACTTATAACAGGTTAAGAGATAAACTCTATCATCAGAAGGAAGCAATGACGGAAAAAGAGAAGAAGATAATCAGAGTTTTCGTGGCTGTAGTTTGTGTGTACACTTTGTGCTGGACACCAGTTTGTGTTGTCGGTTTTTGTGAAGTGTTCGGCCACGCAGCCCCCCGTTTTGTTTACATCATTGTTTATTACATGATGTTTTCAAGCAGTTTTTGTAATCCGATAATCTACGGCGCGTTCAATCCACAGTTTAGGATGGCTTTCAAACGAGTACATGCTTCCTTGCATATATCAGTGGATAAACCTTCAAGAAGGTCAAATTCAGCCCGCGGGGAGCCCAGTGGGAATGATCTGATCTGGGCGAGAGGAATAACAAATCTTGACACTGTTCTTCCCAAAATACAGCAAACCATCGAAATCGAAACCAAACTTTAAGTCGGTCTATATTCTTTTCGATTAACTCAGGTGTTTCATGAGCTGGTTGAATGAGGAAATCAAAACAAGAGAAAATTAAAGATCATAATCTCAGTCTTTTCGAAAATCACTTCTATCATCGGGAAAACCGAAATCTTCCGACATTAGGTTTCAGATAACCAACTATTTGGTTACTTATCTGGAAAATCCATCAACTATTGAAAGGGATGCTATAAAGAAAATTATCAGCAATAGGAATCATTTTCCTGACGCAAGTTCTGATAGTCACTGTCATACTGATTGAGGTTTCTATCCTTTAGAATTTGTAGAAAATAGCATGAATGAGAACTCGCCATTATCTATCGTGGAGGCACATTTAAATGATATTTCATATATATATATATATATATATATATTTATTCTAGTAAACAACTATTTTCTGAAGTGGACGTTTCTGTTGGTGGATATTTACCGAGCGATGAAGCAGTGATGTGAATATTCATCACTGACCACTGAAACTGAGGTAAATAGTTGTCTTGGTATCTATCAAAACGGTGAGAAAATATAGCACAAAAAGATGATTTTAACTAATTTATTCCTACAACGATTAAAATGTTTCCGGATGCAAATCCTGGGAGAGATGTTCGGGGGTGAATAGCAAAGGACATTCGGAGTTAAACTACTCAACCAGAGCGCGCCTTAAAGTTACTCACTGTTTTAATTTATACCAATTATTGTTAACGGTATATTTTACAGTTCTTGGTTGTTAGCTTCTCTCCATTACGTGATGGTATTGGTTTCCTTATCTTGTGAATGAAAAAGGGTTCCTTCAACAACATAGTTGCCGTGAAAACGTCTTGGATTTAAAAATAACGGGACTTTGACGAAATGAAGCAAAAGCTGCCTACTGGTAGGAAGTTTCGACGTACTCAGTTGCGCACTAGATAGAGATAACAAGTAGATTCTTTATTATTCCTATCTTTAACACCCATTTGGAGAGTCGGCAGTCATTTATTATGTAAAACAATTCCATTAGATAAGAGGTAATAGCTTCAGTTTCAATTTTAACAAACCAAATATTTGGATAGTGCCTCAACTAAATAACATTAATAAAAAAGTGAATAAACGGGCAACAAAATCTAGATATTAAAAAGGAAAAATATGCGTAATATAAAAAAAACAATAAATTGTTAAAAATATGAATTATGGGTGTTTTTCAATTTCATGTATCTAAGATTTCAATTTTATGTATCTGAGATTTATTGTATTTTAGATTAACGTCGTAGCATAAGTTTCCTTGTAATTCACTTCTTTCGGAACCTCAAAGTAATTACTTCTTTGCAACTCTAACAAAAGGAAGGCTGGTTTATCAGTTTCACCGACCCAATCCAAATAAAGTGTCCCCAAATGTCTCTGTTTTATCACCCCACAAGCCCTGTATTGATATCTTGCCCCACTTCAGTCGACAGACACAGTGTGCCTGGCGAGTAAGTCACTCTGCCATAGTTTCGCCAGTTTACAAATTTTAAGGCCTGCACAAATCGGAAATTTGGGAAAAACTATTTTCATTTCACGTGCACCTGTCAACTAAACGTGTCATTCCCACCCCGTCTCCACCCACTTAGACCCAAAGACAACAATTTGGCGGAAACGATATCGATGATCCGAGCATCCTAAAACTGTTTAATTATTTTTGGAGTAGTCTTTCTGAAAAAACAGAAACACCGACAATGTCACTGGCCTTTTATTGTTTGGAAAAAAATTAATGACGGAACGAAAAACTCTCAGAAAGAAAAAACAAACAAACAAAACACGAGACATGATATTGTTCATACACGACGTACTCAGTGAAATAATTTATTGAGCCAACGCTGCAAATGAAAATCAGCGGTTACTTCATTGCATCAGTTTTGCACATGGTGAATTTGTTGAAAATATTTTTGCTTCTTGTAAGTTTCCTTCCTCGTCAAAATGCCGATCAGTTGTAGATTTTACAAACACAAGTACCCAGAAATCGACGATGTCGTCATGGTGAACGTTCGAAGCATCGCTGAAATGGGAGCATACGTGAATTTGCTGGAATACAACAACATTGAAGGAATGATTCTTTTGAGCGAATTGTCAAGGAGGAGAATTCGTTCGATAAACAAACTGATCAGGGTTGGAAGACACGAGTGTGTGGTGGTTATTCGTGTCGACAAGGACAAAGGTTTGTTGGTCTTCTCTTTATAGTAAATTTCACAATCAGAAACAAATATTGCATTTCTTTACGTTCTTACTTGCAGTGCATGCGCATTGGGGACGTCCACCAGAAATTTATAAGCTTTACTAGATAAAGAAGACCTTATTGGCCCTGAGAATCGTAGCTATTCTACCATTTCAGAATAAACCTTATTGTTTTCGAAGTGATTATGATCATCCCAAAAATGTAGGCATTAGGAACATTAATAGGAAGTGTAAATGTTGTCATGGTTTCTGGTGCATGCGCATCGACGTAAAATCCATCAGTTATTAACCTTAAAATAACTCTTCTTTTTCACTATTCTCTCAATAAAACTATTATTATTTTTGTTTGACTATTTGATATACTTTTTTAGCATCATGAAGCAAATGAAATGGAGTAAATCTGTGTGAACATAAGATATAAATACTTTTGTTTCCTCTCTACATAACACAACTGTTAATAATGACAATAGAAGTCAATTACAGACCAGTTGTTTCCCACAGACATTCAAATTTCATAGAAAGCAGAAATACAATATTTTATAGTCTGACTTTTTAACTGATGTCCAATAATTTGACAGGATATATTGACTTGTCCAAGAGAAGAGTCTCACCAGAAGAAATCAAGAAATGTGAGGAAAAGTTCACCAAAGCTAAAGCAGTAAGTCTCATCAATAGTAATTTGAACCCTTTAACTCTCAGAAGTGATTAACATGTAACTTCTCCCTATAATATCCATACATTATTAAGCAAACAGGTGATGAGAATACTCAAACTTATCAGGTAGAAGTTATCTTGATTTTACACCAAATTCTTGAAACTTATTTAGAAGGAAATATGTAGCAGTTAGAGGAGAGAATTTGCAATGAGATCTGGGAGTTAAAGATTCATCTTCATCTTTCATCTCCTCCCTTCGTACTTTATACAATTCTATGATCCTTCCATATTTGTATTATTGCAATTTAGCTTGGGCTGGTACCTATAAGTCAAACCTTCAAAGAATTGTAACCTTACAGAAACGTGCGTTAAGAATAGTAAGCAATTCTACATACATTGCCCATACTGGCCCTATTTTAAAGGAACTTAAACTCTTAAAATTTCATGATATCCATTTGTTTCAATTAGGTACTTTTATGTTTTCATTCAAGAACTCTACACTCCCTTCCAAATTCAATAACTTTTTTTTACTGAATAGTCAAATCCACAATTATAATACTAGGAATGCTCAGTCCTTCCGTTTGCCACTGTGCAGAACAAACATCAGGAAGTTTTCAATTTACTTTCAAGGTCCAAACTTTTATAATTCGTTAAATTCTGACATAACTAGTTCTCCCTCCTCCGCTTCTTTTAAAAGAAAGCTTAAGGAATTTCTTCTCTCTAAGTATTAGCTTCTGTAAGGCAGTAATTCTTAACTAACTTAGTTAATATGTGTGTGCGTGTGTGTGTGTGTGTACGTGTGCGCGGTCAAAGTTAATTACCATAAGTCCATATTGTAATTCTAATATAAGATTAGCTATTTTAAGTGAGAAAGCCTGACTTGTTATAAGCCTCGTGGTTTCTTTCAGGTTTTCTCGCCATTTATTTTCTGTCATCAATTTTCTTCATTTTTTTTTTTCCATGTGTAAATGTCGTATATGGCAAATAAATATTGTATATTGTATTGTATCTCTTGAGTTGATTTTATTGAGTAATACTGGATAACTGCCATTGTAAAACATTAATCTGTTTTTAGAGTTTATTATTTCAGTCTTAACCCCATTTTTTCATCTGTTCATTTTGTTGCTTTAGGTGTACAGTATTCTGAGGCACTGTGCAGAGATCTTAGGATATGAGACAGATCGTGAGTTAGAGGAGCTGTATGAGAAGACAGCTTGGTATTTTGATGAGAAGTACAAATCACCAGGGAGTTCATTTGAAGTGTTCAAACTAGCTGTTGGGTGAGAATATTTTAAACACAAATTGGTAGCTGCCAAGTGGCATAGATGGTACATTCACTAAGGATGTACTACAAATATTAAGAATAAAAGCTATAGGTATGCAGAACACAAAAGACTACAGTACCTAATCAACAATGGTTTCTGCAACACCAATAGTTTGCAATTTTTGTTTTCGAGGAGTGCTGTATTCAGAACCTTTAACCCTGATCTCCTTTTCTAAAAAACAATAAATGTGTCTGGTTTTCCTATCAATTAGGGAAGCAAGAAAGGATTTTTTACAAATATAACTTGTATCTAGCTCTAAGATGAGGGACAAATAAAATAAAACTTCAGAGAACTTTTTGCTGGCAGTTATATTGCTTATGCTACCTGGCTTTACCAAGAGTACATCATGATGAATTGACCCAGGCTGGAACCTGGGTCCTTCTATAAGATTAATAAGGTTATAACATGCCTATGTACTTCTGCCCTAAGACTAAATTATTTTTAATTCATTTTAGGGACCCAAAATTACTAGATGAGTTGGATCTTGATGAAAAGACCAAATCTACCTTACTGTCTAACATAACACGAAGGCTTACTCCCCAAGCTGTCAAGATCCGTGCTGATATTGAAGTGTCATGTTATGCCTATGATGGCATTGATGCTGTGAAGAACTCCTTGTTAGAAGGACTGAAGTGTACGTCAGAAGATGTTCCTATCAAGGTTGGTGCACATTAGTAGGAGAGTGGTAGATGTTGTCAGGGGCATAGCCAGGATCTTTCAAAGGGAAGTCACACTTTGTCAAACAGAGGGTACTCACTAGATTGTCATGTTGACTTCCATGCCATGTTTTACTTAAAAATAATTTTAAAGAAAAGCTCACAAAGTGGGGGTCACAGGCACCCCTGAACCCCCCTGCCAGCTTCACCCTTGGTGGTTCTTTATGGTTAGCACCCTAAACTCGTGAGTGAGGGAATTTGGTTTCATAAACTGAGATTATGATATAAATTGGCCATTGTTAAGAGTTTCTAAAGCTGACTTTCCAGGCACTAGTCCCTTGTCAGAGCAAATGACTAAGGGTCAATGCTTGAAATGCAATACTGCTCATGGTTGCAGTACCATAGTTTCTTTAGCGACTTACCCCCTTTATTCTCTTGACAAAGGAAGATGTTCAGGGCCCAGTTGTTTGAAGGTGGATTAACGCTAACCCACGGTTAAATTTTAAACTAGGTTTCTATTTTTCTCTGTTTAAAAGCCAGGGTAGGAGAGGGTTGTGGTTGCATGTACCCTTAATGGACCAGTATCCTATTCAAGGATAGTGGTTGTACTTCTAGCACTTTGATACAGAAACTAAGATAAGCTTTGGCAGCAAGAGCCGACAGGCTGATGTTTCAAAGGAACACTTAAGTAAAAGTTTTGTCAGATGTCTGGAGATTTTCAGTCTGATTAGTTAAGGAATTGTCTAAGGAAAAGTTTGGTTTTGTGTGTGTAATAAGCTCCCTCACTTACTTTTGAGGGAGTTTCCTTCTTTGCTATTCTTTCTTTTGATTGAGACTGAATACAGAAGCCCAGACTTTGCATATGACTGATGGGATGGTTTGCTGTAATTTGTAAATAACTGAACTAAATCTGGCTAATGTAATGTTTGGCATCAGTGAGGTTACCTGAAAATTATTCAAAATACAAATACTCTTAACATTTAAGCAGAATAATACAGCATAATCACTTGAAGTCGTCCTCTATCTTTTTAGATAAATTTGATAGCAGCACCTCTTTATGTGATTACAACAACAACCTTGGATCGTGACGAGGGACTCCAAGCTTTAACAAATGCTGTGGATGCCATAAGAACTACGATCAAAAAATATGGAGGAGATTTTAATGAAAAAGCTGCTGTAAGTTGAAACTTCTTTGTTCTTGAATATGAAATACCACATGCACCTTTGCCACTTAAAAATGAAAGGAAAGGTAGATATTTTACATTTGGGAGTTTGGGGATGTCACAATCTGTCTGGCATCTTACAAGGAAGTAAGAAGCGTCAGACTGGGTTAGGATAATCAGTTGCTTATCAGTTTTACCTTTTGTGTGACAATGATAAAACTAAGGTTACCCTTAGCCAGGGGTTACAAAAACTTTTTCCATAAGCAGCTACTGATGGTGTAATAGGCTTCTGTACCTTAACTTAAGAGTGATGAGCAATTAATTTCTCCTTGCAAAATCACCTCTGAATCATACATTAAGGTCAGAGAATAGAGGAAATGATCACAAACCTAAAAGCTCTTGATTGTAAAGTCTCCTTGTTAGCACCTTAGGAAATGTATGGAGAACAGTATGGAGAATATGCATACTGATGTTAGTGTGTTAAGCATTAAGGTGAAACCCAAACATGAAAGCCTGCTTGCAGCATAAACAGCCTGTGGTGAGAGGTCCTAGAGGTGACAATAGACAGCTGGTAACTGGCTTTTATTGAAATACCTGCCTAGGCTATGCCCTGGAAGAAGTCACAAGCACTCCTACTTTTGAAGGAAATAAATCAGAATCTTATATCTTTATTTTTCAATATATTTGCAGCCAAAGGTTGTCACAGAGAGTGACGAGGCTGAGCTTGCCAAGCAAATGGAAAGATTAGAAAGAGAAAATGCTGAAGTAGATGGTGATGATGACAATCCTGATGAGGAAGAGATATCAGAAGAGATCCATTAATTATCAAATTTCTCTAAATTCTGTGCCAAGCTTTATTCTTTGAGTTTGTCATTTCCTCAGTGTTTCATTTGTGAAAGAAAACTGACAAAGTTGCAGATGATAAAACAGCTGGATTCTTTTTGATTTAGTATAGATAAGTCCTCATCTTGAATATAAGGTGGGTGTGGTCTTGACTTTGACTCCAGAGAGGCTTGGTTAAGGAGAATTTGCAATGTAGTCAGTCATGGATGACTTCACATGATAACTGCTTTATTTGCAGATCTTTTTTAGCCTAATCTCATCAACAGTACTTTCTGTCAGTCCATCAGGGCCTGCTTGTGCATGGCCTTTAAAATATTAGTAAATTCCATCTTATGTAAAGAATGAAACATATAAAGTGAAATAAACAGAGAGTTCTGACAAACTGACAATTCGCCATGCAAACAAGTAATGGATGTGGATCAAAATGCTCAGAGTTCCTCATATGAGAAGAAAGTAACATTTTTCATGGAACTATAGTAGAGAAACCCAATATTCCTTATCTACCCTGGTCTTGTGCAAAACCTTTTGATGGTAAGTTTTCTGCAGTTGTATTTCCCTAACCCAAGTTAGAAAAGGTTTGAGGTAGCCAGTGGTTTCCTTGTGTAAAGCATCAAGAAATATTGTAATGACTGTTTACCATCACAATGAAGCAGGCGCGTATTAATCAGGTATGAAACAATCTGTAACCAATTATAGTCTGTGAATATCTCTTGCAAACTGAGTTTCTACATATGTTGTTTATGATTGCATGACAGTTGCAAGGCAGCGGATCACCAACAAGGTTCCTAGAGCGTATTTGGTGCCTTAAGTGGTGCCTTTTAACTGCCTTCTATGCAATAACCATGGTTCACAGGCTTACTTTACTTTCGGTTTGGGTGACCTGTGAGAAGGTATGCGTGACAATTCACTAGAGTCCATGCCTCCCATCTCTCTCGACCACTTCCGCTTAGGAACGCAACTTTAAACGGAATGCAGTGGGATCTTAAGATTTGTCGCGATTGAACTGTTTCTTTAATAGGCGAGGATCTCCAAATAGGTACGATATACCTACTCCTTTTTTGTAAAACACTGTCGGCGGAATAATGGGGAGCCTTCGCCCAAATCGCTCTTGCATTCTTGCACTTTCAGCATAATTGACAAATGCTTTAGGTTCTAGAAATCCTAACCTGATGGCATTTGTTATTCGTGTTTGTGTAACGCTAAGTATGTTTACATTCGATTGAAAAGCTTCAAAATTCTCCCGTGCATTTGAAAATTCACTTGACATGATCTCCGACAAGTGCAGTGCATACTGTGCCCAAAGTGTTTGATTGGAAAGATAACATCTATCCTAAATGCCCCGAATTCCTGATTCCTGGGGTGATTAATTCGATGCATTTGTATCATAGGTGTGAAATCTCCGAGGCTATCAATTTGGTTCTTGCAGTTAGCAAACGATAATCCTTAGTCACTATCACCTTCTCAAAGCATTTCCGCCGCTGCAAACTGTTAAAGTACAGTTTTATTTGTGAGTACTGTAGAAGAGAAGGTCTGTTCGGCAACGAGCAGACATGTCTATATAAACACTGCTGCAAAGTACCAGTCAAAATCCTAGTAGAGTCACTGAAAGGGGGAGGAGACCGGGTAGGTTCCTGGGGTAACAAAGGGAGGGCCAATGGGAAATCGAAACAGCATGCAGGCAGTGGTGAAATTTCGCTTATATCATCACTGTATGAACTGTCAAAATTGATCAAACGTGATCAACACAGGTTGCAGAGTGGTGCTGGTAATGACAAATTTAGTGGTCTCAGTAACCCTGGTTAGGTTAGGAAGTGAGGTCCTATGTAGTGTAAAACATTGTGATTCAAACTTTTCATGGAGTCTGCACATGCTCCTAATTTGTTTACAAAATATTCATTCTGTAAGCAGCCCATCTCCGACCAATCCAAATACTTTGATCAACTTATCAACAAATGATTGTTGTATGGAAATCTAAACTGCAGCTTTCATTGGATGTTTTCCTTGATAGTAAGATGAGGAATCAAAAGTCCTGTAGGAGAATTGCTATCAGTTCATGGGTGAATTCGGAGGATGGAGAAGTGTGACATGACACCTCCCTCCCTCAGTGTTTTTCTAGTAGTTTACTTTTTCTGACATTGGATCCTAAGAGTTGATACCAGGGAGTTTAAGATCTCAAGACATCAATGCTTGGGAAAATGTCACCTAAAAAAGAAATAACCATTTGTCCTAATAATTTCATTGGTGGGTCAAGGTATTTACAGTTTCTGATGGTGCAAGATCTCTCCCCTAACAAAACATGTGATTGCAGCATTGAGTTCCAAGTAAAAATGTGGCTTAATGGCAATTAAGGTTTCTGTTCAAAGAATACATAAAAATTGTGATTTCATATTGTTATTCTGCATAGGATGGTTAAAAAGTGTCTTCTGCAGAGCTGTTTCTCTGCTCATCAAATCTTTTGTCTCGCTGCCATTAAGTTGCCTTTGCTGTCATTTTTTTTTTTAAGTCCCTATGATTCTGTGATTTTGTTGTGGTGAGGTTTTGATCTCACCACATTCACTTTTCCTTTTGCTAGTTAAATGAGTGAAACATTTTATATATTGATGCTACATAGAAAATCTTTGTCCAATCTGTAATGGTTCAGATTTCAATTTCTTTGCAGAGAATATGGCAGAGGCTGATACACCCAGTGACATAATTGTTGTTCTTGGCTGCAGGACCAGTGAAGATGGTACCCCTTCAGAGATGTTAAAGTCTAGAGTGCATCGAGCAGCTGAGCTGTACACTTCATTACAACAAAAAAATATTGACTGTCGAGTCGTTGTTACAGGTTATTGTGCACAAGATCAGGTATTCCCTGCTCTGCCTCATCTGGGAAACAAAAATAATTTTATTCCCTGGCTCAGAATGGTACATACATGACTGCATGACACACACCTTTTCCTCTTAAATTGGTCAGTCTTTAATACTTCTGCTTGGAGCAAGTGTTTATGAATATGAGCTGATATTCAAAAGCCCATCTTAAAGTCACCTGTGGTTTCTACCTGGGCGAGATAGTATGCATTGAGAACCTGGATGAGAATTGGGTGCTATGCTTTTCAAAGTGCTCACCCTTTATTAATTGATTTCCCCTAGTTTTCCCATTGCAGACCAGACCACAGTCTAAAGAAGAAACAGCAACAAACATAACCAATTCCACAGGCCAATTAAAGAGTGTGGAACACCCCACCTGAATTCAGGCTCAAATAATAAGAATCAATATCCAGTTAAGACAAAAAGAAAAAGTATTCCCTCACTCCCAGATGTAAAATGGCTTTCTTTTGTTTCCTTTTAAATAAGGAGTTAATTTCAACAGGTTGTGACAGAAGCAAGTGCCATAGAAAAATATGCGGTAGAAAACAATCTTATTGATCCAAAACATATAATCAAGGAGGAACAAGCAAGCAGCACAGCAGAAAATTCCTATTACAGTCGCATTATTATAGATCAGTTTGGTGCCAGTAATGTCCATGTTGTCACAACACAGTTGCACATGGAAAGAGCAAAGAAATTTTTTGAAAGGGTATGTTCTTGTAACTTTGTTCACAAATGTGACTCTGCTTTAACAGACTTCCTGGATGGTAGGCATTATGGGAAGGCAGCTATGTACTCTCAAATATAGGCTCCTGAGGAGAAGTTTGACCAAATATACAGCTTACTCCTGTTGTTCAGAATTAGAAGATTTACCTTTAATAAGAAGCCGACTGTAAATCTGGTCACCAACAGTAACTATTAGCCAACAAATGCTCTTGGAGGTCAAAAGATCTGCTGACATGACCTTCCACAGGGTGTCAACAAATACATCAGATGTAACTTTTAAGAGTTCCTTTAAGTCTCCTCACTATACAATATATTGTGTTTTTTTTGTCTTTTCAGCTCTACTCACCAGAAGTTTACAACATAAATTACTATGAGTGCACACATGAGATGAATGATGAAGAGAAGAAACATGTGGAAGACAGAGAAGAAAGTTTATTTCCCTTAATAGATGAGCACATCAAAATAATAATGCCCAAACTTACACTGCCTGATGGAAAAATGATAGAAATTCTTCATTCATCATTGGTTCCAACAGATGTGTTCAATCATGGTTTTACAACAAGATATGGTGGTGTCTCAACCTACAACACATTATCCTCTCTCAACTTGATGTACAGTGATAAAAGAAGAGATCCAGACATCAACGTCCAGGAAAATCGTCGTAGACTAGCCTTGACTGCAAGATTTAACCCTGAGAAATTTCGTGTGGCTAAATGTGTTCATGGGGCTGATGTGTGGGTGATTGGAGATCCACAACCAGACAGCTATGATGCCTTAGTAACTGATAACAGGCAGTTCACATTGGCTGCTCCAGGTGCTGACTGTCCTGTGGTGCTGTTTAGTGATCCAGTGAAAAAGGTAAACATCCCAGGCACCTGCTAAAACTACTGTCAATCCATCAGCCCTGGAAGGGATTAACTTGTAACCTTCTCCTCACATTATTTAAAAGATATACCAGGAAAGAAATGAAGAGAATACTTATCAACTACAGAGTTTGACATTTGAAACCCTTAAAACCCAATGGGTGATCAGCATCTAATTTCTCATAACAGTAATTTGCTGAATCATTCATTAAAATCATGAGAATAAAAGAAAGGATCACCAAGCTAAGAGGCTTGGATTGTTAAACAAATTCTCTTTGGCAGTACTAAGGAAATGTATAGAGAAGTGTATTGAGAATTTGGAGACTAATGTTAGGGTATAAAAGGTTAACATTCTTGAAAGTATATTCAGGACTAATTATCTTTTAACTAAGTACCTTTTTATTTTTGTGGAATTTATAGTTGGTGTTTCTTCAATTATGGTTGTTCTCAGGTTTGTGGTGCTGCTCACTCTGGGTGGCGTGGAACATTAGCCATGATTGGTGCTGCTGTTGTTGATGTAATGTTGACAAGGTTTGAATGTAAAGTAAAAAATATTCAAGTTGCTATTGGACCCTCAATTGGCCCTTGCTGCTTCGAAGTTGGGGAGGAAGAGGCTGAAAAATTTGCTGAGGCATTCAATGATAGTGTTGTGGTGCGAAAGGATGGTTCACCACGCCCATTTATTGATCTTCGCCTTTCCATTAGAATGCAACTTGAGAAAAAAGGAGTGCTTCCAAAGAACATTGATGATAATACAAGGTAATTGGAAGAAAGGAATAATCAATTATTCAAATTCTATTTTCATTTCATGGTTTGTTTTAGAAATTTATGCAACAGCTTCACAAGCATTATTGATCCTCAGTGGGTAACATTTGAAGATCAGATTTTGCCACTCGGATAGGGATTCAGATAACTTCAATTTACAGAGGTCATTCCAAATGCTTTTGCTTTTCTCAGGGGAGGAAATTCGATATCAAGACATTAACCCTTTAACAAATACAGTGACCAGCTTCTAACTTTTCCTTTCAGTATCACCACTAAATCAAATATCAAAGTCATAATAGCAGAGCTCGCAGAGTGTAGCCCCATAATTATACGAAATAGTAGTAACCCATCAAGCTGAAAAAATTTGGTTGTACGACCGTACGACCATACAAGATGCCACTTATAACATGTGTGGTCAACTGTACCGCGAGCACGTCAACGCCACGGCTTTGTCCAGTAGTCCAGTGGTCAGTGCACTGGGCTCCAAGTCGGACAACCCGGGTTCTATTCCTGGCCAGGGCAAGGCCTTGAGATGTGCAGGAAAAAAAAAAATGCGAGCTCCACTTTTAGGCTTGGCTAATTCTATATATTGGTCAAATATGATAGCCAACTAAAGCTCTTTGATTGTTATACAAATTCTCCTTGTCAGTACTATGGAAATTTACAGAGAACAGTATGGGGAATATGGACTAATGTTAGGGTGTAAAGAGTTAAAAGAGAAGGCTTGGATTTAGAGCTTGTTTCACAATCTGCACAATGAGTGATTTGGAAGTACTGTTGTCTAAAAAGTACCAAAGAACATGCATTAAGGCTCTTTTTTTTAATGTAATCACATTATGAAGTACTGTATTCTCTCTGAAGAGGGCGTAAAATAACCACAGGCCACCCACTCCAAAACCTCACCAATCATCCTTACTGTATTCTCTCAGAAGAGGGTGCAAAATATCCACAGGCCACCCACTCTCAACCCCTATGACAATTCAACAATAATGCATTCCTTATCTTCTACTGAAAGGAACTTTGTGGAAATTCCCCGAAAAAACAATGCAGTATTGGTTTCCAACTTTTTAATGTTACTGTAGTGTGGGATGGATCAGGTTTGCAGGTAGAATTTTCAATTAAAAGGAGTGCTACAGCAGTGTCTTACAAGAAAAGGCATGCCAGTTTGTTTAATCATTACAAGGTATCACTTTGTGTTAAAAAGTATAAGGGGGCAGCCCAGAATACCCTGCAACTACACCATTGTCTTTGGTAGCACTGGGAATTGACTAGAAGTAGAGAGGAACATGCTTTTTTTTCCTTTTACAGAGCAACTGATGATGCCTCAAAATCTCAGCACCCAACTCAATGTACACGTTGTGACCCCCAGCAAAGATTCTTCTCATTCCGACGAGATGGTAGCCAGTATGGAACACAAGTTGCTTTTATCAGCCTCAGAGAATCAGATGATTCTGCCTGTAACATTTTATAATTTACTTGATCAATTAATGAACTGGGTGGGAATTTTTGCCACATTAAAACTATTGTAAAAATTGGATAGTGCATATGAGAGGTCAAATATAAGGAAAAAAAGGAAAGCATGAATTCTTTTTTTTTAATTAGTATGTGCATTTAATAAATTGTAGTTAAGTCATATTCTGCTGTCAGAATACAGCCAACTCATGAATGAAAGCTCCCAAGGAGTCTTGGACAATTAACCCCCTAATTCACAACCCTAAATATATCATTAAGACAAAGGGGGTATTTACCTCTTCACGATACTCTACTCTGCTTTACCTTATGTAATTTTTTTTTCCTTTCATTCTAAAACTGGTTTGTACATTTAATAGCCCTAAAATCACTCAATTAAGTCTCTGACTCTTACATAATGTGTTCCAGCCATAATTAAATTATGTGCTTGGCTCTTGGCACATTCTTTCATCAGAAAGAATCATAGAAAAAGCAAACACTGCATTGCTACACCTATAATTAAGTAACTGTATTCCATATTCATCTCGCATATAAAGCCAGTGTGTGAGTTGTTGGCTGTAAAATCACTCACTTCTGTTTATCACCTCTTTGTAATGTATCCCAGCTAAATCACAAGCATATTCCAGGCTGCCTAGTACACTTTTATACTGGAGTTTGGCTATATAGTAATTGAAATTTTAAGAATGCTTCACTGGAAAGAGTAAATGAAAGGAAGTAATTAAATTTTTTATAATCAATTTAGAAGCAAATTCTTTACAGGTGTATTGTTGGAGTATGTTATTTTTATGGAATGCAGATTGCTTAATTTTCTGCACTAATTTTTGTTTCCTACAACTATTTTTAATAAAGCATAATTTAAGGGCAGAGTACTTCAATAAAGTCATTGTAGTTTGGAAAGTGGGGTCTCTGAGTATCTGAAGATGCTGAATTAAATGCATGAAATCAATTATGAAGCAAAATTACTTGTACATTGCTAATGTCGTGGAAGTTATTGATATCAAGGCCACAATTCCACGTTTTCAGTGCCATGATTTTAGATATTCATCAGCTGAGAGGTGTTCTATTTGCCTCTAACTCTTCACCCTTAGGATTGAACATCACATAACTGGATCAATATCAGTGTCTGGGAAACTGCCCACCTACCCCTCCCCTAACCCAACATTAACCCTAACTTATCAGTAGACTGTAGTTGCATTAGGGGAGGGGTAGGTGGGCAGTTGCCCAGATACTGATCCACATAACTTCTCCTTGCAATATCAAACCTGTGTAACACATTCACCCTTTGCATCCTAACATCTCCATACTCTCTCTGTACATTTCTTAAGGTTCTGAAAAGGAGAATTTGCTTCACAATCAAGAGCTTCTTTAGTTGTTGATCATTTCCCTTATTCTCATGACCTTAATGTTTTATTCAGGGGTGATCTTGAGAGGAGAAATTAGTTGTCAGTCACTCTTAAGGGATAAAGGGTTTAGGTCATAAGAAGAAAGGAAATGATCACCAGCTTAAGTAGCTCTCGTTTGTTAAACAAATTCTCCTTGTCAGCACCTGAGGAAATGTATGAAAACAGTATGGAGAATATGCATACTGATGTGAGGGTGTAAAGGGGTAAATGTGGCCTCTGCTATTGAATACCACACAAAATGGCCGGATGGTATGGTGTTGTGGACATAAACAGTCCACAACATAGGCTTCTTTGCTCAGATACATTCTTGGCAGTGTTTTATGAGTATCTCTACAGCCTGATAAAAGTTTGTTGTTTAAACTGTGCACTGATAATGTTTTAATAGAATCTATAGTTTGAAACTTATGGGGAAAGGGAACTCGACACTAATTATAACAGGGTTTGAAAAGTTTGATTCAGAATTATATTGTTTAACCCTCAAGAGCTCATTAGTAATTCTCCTTACTGTCTGCCATATAGTTCTTGTGATGTTAGTTTGGAGAATTTAATGTTGGATCAAGGAGAAATTCTGTCTTGGTCACTCTAGGAAGTTAAAGGGTTGAGTGAAATGTGATGTTTATGTAAACAAGGAATAAAGGAAATGAGATTAATCCTGTAATCAGAATTTAAAACAAGAGTAAACATTTATTCTAAATACCTCTTCAATTATCAATGATATATTTTCTGGATCAAACTGGTGCAATCAAACTAGAGCACTTTTCTCAATCATTATATCTAAATATGTTAAAAATATAATACTACCTCAATACTCTCAATCTTATAGGCATTCCAACAATAACAACCAAACATCTGGTTTTGTGAAACTAAATGATCATGGTAATCATGGCAACTACAACTGTGTAGTTTTGAAGTTCCTTAAACAAACAAATCACTCTTAGCCAATAATGCCAAGAAAGTGTGTTTTTTTTTTCTTTTTTTTGAAACTTAGATCTTGTAAAAGGGAAACTCTGTTAGGGGGAGAATACAATGTGTGTACATCATGCTTTCCCATAAAACAAAATGGAAGCATATGAGCCCAAACAAATAGATACTTGCTGTTAATTTCATCACTTGAAAGTCATTTACTCTGAAATGGTAGAAAACACCACTGCATTTATCCCAAGAAAGGCATTAGCAAATACATGCTATTAACCCTTTAACTCCCATGAATGACCAAGACAGAATTTCTCCTTACAATATCAATACAATATCAACCAGATAAGTAATGAGAATAAAGAAAAATATCAATTTGGGGATTAGTTGATCCAATACTAAATTCTCTGAATAATATAAGAATTATATGGTTGACAGTAAGGAGAATTACAAATTTGATCTGGGAGTTGAAGGGTTAAAAAAGATTCCATTTTAAATAATACCTAAAAGAAGGAATCAACAAACTCTTACCCAGACTTTAACTCAAGACAACATCTCCAATTCAAGGAAATTTATCAATGGTTTACTGTGTAATCTGAATCTTTGTTAACCCATTAACTCCTAAGATCTCATTTCTAATTCTTCTTACTGTCTGCCAAATGATTCCTATCATGTTAGTTTGGAAAATTTGGTATCAGATCAATAAGTAATCCCATAATTGATATTTTTCTTTATTCTCATCACTTGTTTGTATGATATTGTATAGATAAAGTAAGGAGAAATTCTGTCTTGATCACTAATGGGAGTCAAAGGGTTAATCTTTCAAGACATGATCTATTACATTTAAAATGAAGATCTCTGAAGAAAAAAATATATTCTATCACATGACCAGAGGCATAGAGATCCCATGAGATAGCACAGCGCATTATCCTCTATAAATAATACTCCCTAGTGTAAGCAAGAACTTAGTCCTTTAAAATATCTCTTTGTCTGAATCTCCTAATGTGAAAGGTTGATGGACATCAGAACAAAATAATATTGTCTTAATGATTACCTGTTATCAAAACAGTGTCGTTAGAGCATGAAAATTGCAAAGGAAGCAGATATGAATGATTCCTTTAACCCTTTAGAAAAGAGTTCAATATTCTCAAAACAGTGCCCAATAATACCACTGATTGATTGCAACCATGCAGGAAAAAAGTGTTTTGCCTGTTAGTTGTCCTAAAAAAGATTTTAAACATGAACAATTTTACAAACTATTTGAAAAATTGTCATCTTGAGGACACACATAAATGCCAATAAGATGTAAATCACAATTACTGATATTTAGAGATCTGAAAACATCAGCAACAAATTATCACTGAAAAAAAATTCCAAATATTATATGTAATATCATTTTCTTGTATATCAAAAAAGCAACTAAACTTAAGCTTAACTAACTATGATAAATAACTTTCCATTCATCAGTTATGCTGTCTCCTGCTTCATTTTCTTCATGGGCTTATGCTAACCTGTCATCTTAACTCCCATGAGTGTCAGTTTCCTGATCAGTTTCCTATCAAGCAGACAAGCATTGAGAACAAAGAAAAATGTCAATCAGGGGACTATTAGTTGATCCAATACCAAATTCTCCCAACTAACATCATGAAATTTGTACAGCAGACAGGAAGGAGAATTACTAATGAGATCTGGGAGTTTAAGGGTTGGGTGTTTGCATACCCTCTCATTCTAATTAGGGAAAGTGGTGAGTGGACTGGCCTTCCACAGACATGGCTCAAGTTTAATTTCCAAACCAGGCCTAACACTGGAGTTGCATTTGTTCCTGTTCTAGTCCTTACATGAGGGTTTTTCTCAAGGCTTTCCTTCCCTTATCCATCAAAACCGACACTCAGAATCTTATTTGGAGGAGGAACCATTTTATGGGTGTACCATAATTGAAAGGCTCAGAGCAAGAACGACCCCTTGATTTTCCTTGCCTGAGCTTTTGTAGAAAGACCCTTTCCCTTTTCTGTTTTATTGACTTTCAGTTGAGGCTGTTCAGATACTAAGTGTGATATTGTGTTGCAGCTGGCAATTATTGTTTACATGAAAAGTTGCCCCATCAAGTAAAGACAATTTACACAACAATGCAACAGGCTTGTAAGGTTCATATAGTTTTGGTGATACTGAATACTCATTCCTTTACCTAAAAAAACTCTGAACTTCACCATGGAATTATTGTATACATTTTTTTTAACTGTGGAACAACTCTCAAAAAGTTTTATTATGTGGACAGTTTATCTACCAGTGTACATGATTGTAACTTCTTGCAGTTATCATTATTCAACAAATTACCAGTAGCTGGGTTTATCTTGGCAAAACTGCTCCATATGAGCATAAACTCAGTAATCGATTCAGAGACCACTACTAACCACTCATGCATGTCAGGGCCAACAACTTCACTTACCAAAACACGCATGTTAGTGTCATCAAGGTCCCTTCCATCTGGACTTTCTCCTTCAAGCTCTTTATCCAACTTATCCAATGCCTCATCAGACAACATATTTTCTTCTGCATCATCACAGCATGATGTATCAGAGCTTGCAATGTCATCTGGTTGTTCTTCTGCTTCTTCTGTTAGGTTTTAAATCATGTTTAACAAAATGTTCTGTTAGCTTAAGTAAGCAAAAGGTAATTTCTTTGTAGAATGGTGTGTTTTTTGTTGCAAAACCAAGACTAAAGAAATCACAACTGCCATTTTGAGAAAAGGACAACATCCCAAGGAGTCAATGAGTAGTAAAAATAAAAACAAATAAACAAACCCTTCATGGTTTAATAAGCCACCATATTAAGAAATTATTAAGCCTTACTTTCAATTTTCCAGTCTTTCTTTATTTCCTCGTGTTCCTCTTTTGTTTCATTTAAAGATTTACATACATCAGTCACCAATTCCTCTAAAAACATTTTAGCAGACTCATCAACAACAATTGTTTGTTCAGAAATCTTGGGTTTGGATTCTTTTAACTGCAAAAAAAATACATTGAAGCACACTGTAAATATGTTACACACATAGAGCTTGTAAACTGAATGTATCAAGAGGATACAATGGTACACATCATTTTACATTAGTTCTAGAAGAGAAATGGTTAAACAACTGCAGTGAAATCACTTGCCTTGCTTCACAGTACATTGCATGAAGGAGTGAATTTCAATTGTAGCCTGCATAGCTGGCAGTTTGGCATGCCTTAAAGTATGGTGTGGTGAAGCCATAAGAGGCTTAAATGGAAGAAATTAATATATCCAAACTCCAAGCCTTGCATGTCGTTTTAGAAGCTTCGCCACTTTGATTTTAATGAGGCATCCAAAGACCTGTTAGCTATGCAAGCTAAAACATATTTTGCATTTTATTGTATGACAATGACTTCTCATCTTATTTTTGAAATAAATCCAAACCTTCAGAGTTCCCTCAGCAAAATTATATAAATGCACTGTTTGTTGGGGGAAATCACCCTCTTGGACTAGCAGAACAAACCATGTCTTTGCCTTTTAATCCATTTACTGGGAAATCTATCCAAAAGGCATTAGTTCATTTGCTCAACCAAGTTTTCCAGGTTGTGCCTGAATACAGAAATATAAAGGACATTAAATGGCCGTGCAGAGATGTAACATTTCTCAAGTGTGAAACAAGTGAAATGTTTTTCAAAACAGGAAGAGGAATTTTGTATCTCCAAGTGGCCATGTAATATCCTATTTATTATATAAACACCGATGAAATACTAAATCAAAGGTGCTGCATAAAAAGGTGCAATCTTTTAAATGTAACCATAGCAACAGTGATCTTTTATGGGTAAAGATAACATGTCATCTTCACCTGTGAAGATATCATGTTTTGGCATCACTTGGTATTTCATTGGTGTTTATACAATACAGTGTGATATGGAGTTTGTCTTTGCTTGTTTCTACGCATGTTGACTTGAGTTTATAAAGTAAGTTTACCTTTTTATTTTTTTGGTGATCCAGATCTGGATTACTAATCCAAGACCAACCACATGATCAAGGGGATCTAAGATACTTATGAATGCATGCACCAATAGTCCTCATCATGCTTTTTTAATGAACCTTATCTACGTTGTCAAGGATCACTGATCTTGATCCAGATCATGCCTACAGAGCCACCTAAAGTAGTACCACTCAAGTATTGACCATGGAAATGAGAGTATGGGTTAGAGTAGTCTAAAGAGCACATTTTAAGGATTGATTTTCTCAAAACAAAGCAGATATTGTGGTCCATCACATTGCCTGGGTATAATCACAAAGATCCCACATAAACTGCAAAATAATTTGTGTGGGTTCCCTGTGGGTATTGCCAGGGAAAGTGGTATCAGGAGTCAAGAGGCTAATTTAATCACTTTCCTTGCATGCATTGCTTCACTCCACAAGACTCAAATACATAGACAAAAATTAATCTGACACATGCAATCATTAAAAAGTCAATAGCAATCAGTACAAAATCAACTAAGAATTAAAAGCACTTACACTTTATTATGAAAGATTCACTCATTTACAAAACACACAAATAACTAAAAGTGAAATTAGGTTTGCCACTAACTACTGATAACTGATTAGTTACTATTAGCAATTAATGATCATCATCGATTATGTGCACATTAACCTTAATCATGAAATTAAATTCTTGTAATTAGGAAAGTGGATTTCTTAAAGCTTTAGTAATAGAACAAGAATTTAGTATTATGCCCAAACTTTTTAAGTCAGATTTCCACCTAACCCTTCCACTGCTTAGAGTGACTAGCATCTAATTTCTCCATACAGGATCATCCCTGAACGAAACATTAAGTTCTTGAGACTCAAAGAAATGATCACCAACTTAAGAAGCACTTGATTTTTGAACCAACTCTCTTAGTCAAACCAAAGGAAATGTATAGAGAATATGCATACTTATGTTAGGGTATACAAGGTTACTAATGAGGTTAATTATCCCATTTCAATTACCAAATTGATAAAATCAGTGTTACCTGCTTAGAAAATAAAAATCAATTCAGAGAAATCACTCTGGCACTCAGTGAGACCAAAAGAAAGCACATTTTTCCTGTACTACAATATTCAATTTGTGACGCCTTAAAAAATACTACTTAATCAAAGTACACAACCAGAGAATCCTACTCTGTTTAAATTTCCATTCTCGGTTCTGAGTACTAAAGCCATACAAAGTGAGTATAGCAGAAGGTTAACAATAGCAAAGAACTTCTGTCTAAAAGCACCCCTAGCTCATCTACATATAGTTCCATCATTTTACCTGCGTGGTCTCACTAAACTACAACAACAAGTACAGTATCTTCACTCCAACACACAGTCAAATCAAAAGTAACAAAAGATATACATGACACCAATGATGGAAAATTAATATTGAAAAAACCACAATAGTTATCAATCCTACAAAATTCTACTAAAAATTATTTCTAATTGTTTGCATAAAAAGCACTTATAACATGATCAAATAATGTAAATACAGAAAAGAGCCTACATTGCAACCCTGTTTTGCTGTGTGACAAAATGAACTTCTATCTTCTCTTATGATCAATTTGAAGTCTAGACTGTCTCACTGTCTCACTGTCTCACTGTCTCACTGTCTCACTGTCTCACTGTCTCACTGTCTCACTGTCTCACTGTCTCACTGTCTCACTGTCTCACTGTCTCACTGTCTCACTGTCTCACTGTCTCACTGTCTCACTGTCTCACTGTCTCACTGTCTCACTGTCTCACTGTCTCACTGTCTCTCTGTTTTTGATAAAATTATTTCAACAATTCTAATTCAATTCCCTTGATTCTCTTTACCAGGTGACTTTTCCTTGGTAAATTGAACTTCTCCCCCCGGTTGAATGTACACAGCAGGGCTGGAAGGTGGACTGTATAGTGGACTTGCTGAACTTACCCGTTCTTCCTCAGTCCTGTTCTCATCCACTGTTATTGTTGCTGCTGTGGTATCTTCCTCAGCACTCCCTGTAATTGCTGCAATGAATGAAATGAATAATATCTATTACGGAAGTCATTTCCTTTCTGTTATTCTTTAATGTATATATTAACAGTTATTTTCCCTACCTATCCCATTTTCTTAGAGATGTTTGGCCCAGTACAAGTTATCACCTCTTCCCCCTGCTCCACCCCAGGATTTAATAGATCTTCTCAACCATTTAACTCCCATGATTTGATTGTAAATTCTCACCTCAACCTGTGAAACATTTCCTTGTAAATTAGTTGAACGAATTTGATGTTAGATCAAGACAACAACTTCTACCTGGGTAGTTTCAGTATTCTTGTTACCTTCTTGCTGGATTATGTTGGATACTAAAGGGAGAATTTACATGTTAATCACCTCTGGGAGTTATAGGGTTAACAGCAACCTTGTTCTCATTTCCAACACTGGGTTAAGATAAGCCCAGTGAAGTACAAGTCTCACCCAATATCACAATATATTAGCCTCTGTTGACATGCTAGCTGTAGGGCCACTGCATGGTAATATCTTTTAAGGCTAAAATCACAGATAGGAATCTGTGGGGTTATGTATCAATGTAGTTAAAACCCAACCAGTAGTTGCCACTGTGCTGATTGTAGAGCATTTAAATAAAGAAAAAAAATTGGAAATAGGGGAAGAATTAATGCCTAACTAATAACCACTGGGCACATAATAAAAATTATGAGAATAAAACAGTTTCCTTCAGAACATTAGTCAGTCCCTTCAATAGCTACTACTGCAAACAAGGAATGATTTCTGGCAATATAACCAGAATTTTGGGTCTCAAGGTGAATCATAACTTTTCCACAAAACTACCATGTCTGTCTTGAAACCTATACGAGGAGTTTCCAAGCTGATAGCTTGGGTTTCAAAGAGCTGACATTTCAATTGTGGATGATGCTACTGAAAGGGCTGAACTCAACACCACTAAACAAAAATAGGATAAATCATATTTAAGACAATAACTAATTTTAACATGATATTTCAATGTACCTGAAATATCCTCTTCTGAGAATCCTTCTGTCAAAACTTCCTGAGCTGACTCTTGCCCATGCTCCACTCCTGTTTCAACCTCATCTTCATGTACCTCATAAGTACCTTGATCTCTAACCATCTCTGGTTCCCCAAACTCATTTTGAACTGGATCTCCAAAATCTCCATTAGCATCTGCACTGTTCGAATCACTTGTTTCTTCCCCTACTGGTGCCTTGGTCTGTTTCTTATCTACCCCTTCAAGGACTACTTGCAAGTGTTCATCAGTTTCACTGCCTTCCATCTTGACTGCTGTATCATGTGCAACTTCTTTGTCAACCTTTTCTAAACCCTCTACACTTTCAGGGCTTAAACTCTTCTTTGATTTTCCCTCAAAAGCTTCTTCTGGAATAGCTGATTCTAATTTTTCCTCTCCTTCCTTTCCTTCATCTTTTAAAAGTTGTTCTACAGTTGCTTCTAAAGGTGCCTCTTCCTGAACTAGACCTGCTTCTCCTTCAAAATTTTCTCTAGAAGTGTCTTCCACAACATGATCACTACTGTCTTGAAATTCATCTTCTTTTTCTCCTTTTGCTTCCTCACTATCTGCATGAACATTGGCTAACTTTTCCACTACATCAAGGTCAGATTCAGCATCCTCAAAGGCATTCTCTTCAGAACTTTCCTGGTCAGATTCTTTCATTTGTTCAGCTGACAAATTAGGAGAATCTCTCATAGGACTTTCCACCAGGGGAGATCTAGCCTCAGCTAATCCCTCAGACAAAAGCTGACTGCCTATAGATAAACCAGCAGAGTTCATTAGCTCAACGAGAGTAACACTACCATCTTGCTCTTTGATCTTAATTTTCATATCTTCTCCCTGACAAAGTTCTTGAAATCTTTCAACTGCATCACTACTCCAGTCTTCATCATAGTATTTATGAGGAGGCTCAATACTTTGAATACTACAATACAAAGCCTGCACAGGAAGAACAGCAAATTTTGCCTCAAGTTTCTTGATTCTGTTTATTGTCAGGGTTTCTTGTTTGGCATGGTCTACTGAGCACACACAGACTTGGCCATCTGAAAGGACTTCAGTCACTTGAGAACGACACCACTTGTTGTTGTCAGTGAATTGAGCACAGCATGTGTCTCCAACTTGAAGGCACAAAACCCTCAAGTCGTTTTCACCTAATGACTGGTAAAAAGCCTCAATCTTTTCCGATAAGGACTTGAGCTCAGATCTGAAATCAGTCAGCTCACACCAGAAGTTACTTGGTGACTTTATTGACACCAGACTCACATTATGAAGGCACTCTCCAGATTCTGGGTAATTGTAAACTATTTTGCCATCTTCTGAGATTGAAATCTTTCTTGCTTTTTCTAGCTGAGTTGCTTGAGACAATGCAAGTCCAAGTTTTACAAGAGCGTCAGCAACAGACAATCCAGATTCATCAAACAAATTGACACCCACAGAGTCACCAGAAACATTGACAATTTCAGCTTTCAGTTCTTTAGATTCGTATAATTCCATTAATTTTAATGCAATGTCTTCATTAGTGGGCTCAGAGGCTGACAAAATGCCATGGAGACAGCAATCAATACACTGAACAGGAAGCAAGAAAAACTCATCCTGAAGTTGCTTGATCATCACAGCAATATCACTGTTACCATAATCTACAAACTTGACTTCAACTCCTTCTGGACTCACACGAGTAATGACTGCTCTGTACCAATTTAAATCTTCAGAATATTGGGCACAGCAAACTTGCCCCACCCTGGGGTTCCCAATGACTTCTTCTGTTTCACCCAAATTAGAATATACTGCCATCAGTTGATCCATCATTTTTGCTAAACCTTCATCAGGGTCAACCATTTGTAACTGAATGGAGTCCAACTCTTTCACTGACATCAAATACACATCAAGGCTTGCACCAACCTCCAGTTTTTGCCACTTTAACCCAGGCTGTTCTCCCAAGAAATCATCCTGGATCTCACACGACTTTGCATACCCTAAATCTACAAGACTTTGATTAATTTGTTTTCCACTCTCATCATTCAAAATCACTTCCATCATTTCTCCAAATACTTGTGTGATCTCAGCTACCAATGTTTTGGAGCAACAAAGGGATTCCAATGCAATAGAACACTCTGGTGACCACTGACCATCATCAGAGCTTGGCTTCACATTTGCTAAACTGCTTTCCACAACAAAAACCGGCATTTTCACAAACTCATCCTTAAGCAATTTCAAGGCAGAAATAGGTATTTTCTCATTAGTTCCACAATCAACAAGCTTCACAGTGGCAGTATCATCTGCAGAAGTACTAATAACTTCACCTCTGAACCACTTATCTGAAAAGGGTACACAGCACAACATTCCAACCACTGGATTTTCAAGTGTAAGTTCATTTTCATCAAGGGCTTGATACATAGATGTTATCTCTCTCGTCATCTGGTCTCGTTCATCAATCCTCTCGGTTAACAGCAGCTGCATCTCTGCTGGCAGAAATGCCGAGACCAAACTCACTGGTACTTTGCTACCTGACTGTAGGTCTGGTAATGTAAAAGTTTTCCTCTCTTCAGTTGCATCAAGTTTTTGTGGAGAGGAATGTTCAAACATCCTCTCTTCAAATAGGGATGTATCACCAAGGCATTCTCTGACTATCTGCTCATTAAGAGACAGTGACTCTCCAGGATTGAACAGCTTTACTGTATAGGAATTATCTGGATGTTGTTTCTGAACTTCAACTTCGACCACCTTTTCTAAGAGTTGCTCATTCAGGTATTCTGTGATCCTGTCTGGATCAACACCTTGTACTTCTGCTAGGTGACAACAAATACCCTGAGCTGGAAGTTTCAGATGAGTTTCACTAATTGGTTGCAGCCTGTCCAGCGGAATGATCTCACTATTACCATAATCTACATAGGATAGGGTTATACTAGCATCATCCTGCACCTGGAGGATTTCAGCGCGATGCCACATATCATTCTCTGTATATTTACCAAGACAAGGCAGTCCCACTTGAAGTTGGGATCTCTCTAATACCTTATTGGATAGAGTGCTGATCTGTTCCATCAGTTCTCCCAAAGCATTTCCAGTTCTCACAGGCTGAAGCCAGAAGCAGTCAGGAGAATCAGCAAAAAGGAAATATGCTTCCTCACGTTTGTCAACACCAAAGGTTTCCTTGGTATACCTCTCTTTCAATGCTAATTTTGCTTTAGGGGAAAACACGTCAAGCTCTTGGATTGTCACACACCAAGTTTCCTCTTCTTTCCTGGTAAATGTCACATGTAAAGGCCTCTCCAAAATATTAGCTCTAAACTGTTCCACATCCCTCTCTGTCCAAACATCTTTGGATCCCTCAAGTCGACATTTGATTGCTTGTACAGGAAAGTTAAGGAGATCAGGTCTGAGCTGTTTTATGGCTGCCACTGGAAGGGTGTCTGTGTTTCCATAATCAACAAAGTGGACTTCCACTTTAGCATCAGAAACTACTTTTGTGATGCAAGCTCTATACCACTGAGAATCTTCACTGTATTGAGCACAGCATAGTGAATCAACGAAGCATACCTCCATAGCTTCTGCAGTGGGGCTTGGCTGATCATAAATTTCCCTCATTTTATCTCCAATAAGGGTTAGATCTGACAATGTTTTAGACAACTGAACATAAAAATCCCCAGATTCTGTTAAGTGGCTGACATAAACTTCTTCCATTTGGCCTGGTGAAAGTTTCATTGGAAGGAAAGTCTCAATTTGCACATCTGGAACACTCACACTTTTAGTTTTTAGAGCATCTGCATCACTGTTGTTTATGAACATGTCTACAACAGATGTTCCACCACTTTGTAAAGATACCCTCCATTTCAGTCCATCTCGAGTAATGAACTTAGCTTCAAAGGTCTTGTCAAGAGCCACCGACATAAATATGTTTATTTCTTCAGTTGACCATTGGTCCTTGGTAACATCAAGCGCACACAAGACAGCTTGTTGAGGTAACTGCATGAATGCTTTCTCCACATCTTTTACATCAATGGGGTTCACAAATTCGCTGTTTCCATAGTCTACAAACTCAACCTCTACCCCATGCAGAGCTACTCCTTTTACTGTACCTCTGTACCAGCCATGATCCTGGCTGAATTTTGCACAACAAGACATTCCTTTAGTTGGTTTCTTCAGCTCATTTTTTGATGGGTGCAAGAAGGAGTAGAATTGATTCATCTCTTCACTCAAATATGTCAATTCATCCAATCCAGTAGCAAACTGCACATAGAATTCATCTGGGCTCACTATGTGACTAACATACACATTCTGCTTCATCTCTTGAGTAATTTGAGGTTGTAGAAATTCTCTCTTCTCAAATATGTCATCCAAAAATTCTGATGCCGCCGCAAAAAGTGCTTCATCTGAGCTGCCAATAATTCCATTGTCATCATATAAGCTAACCTTCCATTTTCCCCTTTCTGTTGAAAGAAATTTCACCTTGAGCTCCTTCTCTTCTACATTCTCCTTGAAAGACTCTACTCTTGGAAGATCAAGACAGCAATGAATTGCCTGCATAGGAAGGCTGAAAAACCTGCTGCTAAGCTGACGGAGATCTGTCAAAGGAATCACATCACTATTGCCATAATCAATGTAATGTACTTCAACTTTATGGTCTGATGGCATACTATGTATTATTGCTCTATACCAGCCACCATCTTCTGCAAACTGGGCACAAACAGGATGGCCCACAACAAGATCCCCAGGACTCAAATCATCAGCAAGGCCAGAGTACACTTCAGCAATCTTTGCCATCATCTGTTCAAGCTCAGGGTAGGTTTCTGACAACTGGATGTAGAAATCATTTGGGCTTTCAATGTGAACAACATAGGCATTCTTCACATCACCAGGTTGAAAGGGCAGCTGTTCAAAGTTTCTTGTTTCTCTTTGGGTTTCTTGTGCTAGGGTTTAAAAAAAAAAAAAAAAAATTGAATCTACATCTGTATGCCACACATCCTGTATTTAGAGCTGTTATCTTCTACCCCTAAACTCCCAATTCTCCTCCCTAATTTCTAAAAAAATTTCATTGTATGAGGCAGAGACGTTTTTTTTATATTTATTTAGATGACAATTCAACTAAGTTAAACTCTTCCAGCTCAGTAGGCTTTTTCAGTGAGCCACCTTTTTCATGAGTACAGGCTCACTTAAAATGTTGCAACTTTGTTACAGAAACATCCATTGAGTTCTCAAGCAGTTTAGCAGTCTTGAGCACTTTCACAGGAATTGTTTCAGAGCAATCCTTAATGTTCTTCAAATGATTATCTCCAAACTTTTAACGGCTGTCTTATAGCAGCGATTGTCATCCAGCAAACCTGAACAGTTTTGCAGCAGTTATCTTTTAGAGTTTCAGGCTTCTTATTGAAGAAATTGTCTTCTAGCAGTCCTCAGGGGCCTTAATGCATTTTTGGTGTTTGTTACACAGAATGTTCACACAGTTTACGGTTTTACCCATGTATTCTTCACTGATTAAACACAACATAACAACTGTTATGACTGGCATTGCTCAACTCATAAGCACACATGGTTTTTGCTTCACGTCTACCAGGATGTCCACCCTCTGTCATGTGAATGCCTGCCACAACATAAATTCCTCAAGGAAACAACGGAATTTCACACTTAACAGTTTCACGACTTCCAAAGTAGTGTGGTAGTAGTCACTTTCAAGCCTTTCTCTACTCTATTGACAATTTTTGCCCCTGGGTGACCCCAGCACCCACCTTTAATTTATATGTAAGCAAGAGAGAACTAAAATCAAGATAAAACACCAGCAAACAAGTTTGTTGATTATTGTCACTTGTTAGGTAACAAGAGAATTGTTTTCACTGTATGGAAATTTAAGGGATAACAATTCCCACAAAACATGAAAAGGATTGACATCAGAGTCAAACATTTTTAGTAATTCGTATCTTCAAGGCGTGAGGGCTTACATGTACATCACAAAGCTAAGTTTATTATTGTGAGAAATTAAAATTAATACCTGCTCCTGAGATCACATGGAGTACTTCTTCACTTAAACAATGAGCATTTTTATCAAACAACTTTACTTGATATCGTCCACTATCAGAGCCAAGAATCTTTATGATCAATTGCTCGTCTTTAGTACTCAGTCTTTCAAATAGTGCAATGGCTTCCTCTGGCCACTCACTCCTGTTCAGATCTAACGAACATTCAATAGCAACTTCACATGTCTTCATGAACAAGGGGGACATCTGCTTTACACTGGATGGCTTCAATGTCTCATCATTCCCGTAGTCGACGTAATGAACAGTGATATCATTCACAGAGATCTTCTGCACTTTTGCTCTGTACCATGAATCCTCGTAAAGTGCTACACACGGCTGTCCAACTATTGGTGAGACAAGACAGCCCTCTGTTTCAGCCAATTGGAAGTAGTAATCATTCAGGTCAATCATCACTGTAAGAAACAGGGAAGATTAATGAGAACTACAAAGTGAGAATTTCAAAGCTTATTATCTCTTATGCCTATAGAATTCCTTAACTTTTCTTGATCTTTCCCAGGACTTCTTTGATGTTTTCCATTGCATTCTATCCAGACATTAGTTTCAAAATAATGTGAAAAGTAATGGTAACCAAGCTCAATATTTCCTGCTTTACTGTTGTTAGAAAAATGATCTTAAGCCAATTTCCAGGACTTTACATAATGTACAATCAAACTCCATGACTTTCCAGGCCTGGGATATGATAAAATACTATGACTTTACAGGTTTTCCATGCCCCATACAAAGCTAGTATTATCAGTATTTTGAAAGCTGGTGAAGACAAACAACATCAATAATAACACTAGCTTAATACTACGAAATTATCAAACCATCTTATGTGCATATCGAGCATTTAGCAAATACTTACTCCCATCAAGTTGATCTTTCATATTCTCCAGTTGACAGTAAAACTTTCCAGGGGAGGACTGGTGGGAAATGGCAACATCATACATTTCACCACAATTTACCACAGGTTTGGTAAATTCCTCGCTTCCCGTCACTCCTTGAGCTGCTAGAGCAGGTTTGGTGGTAGAATGGGTAGCTAATCCTTCATTAACCAGCAGGTCGCCTATGTTAATGTCAACTGACTGGTGACTTGTGTCAAACAATTCCATTTCCAGACCTTCCTCACTTCCTGTATTGATTTAAAGGAGGAACATTGAAGCTATGGAGGTAATCTAACTGGAAAATATCTTTCATATTAGAAAAACCGGTTAAATAATACTAAATGCTTTGGTATTGGAAAGATCTATTGATTTCACTCAAGTCTATCTATGTTACAAAAAGTTAGCTGAAGAATCTATTTTGTTTACCCATACATGGGTTTGAGAGACGGGGTACATTTCTTTTAAAATAACCAAAAGTAAAACTCAGGGTAGTGCTGTCAGAAGCCTAAAAGTAGACTATCCTGCTATCAATAGCTAACCAGGGCTGAATAAATAGCTCTGAAATTTCTTTAAAAAGTGTAAAAAGTTTTAGAGTTGGCTGAAGAATCTGCTTTGTTTATATGGCATCTTTCTTCTATACATGTACGGATTTGTTGTATAGTGCTTAAATTATGTGTATAACTCTGAAATCTTTTCAAAAAGTATATAGAGTTTTCAAGTAATATTATTTAAAATCCCCATAATCCTCTCTGGGAGCTTTGACTTTACCTAAATTTATCCAAGCAAAGTACATTAGCAATAACCATAATTGGTAGTAAATTTCCATTAGCTCAGTAACACCAAAACACTATCAGAGATTCCAACACTAGCACCCTAAAAAATTGTATTTGGTTGTGGAAATGTTGTGTCTGTATGTCAAAGACTTTCTTTGCCAGCTGTCTAACCTTTTTTGATCACTTTTCCAACCAATTGCTTTTGCATTACAAGGCTGCTAAACCTTTCAACAGAGGCATGCGGCCACTCTGTACCACTGACAGGGGAGATGGATGATAAACTACACTGGATGGCTTGAGCAGGAATTTGTGACAACTCCTCTTTCACTGTCCTCACTTTGCTCAAAGGAAGTGTTGCACTGTTGCCGAAGTCTATATAGAACACCTCAACAGACTGATCATCTGCAATATTAGTAATTCTTCCTCTGTACCACAAGTCATCATCTAAAGGAAGTAAATGTATGAAGAGGTAAGATTGTGTCAGTTTCTACAAATAATGTTTATTCATATCAAACCCTTTTTACCCTAAAAGTGACCAACAACTAATTTCTCCATACAGTAATACTGCTGAATCATTCATAAAGATCACTGGAATAAAGGAGATGATTACCAACCTAAGAGGCTTTGATTGTTAAACAATTTCTCCTTGACAGCACCAAAGGAAATATGCAGGGAAGAGTATGGAGAATATAGATACTGATGTTTGGGTGTGAAGAGTTAAAAGGAGATGAGTTGACAACTTCTCTAAACCTGCACTCCTGAACCAAATCGACTCATAACTACCCTTTCTGACAAACAACCACTTTTTTAAGAAAAAATACAAAGTTGCCAATCAGTCCAGTTATGGATTCATAAAAAATGAGCAAAATAATAACACCATATTCCAAATGTTTAAACAAACAGTAGGGTTGCTACAAAAAACGCAATGCGTGGTCTCCACTCTAAAATTTCACATCTAATCCTGGCCCTGGTTAGTATAACATGGAACAAGTGTTATCCACCAAATGTATCTGAAAACCTGCATTGCAATATTTTCCTTGCTAACTACTGAGATGTGATATCACTTCAATCAGAGAACTGTCTATATCTAACCACTGATCCATTAGATTAGATCCATTATTAGACTGGTATTGCTCAGGTACAGAAATGAGATAAAGCAGTTATTCATAGTTCCAAAAGTAGGAATCCAAGACACATTTACAGTCCAGTTAATATGCTTGCAATTTCAATGTCAAGTTGCAGATATAATGGTCTAACATTACAAACCTGGAAAAAGTGCTGTACAATTCATTCCAACTGCAGGACTTTCTAAGCTTTGTTCTTGCCAACCATCAACAAAAGTTTCTTGAAGTTCATCCATCAGTTTTGACAGTATCTCTTTGTGATCTGCTGTTGCAATCTGGCAGTAGAACAGATGTGGACTGACACATTCAGTGGGGCACAGCTCTACAAACGAGTCTACTTTAATCTCCACTTGAGGTTCAGAGCCTTAAAAAATACAAACATAACAGTATTAAACTATTGACACATAACATTGGTATAGATGTTTTGCTATGTAGAGCAAATTAATTTGCCATGGTAAGCTACATTTCTGCTACAGTTTAAAAGGAGCTTAAGAAAGCTTGAACTTACAGATATCGAGTATCAAGCATTGAGTATCAAGCACTGAACGCCAATTTGATAGACTGTCAAGTGACACCTAGTAGGTATTGTGACATCCTAAAATAACTAGCAGCTGAACGACATAATGACTGTTGAGTTTTACAGACTTCTGTTGGATTCCATTTCCCAGGTTTGTCCACAGTATTTAAGGACAACCCCGGTGGGCAAACTGGCATCCAATTAATCTGCCTCCCCTTAAATAACCTCCTGCAGTCAAGACAACACAGGCGGCGGTAAGAAAAGAGGCCAACCAATGCTTATTTTCTCCTTAACTTCTTCCATACAGTGTGTATACTTTATGTTTCTTCATTGTTGAACAGTATATATATAAATATATATATATAAATATATATATATATATATATATATATATATATATATATATATATATATATATATATATATATGTATATATATGTATGTATGTATGTATAAATTACTTATAAGTGCATTTAAGATTTGTGAGAGTTACCTATTATAGTTTTTTAGGACTACCACAGCAGAAACACAATACCTTTCTCAGTTTTACTACAAGGTGATCCAGCAAACAGTTTTGATCCATCTTCAGAGAACAACTCAACCTCATAGACACCAGGATCATGGCTGCCATGTACTTGAAGTTTAAACTCTTGTTCAATAACTAAGGCTTTGAAGTTTTCTGGCTCTTGATTTGCAGTGTAGCCTTTCAAAAAGCAGCTAACCGCTTGGGCTGGTAATGATGCAAATTCTGTCTTCAGTGGTCGTACACTTGTTAAAGGAACAGTGGCAGCATCACCATAATCGATGTAAAAAACTTCTACGCTGTTCCCTTGAGTTTTGGTGACTTGTGCTCTGTACCAGCCACCATCTTCATAGTGAGCCACACAGAAAGAACCAACACTGATTGAAGACAGGTTCTCCTGATTTGAACTGTAATGTTCTTCCAGCTTTATCATAAGGTCATCCAGGTTGCTTGAGTTTTGGGAGAGTTGACAAAAGAACTTTTGTGCACAGTCCACAAATGGAATAAAAACATTAACTTTCTCTCCAGGATTCAGCTGAATGCTACTCACTCTTGCAGATGGTTCAGAAGTTTCCATTTCATCAGACATTGTTGCATTGGTAAAGAGGGTAGTTCCATCTTCAGACATCAATTCTACCTCATAAGTGTTCTCTGATTTCACTCTTGTCACCTGGGCTTTAAACTGCTGTTCATTAATAAGGTCTTTAAAGTTCTCAGATTCATGCTGTGCAGAAAACCCTTTCAAACAACAGCTCACAGCTTGGGCTGGTAGCAGTGAGAATTGTGGCTTCAGGGATCTTACACTGGTAAGTGGGATGGTTGCAGAATCACCATAATCAATGTAAAATACTTCCACACTGTTCCCTTGAACCTGAGAGACTTGAGCGCGGTACCAGCCACCATCCTCATAACGAGCCACACAGAAAGCACCAACACCAATTGAATTTAAGTTCTCTTGATTTGAATTGTAATGCTCTTCCAACTTGGTCATGAGCTCAATTAGATCAGTTTCATTTTTAGAAAGTTGGCAATAGAACTTCTGGGCACTGACTACAAATGGGATGAAAACATCTACTTTGTCACCGTGTTTCAGCTGGAGGTTTGTCACATTCAAGGTTAGAGAGGCTGATGACTGTGGTTCTTTAGAAAGTGGTTGGCCTAGTGGTGCTGAGCCATCTAAAGGCACTAGGATAACTTCATAACCACTGTTGCCTTTTTCACTCATAACCTGTGCCTTAAACTCTTGTTCAACAACCAGCTCCTTGAAATTCTCAGGCTCCTGATTGGCTGAGGAACCTCTCAAACAGCATTGTATGGCTTGTGCTGGTAGAGAGGAAAATTCAGGCTTGATTGTTCGAATATTGTCAAGCGAGATTGTTGCATTATCTCCATAATCTATGAAGTTGACAGTGACATCCCTTCCTTGAGTTTGCTTCGCTTTTGCCCTGTACCAACCATCATACCATGCCACACATACAGAGTCCACATTTAGAGAAGAAATGTTCTCCACACTGGAACTGTAGCATTCTTCTAGTTTGTTCATGAGGTCATCTAGTTCTGGTGAGTGTGCTGTACTATGGCAAAAAAACTTCTTAGTGCTTTCAGCATAAGGGATCACTACATGAACTGTATCTCCAGGTTTCCACTGCACCTGAGAAATACCAGATGAAGGAGATGTTGGACTTGAGTTGATTAAAATGCTGCTGACAGACTGATTGGTGTCCTTTGAAATCAGATCAACCTCTGCCACTCCACTCCTGACATTCAAGATTCTTGCAGTAAACTCTTTCTCTGATACAAATTCCAAAAATGTTTGATCAGAAGACTCCCTTAAAGTCCCAGATAGTGTGCATTCAATCGCTTGAACAGCAAGGTGATGAAACTTTGAGTTCAACAACTTGAGTCGCGATAATGACAGAGTTTCAGAGTTTCCATGGTCAATGTAAAGGACTGAAACATTACTTCCTTGGACATCTAAGACCTTGGCACGGTACCAACCATCATCTAGGGTAAACTTAGCTGCACAAAACTCTCCAACTGATGGCTTCAACATGTTTTCCTGTTGGGCACCCAGATTGTTATAATGCTCAAACATCTCATTCATCAGTACATCTAATGACTCAGAAGATTTTAATAACTGACAGAAGAATTTTGTTGGGCTTGATGCTGAAGAGACAAACACACGTTCTGTAGTACCTGGTTGAACCTGTAGAGCAGTAATGTGAGCTTCTTCACGGGTTGAGCTTGGAGCCATAATAGTTTGAAGATCATTACCAATGTCAAAGTTCTTCCCTTCCGTAGTATCAAGTAGAACTACCAGAAATATACCTCTCACTTCATCATACTTGTCAGCCATCATAACAAGTTCTTTATCCAATGTCAACTCTTCAAATCTGTTCATGACATCATCAGAGAGTAAGTCCTGATGAGAGGGACTGATTTTAGCCAATGCACACTTCACAGCTTGTGTTGGAAGTTTCAAGAACTCAGTTTGCAGCTTCTTCACTCGGCTAAGTGGTAGGTTTTCAAAGTTTCCATAATCAACAAAATGGACTTCAACTTGGCCTCCTTTCTCAATGCCAGTGATTTTACCTCGGTACCACTTATTATCCTCAGAAAACTGGGCACAACAAAGCATATCTGCATGTACATCAAGAAAAACAAATTAAAAAATAAAAAAAAAAAAACAATTCCTAGTTCTTCAGCTCTATACATCTCAGTGATAAGTAATTATTATTTTTACCTTTCTTATATATTCCACAATCATAAACCAAATTCATGAAAATGATTGGTTGAGAAAGAGGGTCAAATTTTCACAACCAGTCACATCAAAAAGTAAAGCAAAAGTAAAGCAAAAGTAAAGCAAAAGTAAAGCAATAGTAAAGCAATCTCCCACTACTTTTGACACTTGGTTAAATACTGATCAAAAAGAAATTGGCATTAGAACATCCCTTTTCTAACCTAGCCCCAAAAAACCAAAACATTGTAAATATTTGTGTTACTACAAAGTTTAACAGTTTTTGAGTAAATATGTGTCATAGAGTTAAAAATTTTACGAGGTCAAGACAAATTCACACTATAATGAAGGGGGTGAGTTTCTAAAGAAACTGTGGTGCTGCATTGGTGGGAGAGTACAGCAGGGTAATTTGGTATCACCAACAAGTTGACAATGTGAATTGTCCACCATAGAAAGTTTCAAAGCCGATGTTTCGAGTGCTAGCCCTTTTTTGCTCTGACAAAGGAAAAACACTTAAACATCAGCTTTGAATCTCTCTACTATGGCCAATTTACGTCATAACCTCTCTGATAAAACTACATTACCCTTAATTCAAACTAGTTTGTTTAGGGATCACAAAAATGTACCTGGAACAAACAGAATTACCAATCAAACTTGATTCAGACCATTTTGACCAGAAATTTATTCTTACTATTAAAACAAGTATACATGATAATTTAGTTAATCTTACCACAAACTGGTTTAGAGATAGCATTTCTTTGTCCTCCAGAACCATAGACTTCAGAGATTTCTCTCATTAATGACTCAAGCTCTGTCACAGATTTCTGTAGCTGACACCAAAAGTTGCATGGATTTTCAATGTAACTGACAATTACATCTTCAAAATGGCCAACTTTCAGATCTGGTGCAGGAATTGTTTGTGATTTGAGATCATTCCAATTTTCAGAAGTAGGTAATGCCCCTTCTGCAAGCTCTGCATTTCCACTAAGGACCAGCTGATCACTAATATTCTGATCTTCCCTTCTGTTTCTTACACGAAGTTCAACTCGACAGATGCCTCTACTGTCCTGAGTTACAGCCACAAGCATGCCCTCTTTCTCCAAAGCCAAATCAACAAATTTTTGAGAGTCCTGCTGTCTCCACTTCAGGTCTCTAGAAACAAACTTGGGCTTGATTCTGTTCAAGGAGCATTCAATACCTTGTTGTGGTAGGTCAGAGAACTTAGGAATGAGTTTCTTAATCTTGGTGATTGGTAGTGTTTCAGAGTTTCCATAGTCAACATACTGAACAGTGATACCCTTTGACTGAGTTCCCAAAACCAAACCACGGTACCAACAACCATCTTCTGAAAACTGGGCACAGCATGGATCGCCAGGAGATGGTGATGACAGAAGTTCTTCATTTGCTCCAAGTCTCGTATAGTGGTGATTTATATCCTGCATCAAGCTCTCAACTTTGGGTCCATTTTTAAACAGCTGGCAGTAAAATTTTGAAGGATTGATGATGCTGGTGACCAAAACTTTCTCCTCTACCCCAACTGTGACATTTTCTTGAGCAAAAACAGGTTGAGTTGATTTTTTTGCACTTGTCTGAGATGACATTAAGGCAGATGCAGTTGCTGTTGTCATGGTTGCAAGGGGTGTGTCTGTTGACTTAATCCCAAAGTTAGCGGCAATGAGAATTTGGTTCAGTTCCATATCAAGATCTGAGGTTGTGTCTATGAGTTTAACTCTATGTTTCCCACTGTTCTCTACACTGGTTACAAGTCCCACAACATGTTTAAATTTAATCAGCTTCTCAAACAACATTTTGGCTTCATCAGCCCACAATCCATCCTTACTGTCTGGTTCAACCCCAGCTATGGCAAAGTTCAAAGCTTGACATGGAATCTTGAGAAAATTGTCCTTCAGATCTCTAACATCTGACAACTCTGTCTGTTGTGTATTGCCATAATCTACAAACCTAACTTCAATCTGTCCAGTAGCAATCGAACTGACATTAGTGATTATTCCTCTATACCATGAATCATCCTCATAGAACTTTGCACAGCAGGGATATCCCACAGTGCATGACTGTAAAGGTAAGGCTGCTGGATCTTGATTAGCATAGACCTCAGCAAGATCATCCATTAATTTCTCTAATACATCTGTGTTTCCCAAGAGTTGGCACCAGAAATGTGATGGATCATCCACCCAAGTTACACTGAGGTCATTGTATGAATCAGGAGAGAGAGTGATTGTGTTGTATTTCACCTCCCTCCTTAGGTTTGGCTGTTGAGGTAATGTGCTACCTCCGTTCGTCAGAGGAACGGCAGCAGCAGCGCTTAGCCCTCCACCTTGCATCTCATCAAAGACAGACTTGGTACCTCTCTCATCGAAGAAAAGTTGTGTAACTAAAACGTTCTGTTTCTTAAGCTGAACAGCCTTGCAATAAAGTTCTTGCTCCAAGATAGTTTCGTTCAGCCAGGTCAACGTTTGGTCAAAACTTTCACGACGAAGATCAACTCCTTCAAGCTCACATTCGAAGCACTGTGGCGGCAAGTCACAAAACTTCTCTTCTGCGATTCTTATACAACTTAAAGGCGCGAAATCTGTGTTTCCATAATCCAAAAAGAAAACTTCACACTGCTGATCTGCTGGATTCACCCGCAAGATGCGACATCGGTACCATCGATTATCTTCTTTATATTGCGCCAAATAAATACAGCCAACCATAATTTCTGAAGCGTTCGGTGGTCTAGCTTTCCCTGAGAGCACGTTTTCTTCAATTTCTGACATGACTGCATCTAATTTTCCCGCCTCATCGTTGATTTGAACGAAGAAGTTTCCTGAAGACTCCTCCACGTGAGTTACCAAAACGCTCACTGTACTCCCAAACGGGAATCTCACTTGCATCGCCATCGCTTTGGACAAAAAAATGCAGAACTTCGCTGTCTTCCTTCAGGTGCTATTCAATCATCCTTACATTACTAGGGTCACAAATCAATTTCTACGAGATCATGCATCCTTACTGACTTCAAACTACAATGCACATGGCCCCAGCAATAAGATAGCCCATAATCCTAGAGTCGTAAAATAGTCGGCAGAACTCGGACACGGTCGGATTATCATGACCTTGATTGACCTTCATCAACTGCCTTTCGCAAACAATCAAATATTGGAGGCGTGGTTACCTTCACCAACCTCTACAACCAATATGGCGGCCAGCGTATACTGTAGTGGAAAACTTTTACGAACCTTTGCCAGAAACTCTCAGAGTAGAGGCGTGAATGCTTGTAGGTTTCTATCATTAAGCGGGTTTTTATTGTTTTGTTTTTTCAATCATTTCACCATCTTAGGAAGAAGAAACTGTTTCAGATTGATACGTACGTTTCATTTGGATTTTCCGTGACTACGATCAAAGTCCAACGAAAGTTTCAATTCACGCGATAGAGACCGTTAAGAGCACATATTTTTCTATTTCCTCTGATTATCTTTGTATTTTGCGTAGGCAATTTTCGCATAGTTTCATATCTTTGGTTTTTGAAGACGATCTTAAATCTCACGCATTCCAGACTTCTTGAGAATTTTTTCTTCTCACTAAGTCCAAAGTCAGATAATTTCACGGCATAATTATCTATGCGCACATTTTAAAGATCTCTATAATTTCTTAAATAGTTGTTAAATAGAAGATTCTTAAAACAGCAGGAAAGTTTGAGAACGTTTTATTGAAGCTTTCATTCGTTACGAAATTTGTCTTCTCAAAATATCATCATTACTATCTCTTTTTTGTAGTATTCCTAAGATGTGCCAGTTCATCACAAAAGCAAAAATCCACTTCCAAAGGTAATTTTCCTCTTGTATTTTCCAATCCCTTCACCCCACGCATTTGTGCAAATGAGGACCTATGTGGGACAAAAGAAGGATATAAAAGTACAATGCAATTAGAGTATTTGTACAAAATTGTTAAAGAGATCACCTTCGAATGATTTTAAAATTTCAATCCTTTAAGACATTGTTAATATTTCTGATACACTAGTCTATTTTCAATGTCCCTTTGTATACAGGTGCACCCTCCAAAGCAGCTGGGAGAAACATTGTTTTAGTGGAGGGAGTGCGAACTCCATTTCTTATGGCTGGAACCAGGCAAGTGGTAAACCCTTTACACCCTAACATCAGAATCCATATTCTCCATACTCTTCTCTATACATTCCCCTCTGTATTGACCAGGAGAATTTGGTTAACAATCAAAGATTCTTAGGTTGGCTATCATTTCCTTTATTCTTATGATCTTAATGAATGACTTGGCAATATTACAGTATAGAGAAATGAGATGCTGGTCTCTCTTAGGGTTGAAAGGGTTAAATGGTTATAATCAGTCAGAGAATCCTTTTAACTTCTTAACCCTTTAAATCCCATGAGTGACCACAACATAATTTCTCCTTACAATATCCATACAATATCAAGCAGACAAGTGATGAGAATAAAGAAAATGTTAATTAGGGGATTATTGGTTGATCCAATACCAAATTCTCCAAACTAACATCACAAGAACTATATAGCACACAGTAAAGAGAATTACTAATGAGATCTTGGGAGTGAAAAGGTTCAGCAATCAATAACATGAGGTTTTTACAAGGATATGGGAGTGACTTTGATTTTATGAAATATGGAATGATTGTTTTGACGTGTTTTGGGGTTAATTTTTAGCTATGCTGATCTTCTGTCACATGATATTCAAAGAGGAGCATTAGAGTGAGTATGTTTTGCCTTTAGATTCTGAATATCTATTGAATGTGTGTGAGATATTATTTCTTTTTTTTCCAGAAGTATGAAAAGTGTTTTGGATATAATTTTTAACAACTAATAACACTATTTTGGTACTGTCTTAAACCAAAATGTACAGATAGTAAAGAATTATGTCCTTTAAAGTCTTGCACATTAGGACATGTAAAAACTTGACCTGAGCCAAGAACCTCAAGAGGGTGAAATTCATTTCTTATATTCCTTTTTACAGGGGTCTTGTTACAAGGACTGGTATAAGTAAAGGTTAGTAAAAGAAGATTTTTGACAAGCTGTGGGACTCAGGTCATGTAAGTTAAGCTTTTCTCATTTCAAATTGCAATCGGAGATTGAAGATTATTACTTCTACACTCTAAATGTGATGGTCTACTTTCAGTGGTGATGCCAGCCTTTTTTCAGTTTCCCTGAGTTTGCACTGGTACCTATTTAGTCAACCTATGATTTACAATAAAAAGTTAACTCTGAAGTTTATAGCCAAACTTGTGATTATATGCTACATTGTCATTGAGGAAATCTTGTAGTCACTGTGGAAACAAACAAAATTGATTCTTTTTACCTTTTAAAACTTTCACAGATGTTGTTGATCACATTGTCATTGGTACAGTTATTCAAGAGGTCAAAACCAGCAATATTTCACGAGAGGTATGGCATTGATAAATAAATTGTTCTTTATAGTCCTTTTAAAGGCTGTCTTTCAATTCCCAGTCCATGTAGACCTTCTCCTTACTCATCTAAGGAATTTGGAGTGGGTATTTCCCTATGATCAATTAAAAATGGGTGATAGTAAAAATGCAACTAATTCTAGGATTCAGTGCAGTGTACAGATTGCTTTTCACTTCTGGAACTGCAGCTGTAGTATATTGCTTACATTATAGCTCTTAAAAGAGTATTTTTTTTGCTCAATAGTAGATCACTAGAGAGCAAAACATCTAAAGATTCAAGGTTTGATTCTTTGTAGGATAGAGTCATATTCTCTCTTAGTGCTATACTCATGACAAACAATTTTAGCATAATTCTTTAAAGTCAGCAGGCTTGAAAATGGCTAGCTTTCTTAACCAAATCTAATTCTTTGGTGTTGCTTTTTTCATGAAGGCTGCTCTGGGTGCTGGCTTCTCAGACAAGACTCCATGTCACACTGTGACCATGGCTTGTATCTCATCAAATCAGGCAATTACTTCAGGTACAGTACAATGAAGTGTCAGAAATTAATACCAATTTTTGAAGCTACCACAGACCTTTGAGTCAGAAACTGGTTGTAAGCTGTAATCATTATTGTCTTCCTATAGAAACCTAAGACATGATTGTGTAATGTTAATAGATAAATTTTTATCATATCATACTACACAGTTAAGCAAATGAGGAAAAAATATGCTCACCGGACACTTTTCAAGTTCATGCTCACATGGAATATTACAATTTTCTTTAAACTATTTGGTGTTAGATGAGTCTGGCAAGTGTTTTTTCTGGTTGACCTAATTAGTTTTAAGGTGGAATCTACTTCAATCTGTTTTAAATTCAATTCAACATCAGAAAATATGGGTATTTGTTTTAGAGTAGTATAATTTATTCCAGGGAAAATGGTGAGTTTTATCTTTAGTTTCACAGTGAAGTAGTTAATGCTGGCAATTGATCTTCACAACTTTTTAAGGGCTGTGTTTCTCATAGAGCGATTTCTTTTTTCCTTTTCTCCTTTTTTTATCCTAAAAGCTGTTGGACTAATTGCAAGTGGTCAGTGTGACACTGTGATTGCTGGAGGAGTTGAATTCATGTCAGATGTTCCCATCAGACTCAGCAGACCACTTAGAAAAACTCTGCTGTCTTTAAATAAGGTAAGATGATTTCCAAACAGTCTGAAATAATTGTAAAGACTCAATGGAAGCATGTGCTAAGTTGTTTTGGTAACAAACACTAGGATGGCTTTTTGATCAGCAGTAGTTTGCAGAACCTTCAGAGTGTACACTGGTGATAGGTGTGTCATTCATGGTTGGTCATATTGCATGTAAATTAAACCACTGAATTTGCTCACCAATACTTTGAGGTAATCTTCCCTGAAATGCTTTGCTTATGTTTTTCAGGCCAAATCTCTTGGTGCAAGACTTGGGCTTCTTTCAAAAATCAGACCAAAATTTCTCTCTCCTGAGGTGATTCAATTGTTTAAAATAATTACATGATATTTCTGGTCCAGAACTAGGAAGATGTCAAGGAAGCTTGTTGAAAACACTCAGCTGAGCTGTTATTTCATTTCTATTGTTCTCATTAGCTGCCAGCTGTGGCTGAATTTTCTACTGGTGAAACCATGGGACATAGTGGTGACAGGTATAACCTTTTAGAAACTACATTTAATTTATTATTTTGAGTAGCCAAGGTCTGCTTTGTGATTCTCCCTTCTGTTTGCTTTACATTTCTTTGAAAATGAGTTAACCCTTTCACTCTCAAGATCTCATTAGCAATTCTCCTTACTGTCTGCCACACAATTCTTATTAATATCTAAGTGTAGAGAATTTGGTGTTGAGTCAACTAATTATTTCCAATTTATATTTTTCTTTATTCTCATCACTTGTCTACTTGATATTTTATTGATATTGCAAAGAGAATTTCTGTCTTGGTCACTCGTAAGAGTTAAAGGGTTAAGAGAATGTGGTACACACACCATGTAGACTGATAAATTGCTACATTTTCATCACCTGTTTGTTCCATAATGTACTCAATGTTCTATGGTTAACTTACATAGTCTAACCTTTAGGAGCAAAATTCTGGCTGGGTTGTTGTTCTTTTCTATTCGAAACCATTAACATACATTAGCTTATATATTGAAATCAGCTATTATACTGTAACTTTTAGGGTTACTTATCCAAAAAATGTTTAACACCTTCATTCTTCATTATTTGATTAATATTGCATGATGTTAAACCCAGATTTTTTGTATTTATATAATGTGATCAGCTGTAATGGGCATGTTCTTGACTGACATGTCTTGATCATTTTATTATTATAATTTTTTTTAAGATTGGCAGCTGCATTTGGCATCAGTAGGCAAGAACAGGTAATTACTAATTTTAATGTTTTATTAAAGTGTTTATTGATTTTCCTATTGATTGCTTGATTTATTTGTCTGATAATCATTTTTTTGTATGTATTTATTAGCCAGTACAGTTAGACTGCTTAACTAGATTATGTATTTGTTTCATTTTTTCTTGGTTAATGGCCCACCAACTTTTTACATGAACCACAAAAAAATGAATACAAAACACTCAAGAAAGAAATATTTTTTATATTGCAGGATGAGTATGCCTTACGATCTCACACACTAGCACATCAAGCAGCAAGTGTAAGGAAATTTACAGCATTTACACTCTTTTGATAATTGATAATCACTAATTATTGACTGTGATTTTGTAACAAATATATCCAACCATTTTCTTCCTGGCTGTACTTGTGTTGTCCCAAATCACAATGTGTCAATACTGGGGTGTTATGTATTTTTGTCTCTCTTTTTTCCAGGCTGGAAAGTTGGAAGATGTTGTACCTTACAAAGTACCAGGTATGTCAAAAACTTAAATGTGTCATAATTGGATGAAACATATTGTGTACATGCTGAGGAAAAAGGCATCCTGTTCATCCATGTTTCTGATCTGCAGAAAATGCAGTATAGTCAAGAAAGTTAGGGGCAATATACAAACACTGGTGGAGGTTAGCATATTTGGCTTCGTTTTCTTTCAGATGAAAATGGACACTTACCAAAACATATTAGTGTGGTTGGGGCCTAAGCCTGCTAATGAAAGGGAATCACTGAACATGCAAAGGCAGGCTGGCATTTTTCAAAGATTAATTTGTTACTCTCTTAGGTCGCACTGAAACTGTGACAGCTGATAATGGGATCCGGGTCTCAACCATGCAGCAGATGGCAAAATTAAAACCAGCATTTGTTAAACCACATGGCTCTGTCACTGCAGCTAATGCTTCCTTTCTGGTGAGTCCTTTAGCTTGTTTTTATGGGTTACCTTCCCTTTGCAGTGAAAGATGGGAGATATACCTTAGCTTCAACACTTAGTATCTTGATTGATTTGACTTCAAATTAAACAAGGTGATCATTTGAAAATGTTGATGTGGGAAAAATCTTATTCAGTGAAACTGGCTTTTGCAACACGTCTCAGCTTTAGGGACTGCCTGCTTACCCAAAGCATGATATATTCATTTCGTTGCTGGTCTTTTCCCCTGTGATCGAGTGTTGCTACCCTGGAAAGAGAACAGAATAGGATAGCAAGAATGAGAAGGGGTTGGGGCTAAATGGGAAAAACTCTCCTCAAGCTTGCCATACACCATCTCATCATAATCTCTACTCACTGCCTCTTAATGTCTTTGGCTTCAATTGTTAAAAGGATTGTTAAAATATACCTGCAAGGAAATCCAGAACAGAACAGTTTTTGTGACACAGTACTTAGAAAGGTTCTTAGAAATGCAACACCTTAGTTATCAACTGAAAAGAGCACTCCTGAAGACCCCAAGATTTCAATAGGGGAAAGTAATGGTGTACCTCTCATGGATGAGATTCTCTTACATGCTACATTTTATTTGTTTTTACAGACGGATGGAGCCTCTGCTTGCTTGATAATGAGTGAAGATAAGGCTCTGGAGATGGGATTCAAACCCAAAGCATACCTGAGGTATTATGAGATCAAACTTAAAAAATGCTGCTATTCCATTCAATTCCTGTCATTTACAGCTTATGTCCTCTTCTTCCTCTGTTTTCCATAGGGATTTTGTATATGTCTCACAGGATCCCAAAGATCAGCTTTTATTGGGGTAATTTTAATATTTCTAATTACACTGAGTTAGAATTCAGAATTCTCTCTTTTTGGAATCCTATATGGGCATATGGAAGTTTCACCATTTTGTAATAATTTTCAGACCAGCTTACTCCACACCCAAAGTTCTGGAGAAAGCTGGACTCAAGTTGCAGGACATTGATGTTTTTGAATACCATGAAGCATTTGCAGTGAGTTTGCATTTTAACTTTTACAAAGGCCCTAATTCTGCTTCATTTACATTTTAAGAATTACTTCATGCAACCTGTTGGTTTTGCTTTTGAAGGGTCAAATTCTGGCCAACTTGAAAGCTATGGATTCAGACTGGTTTGCACAGAACTACATGGGAAGAAGCTCAAAAGTAAGAAAATCAAAACAAAAGTAATAATGGCACATCTTTGTAAATGAAAGTTGTAAGGAACCTGAGAAAGGTGTTAGGATGGCGATTGTTTTTAGATCAAAACAATCAGATCCACTGATTCAACTCCCGTGTGCTGCTAAAAAGTGTTGGGTCACCCGAAGGGTTTCTTAATATTTGCCCATAAAGCACCCTCACAAATTGTGTTTTGGTAAATTACCAGTTTCGGACAAAACCAAGCTAAAAGTACCACAGGAAAGTTGAAAGGATCTTGTGAGACACAAAAGTGTTTGAAAACCGAAGATTTCACAATTACCATAATATTTTGTGAAGGAACACTTTCAGTAGCTGTTGGAGAGTGGTTGCATCACCCAGGACCATTCTTGGTTGCTTTTTAAGTGTTGTGGTAAACTGCACAGTGGAAAATGAATGCTTTCCAATAAGTCTCAGGTAACCAGTTCATTGGTACTCCAACAGCTTTGTCTTTTAATGTTATCTACAGGTTGGGGTGCCTCCGATGGAAAAATTAAACACTTGGGGCGGCTCCCTTTCTATTGGTCATCCATTTGGTGCCACTGGAGTTCGATTGGTCACCACAACTGCCAACAGACTTCTTAAGGAAGGTGGTCAATATGGGCTGGTTGCTGCATGTGCTGCTGGAGGTTTGGTAAGTAAGCTTGGAATACACAAGGGTTCAAAAACAAGGTTTGTTGTGAAGCAACTCACCACAAGACTTGTAAAGCAAATCAGATAGAATGACAACTTTTTACATCCGTTTGATTGTGACTTTGATTATGGAGGAGGCCCATAATGGGCCTTAAATGAACAACAGATTACAATAGTCACTTAATAAAACATAGTTACTTGTTTGGAAATTTCCAGTGATGGTTGAATTTCACCAAGCAAGTGTCTTAACTCTTTACAGGAGAAGCCATGCAATTTTGTTGTCCAGCATCACAAACCTTTCCCCTTCTACCTTATATGGGTGAGATTTCCTTAGGTTCAGATCTAGATTGACAGTCCATATGTGTGACAATCTTTCTTTCTTTCAGGGTCACGCAATGGTTGTGGAACGATATCCATCTTGAACTAAATTAACCAGAAGACGCAATATTCTGATTGTGCCTGAAAATTACAGATCACTGGTAAACTATCTCTAAAGCTGCACCACATGATAGGCATGCAAATTTTGAAGGATGGTAATTTTCTACAGTGTTTGAGGCAATAGGAGCTAGTCAACATGTGATACTCGTCTCATTCAAGTCTCTTGTTATTGGTTTATCTTTTTGACTTGAAGCCAACTAATAAAGTAAGACTTGATGAAAGAAGCTTGTGCCTGTTTGATTTTAGCCATTTTCACTCTTCCTTTGGTTCTGTACAATAACAAAATGTAGAAACATTATAAAGCATGTAAGTAAGATGGCTTTGCTTGACACTTTTGGGAATCCTCCAAAGTTGTGTTTGTGGTGAGCGCATCTACTTTTCAGAACAAATTCCCAACTGGTAATGGGAAATGGTAATTTCCCGGTACATGCAGCAATGGCAAGTAAAAACATTTTTATCTTTATAACTTCCTCTCAGAAGAACATGTTTCTACTGTAGGTATAATTTTTTTTTTGTCACAGAATAGAGATGTTATTTAAGTCAAAAGAGGTTTTAACATATTTCAGAGTGTGGGGTCCCATGGTGCAAAATTCTAGGATAAATAGCGTTGGCAATAGGGTCTTTTGCAGGTCTGATTCTCTGTTTTTTTACACTAAATTTAAATATACATTGTAAAAAGTGTATTTCAATGTAGGAACATTAATGACACTATGGGGGAGGTAAGGTGGATGCTGGTGTGTGTCTGTGTGGTGGGGAAAGGGAGGTTTGGGCATTTGAAGCTCAAATTAATATTCCAAGACCACAGATCTAGGCAGTGACCCCTCCCTGGTGGGGGGAAGCCTTTACAACCAAAACTTTGTCTTGCTGAGATCTTTCTTCAGGTTTTTCTGTTTTTCTTTGTTCTTGTTCCATTGCATAATTTTTTACCCTCTGTAACATCTCCTAAAATAAACAGACAGAAGTTATGAGTATTTCAAAAAATCAACTTTTCGCTGCTCATAAATCATTTTCTGTGTTATGGTTCTAAGCAGAAGTTCACAAATTAATAGCAAACTGTGAGTGAAGTTCAATATCATGGCTTCACGGAAGCCAAAATTACCTTCCTCTTTCACACAGCTATCTTAAGTGCAGGAGAAACTTACCCGGAATTTCTTGTCATTTTCAGAGAGTATTCTATTTCTTGTTCTTGACTGAAAGAAAGTAGTTTGAAAAAGATTTCAATGACTAACAGTTGTAACAGTTTGTTATGGAGAGTACTACTTAACCAAAAAGAGACTAGAATTAGCACTGAAAAATTATCAGTTTTGGTAGGCATTAGTCGGACACTTGGTAAAAACTAAAATGAAGCCAGACTAGTCAACATAACAAATTTTGAAAAGCTGGTGTTTCAAGTGTTGGCCCCTCTGCTGTATACAACTATTTTCTTTGGAAATGGGTGAGAACGAGGTAGCTGTGAGCTAGGAATATTATTACTATTGATTTCATTCTTTTTACTGGCAGTCTATGGAGATTAATACAATAGTATTGTAAAAGTGATGTTTTAAGACATTTTTCCAAGTTCAAGAAGCTAGTTATCTGATAGAATTTTGTTTCTGAATTTTCCCTGACAGCATCTGGTCACAGATCCTACATAAATGAATTTTAATTATCAGATATATCAGTACTGTTATCCTGATCTTGACAATGAAATCATACTTATTTGAACTTGATGTCACAGACTGAAATAATAATTCTTTAGAAGAACAATTAATAAAATGATTCATTCTCACCTTGACAATGACAAAAGCCAAGAACACAAGATGGATGCAAACAAAGCAGCCAATGCCAACATATAAACAAATTCTATCAAACTTTTTCTGAGCTGCTGAGTCTAGAATGAGAGCTGCAGCAACTGCATTTTCAATAGCCATGCAACCCAGGAAGAGAAGGCCACACAAAACATATTTGTCCTATGAGAAAAAAAAGCAATATGGGATGGATTGCTTAAAACTCCTCGTTTTGTCACACTGTTACTTTTGCACCCCTTTCACTTAAACTGAGCATATTTACAAGGCTATGAAGGGAGGTACACTATCTGTCCATTAGACCCCAAATTTTGGACCCAAATTTTAATTGTCAAAGATCCTATTGAGTAATGCCAATGAAAAGCAATTTCAAAGGGATGATAAAAAACATCAAATTTCCCTCCAAAGCATTTCCTTAAGGTGTTAAAGTGGGAGACAAACACTCACCAGTAATGTCAAGTATGAAATAGTCGGTAAGCTCTGTGATACAACAAACTTGAAAGCTACTGCTGTCAACAGAAGGGTAAGGGTGACACTGAGTCGATCAGAAGGTGATGAGATTTCCACAGAAAATGAACAGAATGATAAGAGAGAAATGAGAAACTGCAAAAATAAACAGAACCAAAAGGTCAGCTAATTTATATCAGTTAAGGTGGCTACCATCACACTCAGAAAATAGAGTTCAGTTGAAATCAAATTAATTGATACATGACTTGATATTTGTATCAAATGTAAATATCTTGAACAACATCCAGCCACAAGGATGAAAACATGGGATCAGAACTTCATACTCTTCACATCAAGCAGTTCTACCTCTCAACCCTTAGCCTCCTGATCCCATCCTAATAATCGAACATTCAATTTGGTGAAGTAATTTGACTATGAATACTGAATAATGCCAACTGACAGCTAAAAATTCCTTAAGGCAAGAACAGAGTATGTCTGCCTAATTATCAGCACCTCCACATGCAAGGATCTATCGCATTCACCTTTTATAGCTAGGATGCTCAGAATCCACATCAGCAGATGCTCTTCTTACACAGCCCTGGGTATTTGTATCCTAGGGCTATGTAAGCCCTAGAATACAAATACCTATGAGGGGCTATCCTTTCAAATTTTCTGCAATTTTCTTCAACACCTTCCAGCCTATATTCATAACGGTTCCTTCCCCCTTTCCTTTCTTTCCTTCTCCCACCCTTTTCATGCATGGAATTGACTTGTGTTGTAGTCTTAAAGTATGAAATGTAATTTCCCCTGTTTTGAATCCCAAACTCTCAGGGCCGGTTATTTATTTGAAGTCTAACCCAAACCATGGTTGTATGTAATCAGTAGGTGTCATGCTTTTTCTGTTGGAGAGTTGATTTCATTAAATAAATGTCCTTTCACTCAGCCTGTGAGACTGTTCAAAAAAATAAATGTTCTGATGAAAGGTCCAGCTAAATTGAGGATTGTTTAGAACACTGTTTCGTTTCAAAGCAGCTAAACTATGTTTAAATAACCAGCCCTAGGTATCCCAACTAAGTAACCTGACAAGTTTATACCAACTTTGGCTAGTACTTACAATAATCATAACAATGTTCCAAAGGTAGTAACCATTCTTTCTCTTAACATGACACTTGATATGGTAGAGAGGGTAGTCATTAGCACTGCTTCCCTCTGAAGATACAGTACTAGTTGATTCAGTGACCACATTTCTACATAGGTGCCATTCTTGGTCAGCTGTGAATGTTTCAGGTCGCAACGTATCTGGCTTTCTTAGGTCTTTTTCAAATTCTACAAGTTTATCAGTCCAATCTGACATGAGTGTTATTGTCAGTTGCTGCAGAAAAAAAGTGTAGATCATGACTAATGACCTTACATGTAAAACTGAAGTCTAGCAATATTTTTTTATAAGATGGCACATTCTAAATGAAGGTAGTATTAATCAAAGTTACTGAGATATGATTTCTTCTTGTTTATGAACAAATAATTATTTAAAGGAAATTGCTCTGATTATCACCTGATAAATCCTAAGCTAACAGGACACAGTTATCAGCTTAATTAAGCCTCAGGAGATACTTTTTAACCTTAATGGGGTCAACCTTTGACTGGATATGTTTTGCCAATATAAGCTTTGCTTTTGGTACATAATGATTGTAACTGGTAATTAAGGATCATTCACATGTGAGAATTGTGCCTTTATGAAAAACAGGAATGTGTCTAAAGTCTCTAGCAAGTGTTTTTTTTTCCAAAGGAAAATTATCTTTTATATTTATTATAATCAAAGTAAAAAAATTGTTCTCAATCATAATAAGTTTTGAGTAACTAATCAGAATATTACAGGAATAATAATCATTATAGGAGAATACTAAACCTGATAATCTAAAGGAAAATTCCACAACTCCAAATTTTCTCTAAAACTTCCTTTTATTCTGTATGACTGCATGGCATACGGTATTTTATTACCCTCTTCATAAAACAATTTATGATTTATTTCCATTTTTTCAATTTCCACTGCATTAAAAAACACAATTCTGGGATGCCATTCACTGCTCCATCTTATATCCTGAAAAGAAAACAAAATTAATGTAATGTTCAAGACAAAATAGTAACTTTGACCACCTTCTCTCCCTTAACACTACAACTGTTGTCTTATTTTAACCTTTTAGCCACTGAGCCATTTAAATACAACTTGTTATAAAATATTAAAACATTTTAACCCTTTAGCCCCTAAGAGTGACTAGCATCTAATTTCTCCTTACCATATCTCCCCTGAATCAAAAATGAAAGTCATAAGAATAGAGAAGATGATCACCAACTAAAGCAGGCTTGATTGTTAAACAAATTCTCCTTGTCAGCCTCTTTGAAAATGTATGGAGAACAGTATGGAGAATATGCATGGTGATGTTAGGGAGTAAAGGGTTAACCAGAAAAGTTATAAGGGATGTGCTTTGACCCAACAACAAATTCTAAAAAACCTAAATTCTAGGAAATATATGGTTGACGATAGTAAGAACTAATATTAAGATCTTTGGAATGGAAGGGTTACATGGCACTAAGGCAAGGCATACAATTTTGTATGGCTTTAGAAGAGTTTTAGCAGAGTTGGATGATATCTCAGGGACAGTCACTTTATTAACTGAACAAGCTTAACTGCCATTTGTTATATAGTTGAAATTTAGCTCACATCCGGACTTCTTCCCTGCAGTTGTGGCTCTGACCAGGTTGCCGACATATAAAAATCACATTTGAATTGCTGACCAACTGTGTCAATGTCACCAACAGATATAATACTGGTTCTAATTGCCACAATAACCTTAAAAGAAGAAAACAACACTTGCAATTAATTTAATGAAAAAATTGAAATGAGTTATTTTTAAATTGAAAGAATTATATCAATTTTCTGATTGATTTTATTGAAGAGGAGCCAGAGGGATTGGCTGAGAAAACCTAAATACTCAATACTAAATACTGTTGGGCTGGTTTGGAAGGGACAATAAAGGCAAGATAACGAATTTTTAGAGAATATGTTTGAAATTTCTTTCATATTGAACTGGTGTGTATTCTCTCTGCAATTTCCCAGACTGCTCAAGTCTTAATTTTCTGGATCTGCGACTATAAATTAAACAGTTGGTAGGCAGCCCAATCGATCATTAAATCGCACATATATTGATCTTCGTATATTTCCAGTTATTAAATCGCACATTAGTTGTTGACAATGTTGCCTCCCGTTGCCCACTATTTATCACTGGAGGGCTGGTCTGACAAAAACACCACAACGAAACTGATTTACAGGAAGTAGAGCACACTGTAAATGCCAACTTGTAGAGCACATTTTAAGAGAAATCAAATGGAATGGTAAATAGTACAGAATCATAAGTTGGCTTATTTGCTGATGATAGTGATTAGCTAGCTATGTATTCTACAGTTTTTTCTTAGCTGATTATGAGTAAAAGTAATAGATATGCTTATGTTTCTTACGATCCTTGTTGGAAATCTGTTTGCAATTGTGTGCATTTCAGTTAAGAGATAAAGAAATTATACTTATGTCAAAGCTAACCTTCTCAAGTTTGTTTTGACGAAAATCGCACTTATTATCCCCTTCGGCATGAGTGTTGTCCTCTATCTCTACTAGTAGTTTCTTGACATCTTCAAGGCCAGCCAGAGAAGCTTCGATTCTATCAAGTCTCGAGAGAAGAATAGAAAATCTATCCTCTGTAAGCACCGACGAAGAGGTCATATTTGTTCAGCACTTCTAACTCAACAAAGATTCCTTACCAATACCAATACTTGACAAGGAAACCTAGCAACCTGTTATTGTTGGGGAACTGGACCCTATAAGTGAAAGATAGGAACGCACTGCGTGCTTACTTTGTACAGAAGCAACTGACGACAGAATGGAGCAGTGCGAATCAGTTTTACGGCTCCGCAACCAAAGACGGCCAAAGAACCGCAAGCAACGCAGGAATAGGAAAAAAAAAAGAAAATAAATCTTAAGTTAAAAGCGTTTAAGCAATGGCCGAAAAGAGATAAGGCAGTGAGTGGTATCTATACGGGCACCTGAATTTATCTATTTTCAAAAAATAAAATTTAAAACTTAAAATTTAAAACTTAAAATTTCTAAGTTCTGTGATCGTTTAAAGGAAAATCCATCAGAAAACAGACCATTTTATTAACGCAACAAGTATCCCAATTTCTGCAATCGCTAGTCGTTACGATAACTTGAAGTTAGTTTGATCCTGTTTTATCACAGATCAGTGAAGGGAAGCGCGCTCGCGAAAACTATTTTATTGCGTCAGACGCATTCTCGTTACATCATGTAGATCTTCGATAAGTAACGGATTCAGCTTCATGAGCGCGCAAAATAGAGGCTTCAAGATGGTTGTGAAAAAATATTTTTTGAAAAAGGGTCCTTAGAATTTTAAGTCAACTGATCGAATCACGTGTAGGCTAAAGCTGAATGGAACAAGCACGAATACGAACTCAGTCCAGTGATGCCGGATTTGAGTTGGATGCTATCATGTCAGTATTCCTCTATTCAAGAGCCTTATTCTTAGATACGAAGCAACAACAAATTGCCTTGGCCGGAAGAAACCAGCAAGAAGTGTCCTTTTCCTACAATCAAGATCTATCTCTTGCATTTGAAGACAACTTAGCAAGTGGCGTTCCTCCGGTGAGCGAACTGTTTGCTGGATTTATCGGCTCATATAGATATACAGTCAGGCCGTCCAAGATGAGATATTGCAGTGTTGGGTTTTATGCGGCTGCAGGTGATACCCCATCTCGTTTTGTGGGAGGTCTCTCTCATGATAATCCATAGACATTTGAGGACAGAAACAATCAAGTTTGGGAGGGGCAGGCCACACGAGGGCCGCAGAGGGAAGAAAATCACAGAGTATGTTACCGCAATGAAGTGGATACTGCTTTCAATTAACATAATCATTCATCTGTTATCGTTGGATTTGTATTTCAGTCAATGTAAGGCTGCAAAAGAAAAAAAATTGGTTGTATGATTATTTTGTGTGTGTGCTTTTTTCACAAAATTGTTATGGAATAAAATGATTAAACAAAAGGATAAAACTTTATATCGTAAAATAGGTTGTGGTTTGTCTTCGTGAAAAATAACACTTTCAAAAGATGATGAACAAGCAATATCATCATCACCCTACAAACCTAGCATCTGAAAACGATACTTAGACACGTTCAACATTTTGGCCTGCAAGAATGTAGAAAGCTTTTTACAGCATTGAAAACACCAACAACCTTCTAGCCGCTTCATCATGAAAACAGAAAGCAACAACTAACTCACCTTCCTCGACACCGCAGTTTCAAAAGAACCTGATGGACGCCCAACCACCAGAGAATAGAAAAAGCCGACAAACACTGACCAATACTTAGGGTATAGTTCACTCCATCCGCAATTAGTGAATCGCGGTATTGTCAAATGTCTTAACGAGCCTGCAAAACGTCTCACTACAAAAGCCTCCGTTAATTCCAGGGAGAAAAAATATTTTTCATCTTTTTTTTTTCTCTAATGGCTATCCTTCCTCTTTCGTGCAGAGGGCAGCGAAAACCAAGACACCGACTGCCAGCGTTGACCCCCCCCCCCCCCTTCCTCCCCCAATGAGTTCAGCAGTCCCATCCTATTTCAAAGGTCTCTCCTAACAACTTCGTCGCTGTCTACAACAAGGTATACGCGCTGTTTTCAAGTCACAGACTACGCTACGGTCACACCTGGTACGTCTGTTAAGAGATAAATCACAAAAGTGTCACATTTGCCGCGGCTCGTATGCCTGTTTGAGTTCATCTGTGACCTGTGATCTGAACCTCAACAGACACACGCACTATATAGAAACTTGTTTGTTAATCAGCTTGTAGTTCAGACCCATTGTGATTAGGTGATAATGATCGATAGCGGTTTCCTGCGTTACTGATGTTTCTTTTTTTAGCAGCTCCATAAAAAGAAAAGCGGAAAAGCCGTGAAAACACTTGTTTCTCCTTTCATTTTCGGCCCTAAGTCTCTCGAAACTTTTCTGCTTTTTTTCTCGGTAGGATCGCTCAAAGCCTTAAAGAGTAAGGCGCACAGCGCACATGAAGGTTGGCCCTGGAAACGACATTGCGAGTTAGCAAGGAATACTGGGATAGTCCATAAGCTTATCGACAAGATGGCCGACGGTGTGAAGAAAGAAGTCATTAAACCTGGGAACGGTCGCACTCCGCACAGAGGAGCTACCATTACAGTCAATTGTACTGGATCGTTAAACACGAACCCACCCAAAAAGTTTTGGAGGTAATTTTTTTTAATTTGACGAGCCGAACATCTATATGGAACAAGATCTTCTTGACGGAATGAAAGCGCCTCTCATTGACGTTCGATAAATTCCACATTAGCACGAAGCACGTGCAAACGCTCTTGTCAAATTTAGAATACGCTGTTTGCAAATTCAAATTCCTCTGACTTAATGATAGGTATCTTTCTAATCTCTTGGGTATTGCAGAACAAAATAAAAAACTGGACTACTTATGTTCTTTGACAGAACGAGAGGGATAATTAACCCTCACGCTTAAAGCAATGATAAAAGCATGCAAAAAAAGCGAAATGCGCCATGAGGTGCTTGGTGCAAGTTTTTAATTTTTTTTTCATTCTCCAGGATGGCAATGTTTTTCAGTAGTAGATTGGAACAATAAATCTTACCACACCCCCCTCCATTCAAAGCAATAATTACAGCACACTAAGAAACTGAATGGACTATTTGGTATAATTGACATTTTGATGGGGTATGTTAAGAAAACAAATTAAATTTTTCCAATAAAGCATCTTGGCAGAGAAACATATGGAATTCTCACTCTTTCATGGTTTACCCTAATTAATGTCCTGTTTTATAGTACAAAGGATCCAGGGCAGAAACCATTTACATTCCAAGTTGGATTAGGGAAAGTGATTGCAGGTGGGAAATCAATAAATTAACTAACTCAGTTCCTCAAAATATAATTTCCCAGGTGAACCTTCAAAGTATGTAAGGTTAATGTGAGCTTACTACATAGACTTGTGTGTTTTATACAGACTTGGATTAACTTTATAGCAGCTTGTACTTCTGGATAACATGAATTTTGTAGGAGGGTATGTTTGTTATTCTTTGATTCACACTGTATCCAAATAATGGATGTTACAATACTTACTGGTAATAAGCAACACTGGATGGATGTTGCTGTTTAAAATCCTATGTGACTATGTGAGTCCTAAGTGACACATTTAGACTCTTGTGATGGGCTATCACTCTAAATAAACTATGTTGGTTCACAAATGAATTTAATTTTCTTTTGTTGAACTTGCTAACTAATCAACCAAGTGTCTCTTATCTTGCAAATTATTGCTTAGATGGAAGGTTATTCTGAGATATGTTGTAATAAACTCATATCTTTATAAAGACTAATCTCTTGCATCTATGGCATTGTCTTTAGCCTCCCAACTCACTGATTTGTTGATTCATGCCTTGTTTTCCCAGGTTGGGATGAAGGATGCATGACAATGAGTGAAGGAGAAATAGCAAAGCTCACTATTCCTTCCCACAAAGGTTATGGGGCATCAGGTTTCTCGTCTTGGGGATATCCTTTCAACTTTGAAAAATCTTTGTTGCATTATGTTTAGTCTAATTTTGCATTTCCTCAATTAAAAGTGAAGCATTTGTACTAAACTTATTCAACCAAAAGAAAGATTGTTCCCAATATTTATGCATTTATTTGTTATTCAGAAACAACTAGAGAGTTTTTTTTTGTTTCTTTTTTATTTACTTCTGGTTATATTTTTTTTTCTCAGTGATTGTTGCCATCTTGAGTTCCACTCTGAAATATTCATCACCTCTTAAAAAAGAACCTGAACTTTATTTTGACCTTTCTTTTGTATCAGTGTTCTCCTGTTATCTTTATGATGGTTGGTAAGTGATGAGAGGTATATAAAGCTCCTGAAAGTTTATGGTTTTTTCAACATCCTCCAAATTATGTGGTTATTATTGTTAAAACACTGCAATTAAGGTTTTTCTTTTTTTATCAAACTAGAATTTAATTGCCCTTAACTACTCTCACGATTCCTCCCAATGCTGATCTCCTATTTGAAATAGAGATTTTGTCCATCAAGTGATGTAAAGGACTCCCCTTGCTGTTCAAGAGGAAAGGACCAATGCAGTACAAGCACAACAGACCCTTTAAATGCATTGTAACGAGTTAGGTAGATGTAAGTTATTGTATGAGTTTCTTTTTCAAATAGAATTATCATTGTCGTTAAAATAAATGTAACATTCAGGAACGCAGCACTAACAGGATTGCATTATTAGTTGCACACAATTAGGAACAAGGATGGATCATTTTTTTTTTATTTTGTAAGTGAATTTGTAGTTGTGATTTAGGTTGGTGTCTAAAGAGACACTGAAATCTCTATAGATATTATCATCTTGTAATCCTGTAGTAGCATGACATGATTAATTAAATCATCTTTTCTACCGGCTTTGGGTCTTGATGTTCTTGCAGTGTTACAATCAATGCGGTGAAAGAGTACAATACACTTTGCAATGGTCATGAATATTGAAAAATATAATTATAATAAGCTGAATACTACACACATTTTGATCTATGATCTCCTGGAGGACTGACACCTAGATGACGTCACCATCAACAATATTTTGCTTTTTTATCGTAGGTAACAAATATATTCCGTACTTCAATGGGTCTGTACAGTAATAGATCACAGAAGACATCAAAATGTAGTAGGAACATCAGTGAGGTCATCTGTGATCTATTACATGACAGACGCCCGGAATTTATTTGTTAATTATGTGATAAGCTGAATTAAACGCACATTTTCATTGGTTCTTAGCTGTGATGAATTAGAGGAAAGACGCTTAGATGAGGGTTTTAAATGATTATACGTGACGCCTGATTAAGCCCAAAATTAATTTGTAAAATAAGGTAAGATTTAAAGTTTTCCCTTTGAAACTCGTGACGTGTGAAATACTGCTAAAAGTACACGTGATGCGTTAATTTTTCTGAAATTCGTGCATGGAACAGGATCAGGACCCCCTTCCTTTCCAGTGCTCTTAGATAACGTCACCATTTAACCATCTTTTCTTCCCTTATGACGTAATTCGTGATCTGTTACTGAACAGACGCACGGCAACACGGAATCTGTTTTCTAACCCCTAAACTCCCAAGATAAAATTGTCAATTCACCCCTCTAGCCGCTGCACATTCTCTTGTTAAACATTTGTGAGAATTTGGTGCTAGATCGATAACAACTTATGCTTGTTAAGTTTGAGTATTCTCATCACCTGTTTGCTGTATGACGTATGGATATCATTATGAGAAGTTACATGCCAATCACTTCTAGGATTTCAAGGGTTAAAAAGACAACAATGCCCAGGATATAAGGAAGTCTGTGTGCGAGTTCTCGCGAACGCGCGAATTAACAAGCGAAAGAACGACGTACCGCGATGTTGTCTATGCAAAAAATTTCACCACATTCATTAATTCCATACTTTGCAAAAAGTTAAAATTGAGTGCTTTTTTTCAAGTACGGTCTGTTAGTTTCGAAACGCCTGGTTAATATACACTTTATTACAGTTTTTTCGTTAGTTAATGATTATTGTAGTAAGTTAATTATCTCCGATCAAATTCCCACTTAAGTGCTCGTGTAAAGATTCTATTTCAATCGTCGCTACTAGTAATCGCTGCTAAATCATCACTGCTAATCGTCGCTGCCAGATAATCGCTACAAGCTATTTGTTACCATTCGCTATAAGCTATTTACTACTGTTAGGAGCGAGACAAAAGTAAGTTTTTATTTCTTTTACATTTACGTTGTTTACCTTTTGTATGTATTATAGGTATAGTTCACCTATTCAGTTTTCCTTGGAATCGCTTCATTTTTAGTTTGGTTAAGGTTACACGGTCTTCGTTCCCTCGCGTACCTTTACATAATGAGCTGAAATAGAACACTCCTTGATGTTTCTTAATATACCTTTAAAAAGACCAAAATTTTATATTCCTTAATAAAGAAATGAGACTTGCGTGGATGCTGGTCATGTCTACGGTCGTACTAGCCACAGATGCTCAAAATACCGAAAGCTTCAGGCCCTGTCAAATTCAACAGCTGAGAGGGAAGCTGCGATGTGTTGTACCGAGAGATTACAACATGCGTCCTGGGGATTGCCCTGGTAACGACATCTGGTCCCTTTACAGAGATCGTACAACCTTGAAGGAATGTGCACGATTGTGTTCCACATCTCCCAGTTGCCAGGCCTTTATGTTCTACAACAATCACCGATGTTACCCCAAGACTAAAACCTGTGCCACTGCAACCAAGACCAACCCCCTAAATATGTTTTATGACAAAGTCCCAAGAGGCTTTGCCATGAGACCTGGTGATTGTAGCGGCAATGATATCTGGTCCATCCACGGATTCGTCTCCTTGATGGAGTGCGCCAGACGCTGCAAAGCAAACCCTTCATGTGTTGCATTCATGTTCTATGATGGCCGCGAATGCTACCCTAAGACCAGGACATGTCGAACGACAGATACAGCTAATCCTAAGAGTTTCTTCTACGATAAGATAGCCTTTTTGAAACATACAGTTGTAGCAGCTGTCGGAAGAGATAGAACGAACTAGCTGACAAACCACAAGAATTTTGAATTTTAGTTCTCAAAATGTCTAGCTTCGGCCATGCGATAAACCGTGTTAGTATAATCGCTTTAGTGTAAAAACCCTCCCTAAATGTCAACAATGGTAAGTGTTTTTTTTTTTTTGTCTGGGTCAAGGTAGTTAGTTCTTGTGACAGTGTTCTTCTTTACTGTTGAGTAAAGTAGTCAGATAAAGGTTTTTCCACCAGAATAGGGGGTATCATCTACTTAGAAATCCAGTGGAAAAAATGGGTTGTTTAACTCAATAAACCTTCCACAGCACAATGTCGTGTTCTCTCTTTGATTTCAGCCGATAAGCATGTATTCGTAGAATAAATCTCTCTTATGAGGAGAAAGAGTACACCGATAATTCTGCTAAGTACCGGGGATGTGAACTTCTCGGTTGGTTTCTCCCTTTCCTTCTTTAATACACGCTCCATTGATAAATCGGCGATTATGCGCAAACTGTGACAGTCTGCGGTGAAATGAGATGAAAGAAAACAGGGTGTAGGGAAAGGGTTGCTATAAAAAAAAGTATTTGTGAAGTGGGGTAAAAAATTATTCTTCTCCAATGATATCAGCAGAAAAGCAGCTCTATTGTTAAGAGAGTATGCACCCTCTCTTGATTGTTAGTCAAGTAAGAGCATGAAGTTCCTGGCTATTCCAGACAATCTGCAGAATTTGCATTTCCTAAGATGGACGAAATAACTCGTAAGAAACAGCTGAAATTACTTCTCACAAACAGTAGCAAAATGCAATAGGAAAGGGAAATAACGGAGAGCTTTAAGAACAGAATGGGTATGAAACGAATTATGAAAATGCAGTTAAGGGTAATGCCTGTCGAAAAGGTACGTTTTCTCTTTCAACGTGTTCCCACAGGAACACTATTGACTTAACTATACCTTGACAAAATATGATTGATAGAGAACACCATGATCGAAACAATCTGTTTTCAGAAGTGAAAATAGCAACTTTGCAAACGCTGCTTTTAAAGATATATATCTTCTCACGACACGAAAGTCGTTGCGCAGTATGTGCGTCCGATAAAACGACCAATCATTCTGGAGATTACTAGCTTAAGCGTGACACCGTTACGTGACAAGGCCCCCCTGCCGAAGACAAGCCTTACTCACCCAAGTCACCTTGGGTAGTTCTTGTTCTGAAACGCAGATGCACTCGATGATAGTTTCATATGATAACTTGCTCCAAGAAGTATTTGTTTAGAGTCAGGGCTTGCTTATGCCACAAAGTGTGAACGAAGCCTTTCTGCTTATTGCCTGAAATTAATTGGAGATCATTTCCGGCTTGGGAAGCACCTGGTTGGTTTGAAGTGACATCGAGAAGATCTTCTAACGACAAGAAAAGGGCTGAGAGGAAAGTCAGAGCAGATTATTCAACCTCAAACAAGACTTTCAAACCAAGTGACCATGGTGTTATGGCTGGGACTTTTTCTTCCTCTTGTAGGGGTTGTGGCGCTTGCAATATTTCTTATCTGGGCTGTTGTTGTGACATTATACTTTGCATCTCCCCATGTCTTGAGCCACGTCATACACAGGTGTGAAAAAAATGCTAATTGTAGAAACTGTTTATAAAAGTGCGCCGCATTTTGATCAGCTATCATTATCACTTACTTTCTTATTCACGCTAGCTTTACCTCTGTATGTACAGAAATTCGAAGAGAGATCTTGTAGTTCTCATAATACGCCCTTAGAAGGCTGGGTGTGAACGTTTGTTAACTTTCGTTTTTAAACTTCAAAGAATCTGCAAAATGCGATAGAATCTGATGATTTGACGATTTATTGTTTCATTCGTTGACTAAATTAATACACACGCATATTACCAAAGGGATTCTGTTTCTGTGTTTGCTGTACTTCGCAGTTGTCACGTATATTTCTTACTCCATCGCGTGATTACAAGCCAATTTTCAGGTCTTAGTTTAGGATTTCAGTGTATTTCTTGATATCGAAACAAACAAAGTGTTTATGTTGGCATATTCTGAAAGGAAAATTGTGATAAAAGTGAATTTGATAAATACTGTTTGTATGTGGTACTTCGGAAGTAATATGATTTACTTTGTCCTAGATTAGTGTTCCTTAGTGTTGCTTACGGATAACCTTCCTTTCTTAATTTGAATTTTGGACAATTCTTAGAAATAACCTTTAGTTTGCTTTCATATCAAATTTAAACACAATTCTTTTCAATTTTGGTGACTGAACGTCAAAGTTTGGACGCCAAAAAACATGTAGAATTCGATAAATTTATATGAATTCAAGACTATGACCTCATCTTCTGACATCTAAGACAGAATTAAACATGTTTTATCTTGAAACAAAACTAAACTTCTGAAATTCATTGAAAACTGACCAAGTCACTCAAAGATTGGAAACAAATCTTTTGGTTACAAGAAAAGAGATGGCAATCTTGAGATGTTTTTTAGAATGTTAGTATTTTTTTTAAAAAACTTTAAGTTAAAAGATAGCACAACAAGTCGTGGGGTTCTTTTAAACATTCATTACATTGTTCTGTTAATATCAGGATTAGTTTGTCTCAGCATGGGTTAAAATTGTTGTTTTATTACTACCTGTCATGATTGGCTCTTAATTTTCCTTGATTTGGTTAATTTTTCAATGCCCATGCAGTTTACTTATTATAAATAGAGTAAAATCAGTCCCCCAAAGAATGTTCCTGATTGTTTTCTTGAGTCTCAATTCAGCAAAATGAACTTCATAAGGAAGCTCTAGCTGAAGAAATTTCTAAAAAGGAACAGGCTTCCTTTTCTGCAATTTAATCAATTGAAGTTCAACAGTAAGGATTATCTAATGATTTTTCATCAGGTCAAAATATGATTTATTTCATCTAATTGCATTTCTTCTGTCCCCTTAACCTTTTCCCTTCCCAGATCTCTGCCCATTTTTTTACCCATTTAACAAATCACTGATCTTGTTTCCAGGTTAACAATATTTAGAGGAGGGTTTACCTTGAAGTATGTGTCAGTGGGAGACTTCACATTTAGCTACGTTGAGAGAGGGAAAAGTGAAAAGGCAGAAAATGTCATTCTGATGGTTCATGGTTTTACAGGAGATAAAGGTATTTGGTGTCTTATGGGAAAAGCCATACCTAAGACATTTCATCTGGTAGCGGTAGATCTTCCAGGACATGGGTATACTACCCGAAAACACCATGATGATCATTCTATTCCAGCTCAAGTTGCCAAACTTCATCAGGTACATATGAAATAATTCTTTCAAACAAGCCAGTAAAGTTTATGCATAGCAATTCAAGTTCTAGTTTTACAATCAAATGTAATAATCAGATTTTTCTGCTTTACTATCCTTGCCATTATTGTTCAGTTGTGAGCTCTCTGCTCTCCAGCTTCACTCCACTGAATGTACTAATGTGCCTTCGATGTACCCTCCCACCAAAATTCAATTAAACCATAGTCACCTGGTGAATGTCAACTTGGGGTCTTAACATAATTATTCAAGTATTACACATAGATACCAGTACTTAAACAATCAGATGAGAACCTTCAAGAACTTGCTGGTCTTTCTCTACCTTTAAACTATGCTTTGGGCTTCTCACTTCTATTATTTAGAGGTCTAATATGCTCTTTGCAACATTGAAATAAATTATATAGAGAGCTGCTTACTTACTGGTGGGTTATAATGTTTCTTTTCAGTTTGTGTTGGCTGTTGGACTGGATAAGAAGAAGTTTCATTTAGTTGGTTTGTCCATGGGCGGCTTTGTGGCTGGTGTGTTTGCATCACAGTACTCATCTTTGCTATCATCCTTGGTCCTTATGTGTCCTGCAGGCATAAATGCACCAAAAATGAGTGATTTCATCAATAACATTGCCAATGGTGGAAAGAACTATTTGCTGCCTGACAATCCTCAGGATTTTCAGTACATGATAAAGAAAGTGTCTCATCGGAAAATTTTCATTCCTTTCTTCATTGCCAAAATCATGTGTGCAGCTAGGAGTCAATCAAATTCTTTCTATGAAAAAGGTAACTCTGATAACTATTTTGAGAATTTAAAAAAGAGTTGCAGTGGTATATTTAGGTTCCCTTCAACCCTTTACACCCAAATGTCAATATGTATATTCCCCATACTATTTTCCATACATTTCTTAACCCTTTAACTCCCAGAACTGATTAACATGTAACTTCTCCCAATAATTTATAAACATTTTCCAGCAAATCAAGGGGTGTGAATATTCAAACCTATCAGGTAGAAGTTGTCATCCCAATTGAACACCAAACTCTTGTAACTAGTTTATGAGGAAATGTGTAGCAGCCAGAGGGGAAAATTAACAACTAGATCTCTGGAGTTAAAGGATAAAGATACAAACAAAGAGCATTTGTTTAACAATCAAGAGCTTCTTTGGTTGGTAATCATTCTTTATTTCATGTAATCTTAATGTGTGATTGAGGGGTTATATGTCCTGTAGAAATGAGATGCTTGTCACCATTAGGAGTAACAGTGTTACAAGCTGGACATGTGCAAAGAGAATGGCTTCTTCTTAAAATTGGAGTGCTCTGAGTGCCATGCTTTTGCTGTTGCTATGTGCATGCTGCAGTGACTGTGTTATTCCTTTCATCACTGAGTTATTTGCAACACAAGTGAAATAACTAACAAGTACATTCCACGTTCTCTTGCGTCTGTTTAGTAGCAGATCACAAATGACATGAAAATGTGGTAAGAACATTTAAGTGGCACATGAGGTGCAGTGCAGTGTGTCACTGATATTCTTAGCACAATTTGATATCTTCTGGGATCTACTACACACAGACTCATCTAAACATGAAATATATTTGTTTTATCTGATAGTGACATTATCAATGCATCTGCCCAAGAGATCATAGATAAGAACCAATCAAAATACAAGTATTACTCCATGAAATTCAGCCCATATAATTAATATTAGATACTGGTGTCAACTATGATTAGTAAATTAAGGTTGCTATAAGTTGTTATTCACAATTTTTATCACATACAGAAATACATTTTTAAAAGGAACCTCATTTCTTTTATCATCTTCCTCTCCCTCTTCTTAACCTTGTAAACCCTAAGAGTGACCAGCATCTGGTTTCTCCTTACAATAATACTGCTGAATCACTCATTTAAGATCATAAGAATAAAGGAATGATCAACAACTAAAGAAGCTCTTGATTGTCACACAAATTCTCCTTGTCAGCACCTTAGGAAATGTTTAGATAAAAGTATGGAGAATATGCACACTGATGTTAGGCTGTAAAGGGTTAAATACAGAAAACCACAACATTTACCAAATATGCATATAGGATAACATTGGACATATTGGGTATAATTTTTTTTCACTTTTTGTTCTTATTTTACAGTTTTGACTGAAATAGTTCGGCCTGACCAAAGATATCTTCTACAGGATGTTCTGGAGAACATTGATGTTCCGACCCTTACGATGTGGGGCAGTAATGACCTGGTCAGTAACAAATTAGCGCAACACAGTCACTAAATAAATCATTTCAATTCAGCCACTAGATGGCCGTCGGAGGACATTTCAAAAGCGATTTGTGGGTACTTATGGCTAATAATTTAGAACATGTACAAACCTACAGCATCTTGACCTTTTCGCAATGTGTCATTTTCACATTTGACACACTAGATTTTGCGGGTGAAGGTTTTTCTGTAAGGCTGGGAAAGGTTTTACTCATGACATTTTTGTGGAAATGAAAACGATAACGACTAGAACGATATTTTAGAGGTATCATTTAAGAGAATTGCAGCCGAGAATACCTTTTTAAATTACCTTCTGTAGTGCGATTTACCGATGGAGATCGTCTGTGTGTGCTAAGCCGGAAAATTCCCTTTAGCTCACTATGTGCAGCTTACACTCGCTGACAAAGAAGTTAAGAAATAATTGCTCTGCCGTCACCATTGCTTACTAACGAGTCGCAACTGTGTCACTGGTGATCAATGTTATAAATCACAGTCGGTGTTTCTCCTCGGAGACCCATTAGTATCTGTCCACTGAGAGTATCGCGGGAATTTTCTCGGTGTCTGTTTTAAAGTTTCTACAATAAACCCCTTTTTAAGTTCTAACTTTAGCACGAATGAATTTAAATGATCAAAGTACAGAAGGCAGTGTTGATACAGTTTATCGTGATGTGACTCTTCTTTCTTAGCCTGCTCTCCCTTACACTTCAGGTCTCGAACAATGGGTGCGCGACTTTTCTCCCAACTTATCGCAGAAAGAGAAGCGTTACTTATTAGCTATCTCGTTTGATATTTAACTAATTTTTGGAAATATTTAAATGAAGATAGTTTTGTTTTGTGGTGTTGTACTTAACTTTATTTTTATTTCCCGTTTTTAATATTGTTGTTTATTTCATAACAACTCGAAACTCGCATTCAGCTAACGCCGAGGTACCCAGCAAAGAGCAGTTTTTGTTTTAGTGTCGAAAGTAATCATCTCTTGACCCCGCTCTATGATTGGCTGAAAGCTTGGTCAGTCCAACCACTCAAAAAATCAGTTGTGAACCTTCAACCAATCGCTGGCCTTTCTCTTCCTTTTACTCGCATCTCTCGGGCTTCTCACTTCTATTACCTAGAGATTTAGAGTGCTGATTGACTGTTTTGAATAATTTTGTTGTTACAAAATTCAATCAGAACTGATTTGTGCACCGATGAATTTGTGATCCAAAGATGTAAGAATTAATTGCACATTCTGCGATTCTTTCAATTGACGTTTTGGCTAAGGATGGATGAAAATATTTTATTCTTCAGATCCTTGATGTGTCTGCAGTGGATATCATCAGAGAAAAAGTAAAGAACTGTCAGGTTGAGATAATGAGCAGTTGTGGTCATGCCATTACTTTGGAAAGACCATGGAAATCAGCGAAATTGATTTTGAAGTTTATCAATTCACTTCCTAAAACTGAAAGGTGAAATAGGAGGAAAAGATTGAGGTTCGGGTCAGTCGGATAGTGTTTGAATAGGGAGAAATGGAACAACCTCGGCAGAAGAAAATGGGAAGCAGCCGAATTTTCAAAATGTCTTAACATATCGGATTATCGCGTTGCTCTGTAGAAATTGAGTTTCTATGTAATTATTTCAATTCTAAATGTGTAGAAGGTATTTTTAGTTTTAATTATCCTATGGTGAAAGTAATGAATTAAGTGTTGAACTTTTCTTCTATGGGCTACTTTAAAGATTGTAAATTACCACCTAACTTAGCCCCACGATTGCTTGGTAATTTAGACCGAGAAGAATTAAATATTTATTAGACGAATTTAATGGGGCTTGCCATTTGAAAGTAAAACATCACGATATAAGTATTATTCAGGAAACCGAGTTGTTTCAGATTGACACCCATCATTAGCATTCCCCCGTCCAATGACTAGTAGGAGTTCAAGATCTTTGCTGCTGTTTAAGGAACTTTTGTGGTGTTGTACCATGCCGTGATATTTAATGTAATTTCGTATAGTGTTTTATAAAATAATTCAAATAGTACGCGCGCTCTGATTGGCCATAAAACCATTTTACATGAGCGTATGTAAACACGGTTTTCATTCCTCTTTCATTAGTTATTTTATAAAAGAAATGTAAAATGTTTCCGTGTTTACATAGCCTGATGTAAACACTTGGGAGGTTAGGAGAACACTCGATAAGTTGGAAACCACTCCGCTTCGCGTCGTGGTTTCCTACGCTTATCTCGTGTTCTCCCAATCTCCCGCGTGTTTACATCAGGCTATGTAAACACGGAAACCATTTTACATTTCTTCAATGTCATGTGTTTTGAGGAAAACCCCATTATTCTCCCAGCACCTTTTTCATTGTATAAATGGGTGGTAACGAAAAAATTAAACGCGGAAATAGCATTTGTGGACATGACAGCCACAAAAACCTGACATAAACGCGTCGCAGAAAATGCAAAATTTGAAATTCACCTTGAAACAAGGAAGAAATTTTTTTTTTTCTTTAAACTATAGCAGTTTAATCTTCCAAAAGTGCCATGTACAGAGGAAGAAATTTAATCCCAGCAGCACGAATGACTTCTCGCATTTCAATTCGGATACGTGTGCGACACAGTGCTGTGTCGTTTATATGTTGATCCTTCGTTTGAGATCCGTTATCGCAGAAATCTTGAGGACCAGTGATGAGTGTCCGAGATAACAGGGCATTAAGTGAGCTACGTCGATGTATCAAGGTTTCTACGTTTTGCAAAATCTAGCCTGAGTTTTCTTCATTTGTAATTCACGTTAATCTTCTTCATTCTGAGTCATTTCTGTTCCTTTTTGTTTATTCTTGTCCCTTTGGTGTCCACGTCTGACCCTAGTAAATTATTGTTAGAAGGTTCCAGAAAATCTATGACAGTTTCAACTGTCCAAACAAACTGAAGGCTCCTAAAGATATCTACTATTGTTTGTTTTGTGTGATATGGTAACTTAAATTGCCAGCATGATCTGTTTACTTCTGAAAAGTTGTAGAGTTGGTCTCGTACTGTAAAGGACTAGCTGTTGAATTCAACATGGTTTTAAATTAAATACTGGACATTCAACTCTTAAGCAACCCAACAAAGTCGTATCAACGAGTCAGAGTGAGCTTCTACTGTAGCACTAGTAAGGTGTCGTAACGAACAGAAACTCCTTAAACAATTTCTGCTCCTCTTAGCAACCACAATATTTGGAATTTTCATTACCTTTAGCTGTCTGCCGAACGTATTGTTATGATAACTGCGCTGTTGTTTGCATTACCACTGCGCCTGAACCGTTAAAAATAAATTATTGGAGGTAGCTTTAGCACCTGGCTGTGACTTGTTGCAATGCTTTTAGTGCTCAGTCGTTTACAATGCACGTTGTTCGGCCAGTGGGGCAAATTTGTCTTAATGTAACGTTCAATTAAAGGATTAATATTTTATAACTTCTCACAATTTGTAACGATTCTAAAAACGAAGGACAGCAATTGTGGTTTGTCGGTGCCACGTTTCCATTTTGTTATATCTTGATTAACGAGAAAGTTCGAGAAGTTACTAACATAACAGGTGTAAACCTATAGTCTGTGGCGTAGGATGTGTCTACTGATCTGTTTGGTTATGGGCACGCACACTGTCATTTAGAAGAAGCATTTAAGAATTTACACGCTCCCCGTCAGTGAGCTGACTGATCCTCAAGAATCCATATATGCTTTAAGTGGCTATCGCTTGGATGATGGACTGAAGTAGTGCTGGAATACAAGAATTTAGAGCCGGTAAGTGTATCGTGAAAGGAAAAATTTAATATTGGTCACGAGCCACTTATTTTGATGGACTAATTAAATGGCACAAAAGATGTCTTTTTAGGTTCAAAGGAGAAAAGCAGGTGTTGAGGAAAATTCCCTGCGACATTAATTATGTTTTTAGCGATAAAGTCACTTAGCCGCCACCGATTCTTTAATGTCCTTAGGAAAAGCTTTCCTTTCATGAAGAGATTTAAACTGAAGTGACGGTTTCTTTTAAGACAAGTTTCGACTGAACGGAACTCATTTGACCGACCGAAGACTAACCGGCTAATGGACGAAACAACATTTCAGCAAAGTACACAGCTAAAGTAGATGTGCAAAGAGAAGTTGTTTTCAAGTCTTTATTGTTTGTTAGGGTTCTATATTCCAAACTTTTTAAGCCGTGAATGCGATAATCTCTTATCTATGAAATTTCCTCTCCGGTGTTAACGATTTTCATATATTTTCTTGAGGGCAAAATATTAAAAAACTGCATCTTTCGATAAATTGTTTTGTCTATATCTATTTTTCTTCGAAGTGCAATTTGATCTCCAGAAAATGAAACGTTACTTATCCAGTAAACAACTTGAATTTCTTTTATTATTTTCGATAAGATCTCCTCTCAGTGAGCCTTTGTGTTCTTTCATTGCACTTATTATACGCATATTTTGGGTGTCTCAATTTCCTTACTCAAAATTGTTATGAATAATTTTTCTTCCTCCTTCTCCTCTTCCTTCTTCCTCTCTCTATAATATAAAGAAGCGAAAAAACCGATTCTGCTTATTTTGATAAATACATTTTATCATGCTGCATGGCGGTGAAATTTAAATTGCAAATTATTTTAACACTTGTTACAGTAATGCTTTTCTGTGAGTTGAATTACGATTGACTTGACTCGACTTTCAGTGAACACCCGTTGAATGCCACCATGGGTGGTATGGATCCTTTTCTCGTTTCTCTGTGGCAATTTATTTGCCAATAGGTAGGAGACACTACTACTTACCAGAGTAACTATATTTATAACATAGCTAATAAATTTGTCTAATCAAATTCAATTGCGCGAGCGAGCTTCATATTCCTATTGGGCACACAAATCCCTCGAGAAAAAAAATTTTCCATCGAGTTGAAAATGCTCGAGGCGTAGCCGAGAGCAACTCTAGCTTTTTGAGTGCTCTCTAAACTTCCCGCGTGCTTCATATCTCGATGAACGCACAGCTGACGTATGAACCAATTGTTACATAACAGTTTTAAAACTAAAGTCGATATCTCAGTTCACTGACAGGGACTGTATATCGCCATGATAAATGGCACCTACTAAACTTTTATGCATCTTAAATGAACGTTTATTTTTTACCATTTTTTAACCGGGTATTTCAGTAATTTTTTTCCATAAGCGTCTGCCTACGGTGTCATAGACGGCTGTGCCTTAAAGCGAAACCCAACACTAGAGCCTGCTCGCAGACTAAAGAGACGGCGGTAAGAGGTCTTATGGGTAAAGGTATAGACAGTCCGTAACCGGCTTTTATTGAAACCCTTGATTGATTTTGATTTTAGTTTTCAGTCGCCTCAGCAGCCACCTTGTTGTTCTTAGTGCTTGAAATCACATCTTCACTTCCGAGATTAGTTCGTCTAGTCAGTCTATGTATGTATCACATGGTTGTATTCCGATGATTCCAACTATACTTGGATTTACGACATTCAATTTTAGGTCGGATTCTTAGCCTAGTGAGTCTTAATTGAGGGGGGGGAAGGGAAGGGACAGCTTAATTGCAAGAGGACTAAAGATATTTGGACGACCAAAGTGCGCGCTATTCGTCAATCATAGTGGTATTTACGGTTCAACTTATAGTCAAAGCTGTTCTGACGTCAGTTGTCTCGATCTCTTCGGTCACCTGCACAAAGCCCCGGGTGAAATTTTTATAACAAAAATGTGAAATGCCCGCGGGAATTACCGCACCGCTAACGAAAAATGGAATTCAGTTTATTGGAGAGTTCACGTTTATTACCTCATCTGTGGATAAAATCCGTGTGTTCGACCTTCACAGATCTCAGTTTTAAGTTTCTTATGAGTCTCAATTTCCATTTGGTTTGTTTGCATAATTTCGATCCCCATTGAAGACTGAATGTAAGTGTTACGGTGTACGAATTACCCGCTCCCTTTAATTTCCCACCGGTACAATAACGCTTAGTAACTACATGTGCGGCCAGAATTCATTAAAACCTGTGCCAATGATACGACGGCGATCATCCGATGCTTTTGTGTTTCCCGTTTCACATTAATGACAAAAACTTTCCCGAAAAACATCTCGCCAGGAGAGGAGGTTTGACAATCGAAATGCACAGCAGCAGAATATTTCAGCCGTTGACAGTGACAGAAGTTGATTGGGAGTTACTGAATAATGCATGTAGTTCGAATAAAGTGAAACAATTTATTTCTAATCGTTGTAGTCAATGAAAGAGTAGAAATCATATGGCGATATCCTGCTCTAAGCCTCGTACTGCAAAGAGGTTCCTTTTAGGATGCTACTGTAACAAGCTATTGACCTGAGAGATGAAACTTCTCATATATGTTTTGAATAAGGTCGGTATTATACTTCTTCTATCTGTTTTATATATTGCGGTAATTCAAGCTCAGTCGTGATCAACCATGCAACAACAAACGGGGTAATTATGATATTCGAAACAATCGTTCAAGGGCCGTTCCGATGCTAATTTAGATCTGAATCCGATACTATCTTGTATGCGAGTAGTATATCTTGGTGTCTTTAGTCGTTTAAAATTTTAGATTTCATTACCATGGAATTTTCAGTTACCTTCTGTGGCATGAAAACTGACATAAAGTACGATATCGATGTACGATATCGATGAATCACTGCGTCAGTAATTTTACTCGCAGGAAACCTTTCAGGTTAGGTAGAAGACATCTCCATTTCATTCGTATAGATAAAATTTTGGCAATGATTAACGGCGATAAAAAAAATAATTTTGAGCTCCGATCCGCGACTGCATAGAAATTTTTTTCTTAATTTCATTCTACGCAATCGTATTTGAAATACCTTCCTCCCCTTAAGCGCGTCAATCATATGCAACGTTCTTTTAATATTTAACGAGATGACATTATTCATATCTCAGAACTATATTCATAGCTTCAGTTCAACATCAAGACGAAGTGAGAAGAACACGTGAGAAAATGATTTCTTGTGACACTTCTGAATCGATTTTCAGCTTGTTCTTTCAGTCTAGCATTGTTTAGAGTTTAATCGTCGCTCATTCTTTTCGATAGTAATTCGTTACAATGTTGATAGTGGCTATAGCCATCTGTTAGTTTGTCTGAAAGGTTGATACATCGACCATTTATTATTTCAGAGAGGTTTCCACGTACTTTTCAGAACCAAATGCCCGAGAAAATAACGTCGTTGTTTATGAAACAGGTTAGTAAAACAAGTTTCTACTTGATTGAAATTTTCGAGTTTAACACTACAGTTTGAAGGTACACGTTCAAGCTAGGTCTATCGTTATTACTGAATTATAAATAACTCAAAAAGTATCAATGAATGGAAAAGATATGATGTAATATTCCGAGTGGAACTAAGTGAACTCAGGGAGAATAATTTAAAGATGGTTAACCTCGGCTCTCGCGTCCCGCAGTCAGCGACTTTGTCGTTTGCCCACGCAAACAAGAACACTACTGGCTAAGGTCAACCGTAAATCCAAAAAAAAAAAAACGAGGAAGAAGGACTAAAAACCAAGGTCACGTTAGGGTTATCTCTTATCCAGACATTCATTTATCTTTTGGTCAACCAATAATCTCCAGACTGAGGTAATTTTACTCGTTCATTATAGTTATAAAAAAATGCTAACACTACTTTGACTAAAACAAGAAAGTCCACTGTAATCGATTTTCACGAAAAAAAATGGGGAACTCTCATCACAATTTTAATATTAGTGTCAGAAAAAGACAAAATTTTACAATCTACGTTTTGAAAGAAACTCAGAATTATTTTGCGACTTAAAATGATTGGTGCTCCAAGTGACATGTCTGATTGTATTATTGCGAATATTCAAAGCAGGTAGAAATGTAATTTGGCGAGGAGGTTATATTCAGGCTCCCTGCTGTGTGTCTTTCATCTTCGGGTCTTCGATAGCAGTTGTTTCGCCCGGCGTTTTATTTAGGCCAGTTGATTAGCATATTGCCCTGACACCTTTGTACAGGACTTATACGGTATAAAATATCCCTTCACCATGGAGTACTCTAACCTGAAAAAATATTTCTGGAATTTTTATTCACCCTCACTGTTGCCTTATCATCGATTTTTGTCCATTGTTGTCATTTGAGGCTATCAAGACTCAGTACAATTTTAAATTTGTTTCAGCGTTTTGTTACCGAGCTACATTTTCTATCCAAAAAAGTATTTGAACTTTTCGAAAAAGGAAAAAAGTCTTGCTCTTGAAATTGTTACATGGTTACTATAAGCTTAATGTAGTTTACTAAACGCTCTTTTTAACAAATCGTGTAAGATATAAGCCAACTAGAACTGTACCAACTAGTTGGCAATTCATTTTTTTTTCGGACTAGATACTCTTCATGCTGCCGACGAGCCTTATAATCTTAGCTAAATACTGCGAGGTTGTTTACTTTAATTCACAGAGTTGATATGTAAATTGGCCACCTAAGATAGTTTCTAGGGATGACGTTTCGAGCGCTAGCCCTTCGTCAGAACGAAATAATGCTGGCCCATTTTAGTAAGTCAGTGATGACCTAACGTGTGATTTTCTTTTATTCTCAACCATTAGTGTATAGGAAGTTTCAACATTTTTTAAGCTTTTTCCCTGTGCTACAAGTTTGTAATTCCTCTTGCATGGACTATTTTCAGTCTTCAAAGATTGAGATTGTTTAAATTACTGATTGTTTAAACCACACGCTCGACACTCATTTAAAAAAATCAATTTGAAAATTGTGCTATCGGTAAGATTTGGTAAGAGGAGACAAAAATAGTTTGGGCCTGTTCACAACATTGAAAAAAAAATGAAGAAAGCTTAAAATAGTTAAGAACTGCCGAAATATTCATCTGCTGTTTTATTTTTCTGGAGGAAATCTTGTGGTCTGTAATATATATATATTTCTTCCTAATGTGTAACGCATAGTCGATGTCGGTTTCTGCGCTGTCAACCCGGAAAAGCGAGCCACGTTCCTACCATGCAGTATAGATTAAGTGTGATTGGTGACTTTTTTAGCCAAGGGCACATGTTTCTAAGATGTTATAAAAACACATAAGGTTTCGGTACAATGCATATCTTCTACAGAAAGAAATGTCCCAATGTTATCAGACTTTACAGCTGCAAAAATCAACTTATGAAAGGTCTAAACGATGAGATAAGTTAGGTCTTTTAGTTACCCTCTAAACTCAGTGATTATTTCAAGTCCAGCTTCGTTTTCAAAACCAAAAATCCTGACTTTCTTCCGTAGGGACACATCCACAGAATTCAGTGTAGCTGTTATTACTCAACCTACTCAACAAATATTGAAGTTTCGAATCTGTACAGCACGGGCTGAGTCGATGCCATTTTCAAAACCACCGACCCAATGAATTTGAGGGGAATTTAACTTTCAATGCCTTGGATATTCCGAGACCGAACCAGCTAAAAAGTCACCGAGAGGGATCCTGAGTTTTGAGGCATCCTGAAGGCTGGCGCCGCTTTCATTAGGTTCGATGAACGTTGATTATGTGTCAGAGCAAACGTAAAGCATGAGGTGTGATAAAGCTTGGTTCTTGAAAGAAACATAAGGCTGTCACCTGATAAAGGGTTTCCAGCCACTTATCTTTTGAAACCTCTTGTACATGGACTACCGAGAAAAAGCACGTTTTATCATGGAGTTTTGTGTAATCTGATGTTATTGTTTGGCATAATTTTTTCAATGTTTTTCATCTTGTCCACAGTTTTTTTCCGCCAGTTTATCTCTGTGAAAAAATGAGATTTATAAGAGATCATGGAACTCAAAATCCAGATCTGACGAAAATACCTATAATTCAGTGATAAACTATGAAAAAAAAAATTTGAAGATGATTCATAAATCATGAAAATTAGTGCTTCTGTGCATACTTTCGCGACTGTTCACAAGACGCTGAACATGAGAGATATGAAAAATCATTCTATGTGCTTTTACCAAGCAAAATTTAACCGAGTTTTATGAATACTTGCGAAAAAAATTTCAAAACACTTGTGCCTAAAGAAATAATTTGTTCCCGCAGTTAATTATAGGGCTTTCTTTTTCGATGGGAATAGCAATTGTAAGTCTCACCACACCGTTCCCAAGTCCACACAGGTACTCACAGGCATTGCATTATTTATGTGCATTTAATGTTCCATCTACAGTTAAGTTTATCACGCAAGTTTATAACAAAATATAAACTACCGTCATTTTTGTGTAGGAACTTGAGATGAAGTGAAAAGGTATCATAAAAACTGGTCGTGGTTGATTTTTTTTGCTAATCAGATATTGCGGTGCAAGTCGCGTTTTTAGTCAAAATATCTACCCTGATTTAAATCTCACAAGTGTAAATAATTCATATAATGTAAAATAGTTCCTCATTAAGCAAAAGTACCCTATCTGGGGAATGGTGGAGTACTAATAACGTTTAATTAAATGGATGTTATCTACGATGATTGGACTCATTTCTAGAGCTCCTGCAAAACATTCCGCTGTGTTCTTATAGGCGTCTTTCCGTGAGATCCGTTTTCCTCGAGACAATTTGAATTAGCTATTTACCAAAGAACATAGCTTTTTTTTGTTTTGTTATTCTTTGCTGATTGAACTAGTTTCAACACAGTTTTAGAATTACTTAGCAACTGAGAGCTTTGATGAAAGAAGAGGCGTACAAATTTTCCCTCGATTGAACTATTTGGGTCAGTGGTAGCGGCCAACTTTAAACTTTACCTAAAATAAACTACAAATCTCTGAAGCTATCAAAAGCTCACCAAGTTTTTTCTGAGGCTAATGATGCTTGCCTGAATAGTTGAAAATGTAAACCTAATTAACATGCTTCAAAGTTCTACCATTTACTTTCTTTGAACTGCCTACTGTCAGTCCAGCTTCGACCTCAGTTCGCTCGGAAACGACGATCTCGCATATAGCGTTTTACTCCATTTTTTACTCGGTGATGGCTATGTTATGTCACGGAAACGCCAGAGAAAACCGATGATCAAGACTCAAACAAAGGTGCTTTAAAAACAGTATTTGTAAGAACGATTTTACCTATTTAGAGTCAACTAAAATTTTCTGTAGGGCGTTCGCTTCATCAGACAACATATGTTATGATGTAAAAATTTACAATATCCCCAAGATGAAACAAGCCGTGAAACACTTCTTAATTAAAAGAATATAGGGAGTCTGGGACACATCAAAATAGTGAAAGAAGCGGGAAAAGGTAGAAGAAAAATGGATTGAAGTAATCGAATATTTGTACCCTTTTGTTAAAAAAATATTTTTGTAATTGTTTCTTTAGGGGATAAAACATAACAAAAAGAGGCAGGTGATTCTATGGTCAGAGATCGAATGTTTGATATATGCAAAGCTTTTACTTTGTGTGATAATGAATAATTTCATATTTATTACTGTTATTACCAAATTAATTAGAACCATTCGCGTAATACTTAGCATAGGACCTTCGTGATCGTTTTTGATCTTTCACCGTTTTTGCTACATAGCACTTTGCAAACACTGAGACCAATATGATAACTATCAGTTGCCTGAGCCCGATTTGGAGAGCTTTAAGGAGATGATACTCGAAAGAAAGTCAAACCAAAAGCGCCTTCTGTTTGTGACCGAAACCCGGCGTCAGTCATGAATTATTATGGTGAACACAAACACAAAGACGAAACCCTGGAGAAGGTACGTACCTTTTCAATAACAGGAGGTAACAGCAACTAAAACGCAGTTTATCGAGATAAGTGTGTTAAGTGCTTATTCAGTTAAAAATTTTTCGGGCCTTTCTTATATTTGCACCTGACTTTACTTTCCAGTCAAAACCTGGTTATCGTCCAATACTGTTGTTGTTATTGTTCCATTTACCCTCTTATTTATCTTATTTCACTGAGAAATAAAGTCGAAATCCTTTAGGGAACAAAGTCATTATTTCTTTATCTGGTGAGGTTCGCTAAGCTTCAAGAAAAACAAGTCGGAAGGAACACCGGAAATTTGTTTTGCTTTTTTTTTCGTTACATTTTTTACTGGACCGCTCGACTGACACAAACTCGGTTTGATTTGGCTTTCCCTGTAACATGTTAAGACTTCGGAGAGCAGCAAATCTCCAATCCTTCAAAATGTATTCGCCAAACATCGAGCAACCAAATTTCAGGCGGTGCGTTAATTTCAAACGGATACTTGAGAAATAAATTAAAGAACGATTTGCGGTATGTCATAAAGGTTTCAAAACAAATGTTTTTATTTGCTAGATAAATACGGAAAGCGTTGGAAAGTTCAAGAGAGTTCCGACTCGTTGTTAATTCGAGCATGTTCTAGAGAGAAGTCTTCTCTCAGGACAAAGGGTTTTATTAAACCGCACTAAATGAAAATAGATTCACGAAGCAATAGACATATGCTCTCTGTCACCCATGGGATGTATTCAAATGTCATAAAAAAATTACAAATTAATGTTTGAAATACGCTACAGGGCGATTAAGGTTTAGTGAGGTATTTTCGAGTGGAAAAGTCCTTCGTTCGCACTTGGTGCAACATGACAATGAATACGTTTAGCGGTACAATTAACGATCGATATTTCTTTGTATAGCATCCTCGACCATTTTCAAGTTAAGGTACTATATCAAATTTTATTGATTTTGATCTTTTTGTTGCGCTTGAAAGAAAACCCTTTTGGTCAAATATGAAAATTTACGATCATTTTTTTCTTCTTCTCGGTCGAAACGATCGTGAGTTGTCTAATAAATCTAAGGGGAAAATGATATCTTCTGGGTTTTTTTCCGAATCTGTCTCGATCTTTTAGAATCTAGAAAACTGAACTAATATGGCACATAGGTACTTAGATATTCATCCTGCGTCATCTGCATCGTCGCCTTTAAGTGGCGTTGTCTTGACAATCACCTTCGTTTTGGATTAAAGGTGTTGTGAAATAACCTCTATCGTAATGAAAGATTGACAGTTAAAATATGATCTTTTTTTGCAATGATTACTCTACTTCTCTCACAATCAAAATTTCAGTAAAACAATCACATAATCTTCTAGGGTTTGTGACCTCAATCCAGCTCGAACCCCCCTCGAAATGATATCATGCGGTGCGCAGTGGCAGCGCCTTATCCGACTGGGTTCAAAACTTGAAAAAGGCAAAGTAATAACCTTCACTAATTTGCATGTCAGGGGAGCAGAACATTAAATTCAACAAATAATGAATACTTCAAACTCCCGCCATCCAGACAGACTGTTGTAAATCAAATAACAATGAATTGTTTTAGCTTCACTTATGCATCAAGAAATTTAACTATGCAGATTGGCTGAAGCAGGAAAGAAAGAAAAAAAGTTTACGCGATCTCCATGCATTTTGAACACTAAAGGGTAATAACAGCCCAAGAGCTATGTTTTTTGAGTAACAAAGTTGTCTTCCAGTCACAGCTTAGTTGGAACCAAAACTAAACATAAAGCCGGGGAAGATGAAGTCGTCCAAAACTGCACCATTGTATCAGAGTTTCCCCCTCTTTTTATCCATAGGGTATGACTTCAGAAAAATTTTAACAAGAAAATTTCGGCAGGTAGTCTTTAATGTTACACTCGTAAACTATTGAGCAAGGGTATATACCGAGACGGACGAGGAAACAAAATTGACGGGCCCTTTTTAATCTAAATCCCAAACGAAACCCAAGAGCTGTAATCTTTATGTAGGAGAGGACAAGTAAATGGCTACCATGTGTTACGCTTTACACGTCGTTACTGTGATATCCCTCATGATCATCGACGTATATTTTGTTTGCTCGTTAATCTAAAATTTCTAGAAAGTCAGAACAATATGATAGTTTCGTTTCGTTTCGTTTCGAACGCCCCAAGTGAAGCTAATATTCGTGCTTTGTGCCCCCAAAGGACACCTCAGTAGTTGTTATTTAAGAGTCTCCCCGTAGTTGTTTCAGTCTCCCCTGAAGTATTCGTGATAGAAGGATAATCTACTATCAAACTGAGAGTGCCAGAATTATGGCATAGGTTAGCACCACTGTTATAATTGGTTTTCGCACAAAATCTTTGATATAATTTTAAGAGTAGATTGATCTAACAGAATCGTATGAAAAATGTATTTTCTACCACATGATGTGTTTTCTTCTGGCGAGGATCTATGCAAGTAAGCGCATGAGCTGGTATAATTTAAATGAGAACTCTAAAGCCTAATGAATATATTACAATTTGGATTTGTCCCCTGGAGCGGTTGCCTGCGGATTCGATCTGTGGCCAGGAACACTGCTGATGCCCAATTCGAAAATGGGATACTAATTTATTTCAACTAGCTGGAATTCAAGCTGAAATTATACTTCTTCACAGCATGCCACTCGTCAGTTTTGCTACATATTTACATCTATTTTGATGAATACAATTTTCCTATCTCAAAATTACTAATCAAAGTCGTTATGAATCATTAGCTACAGAGCAGAAAGGCACCGAGTAAGTTCACGGGTTGTCGTCCAACTGTTTGTGCTTAAGCACATCTGCAATGGTCATAGATAAAAAGAGCTTGGAAAAAAATCGGTGAATCAAGGCACCGATGGAAAAAAGAGGACGTGATACAGGCTTCCATGAAATAAAAAAAAATTAATGTTTATCATTACAGACTAAGAAATTCTATAACTCAATATGCATCTATTTTTTAAAACGCTTTACTTTTGCAGCGTTAATTTTTCTCCATAATCTGTTAAGGCCATCTAAACCTTTTCAATTTTCTTTTCTTTTTATGTTCATAATTTTTTTGACACGTATTTAAACATGATGTTGGGAATTGAATAAAGATATTTGTGGTTTTGTTTTTACAAAACACTCCCTAAGTAAATAAATTGCTTAAGCTTTGGGGGAGTTTCCGAAGGCTTTATTTTGACCTTAATCATGTAAACGAATCTATTACCGTTGACAAGAGAACGCTGTTTAACTTACAGTTCAGCTCATCAGAAAAAGACGTTCGCCACTTTTAAGGGAAATTATTACTTTTGAAACAATACTAAAAATATTCTCGAGTGCTTGTTTTAATTCTATGTAAGTTCAACATTGTAAGAAATAAACATTTTCTCGCTATAAAATATTCCCTGACACAGAAGTTTATAGACTGGCGCTTAGAAGTAAAATGATTGCCAAGAAAAAAATTGAAAATAAAAACATGTACCAAGTACCTGCTAACAGGCCACCGCTAACAGGTATTTCAATATTTAGATATCATGCGGTTTCACCGCGCGCATTTGGGTCCAATAATTTCTGTCGTCAGAGCCCGTTTTTGCGGAAGGAGAGGAAAGGCTTTTGAATATTACTTTCCATGTGTGCTTTTTTCATCTGAGGGAAATGGATCGCATGAAAACTGTAAGATATGGGCTATGTTGCTGTTTTCCTATGCAAATTTTTGTCACTTTGGGTGGATTATTACACTACTGAGGCAATTAAATTTTAACATTAGTGTACTTCAGACAAGGCGACAAGTTTTACGAGCAAACACGGTCGATTAAATGTTTGCGTAGGTTTATGAATCGGCGTTTTTACTTCTTATTACAACTTCCAGGTGATGTTCTCGTGTACGCTGCCTCCCTGTTCACTGACCCGAAAGGAACATAAAATTGCGAGAGAGAGAGAAAGGAAGAATACCCTAAAGGAAGGCAAGAATCGTTATAACATTGTAAAAGGCTTGGCAGAAGGTGTCGATGGAATTTCCTTTGAAAGTGTGCTTAAAAAAAGACACTACCTACGAGCAAGAAATAACTATCTCATTTTGGAGCCCTTCGATGACTCTGAAGACTACAGTAAGTGATTAAAACGTGTTTGATTCATGTTTTTCGTGACAAAGATATTCCATGAAAAGATAAAACATGAACTCAAACTTAGCTGAAGGAATAGGTACTGAAAAGCAACTGGCTGAGCTCATTGGATACGTTTGCTACCCAACGCCTGACCATCTCAATATGCTGCCAAAATACCTGTTATGTCACCGTCGGTTTTGCTAATTTTTCACTACCACGCTCTATTGCTCAAACTCAAATTGAAAATTTCACACTGTTACTTTGTTTTTTTTTTTACGGGGGGGTTGTTGACACCCAAGCTGTCCAGTAAGCAAGAAAACTCGTTGTCAGCAGTTGTGAAAAAGCAAGTATGATAAATGAGAATATCGTTTTTTTGATTTCGTCAACTATTTCCAGCCAGCAAAGGCAGAATCGATTCCGTGACAGTTGTTCGAGAGATCTTATCGAAGAAGTTCATGTTAATATCAAAAGATAGAGGTGATTGCAATTTTATCTCCCTTCGTTTCGGGAAAAAATTAAGTTTGATGGCAAAAATCTTTCTCATTTGTCTAGAAGTCGACCATTGGATATTGTGGAAAGGGTTCTCTTCATTTCTGCTTACATTCTCAGAGTTCAAATAGACATTCATTGCGTACCACGTTTTTATACGCCAATTAGTTAGTTATTGCGTGTGCTTCATCATTATTCTACCATATGCATTTATTATTAGCTCACCTAATTCCCTGGAGCGCCCCATATACACGTGCACTCCCTATTACGTCACTTAAGCATTGTCTACCACTACATCACACCTTACTACCCCTCTCACAATATATAGCTGTATTACTGATATTTTCTATCCCTGATGATGCTGTGGATCGGCAAAGGGTTCGAGACTTTTTCCTATTCAGATTTTTAATCTAGCCTTAGGCCTCACTTGAAGCCGTTCTACATTTTCAAAATGCTACTACAGGTCAACGTGAAACGGTAAAAGTAGAAATAGAATTTCGAGTTTCAAATCGAGCCATTTTGGCGAGCTGACGGAAACATTCGTAGGATTCAATGCCAAAGTTGATAAAATTACAACAACCGGGTTATGGACCGCCATTATTGACACATTTTGAGGTGATATTTGTTTATTTTCTTGTACTACTAAGCTCCCTGAACCCCTACAGCTATTTTATATGGCTTAGGTGTCCCTACATTGAATTTCAGATTCGAGTAATTCTAGTCCAATTACGTTTATCCCTCTGAAAAAAAAGTTGCTCCCCCATCCCCCTAGCTTACTTTAAAATCAAGAGGTTTCGTCAGAAAAGACAGGCCAAAAATCCGGTAAAGCAGAGAGTTATCAAAAGTTGTCCATCATAAAAGATTACATTCATCTATGACAATAGAGGACACGTAACAGAAAAAGAGATTACCTCTTGGAGGCAATTAAAAAAACTTATTGATTTACACCAGGAAGTCTTCTCTATTTGTCTTAGTTACTTATTTATTGATAGAATTCCTGCGGATTTTTCCAACGAGTCACTAGCTACTTAGAAAATAACACTCAGATGTTTTCGTACGATTTTGTTTCAGGAAAAGAAAGTACATTTGTTCCCCTTCAAGACATGTGGTTTGAGGGCTATTTTGCATTCGAATCGCTCTTAAATCCGGCGCATTTTATTCGTAGACGCGGAGAGAAACTGCGTCTGCAGAAGTACGAGAACTCTCACTTTTTCAAAGAGGATTCCAGCTTCAAGTTAACGAGAAAGAGGTGTATGGGTGAGTTAAATTCTTAGAGGACTTAAAGGGAAATCGAATTCATATCCAACTACATAAGGAGGAAAAAAACTTAGTGATCCTTTGTACTAAAAATTGTCCTGTAAATTAGTGACTTTGCACGAGAGGCAGTGACTATAACCTCTAGGTAAGATTCTCGCACAGCCCCATTGTATTATGAAACAAAACTGTAGTCCTAAAGGCAGTCTATCGTTTTCGCTATTGTTTTCTTTATCCAAGAATTGCATGCGTATTGTATTGTATGGTCATCGGGCTGTGCGGAAGTCTTACCGAAATCTCCACTCAGGTTGCAGTCATGAACAGGGCTAAAAATTAACTCCAGTGCCTGGGGGCTAGTCGGGCCAGTTTCCTTGAATTCGTGGTGGCCCATCCCAAAATGAAGAAGCCCTCGATTTCCTTTAGTTTAAAATTGAAAAATTGAATAAACACTCCATGGCTTTTAACGGAGTGTTAATTAAAAGGAAAAAATACAAAAGTCCAGAATCACGTGGCAATCACAAAATCAAAATGGTGTCCATATGTGGATTGCTCGTGAAATCATTGTTAAAACGGCTCGGGATTTCCACTTCGGAACTAAAAATTCACTAAAATGGATGATCTTAGAGTCCAGGTAAAGAAACGAAGAGAATGGTAGTCCAAATTAAATTACAAATTGAGTTCTATTTTTAACTTTGTACTTCGCATAATTTACATTGCAACTTTTCGAAATTCTGTAGCATAGTCGCTCATCGGGCGTTCAAACCTTACCTTTTGGTAGCCCTGGTCAGTTTTAACTCGCCACTGGCGACCAAGCGACCGCCAATTTTTAGCCTTGCATAAACCTATACTTTTATTTAGTGTCTCTACGCAAAATTCAGTTACTCACGAAGAAGTGATAAACACATACAAATTTACACCAAAAGCAGCAAATTTGTTTTGAATTACTGAAATAGCATCATGGCTAATTAGCGAGCGCTGCAATGGAAAATTTTTGCTTCAAAGGAAAAAGTTAACGAGCACTAGCTCACAAAAACGGCCAAATATTCTTAATTCTTTCAATTACTTCAGGAATATTAAAATTTTAAGCAGTGTATTTCGATGTCTAAGAGAAATCCTTAGCAAATTTGTGCCATGGTGTAACATGCATCAATACAACCTGCAATTAAGCTCATATTGAGCTGAAAATCAGGATATTAAATCGTGTTGCATATCAATTAAAATAGGAAAGAAAAATTGAATGTTTCTGTTCTTACCTTGCATCCAAATGTCCCGAACATTTCTTGCCAAGTCCTCTTTCACGAATGGAAACAAGTATTGAAAGAAAATTCTGGAAACGTGTCACTTTGCCACCAGCGACGCGGCTTTCATGAAAAAAAAGCGGGAAAATGCCATTCAGGGAGACTGGGGATGAAAAGGACGAGTCTGAGGAGTCTTTTCGCTTCTAATGGCCAACATCAATTTAGTTATCAAACTTCGTTTTCATTCCTGGCCATTTTTTAAATGACGAGACAAATTTTCTGCGTTTCCCTTTTTTTACCCTCTGAGACACAATGTCTGTACTGGCCGGCCGGCATTCAACTTTGATCGGGAAGAGTGAGAAGGATGGAATCTTTTGGGATTTACGATAGATTTGTAACATTTTAATGACAATAGATACTAACCTATGGGTTCCTCCATATTAAAGCTTGTGTTAAGGAAGGCTCGCGAGTCTGGGCGAGGGCCGAGAAAGGATGTTTCCAACGAGGTGTTGTGACAGCGATGGACGACGACATACACGTACAACTCGAAAATGGCAAGAAAATAAGACACAAGAAGGAACATCCTGAATGTGTGGTGCCTGACGCCGTACCACATGTGAGGGAAGTTGACATTGGCACAAGAGTGTTGGCCAGATGGTATAATCGTTTAGACACTTGTTATCCTGGAACGGTGACTGCCATTCGACGCAGTTTCTTTGACATAATATTCGATGACGGAGATAAGGGAATCAATGAGCTTCGAGAATTAAGAATACTGAGGAAAACTGAGGGCGAAGAAGGTGAGCTAAGACAGCCCCAAAAACATAAATTTATTGTTTATTATGTCAAACAACAATATTTTTATTTACCTGCGTGTTGATCATAGTTATTATGGCTATCAATTACATCTCATTATCGACTTTTTTGTCATCAGTGTTTTTCATTGACTTATTGTTTTGAGGACTCAAAAAGTGAATAACCATGTGAATTCCCACAGAGTACAAAGAGGTACTCACCACTCCTGTAGCGAAGAAAAGAAAAACTAAAGCGATTTCGGATTACTTTCGACACTCGATTGAAAATCAATTTTTTAGTCAATTAACATTTGTTGTTGCTTGTGACGTGTTTCGTTTAGATGGCAAATCCGCACTGCCTCCATGGTCTTCGTTAGACGGAATACCTCGCATCGAAGGAGGGTTATGTATCGACTATGGCGATATCATTACGACCGGCCCCGGCTTGTTGAAACGGGAAATCAAAGAAAAAATTACAATAGACTATGAAATATGCTCTACACAAGATTCGCCCGACGAGGAACGCGTCTCTAGTCCTTTGGACAACACCGATGTGACAGAAATAACGGTCAACGGGCACGCGGAAGATCCAATGGAAAATGAACAGAATTGCCATCAAGATGAAAACGGTTTTGCATTGGAAAATAACTACAGTTACCTTACCCCGGACATTTGCGAAACGGAGCCACGAAATCCAAGTCAGGTCAGCGGAAGTTCGAGCGACAGTGGTTACCAAGGCAACAACAGTCATCGCCAAAGGAAAATAGGTGTTTGGAGGGCCACCTCTTGTGAGTGTACTAATCATATTTAGACTGGTAATATAGGGTGTTGAGTTACAAAGAAAAAAGCTGTTCCCTTACCATAGCGAGCTCAAGCTCAAGATAAAAAATCTAGCATAAATGGCTCTCTTATAAGCTTGAGGCACCGAAAACGTCGCCTGAAAGGGTGATATATATTGATTGAATTGAGTTTTCTTTGACTCCCATTACAATTCTGTCTGTCATATCTTTAAATCGATCGATCGTCCTCTATACCATTTTATCTTTGAATACTTCTATGCACTCCATTCTTTCTATGTTTACTTCAATCACTGTTTATTTCTAACTTTCCCATCCCAGCATGTCTAACCTCCCTCTCCTCTCCTATTTTCTATTTACTATTCTCCAGCTCAACACAACGTGTTCCGCTGTGGGAATAATAGTCCCCAGTTCCTCTCTCCTTTGAGCTATCTCTCGCACCTGCACGTCCCAGGCCTTTCTGATATCTCTGACGTAAGGCGAAACCTTAGTGAATTGAGTGTCACTTCCAGTGTCGACAGCGGTTTTAGAGGCAGCGGTCATTCCTTCCGACTTCGGGATAGGTCTCCAGTCAGATGTAAGTGTACCGAATGACCATTCGCGAGCATAGCACGTGACTTGACCTACAAAGCACCTGTCTGCAATGGATACTGACTCTTGAGAGACAGCTGTCAATCTTAGCACTTTGCACGGACGTTTCTTTACCAGCTGCACTTGCAACCTTTTGCACATCTTATGCAACATTCGCTCCATCTATCTGTTATTGACTGTAATTATATTCTAATGAAATTCCTCTAAACTTAAAGATGATGGTTTTAACAGGACAAATGAACGTCATGAACTTTGGTAGGTAGTAGTAGAGGTTCTTTCGGAGCTAATTCATAGTTTGTTAAGAATAACGTGAAGAAGTAAATTACTTTATATTTATTTATGGCACTGTTTAAAAATGCAATGTTTATTTTCATCTTACGGATAAAACAGATAGTACTCTTTTAAATGTCTTTCAAATTGAACAAAAAAGTTCGACCAAAGAAGTCTAATTCTAAACTAATTTAATTTGTGCGGCTATCATTCGTCCTCAGGTCCCGGTCATGCGGTTCCCGTTACCAAAGTCCAAGAGAATTACTGGGAAAAAGAAAAGGAGCAAGAAACCGAGGAAGAAAAGCAGAAAATAGAAAGCACAGAGGATCTAAATGGGGAGTTTCATACTGGACCGCTAGGTAAGGGCAAAACAGTTACTCTGGGCCTTTCATTTCTTTCGTGTAATGATTAAGCGTTTCAAAAACTATTGAAAAAAAAGGCTATATTTACTTTCTTGTCTTGACATTTGTGTTACATAAGGCGTATAGATGGAAGTAAACGTTTTTACGATGTCAAAATCATTTCATAAACAGCGCATAAAAAAGAAAGAAAAACTGATAAACTCGTCAACCTCTGGTGTGTCTAGTATTTATGTGGGAGTTGTGTTGTTTAAAGGAAATTACGATTAAAATCTTCTCGAAACAGCTTCTTCTCTTTCAGACAATTATTCCCACTGTCTTCAAGCTTCCTTACCCTCTCCCGCCATCTTATCTTTGTTCTTTCTTATCTTCCCTTTTTAAAGGCTTGGAAACGGTCATCTAACACTCTTCGCTCTTCAATCAAGAAAATCAAGAAAAAGCCATCGCAAAATAAAATATTGCAACACCGTGGCTAGATTCCACTCCAAGAAGAGGCAAATTCTAAGAAACTCAACTTGAAAGAGAAGACACTCTCATAGCTGTTTCGTATGTAGACCTAGAACCAATCAGCCTTTCCAGGCGTAATGGGACGTGGAAGTCGTCGAAACACGAAGAAAAACACCCCAAGGAAGCGAACAGAAAAACCGCGTCTCGATCGTGGGAACCTTTCCCCGCCCCTTCCAAAAGAAGAAGCTAAGTTGAAGATTGCAAAGAAGACAGACAACACGAGACTTGGAAGTCGGCGGAAGCAATTTGATAATGTATTGTGAAAGAACAAGATTCCGACTTCTACCATCAACAGATAAAAAAAAATGGACTACATATCATATATGAACAAGTTATTAGGCAGTTACATTTGGTTGGTTTACCAGATAGCTTTATCAGCATCAATTTGTAATTTGCACAAATCAAAGTAAAGTGTTCAAAGTCATTGAATCAAATTTGGAAAGAGAGGAAAGAGTTTTCATTCAGTAGCACTGATAAAACAATTGCAAGTGCACAAGTAATTGACATAATATCTAGTAACTTATGCAAGATATATCGAAAACGTCTCATTGATATCTACTACAAATGATAGAAAGAATCGTAAAAATATTACAATGAGAGGAGATGCGAGAAGAAGGCAATGAAGAACTAAAGTTCATTTATCAAGGACGAACGCTTCCGTTAAATTTCACCGTTTGTCGTCTTTGAAAATGAACAAAGAAAACAATACATTTTTACAATCTCAGCCACTCGGATTGGCAAAGCATAATGGCATGTTTCGGAAAATCTAGGCATATTATACAATAAAAACGTGATACAGCGAACGTCTTTCCAAAGTTTTTTGTGTCTCCATAAAAAAAAAGCTTGAAACATAAACGCATAATTGTTATCAGTGGAAATATAGCAGGGGTGGACTCTCTAGCACTGATCTGTCTTACTCTGACGCGTCCTTAAAAACAGGTTATCAAGAACAAGCTAAGGTTAAAAATCAACCCTTTAAAATAGCCGCGGTGTAAGTTTGCTCCTCGGGCACGACATCACAGCCTGATTCACAGAAATTAAGGTTAGGCGTCATAGAACGCAAGCTCACGCAAAGAAACACTACTGTGTCACAGAAAAACGGAGAAGGTCACCCAGAAGAATTCAGTGGGTCGAAAATAATTTCAAGCGCATAGCTAAGGAGTATAGGGTTTAAAGCAAGCTGACATGCCCTTATTTGGCTGTAAATCGCTTGTGCTGTCCCCCCCTTCTCACAGAGAATGCGTGTTTACGCCGCTAGATCGGTTGTGGAAAGAGGAACGCAAGAATGAGGTTTAGATCTTGTGTTCGTTCTTCATAGTTTCCTTAAATGGAGGATTAATTGAAAAATAAACTGTTTGTTGGACTTCATATTGTTCATGTAACTATATGAGAAGGATAGAAGAACTCAATGTGATACTTGTGAGCCCAAGATTTAAAGATTTGTCTTTCCTGTCGGAGTCTTACAAGACCTTTTAAGAACTGTTGGTGAACTCTTTCTCCTTGACTCAAACAATTGCTCTGCCAGGAATCTGGAAGCCAGTAGAACACAGGAACGGTTCCATGTCTAGAAGGAATCCAACCACACTTAATCAAATTCAGATACAATAAAAGGGAACTGAAAACAAGGGAAAGCTTCTTAATTCTGATGCAAAACCGTATGCTGCTCAGGAAAACACTATAAAACCAAATGGATGTACCTTTCACAGGGGTTTTCCAATTCCATACCAAATACCCTGATTCGGGGACAAAACTGACGAACGAGATTCATTGTGAAATATCTTGTAGAAATGGGAAGGTCCTGCCTGAAAAGCACAAAAAACCCTGTTTTAGATAATACAGTCTCTATTTCGACATTTTTCATATCTAGACAGCTTATCATAAAAAGTTTATGGCGCTTTCAAATAGGGTGCTCTATTGGTCATAAATGAAGAGGCCAAACTGAATAGGCATTCTTTTTAAGATTGTTCCTTCATATCAAAACTCCACCAGAAGAATGGATGCAAAATGAGGAATTGACTGAATTGATTCGAAAATAAGGTCCTCTCAGGTTATGCATGGACAAATCTGGTTTTCCAGTTGTGACTAAAGGTGAACGCCCGAGGTCCCTGATCTCCTCAGGTGTCTTTCATCTTTTTCAAATTTTTATAAACTTTCTCTTCCACGCGTTATGATTTGTCTCCTATTTGAGAATCACAAGTGAAGGAAAGCCTTCTTAATGCTAAAATAGGAGAGATTCAGCCACCTTCCGTATTTTATTCCAAGGTTTCTTGATTCTTGTGTGACTTTCTGGTAGGTTTCTTGCGTTACCCGAAGAACACCAGTATTTTTGAGGTATTTGGCAAATTTCTGGTACAGTTTAGAAAGTGTACAATTTTTACACAGCGCCTCATCCGGTCCGAGCAGTATCATGTAATCTAGATCTTCAAACGAAGCTAAGGTTTCCTGCCAGGAATCCCTAATCAAAGACTTGAAACCTGTCACTGAGACAACCCGAACAGTGGTTCTTCTTCCAACGTCTCTCTCATAACCGAGAGTAGGCGCAGAGTTCAATCTGAACACACAATCGGCAGAATCTATTTCTGAGCCTGCATTACTGCCAAGCAGCATCCCAGAAGAGCTCACTAAAGAGCACGTATGGCAATTGAGAGAAAGTTTGACAGGAATGTCGGGATTCGTGGCCAGCACGAAGAAGTGTTGCTTGGTACCAGACTCTTCAGAAGTTGGTGACTGAGCCGAAGAGGTCTTCATCGCAATTTTTTTAACTGGAGGGGAGCCAAAGGTGAATATAATAACTATAAAAAATATAATGGCGATGGTTGACACAGCAGCAACCTTCTTCATTTTTCCCACGGAAGCCTGATGGTACTTGACATTGAGAAATCTGTAATAAGTAAGGTTTACCATAAGCATGGAAGCCCAAAGCTACCATTTTCTCAGCGATTACAAATGCTAAAGTTTACAGAGAATCATCCTTTATCTAAAGACGAAATAGTTCAGCCTTTACCTGTTCTGGATAACGGCATGAAAACGTTTCTACTTTAGGAATCAAAGAGAAAAACGAAATATCATCAGGTACGCTGGCTGGACATCAATCAATCAACCAAAAGTCATTTAGTGTGTCAGTCAGTCCATTTGCACTGATGATGCGCTGACGCTCAAAACGTCAGCTTTAGCAATTCTTTACGGTGGCCAAGGTACATTTCAACTAAGTTGATTGAACCAAATCATCTTGTTATACTCCCCACCGACACAGCAGGAAATAACTTCCTTTAGTCAGTCAACTGATAAGCTAAACCAGGAATCAATCATTTCACCAGTCCATAGGTAAATATTCCGATCAATCGACAAAACAGTCGCTTCTGCAATCAATCACTTACCCAGCAAGTAGCTAATGGTTTATTGATTGCTTAATTATCTAGCGACTGACTGACTGACTGACTGACTGACCCAGTGAATAACTGATGGAAGGATGGATTAGATAGTTGACTTAATGACTGATTGTTTAACTGCGGTCTCATCGTTTGAATGATGGGCCGACAAACGATTAACGGAGTAAACAGTCAGTCAGACAGTCAATCACATGAATTACTTACCAGAGGAGTCTCCTAAAACAGTTTAACCTAAGAGTTACATTTAAGGAGAAAGACTATCCTCGTCCAACATCTTCTCAGATATGTTGTACGTACCTCCGGACGTCCATGGTTGAGCTTTGGCCATGGTCCAGTTCTCGCCTGCCCACAAGAAACTCATCGAGCATGTCTTCATCCGCTACGCCAGCTGTTCACAGATTGAAAAACTATTTAAGTTGCTGATTGCTCCATTGTATAGGTAATTTGGATTTGTTGTGGCTTGGAATGAGTCTGATAAGAACATAGATCACTTCAAAGACCCCCACCGAGGTGTTTAAAAAAAAAAAAAAAAAAGGTTTCCTTTCAATTAAGCATCGTTTCTGATTAGGAAAATTGTGCTTAAAAGGAATTACAATGGCAGGAAGCCAAAAAAGGAAACGAAACATTAACGATCCACACTTTGAGAGTAGCTGAGGTGACTCGAAGGGAAAGATGAGTAAACTCTTATCAAAACAATGGCTATCAACTTACAAATTCATTTCAATTTGATTAAGTGTTACAAAACTAAAATTGCGATTGGCTTATGTTATGGACAAAAAAAAGAACGATCGCTTTTCTTTCAGCCACAGCATTCGCTTTGGAAATTTAAGGTTTGAGAAAGTTTGGATTGACGCTATTACCGGAGGCAAACTGATAACTAGATGGTGCAGTGAAAGTAATTTATGTCTCTTATTAAAGACGAAAATCTTCTTAATGCCCTTCGGCAGTTTCATGTCCAACTAAAGTAAAATAAATATTCATCAGATTAGACAGGAGATTTATCGTACTCTGGGAAGTTATCTTTCAGTGCTATTTGTGGTTAGAATCTAACTCCATCTCTTCAGTAGTGCGGCCACTTCCTGCACCATCTGAAATGATCTTTAAAGGATCCTTTATTAACACTCGTAACGTCGCCCCTTTACAAACCATTTACAAGTAGTGCTGTTTTGCTGCCTGATGAGAGATCTTAAAGGCTTAAGAGTAATCAATATCAGGAATCACCCTATTCTATATTTTTTATAACAATGCACTGACAAACTCTTCATTTGGATAAATAATGGAACATTAGCAAGGGACATCCACAAATTCTCAGAACTGTATTACAAAGAATATTATAAATGACAAAAAAGAAAAATGATGTTTTCAATCCGGCTTAGAATTTGGAGAGTTATTGAATACCTTTTCAAAAGATTTGAAAAATTTAAACCATTGAAAACTAGTCAGGTATGCATGGGTAAAACTGATACGAATTCAATGATAAGCGTTACAAATTTCCTCCCTATCAACAATATTTTACGTAAATTTGACCTAAGAGTATGTTCAATCCGATATATTTTTCGATTTTCAGCCACAGAATATTTACGTTTGAAAAACAAAAAACCGATGGAAAAAGGAGAAAGTGAGATGTACTATTAGAGGGCGGTCCGAATTGACGAAGGTAATGATATATTTACATTGAAACGAAATGGAAACCATTTCAAATCGAGTCAAGCCTATAAAATTGGCCAATCACAATATGCATAGTATGCGAATGGAAGCACACGTTAAGTTCAAAATAATTTTTTCCGTGTTATGAATTTTTCCTCTCTTTATTGAACTAAAGGTGAGATCTTCTTATCACAAACAAGATACTAGCAACACTTTGATTACCACCATGTATGAAAATTATCCACACAAAAAAATGTTTTTTTCACAAATTCCTGTCATGTAAAAAATTCAGTTTTAATGGAAATCTCCGTGTCCATTAGAGTTTTTATTTGCCAAAATCCTCTGGTCTAAATCTTTTCCTCTAAATTTCCCCCTTTCTTATCCAAAAGCAAAGTAAATTGACTTTTCCTTAATCGTGTCATTTCGTATTTAACGTCAAAATCACATCAAATGAAGTTGATTATGCTACATTTTCCATTTGCTTTGATTAATATAGACATAATTGCGTCACAAGACAGAATCTCGATAAGAGATAACCCAATCTTGTATACACGGGAAGAAAAATGTTTTTTGGGAAGTTAAATATATTCGGAAGCTAGAACAAACAGAAAATTCGCAGCGACTTGCGAAATGATTTTTCTTTTAAGCTTTTGTTTTCATCTCGGCAGGATGTCGGCAAAATCTTATCGTTAAAAGCTGCAATACTGCTTTTCGATATTGAAGGTTATCTCATGTATAGTGAAAATAAATCTGATAACGAAAGAAGATCACATTGGAAAGAAAATACTGTCACCTAATACTCTAAAAGAAGACATTTTGAGATAGGGAACATATCTTTCCACTAGGGAATTAAATTGGACTGACAAAAATTCTCCCTTTTATGCGCCCAAGGACAATGATAATCTTTTCGGTGGCAAAACTGAAGAAAATAACAGTAAAAGATAAACCACCACCTTTCGCTGAACCATTTGCCCGAAATTTGAAGTTAAAGAAATTTCTGCGAACAATAACAAAAGAAGAAACTTAAATATATGTAGATAAATAAAAAGTAATATTTTTGAACTTATTCACTAAGTGCAATTTAGTTTCCTTACTGTTGTCAACATTGACAAAGAAGGAAAAAAGAAACGACATGGTGAAATCTTTGTAACTGACTTGCTGGTAGATCACTTACAAACAAGCGCCACTGAAACCTAAACAAATTTAGTGAAATGTACCCAGCGTGGCTGGCTGCAGGACTCGTTGAAAACTGTTATGACCTCCTTCTTCAATGATTTATGACATACAACATTACGGAACCGACCGGCAATTTTAGGATGTTAAACCGTAAATTTCGCAGTCAGCACGGACAGAACACGTTCAACACGCCGGGGAAAACGTTTCTTACCGTAATAGAGCGGAAGATCCAGTGGCATGGGGACTCTTGGCTAATTCGTGATGGAGTAGCGCTCGATCAAAATCAACTCGAACGCTCCTCGAGCACTCACAAATACAACGCTTACCAAAACAGCGCAACAAAACAATCCGTCAAATTTGCATTTTCAAACGAGTGTGGAGGTGTAACAACAATCCAAGATTAATACGTTTCTCCTGCGGAAACTGATTTGATGAAAATCTCTAATTGCCACAACAAACATAAGAGCTTGCACTTTTACGTTTGGCTGTACACCTGTCACTTCCGAAGGGAATCGACTCAAATTGCCTCATAAATCTCGGGCCGTGAGATGCGACCGCAAAAAGTTTTTTTAAGATTTATCTTGAATTGAGGCGTTACGTTCAGTGGTTGCCGTTTCATTTTGTAGCATTCGGATGTTTTTCAGGGTAGACAAAATATTCCTGTTTTTCCCCTTTCCGGCAGCTGATTTTGTTTGATGTCAAATGCGTACGAGTTTGCCACTTAACGAAAATGCTTCCACCTTGTTCAACTTAAACCCACATCCGGGATTTCCTGGTTGCTCTTTCTTGTGCCCAGTGTCCTTATAAAAGGACGGTGCGATTTCAACGTCAGTTGAGGAGTGTCTTCATGAAAGCGAGGGAAGAACATTCTTGGGAAATACAGGGCCTACTTCCGATATGACTGGACTCAAACTTTAGATTACAAGTGGTTTCTCCTCTCGTTGGTGATACTGTCTCTGAAATGAACGAACCACGAGGTTTTCAGCTTTGAAAGAGCTATCAGTCGCGCTAGGTGCACAAGGGGTGAAGGAAACTCAGCTATCGCGCTTATCATCAGTCTTTCAGCGAAGTGACGAAGAGCCGTGAACAATTTCTTCCCACAAGCGATCTGGTCCAGATCACTTCTGCACTGCACTAGATGATCTACATTACGCATTACATTACATTAGACAACCAACAAAATTCTCATTCTCCTTTGAGTTTTTACGGAATTTTATTTTTAGATATAAATTCACATAGATTCACTTAGACAATTCCATTTTGACTAAAAAATACGTCTATATAAGACTTACATTAGGGCTCTAGCTGAGCCTTCAATGCCCTACAACAATCAATGTATAGCTTCTCCGTGGCAGATTCAGAGCCAGATCAAACCCTTGACCAAAAAAACAATCCTCCCAAGAGGGATTGCAAAACATGTTCCAACATTGTTGGGAGAATCCAACTGTTGATACTGAACTGACACGACGGTTTGCTGAAACTCAACCGTTCATTTACATATTAAAATAATAAAAAAAATTATTGACTGAGAATTCCAAATATCGATAATTCCTTATCCAGCGGCGACTCGTTATCTTGTACTCTACGAGTGTTAAACAAGGATTAACTTGCTGTTTGTGTTTCAAGTGGGTTAGGATCTTCGAGCACCGGAGGTTCACATTGTCCGACGGTGCAAGTGTGATAGCCGGTGTAATTCAAACGAGAAAACAGATGGTAGTTACCGCTATCTTAATTACTTTTAGAGGAGCTCTCTTCGATTGAGTGTCGAAAGAAAAAAAATTAACAAAACAATCACAAGAGCCGATCAAATTGAAGGTTAACATCAGATTTAGCCAATGAGTAATCAAAGGATATACACGACATGTCTCAAGCGTAGAAACAAGCGAGTGAGCAAATCTCGTCTAGTCTTAGCCGTCAAATTGATTGGCTGAAAAGATGTCTGGCCCATAGAATAAAACAAAGCAAATAACCAAAAAAACACGGTTTACATTTGACACCCAATTGAAAATTGCATCATAGTCTTTATGTTCAGCGGTACCTCGCTGAAACTTTGCGGACAAATCAAGAACTTATAACGTGAGAGTTCCGTTCGACAAAGCAATTTGTTTTATGAGAATAAAATAAAATAAAATAAAAAATTAGAGCTCTTGCTTTGGATGACACCTCACTTTGCTTGATTACTATCGACCATTTTGGTACTAAGAGTGATCAATACCTTACTTCTCTCTTACAACTTCAATAAACTGTCGGACTAAAAGGTAAGTAGAAGCAAGAAAATTATCAACTACGGTACAAACACTGCTAACACATCCTCAAGACTAGCTAACAAAGAAAATTAACACAACAACAACAATAACAAAAAACTAGCTTTCACATTTTATGAGCTCAGTTATTCTTGAAACTCGACTTCTTTTTCGACAAAGTACACTCTTAGAAAATTTCATAAATAAAATTAAATAACACTGATAAATAATAAATGAACAGAAGGTATAATGTTCACACACGTTTCAATGAGGAGTCATCCAAACAGAGTTACGGTTACAACTTAGACTTGATATAAACTGGTTAAATATGGAAAGGATTGCTTTAAATATAGGAATTTAAATTAAGTTTTGAACTTAGAAACTGACGCCTTTCTGTTGATAATATCTCTTATTTCTGCCTTTAATATATTAATATTTCTTACGGCCACGAGTAGCTTGGAGTGACTCTCAAACCCTCGAGTCCGTGTAAACCAAAAAAAGATCACATAACTAAGCTCCCCAGATGATGTGACGTCACGCTCTAGGGTATTCGGACATAACGTCACGCTATAATGTCTTCTGGCCCCGGTGGTTCGATAGGTGGATAACGCTAGTATCCGCTGGATAAATCTCTATCCGGTGGTTAGCGCAGTATCTTGTGTTGACACTTATCCGCGATTTATCCGTTGTATAGAATTATCCATCCTTTGAACAACTGGGCTATGATCTTTAGTAACGAAACACTATCTAGAGATAGCAATTATAGCACCAACTACACATTATCTATTACTTTATGTAATCAAATTTTTATATTCTGAAGAGCTATTAAAATCAAGATAACCTATAACGATCTATATCTCTGATTAGGTTTCTGCGAGTCACGTGTATAAGGAATAATCAACATGCTCATCAAATAAATAATATATTAAACAACTCTTATATTAGTTATTAATACTATAGATTTTGTAAATTATAAATCGGACGTTTTAGACGTAAATATATACATTTGAGATATAGCTTTTCATTTACTATTTTGTTGTTTGCTTTTGGTGAGGGGAAAATGCACCAGTTAATAAAGTAAAGATGTAAAGTTCTAAGTTAAAAATGGTAAAACTAAGCGTTGAAGACGCAAGTTCCTAAAGTACTTAACCTGAAAAACAATTTTTTTTTAACCCATTCATAATTTTCAATTAAATTTTTAAAATTCAGAAAATTGCCCCTTTAAAGTGAATGAATAGACGATTACCTAGGCCACAAAAAACCTGTCCCGAGCCACAGAATATAAAAAGAAATGTAGAATAAAATTCAACTCTAAATTTCATAAATTCATACATTCTATTTACAATAACAACTTATGCGTTTAATTATTTAGACAGATTTCTCTTCCACTGAGTGAAGAGGAGAGGCAATAGGATGATGTGCATCCTTAACCCATGAACTCCCATGAATCGATAAGTAATTCTCCCTTCTGAGCGCCACAAATTTTCCAGTAAATGCCATAAAGAATTTGGTATTCTATCAAGATCACACCCTCTGGCGGATTAGCTTATCTGTTCTCAGAATGTAATAAAGTAACACTTTAAGGGGTTAAAGCGTCAAAAAACAAACAAACAAAAAGTCAAAAGTCAAACAAACAAGCTTCGAAATCAGAGGAATTAAAAGGAGTTACAACCGCCAAAAGTTTGCTAAAATTTAACCACATATTTAAATGCAATATTCCACTTATATCTCTTATAGTGAAGTGAAAGACAAACATAAAGGTAAACGCAATGGATGAAGCAAGCGACATGTAAATAAAGAGGAGGATAATATAATATGGGTTTCAATAGTGTGGTTATAAATAGTGCATAAATAGGATTATTAGGGACACGAAATACTGTAGTTGTCGCAGAAGTAACAACACGAAAAGAATTAAAAGAGCAAAACCATTGTGAAAAGGGGTCTTATCTTAGAGGATAAAATAATACAAAATGTGTAAATACATTTCGAAACCTCATTCGAGGCTCCAACCGTTACTGTAGTATTTTAAAAGATATGTAGTTAGCGGACTTTGAGATAATTATCATGATAAAATTCTTAACTTCTCTGTTACTAATAATTAATAATTTCTTGGCAATTCATTTAACATTACCATACATAACATAACCTTAGTATCTAATAATTATGAATTATAGGTTTTAATTAATCTTTTCATATATCTTATTCTGTATCTTAACACTTAAAATCTGCCAATGCTTCTTTGATATCTGCAATTAGCTCCTTGTAATCTGTTGCATTTTCTTCAATTATTTGCTGTAATTTTTCAATATATGTATCCATGGAATCAAAGGTGAGCTTCACACCAATGTCTGGCACCTGGACATGGGACAGTGAGGCGATAAAACGTGTCTGCACCACGGCAAGTTTGGTTTCCACCACGCCTGTCCTGTGTCGGTCACTTGCCGTCTCCTCCTTACACACTGTCAAGCGTTGTTCCAGTTTGCTAATCTCCGAGTCAAGCTCTTTATTGAGTTTCTCGCATTCCTCGTTAGACGACTGAAGCACGTCGATCTCCTTATCCAAGGCGCGCACTTTTTCAATTTCTTGTTGAGCTGGTGTGGTAAAAGCAGCACCAAGCAAGAATGTTTTCTTTTTTTTTTCGGATTTCGATCAAAAAAATGATGCTACTCCCTGTCTTCCTTGTCTACTTTGCTTGTCTGTTTGTTTGAATTTTTTTTGACCAAGCAAACTGTCTGTCTCGCCTGTTTGTAAACTGACCTTTGAGGCTCCTTCCTACAAACTGAATGACTGGAGACTCTACGTAAGCATTCTTTGTCTGCGCTGAAAACTTCGATTGCCTGGCTCTCTCTGATCCAAGCAGGTACTAAGTCGATGCGTTTACCAAATGCCGGTCATTTCTGACTTGTAGTTTAACAACACGTAACATACAAAACATTCGAACCTGCGCGTGAACTCCTACAATTTGAAAGACGAAATCTAATAACCCTGGCTTATTTTATTCGTCCGAATTCACATGAAAGATTTCCTCAACGTCTCGGCCACTATTCTTGGTCTTTGACACATTTCGACAGGAAATGTCTACACAAGGTTTAAATCCTCGATACGAGTTCTTCAGATTATTGTGTCAAGGAAAATTGAAACCAGCCACATCTTGCAAATTTCCCTCGCTCGTAACAACATGTGGCTTCGTGGCTCAGTTGTTAGTGGCGCCCAACTTGTATCTGGGAGGCCTACGTTCAAACCCCGTCGAAGCCTGAATTTTTTTCAGGCTTCTTCACAGCAATTTCTTTCATAGTAACTCAACTGCGAGGATAATTTCTTCACTACTAAAGGGTCTTGGCCGACATCCTTTGTCGAATGCTGTTCCTTAGACTGAAGTAAATCCACGAGTGGGGATCAATTATAATCCTTATTTCAGCATTCAGCCACGGGTCGATGATGAGAGAGGATCTATCGTTTAAACACTATCATTCTACCTGACTCTGACTACATACATAAGGTATTACTATGCCTTCTCAGCATTACCTTTGCCCGATCGGATTTTAACCAGCTTGACATCTGGAGACCTGGCGCTTGCCTGAGCCAACAACTTGGACTCTGCTTCCTGTCTCATGAGGACTTTCTTCTCCGAAGGAGAAACCAGAGGGCAGCCTGATAAACTGAAGAAACAGATAAGAGAGTTACATTTGTTTGTAGGGAAACTATTGTCTTGCTAACTCACCACGGAGTTCCTTGTACCTCGGTGGTAAAGCATCAGAGCTTGGAATCCAGAGGTCTGAGGTTCGAATACTCGAGGGGACTCGGAAAGTGCTGATCTGAACAGACTCATCCCTCCCCCTCACCCCTAAACTATAGAAACTTCAAGGAGACGACGAGATGAACAAAAGAAACTTCTCTTACCTCCTGTGGGTACTAAATTGACCGCTAGAATGTCCTGTCCCGTCACATCCAGGAGTAGGACACCTAATGGAAAAAGAACACACACCACACTTCTTAAACTCCTTTCTAGGAAATTTATCAAATACAACTAATTTTCAGTTCCTTACATATTAAGTTAGCTTCTAGGCAAAACAGAACACGTTAGTCTAATTTATTCAACATTCTTAATACGGTCAGCGATGAAAATTTAAAGACCGAATTTTGGAATGTAATTCTATTCTTATTCTATTCTTTTCATTAAAAATCTTTCTTTGGTGTTTTATGCAAGTAGAAGGATCTGGACATTCATCTGGATAAAACAAAAACAAAACAAAAAAACCCCATACAATTACTTACATAGGACCGACTTTATCCGACTGCGGACTCCCTAGGAAATGAAAAGAAGAAAAAGACTGATTACCAATTACTAATTACTAATTACCATTACTGATTAATAATACCATATATTTACAATGACAGAACACTGCCGATTCTCGATCCTCATCCCAAGACAGAGGTCTTAAATATAAGCGATTTAAGGAACAGATATATGGATTGGAGACGATACTTACCTTCAGCATTTTGAAGAGCAAGCTTAGGAGCCAGGGGACAACCTGACAAACTACCAAAGAAAAAAGAACATTTAACCCACAAAAAACCCAAGAGAGTGACAAACATCTAATTTCTCCATACAGTACCTCCCCTGAATCAAACATAAAGATCATGAGAAGAAAGGACATAATCTCAAATTGAAACAGCTCTTAATTGATAAAAAAAAATTTCGTTCCTAGCACAATAGGAAGTGTAAAGAGAACAGTGTGGAGAATATGCCTATAGAAGTTTGGAGCTTAACCCTTTAACTCCCAGAAGTGATTAACAAGTAACCTCTCCATACAATATCCATCCACTATCCAGCAAACAGGTAAGGAGAGTACTCAAATGTATCAGGTAGAAGTTGTTATCTTGATCTAACACCACATTCTCGCAACTTGTTTACGAGAAAATGTGTAGCAGCAAGAGGGGAGAATTAACAATCCGATCTTGGGAGTTAAAGGGTTCATTTACCATGAACTCAGAGTAGAGCAAGTGGAAAGCAGGAGTTATAACTTAAAAACGAGTTGTATCTCCTCCCTTGCGAGTCGTATCCACTAAGAACACTTCTTGATTGCGTGTTGTAACATCAAAACTAAAGAAATCACAGCGGTTCGTGAAAACAAAAATGAAAATCAGTAGGAGCCAATGAAGACTCAAGAGTTAATTCTTTAACCCTAAAGATCTCATTAGTAATTCTCCTTGCTGTCTGCCATCCAGTTCTTGTGATGTTAGTTTGGAGAATTTGGTATTAGATCAAATTATAATCCCCTAAATGATATTTTTCTTTATTCTCATCACTTGTCTACTTGATAATGTATTGATATTGTAAGGAGAAATTCCGTCTTGGTCACTTATGGGAGTTAAAGAGTTAACAGAAGAGGCAGGGAAAAGCGCGGGATTGGACCAAGTTTCTCGACCAATCAAATCAGTGCATTCCCGTACAATATCGCCCCTTTAACGCACCTTCTGTGTGAAGCATACTTCCCAGTCACATGACCTGTTCCATCACAACCAATGGTAGGGCACCTAGGAAAAGAAGCGATACTGGTTTTTAATACCATACTGAACACGCAAAAACAGAAATCAACTCAAAATACTCACTGCGCAATGATCTTAACACATACATGTACCTAACTTCTTGGTGTTCCTGTTGCTGCATTTTGGCTGCAAGTGGGCACCCTGACAAACTGAGATACAAGACAAAAATCATTCGTTGGGAACCCTGCATCTGCAATCTTATTCCTCTCCCCGCTTAAATCTGTCAGGATTTCTCCTCGCCGCTCTCCTTACACATTTCTCCTCTGTGTTCATTTTGATATTTTTGGCTTTTAGATCAAAGAAGAAAATTTCCAAAGGCAAGAAGAGTACTTGTCGTTGGTCAAACTTTGTATTTGCAATGGGATAAATCAACTAAACGCCAGAGGAGATCAAAGTCTGTGGCAGGTTTTCATAACGCTGTATAGAGGGTTGTGTGTGTGGGAAAATTTAAAAGTAGAACATCTAAGCGAAGTTCTTCGTCCAATGTTTCCGGGTCGATAATTCTAAAAAGTTGGTTTATGGTAGAAAAATGGAGAACCTGGAGGGAAACCCTCGGATAGAGGACACGAAGTAATAACAAACTCAACCCACACGTGACAACAAGTTTCGAAATGAAACCACTGAAGTTCACAGAGGTAGGAACAGAGCACTGTCACTGCTGGTGTGATCCCAACTCCTTCTATTGAAGGGCAGGTAGTAGATGTACAACCTTGCAGTTTGGCAAGGAGTTCCCAAGGCCTAAAACTTCGCTGACATACCTCCTGTGCGTTGCATACTGCCCTGACACATGTCCCCTTCCATCACAGTTTGGAGTTGGACAACTACGTATAAAAGGAAAAAGGAAAAAAAAATTCGACATCTTGTAGCAACAATGAAAAACAAGGCCAACATTTGTAATCACAACTATAGGACTAAATTTAAATACGGGATAGAAATGACCCTGCAAAAGTAAACGCCCCTTTCTATTATTGCTTTAATCACGAAATGTTCTCCTAAAAAACCGAAGCACTCTGTGAGACAAACAAACTGAACTAATCACTCACCTGAGAAGTTCTTTAGGCTTCCCATCCGATCCTGCAGATAACAAAAACGCTTCTTAATTTCTACGCAAAAATGTTCTTACCGTGAATAATTGCATGTCTTATTGAAAAGTCTGCAGATGCCTTAGATGCAAGACTAATACAAAACATGAATTTAACAGATCAGCGCGGAAGGATCAAGTACATCGAGATGGTAAGGGCAGGGAAATTTTCCCGCCTTTCTGTTGCCTACCGCGATTTTTCGCGTGCCACCCAAATACAAAAAGGTGTACACGGAGCGATCCAGCGCCTGCTGGTAGAAATAAAACTTGAGAAGTGTTAAAGGATAAAAGAAAATATCACACAACTCACCAAATTCGCGTTTAACAGGGGTTTTCGGAAGAGGCATGTTCCTCACCACTCTTGGACAACCAGAGAGACGGCGGTGACTGGAAAAACGGCCATTCACATGTCCTGATCCGTCACAACCCTCTGTTGGACAACTGGGTGAAACCAAAGAGCGAAAGACACCGTGTTTGAACAGATTATAAGAAATAACTTCTGTGTCTACTCAAAGTATTGCACTCAAAACATTTTGCATGGAGATAAAGAGGGACAATTTCAAAATGTCTCACAACGCTAGCGGCTACACATGAAAAGTGATACAATATACATACCCAATCAACTTGGAAGCACCTATGGAAGAGACAAAAGCAACATAATAAGGTATACCGGTAAGTGAATCATAAGACAATCTTTACAGACGATTCGATGGGGCTTAAGACTCCCTCGTAACGACTACAAAGAGAGACAAAAACTTGTGACGCGTTGTCAGTGGGAGTTATACTAAAGCAGTGTCTTGACCGTGTCGTAGTATTGCATCCGAATGGTTAACAGAGCGGCTAGACCTTCTGAGGCAATATCATGAAGAGATGGTGAACGAAACGAAATATACATCTGGATTGATTCTTACACTCTAGTGGAAGTGCCTTTCAGGTGACATGCGTCCTGCACACTGCTATGATAAGCAAAGTCGATACCTTCAACTTTGTTACAGAGATTACAAGTTTATTTTTAAAATCATTTCCTGACACTTACTTCTCCCTCCTCCATAGTCAGAGTCATCAGCATCCTCTCTGATGTCATCATCTTCCTCAGAAGAACTCTCTGAAGAAGTGTACTGGACAACTTCTTTAGCCTCCAAGCATATCTCATCAGAACTTAACTCCTCCTCTTCCTCCTCATCATCATCATCACCACCATTAGCTGCATCAACTGGCCCTTTCGTAATTCCATATTCAGATTCCTCTGTTGCACACTCCATTGAGGACACTTCCTTGGAGATGGGAGCCCGCTCAACACGCATGACTGAGTTTGCCACAGCCACAGCAGTTGTTGCTGAGATCACACTCGGCATAGACAATGCTGGGAGGGAATCAGTGGGAGTGGTCACAGATGGGGACTCAGATTTCATTCTGGGAGGCTTACTCTTGGGAAATGTAAAATGTACAGGTGAATCTTTGGTGTCTGAATCAAAATTCAGTTCTTTCTTGACTGAGCTATCTTCAGTGCTGGATGCAGAAGAAATGCCTGAGTCTGGAGATGTGGGACTTTCTTGAGGTAATGTCTTGTCTGTAAGAATGCATTTTTGTGGGCGGCCTGAAATAAAGTCAAACTAGCTCATTTCACAGAGAATCTTGCTAGATGTTGTTGCTACACCCCAGAGCGACATGTTTCCACCTTCTCCAAATTTTACTTTTCTTAGTCTTTCATGTCAAAAGCAGAATGTTGATTTTTTTTTAGACAACTACATATCTCCTTGCATGTTGGTTATAAAAGAATTTGGAGTCATTTCAAAGTTGTATACTTCAGATACTGTAAAATTTTGTTCATTTGTCTGATTCTTATCTTTCCTACATCTACATATACTGTGAATATCTTTCATAGTAGACTTTAAATGTACACTTTTGTAGAAATTACAGGCAAAATGACAGAAAACCTAAATGGATACTAGGGAGGTAAAAAAATAATCATATTAATCATTTTCCAAGATCCAGTTGATAATTCTCCCTACCAGATGCTATACATGTTCTAGTAAATAACTCAAGAGAATATGGTGCTATATCAGGATAACAAGCTCTAGCTATATGTGTATTCTGGTTACTTGTTTTTTTGGGCAATGTGCAGAAATTGTGAGGATCACTTCAATCACCTCTGAGAGTAAAAGGGTTTACTAGCAACACACAAGTTATTTGCAGAGAGTTTAGTATATACAGCCATCTTGTGGCTCAGTGAAATACTTACTCTTCTTGTGTGGTGGAGTATTTGGTGGACTTCTGCACTGACGAGAAACCTGCTTCTGGGCTGTGGCTAGGGGACAACCTGAAAGACTACAATTTACATTGCCAGGGTTATGTTAGTTCAGAAAAGAGTAAATTATACTACAATCAGTAACAGGACAAGGGAAAGGGTGAGGGGAGGAGGTTTTTCCTCAAAAACTTATTGGAAATGAGGTTCTTCCTGGAGGGTTATGTTTCCTAAATTCATCATGAATCCTACTCTTAATAGAATATAATCTACTCCATTCTTCAAAACAACAAATAACAGGAAAAGAATCCAAATATGACAGAAAAAAATTAAAAGAAATTCTGCATGTAGCTTGAAACATCCCTTTAATAAAAAATGTATAGAATCAGAGCAGATTTGATAAAAATTCACAAATTAAAAAAAAAATATTTGGGAAATGAAAAAGAGAAGAAGAACATCAGTGACCAACTTGGCTGCACCATTTGTGATCTATTACTGAACAGACACACAGTACAAGGAATCTATTTGTTAACCCTTTCACCCCTAATAGTGACCGGCATCTAATTTCTCCTTTTAAGATCACCCCTGAATCACACATTAAGGTCATGAGGATAAAGGAAATGATCAACAACTAGAGAAGTTCTTGATTGTTCAACAAATTCTCCTTTTCAGCACCTCAAGAAATGTATAATGAACAGTATGGAGAATATACATAGTGATATTAGGGTGTAAAGGATTAACTGGACCAAATCACAACTGTCAACCCTACCTTCTGTGTGATGTGTACAACCCTGTTCTGTGTCCAGTACCATCACATCCTGGAGTTGGACATCTATAGAAATATTTAATAAAGAAATTCATATTAAAGAAAAGAGTAAAAAACAATAAAACAAAAATACCTCAATAAATCAATGATTAAATAAATGAGCAATTAACATATAGTTAAGTGAATAATGACTGAAGAAAAGCTACTTTGAACTAAAAGTTTGCAACTCTACTCTAAGAAAAAATCCTACATGTACCTTGCTCCATTGTCATCTCCTGAAGCTTTACCTGGGAATAAAAGAAAAAAAAAAAGAAAAATCAACAAAATTGTACTTGTACAATGCATTCTGGTGCATTTGTTGCAGAATCCATTTCTATTTTCCAGATGGCACAGTACAGGCTCAATCATCTTCTTTACAAGCTCAGAATGTTTCAAATACCATCAAACAGTTTTAAGCTCATTCTAATTTCCTCATTCTTGTTCAAACACCTTGAACCATATAACATTGATATGTGCATAACTACATTGTTAACCATGTGGTCTCCTAAATCTACATATAAATTCTCTGCACTGTCTGGTATACATTTTTTAATGGTAGGTAATTTAGTGTTAACAACTGGGTTGAAAACGTAAATTAGCCACCGTAAAGGGTAAAAAAGCTGACGTTTCGAGCGTTAGCCCTTCATCAGAGCGATTGATGAAGGGCTAACGCTCGAAACGTCAGCTTTTTTACCCTTTACGGTGGCTAATTTACATTTTCAACCCAGTTGTTAACACTAAATTACCTGCTATACTCTCCCACTGACGCAGCACCACAGTTTCTTTAGAAACTTACCCCTTTATTCATTTTTTAATGGTGTTTGAGAAAAATTCCCTTGATTGGTGTTTTGGTAATTGTGGAGAACAGCTCTCCTCTACTGATCTGTCTGTTGGTGGAAAGTTGGCCAACAGACATCTGACAGCCCACTGACATATAATGAACAAGCTGGCAACAGGTTACCAGTTGGCTTTACAAGAATTACACATTTTTTCAGGAAGTTGTTCATCACAATTACCAATAGTTTTCTTTTTTCTCAATGTCTTTCTGGATGAAAATGTACTTATACCATTGGGAGAAATTCCTATTTAGTCACTCCTGAGGTTGAAAGGGTTAATAGAAAAGTATGCTTAACCCTTTAACTCCCATGAGTGACCAAGAGAGAATTTCTCCTTACAATAGCAAAACAATATCAACCAGATAAGTGTTGAGAGTAAAGGAAAATGTCAATTTGGGGATAATTAGCTGATCCAATACTGAATTCTCTGAACTAACATTACAGGAATTGTATGGTTGACAGTAAGGATGATTACAAATTTGATCTGGGACTTAAAGGGTTAAAAAGAATGTAAGAACATCTTTTATTTACCATCTTTGCTTTTCTCCACAGAAACTCTCCTTGGGCATCCATAGAGACTGCAAACCATAAGATTCAGTGACAAATGGTGTTAACTATTTTTGAGCCTTTGACTTGAAGTGACAATGTTGTGAGTGACACAAGATAGCATTCCTTGCACATAGTTGATCATCTAGTTCTGTACATACAAGTACATGGTCTTAAAATATCTTTTGATTATTATTTAAGTCCCTTTGTAGTTAAAGTTCCACTACACCCTTAAAATGCAAGGTCATCAGACTTGTTTGTAAAAACATAGCAGAAAATGTGCACTCAAACACATCTCAAGTATATTAAAAAAAAAAGCAGCCATGTCTTGATGTGCATGCATTATAATTAAGTGACTGTAAAATTGTGCATTTGATACTGACCTTCTGTGGGAGGCAAATAATCCAGATTTATGTCCTGAACCATCACAGCCTGGAGTAGGACACCTGTAATTTGCAAACACAAAAATAGATCAAGAGACAATGAAAACAAGAAAGACCTGTGAGACCTGTGGCAAGTATAGTCTTTGCACTGAATCTCAGAGAGGTTAATTGGCACATGAAAGCTTCCTATAATTGTTATTTTCAATTCATCTAATGCACAGTGAACCATTTATGGAAACAGTATGTAAATCAGTGTCCATGTTGATAATAAATTGTTATTTATACAAGGTTACAGACTTTCAAATGACCAAACCCTTCACTACTTAAAAAAAAAACATATTTATTTCTTCACCTTGATGTTTCTGAAGTTGCATCAGCATCCTTGTCTGTTAATTTAAAATAAAGAACACAAACATATGAGTACTATAACAATTTGCACTGATATTTTGCATACAAATACACAGAGTAACCAAAACAAATAAAAAACCAATTGAAAAGAGAAGTTCATATAGTTTCTTCAGCCATTCAGGCTGTTTTGTTGCCTTGTCATTAGCAAGTGAAAAGTAAGTGCTTTACATGATCTCTCAATTACTAACCCTGGACACCATAACATCAGTATGCAAACTTTCCATACCATTCTCTGTACATTTGTTAACATGTTGACGAGGAGAAAATTCCTTTATTCTCATGACCCCAGTGTGTGATTTGCGGGTGATATTGTAAGGAGAACTTAGAGACTAGTCACTCTTAGGGATCAAATGGCTAACCATGCAGTGCAAGTAAAATTGTCATGCATGGTTCACTAAACATTCAAGCTGTTTTTTGTTGTTTAACCCTTTAACTCCCAAGATCTCACTAATAATGCTCCTAACTGTCTGCCATACAATTCATATGATTCTAATTTGGAGAATTTAGTATTGGATCAACCAATAATCCCCTAATTGATATTTTTCTTTATTCTCATTACTTGTCTGCTTGATATTGTACTGATAGTGTAAGGAGAAATTCTGTCTTGGTCACTAGTGGGACTTAAGGGTTAAGTCTCTTGTTTTTATCACTGATCATTACCTTAACCCTTCACACACAAAAATGATATAAAAAAAATATATCAGATTTCTCATCTTCTCTGGCCAGCCCTAAAGATCCTGGGCCCAGTTGTTCAAAGGCCGCTTAGCCCTAACCCAGGGTTAAATTTTAATTCAGGTTTCTTTATTTCTTTGTTCAAAAGTCTTTTAGGGAAAATTTTCACTATTCTTTTTAGAACATCCAATATCAAATTGCAAGCAAAAAGATTTGAATGGAATTTTCTCTTAAAGCTTTCAGACCTGAAATCAAATTTCACACTAACCCTGGGTTACCTTTACCCAGCTTTGAACAACCTGGGACTGGTTTTTTCCTGCTTCTATTTGCAAGTTGTGAGCATGGCATAAATCAAAGAGGAAGATATCTCTCAATCTGTAACTTAAAACTTACAGACCTTAAACTTATTAAATAAGAAGTAGGCAGCAGTTCATTGCGGCCTTTACAAAATTGTAATTTGTAAAAGCAGTTAACAATTAAGTATAGATACCTCCACTGTCAAATCTTGAAAATCTTCTACTGGTTTTCTGTACATATGGGCAGCCATAGACACTAAAATAAAAGAAGAAGAACTCAGTTACATGTTCAACTCTTTTACTGCTTCAGTTGCTTGGATTTTCTATCTTGATTTTCTATCAAAGTAGCTACTACTTTGTAGTCTTAACCCTTTACATGAAACTTCTTCCTATAACATCCATACATTACCCAGCAAACAGGTAATGAGAATACTCTAATTTATCAGGTAGAAGTTGTTACCTTGATCTATACCAAATTCTCCTAGCTAACTTACATGTAAATATCTCACCATGAGAGGTGAGAATTAACAATCAGGCCCCAGTTGTTCAAAAGTTGGGTAGCACTATCCATTGGATAAAACTCTATCTGATGAATAACGCTATACAATTTGCTATCACTTGTCTGCTAAATAGTGATTTATCCGTTGGATAGAGTTATCCGCCCTTTATACAACTGGGCCCAGATCTTTTAAGTCAGATAATGGTAGTTTTACATACATGCCACAAGAAATGACTTTTGTCATAGTGATATAGCTTCTTTGATAATGCTCAAACATCCAGCCTTCTAACATAATAATCTTTTATCATCAGATCATGTTCAGTCTAAAGCAGGTGTTTTCACAGAAAATAACTGACTCAACTTCAACTTAAAAATGGATTCTCTATGACCACTTAAAAATATGAATGTTAATCTCTAAATTATTTTCTTTCTTCTTTTGTGGAAACGACAGCATTTCACTTGCCCCCTGTAATGTTAAGGGCCTTTTTGCGAGACATTGAGACCTCTGTTTGAAAATACCAGACCCAGACAAAACAATTTTAGTTAATATTCAACTTCTTTTTTTGGCCCTTCTTCCATATCTTTATGCTCCTTTGTGATATTCAGAACCAATTTCTGCATAACAAGCATATCTTGGAGAAACAATCTGAAAAATAATTAATTAATTCTAACTCTAACCTTCGGTGAGATGCAAACTTTCCATTAACATGTCCTTTTCCATCACATCCCGGTGTAGGACACCTGGTGTTAAAAATGTAGACAAGCAAAAATGTTGACATTATATTTTAAAACTAGTCAAATGTTCACTTAAAGGACACCAGTATACTAGAATTGTTCAAGCCTAGTTACTGCAGACATTAAAAGCATGAAGAGGACAAGAACTTACAAATATATCAATGTTTAAATGTACACTGGATCTTTAAAAAATTCACAAACCTAAAAATTAATTAACACACTTTTTGAGGAAAGACATCATGTTTTGTATAATACTAAGATGAAAATTCACAAATAAAACTCTTTACTCTCTAAATCTTGTCCAAAATTCCATCCAAGTCTTTTCATCCCAATTATCATAACTCATTCTGATAATCCTGTTTGGTTTTACTGAGTCAAAATATTGAACAGGCTTCGAAACATCTTGTTAACAAGAAAAACAGAATGTATAGTTAACAAACTGGACAATTTAAGTGGGCTCACAGTTATTTAAAAGTGACTTGATCCAGTTAACATGCAGCTGTCACTTGCTTACATAATGATGCTTCTATTATCAGGGAAGGAAAAATTTTGTATCTGTAATTCATTGATCCTTAGATAAAGGTAATAATTAGCAGACTGAGAAAAATAACATCAATATATTGAGTGAGTTATGAATCCTTTACAAAGGAAAGAAAAAATCTCTTAAAGCCTCACAGAAATTCTAAATGAACAGAAGCAGATGTCATCAATGACAGCTTAATAATTTGTCACAGCACTAAATATTGAAATTAATCATTATTCAAAACGTGACTATCAAACTTGACATGAGCCAAATTTCATTTGCATGACAAAAATGGTGTGAGAGGAAATTGTCTTTGATGTTCCTATGATGTAAATTAAAGTGATCATCTTCTTGGGACCATACATTCAAAACCATAACAGGTCAATATTAACTTTAACTACATGTATTGAGGAGAAATTAAAAGAAAAACGTTGACACTTGTGAATAAAGTTTACTTTTGTAAAGATGATTTTAAAATATTGTCAAAATTATGCCTGTAGTTTAGGACCAAGTTTAAACTTGATGAATAAATAAAATGCCTACATTAAAAAATCATTTAGTACATATAACTTTATGGGTTTGAGAGCAACTTATGAATAATTCCACAATTATTTTCAGAGTTTTCACATGATTCCCTGAGTTACAATGATACTACATCAAACTCACAAGCTTGATGTCTCTGGACTTTTAATTTCCAAACATTTTTAAAATCCCATTGAACATAGGAAACAAACAAGTAAAATTGCTTAAGAAATGTTCTTTGTTTCAGCCAATCAGCATTACGTAGTTTTGCCCCCTACAGTATACAGCACTTGATAAAAAGTAAAATGAAATCCTCATTTTGCCTGTGGGAGTGCATGTGTAGTAATATTGGCACTTAAAAATTAGGTGGAACTTTTCAAAGGGTCTGACCCTCACAATAAAATTGACTACTCAATAAAAAATTGTAAAAGTAGCCAGCTCAATTAAAACTAATGACCATTTATCCCTTTAATTTCCGTGAATGACCAAAACAGAATTTCTGGTAAAAATATCAATACAATATCAAGCAGCCAAGTAAAAGAAAAATATAACCAAGAGGATTATAAAATGATCCAATACCAGATTCTCCAAACTAACTAGGGAGTGGAAGGGTGAAAGATAAAATCTCTCTACATCTACAGTAGCTAGATAGATGCAGTATACTAGAATCATAAAAAATATTTTTATTCTTGAATTTACTGTCATGAATAATGTTACTACCAACACCAGTCTACAGCTTGAGAAAGAGGCTAAACGGGTTTATTAGGTATTAGTTATTAACCCCTAAACTACCATGAGTGACAAAGACAGAATTTCTCCTTTCAATACCAGTACAATATCAAGCAGACAAGTAATAAGAATAAAGAAAATAATCAATACGGAGATTATGAGTTACAGATCCAATACCAAATTCTCCAAACTAACATCATAAGAAGCATATATAGCAGACATCAGGGGTGACCAAAGGGAAATTTCTCCTTCAAAAATATCATCTTGTTTTCGAGCAGATTGGTCAAAGGAAAAGAAAGAAAAGCATCACTTAAGAGATATTGTGTCATACAACACCACATAATCAGTGATTATTTAAGTCACAATAAATACATGATGAAGAGTGCACAATCAATATTTAAAAGTTGGAGTTGAAGATAAGGTAAAGATAAATCTATTAACCCCTGACATCCTAACATCAGTAAATATATTCTCCATAATTTTCACCATACATTTCCTAAGGCACTGTCAAGGTGAATTTGTTGAACAATCAAGAGCTTCTTTAGTTGGTGATCAATTCCTTTATTCTTGTGACCTTAGTGTTTGATTCAAGGGTGATACACCCTGGAGGAATTAGTTGCCAATCACTCTTAGGGGTTAAAGGGTTAAAACAGAGGAAAAGAGAAAGAAAAAAAACCCATATGCTACTATCTACAGTAGCCACAGGCTTTTAACTACCTTGGAGATGGAATAGCATATTGGTGGGGTACTTACCCAATAAGTTCTTGAATGGATGCTAAATGTGAAAAAAAGAAAAAGACAATGAAAACAGCTTATGATTTTTAGCTTGCTAGTACTATCCTTTTAAAATGATATGTAAATTATAACGTCAAATAAGAGTGTTTTTGCTATCCTTTGCGAGGCACTAAATCAGTCATGGATATTCAGTAAGTTACCATCTACAACTTGGGAATAGCGGACTTGAAAATTATCCTTATGCCTCTTCTGTAAATAACCCTCAATTTTAGTTTGCTAGCACCCTCCAGTGAGATGAGTTAAATTCCTTCCCAACTAACTTAGCTTACAATAAGTTTTCTGCTTAGCCTTGGCCTATTTCAAGCAACCCTGAAAACAAAGATTCTTTGTGAAAATACAGCCCATACATTCACAACAGCAAATCCAAGGAAAAAAAATTGAAAAATAAAGTTATATTTTTCTGAAGAATTTTTAATTGATACTATAACATTACTCCTTACCAGCCATTCCAAGCCCTCTGCATTGTCTTTTCATGTCTCTAACACTACCTGAAGGCTTGTCAAGATCTGACAGAAAATTCTGTCTTGTTGCGTGAACCTGAAAGAAGAGTCAATCTTTAATACATAGATATTAACCGCAACAAAAAACAAGCTATGAAGGTAAAGTTTGCACTGAGCCAGATGGGTGCTCCAAATGTGGAAATTTATACCAGATTTGCAGCTCTCCTTCTTCAAATACCAGCCAGTCAAAGGGAACTGTACCCTTAATTTTTACAGTAACATGTGTCCATTCCATCAGTCTTCTCTCAATGAAACATAGAGTTCTCTCTGTCTCCCTAGCTCAGTGGTAGAGAATTACAAGTGTTAAGTCTGAAGGTCTTGAATTTAATTTCTCCAAGTGGACTGAAACATTTTTTATCTAATTCTTGAGACAAGATAGACATCATCTTTCTTCATCACCATAAAAGTTCTAGCTCTCCAGATAGTTCTCTGTAGTTCAGTGGTTCAGTGCTGAATACAAAGATCTAGAGGTCAGTTCCTTGTGAAGGACTCAGATCTTTAATTATCCGATGAAGAAATCAAAACAAAAAACCATTTATCTCTATCATTGTAAAGTTTCTTGCATGACAACACCCTAAAATCACCCCAGAAAGGTGTGAACATACATTGTAATGTCATGAACAGATTATGCTAACCATTGAGCCACCTCAAATCCTACGATAAAAATCTCTAAATATTATATCTTACCCTTTTTCTTGTTGTATCTGCACCAACAACAAAACTTTCTTTTTCCATACATTCCTCACTACAGTAGAGTTTTTCATTATTAACAAACTCTTCACTGTATATTTCTTCCCCACAGGTATGACAGCTTAGTGCTGGTGCTGTTTCTTCATGCTTCTGACTCAAATCCCTTACTATGTCATCTGACGCAAATGTCTCCTCTTCACCAGACTCTACACCGTTGACTGGGATGACTTCAGTGAGTGGTATTTTAATACAAAGCTTGGGAACTTTTCGTGCCTTTTCAAAATCCTATTCATATAAAAAATTGTTGTTAAGTAAACATGGTATGTTTACTTAATAAATCATCATCCCACAGTAAACACTGTACACATCTTACCACAAAAATGTGTCAAAAATACCAGAATGAGATCGTAAATGAAATTATAAAACTGTTTCTGTTCTATTTTTAACATTTCCTCGTTCTTTAGAAAAAGAACCCACAAAAATTTGCCCTGTGTGCAACATGAGACCCTTAGGCTAAATTGCCCGTAACTAACAACTAGGAAGGTAAAGGTCTGCATTTTTCCAAGCATATTTTTCTTCATTTGCAGTTCATCTGTCAGGATTACCTCATTATTTTTCACCACTCACGAGTCACATACTTTTTATTACATTTAGTTGCGATCAATATGAACTAACTAGCTTTTGAACTACCTAAAATCTACCAATCTTCCTTGAAAAACAATCACAAGTTTAAAATAAGGATGCTTTTCTGGGACACTATGTATAAAATTTACTGAAACTGCCATAATCTAACATTGTCTTGAAACTGCTCAAGAGGATCAAAGGTAGAATTCCTGAGTAAAGATTTGTAATATTTCACAAGCCTGCTCCATTGTTAAAATAAGTCAGTGGTCAGTGGTGGCAAAATCAGTCAATTAGTGGGAAGAGCTGGAAATTTTGTTTTCAGATTCAAGGTGTTGTAAAAAAAAAGATATAATATTTACTTGCTGGCTGGCAAAATTGAGTGTTGTTTGCCCATCAGTGAGATGGAATTTCCAAATTTTAGTCATATACACAAGAACTGGTTAGTGCCACATAAAAAGACACATTTAAAACACACTCTTGATCTTCACTATGCAATACCTTCCTAACAAAAGATGCACTTGACAAACTCTTATGAGCTATCAAAATATGTAAATTTGCATACCTTTTGCATAAAATTCAAAAATTTCTGCTAACAGATTTTTATGCTTCAGCAGTGCTGACAGAAAAAATGTTTAAAGTTATAAAAGCCCCAGCTTGGAATGAAAGGCTGGGGGTCAGATTTGATCCAGTTTCAATAACTTTCTATCAATTTGTTATGACATTAAATGTGACAGATAAGGAGTCCAAGAGATGATCATGTGCCAAAATTTCACACCCAAGGATTTAAAAATACATTTTGCCTCACAGGCACAGAAGTAAAATGTTCTTACAATACAAAAGTAAACAAGTTGGAGGCCTTGGGTCTTTGAAGTTCAAAACTCCCCTTATGAATACATGACACAAAAAGTTACTACATAATGGTGTAATTTAAACACATATTATTTCCATCTGCAAATAATATCACCCAGAGTATTCACAGGATTCTTTTCATATCTGTCTTTTAATTATTTGAAATTCCTAGCTTTTCTCGAATTTTCTTCGAACTGCAGGACATCCAAAGAAACTATTTCATCAAATAGCTCTGTAAATGTACTTGGTAAAGACAAAAGAATTGCTACTGACATTTATCATTTAACTGTGATACGTCAATAGTGGCCAAAATCAACCATTACCGCGACACAGCACTTGAAAACAAATAGCAAACCGTAAGGAAAATGAAGCTTGCAAACGCCAAGTAAAACTTAGCGTCATTTTAAAATCTCCTCAGCATACATTCAGGTTAGGAGGGTTGGATTTCGCGAATTTAAACCGACATTCGAGACAAGTTTCTAAACACTGAGAACTGTAGATTTAAAAACAGCAAAGAGACCATCTGTGCATAACAATGAGGAGCCAATTACTCTCAAAATGTCCTTTTTCTTTCCAAAACTTGGGCAAAGGAGACCATTTTTCGACATTCTTGAGGCAATATGATCGCCCTGATAAATCGCTACGGTTTCGTAAATTCTTTAGGCAACTTCCGATCCATCTAAGTATTTCGATCCTTTGTAATAGGCGAAAACAACTGCGAATGTTTACTTATTTAAATGTAAGTTTTAATCGCTGCAAAAAAAATCCCCACTGATTTACAACCAGTGAAGAAAGGCTACCAGGCTGAACTAAAACAAAATTTAATCGATCCTAATCAATAAATTCTCTAAGCAGACTCTCTGCGATAAGCTTTACTAGATAGTTTAGTGAGGAAATAAACACAGACCAAGACAATTTCTTCGAGAAAGTACAAGTCAAAATTAACATATCTTGCGAGCATTGAAAAGATAGTTTCTATAGATCTGTAGAACGTCCTTTTGCCTGCGATCTTGAGGAAACTTTGAAAGGATGTTTGACAATTTTAGACCCCGACACGAAACGAACTTTGATCAGATTCCAAGCTTTGCGAACAAAACCAAAAATTTCTAATTCGGAAAAAGTTTTCGAAGAGCGTCTGAATGAATGAAGAAAAAAATATGCAAATTAGTTAGTGCTGTACAAAAAGTTTTGAAATCGTGGCAGACTCGGGAAGATTCCTCGATGGCCGGCTAAACGAACCAACCCGCCCGAAAACAGTAGATAAACAAAATTAACTACCCACATCTCGGCGAGAAAAAAATTAATCGGTAGCGAAAGAGATGGGTGCTGTTACGATTTCCAGTGGTTAGAACGAATCTACAAAAGGAACGCTGGAAACGACAACCAAACGCGCTATCAAGTTTCCATATTCCGTGCACACTGAAAAATTATTTTGAAACTTTTCAAGAACAAAAAACGTAAATTTACGCTAACTACTTCCTAAATGTGTAAAAAACTATGCCTGATCTGCTCCCATACTTACCAAATCGAAGGATATTGAGTCTCTTTTAATTCCTGCGCCAGGAGTTTGCTGCCCATCTTGCTCAAGTCCAAATTCTCCGTTCGCATCAGGCGGTACTTCCATAACTCGTTCTCTGCTGCGAAAGATCTACCCTTTGTAGCCCTGTGCAAAAAATCCTTCGCCTTGAACTATTCCTGAAAAAAAAACCAATTGTTTCCAAATGTGCGAGCAGTCGACTGAAACGAAAGTTAAACTAACAATATTTACGCACGACCGAATAAAGCATAATCCACAAAGTCAAAATACAAAATTTTCCTCGACAGAAAATATTTGATGACTCGGCTTAACATCACACACGATTTCCCAAACAAAGCGAACATAGAAGGCCAGCACAAGAAGAAATTTAACTTACTACTTCCTAAAGACGAACAACCGAGTAAGGCGAAAAAATTATTAAAAATTCCTACTCCCGGTGAGATAAATTTTATCAAAGGTTCCACACAGATATTTAATTCCGATGAAATTACTCCAACTGACAGAACTCGCTCGACACTTCGTCCGCGCGAGCGGAAAGAAACTAGTTTTACCTCTTCGTTCCTGCAGCTGAAACTATTATGTGCATCGGCGAACAACATCTAAACATTTACATGGGTTTTACAGCTATTTAAATATATCAACAGGGGGAAAGCATAAATTTAAAACTGCTCGAAGTCGATAAAGAGAACCACAACAATCCATAAATTTCTCACAAGTTCAGGTTACCTTACTGAGGAAAACTTTTCGATATCTGCAACTCTTTCTGAGACAAATCGCACCCAGGAAAGAAAGAAATTCCCTTTCGCTTTTACTCTCCGTTTTGTTCGTTCACATGCTATTAATTTGCATACGTGAGAAGTTTTTTTGTCACCACACGAAGTCAAGCTAACAAGGGAATGTTACCTGATTACGGTAGCGTAAATCTCCCGGAAAATCCAGGCGCTGAAAAAGAATTCTAGACCCCAGATTTCTTTGACTACGGCGGCAAGGAAGTCCGATTACTATATACGCGCAGACGATCTCTCGCCTATGAAGTTTTTGCCTGTTGTTTTTTAACTACTTCTGCGACCCACTGTTCTTATTCACTGCCAAAAAGTTCCGAAACAAAACTTTCCCAAGATGCCCAGCGCGCCTCTCAGCACCCTCGGGTTAATTTTGGATTAAACATTAATTGATACGAAAACGAAAACTTTTTCTTATCTCCGAGCAAAATCTCGCAACGAAAATCATTGAATTAAAACACTATCTGTTAATGGAAGTATGAGGAATAGAAGGAATTAAAATCGCTCGCAAAATTTCCAAGAATCGAGCGATCTAAGTGAATTTTGTTCACACTGAATTTTTAATATATCCAAACAATATACAAGTTGAAAACACTTGTCGTCGGCGAAAAGTGGTTCGAACTGATTAAATGACTTTTATTTCAAGAACGTTCTCCTTTCGAGGAATAACCCAGAGTTTTCAAACGCGAAACAAAAAAATCATGTCTTTCAAACAAAATTTCTGATAAACTACCGCTTTACAACTTCCGCGCAGTTCTTCCAAGATAGAATCAAAATATTACATTTGAATTTTAGATCAGCTCAAGGGAAGTTTTAAATGAAATCAACTGCGAAAAGTAATTTACTTTGGTTTTGGAAAACATTAAGCACTACTTAATCAAATTTTTAAAACAACAGGGGACTATGGTCATAAAAATTTTGCAACTCATGGAAACTAAGAAGCAAGAAACCTTTCCCGTGACATTTGATAAACATAATTACGGGCAACTCAAGTGGCAAAAAATTGGAGAGTTATACTCCTTGAGGTGAATCGAAATCATTTATTATTCGATACCTGGTGGATTTTATTTCTACATAAACATTTTCGGTAATTGATGTAGGGCTGAAAAATTATCAAACAGATCTTAAGTGTAAGTCTACGATGGTATAATTTAGACAACATGAAGAATGTTTACTTTTGTGCTTTCGCTTCGAAACAAGTAAAGACAGGCATTGTCGAAGCAGAGAAGCAATTTGTTAAATGTTGACCCTCCATGAGGAAGAAAAAAGTGAAGCTACGTGACAAAAAAATCGAGGTTATTCGAGGATTCTATAATCGTTTTATGGTAAAGTTTAAAGTCTAAAGCCTCTTTTTCTACTACAGCGGGTTTTGGGCCGATAAATATAGGTAATTTTCAAAATTTTCATCTTTACACTTAATTCGATAACAACATTGTCAAGAACTTAACATGAATATGACCAACAATACGAACACCAAACGCAGATCTTAAGTTGACAGCTGAATGTCGACAAGAAAGTTTACCACTTTATTAAGTTTTACAGCGTAAAGTCAAAATGATAAATTTTTCGACATTTAAACTGAAAGGCGACGGCAGATAATAACTGATGGACTTGATTTGAATAAACCTGCCATCAAATAAAAACGATGATTAAGTTGTGGATCTCTCTACTGCTGTTGTTTGATGTTGTTTGAGGAACCGCGATGAGAACTTTGACAAAATCTTTACCAATATGAAAGAGGTTCAACTTTTTTTTGTTGTTTCGAAATCTTATTGCAAATGAGAAATAAATCGAGCGCGCAAGGCTAGCTCTAAGTAAGGAGGCTGAATCAGATGGTCTGAATATAGAAGACTGGTTGAATAGCAGACAGTCTAAGGTACAAAGCTAATTATTTTATTTCAATGATAAATTATTACAACGACACACTTTGTGATTTTCATGTGTTCGAAATGCAGATTCCCGTTGAACCAAACGCTTGAACTCAAGATTTAGCTGTGATGTTTGTTATTCGATGAAATTCCTCCAATTTTCCGGTCCGTTTCTTTTTCAAAGAAAAAAAATTGACAAATGAAGTCTTGCAGGCCAGGTATTTTGATACTGTGGAAATAAATATGATTTGAATATTTATTTTTCTTCGATTCATTAATGTTATCAGTATCATGGATTTATAAGCCGGAAAACAGGACAACATTTGGAAATTGATGAAAGAAGTTTAAACAGCGTTGTGGATAGACAGAGTAAATGCACACCTGTCAACCTCTCTAACCTCTCATACCCTAATGTCAGTATGCATATTGTCTACACTGTCCTCTGTACTAAGGTGCTGACAAGGAGAATTTGTGTAAGAACCAAAAGCTTTGTCAGTTGGTGAACATTTCCTTTATTTTTCCTTTAAGGAAAAATTAGATGCTAGTTACTACGGTCAAAGGGGTAAATGGAGAAAAGAGAATACAAACAGTTTATATTTTCTTGATGGAGATAAGTAAGTGCAACCTGTGTAAATTTGACTCGAGAGGACTTTCTTTGAAAAACTTCATCCAGCTCAATTACATGAATACAGCCGCAGCAAAGCGCATGAAAAACGGAAGGAAGACAAATGAACCACTAAGAGAATGCTTTGTGAATTCTTTGTTTGCTTTTATTCTGGTTTTGTACGCCCTATCTTCTGGGCACCCTCAAAGTAGCTCAGATGGCACACAGCTTAGCAGATGCGCAGCTGTTGCCTTCAGGCTCTGAGATATCTAGGAAGTTTTGGTATGTGGCCCGGCTGTGGCTGTCTTACTGAAAAGAGAGAGCTGTTTTTGCGGATCTGTTCATACTGGACGTGGGTATTCATTAGTGTCAATCATCAGTGTAATGATTGATGACGATATCTGACGTTTTGGCGAGACACTATTGGCAGAAATTCGATCCTATTTTAAAAATGCGTTATGCGAGCCCGAATTTTATAGTCAAGGGGCTAAGTTCCTAAATAAACTGTGGTGCTGCGTCGGTAAGGGAGTATAACAAGATAATTTGGTTCTATCGACAGAGTTCTGATGTAAATTGGCCACTATAAAGAGTTTCCAAAGCTGACATTTCGAGCGTTAGTCCTTCGTCAGATCTGTTACAGCTAGGGGGTTGTAAACAGAATGAAAAAGAAAGTAAATTTCGTACTGGTCCTCGCTCACCAGAGAGTCTCTGTGGCTCAGTGGTTGAGCATCGAAGCGGAGGAATCCGAAGGTCTGAGGTTCGATTCCTCTTGGGGACTCAGAATTTTTTCTTTGTCCCACGCTCGTGACAAGACGAAAAACGATCTTTCTATATAACTAAAGGGTTGTTTGAATAGAGCGACACCTTTATTTCCGAGTGCATGTATGACACATTTCTGTTTATCTCTTAAAAAGTTGACTGGCCCTGCAAATGCTGAAGAAAAAGAAAAAATTTTTTTCCCGAAAAAAAGGAAACACATTGTCCCGACTTTCATAATGTTCATTACATTACCTACACGTGTCTCGTACGTAGAGAAACTGAATCTTACCCTAACGAACCCGCAGCTTTACAATGATTGAGGATGTATCACATCTAACTGTACACGTCTCTAAGTGAACCTGCAGACTTCGATTTAAAACGTCCACAACGTTCACAATCGGATAAAGTGGCCATTTGTTCGCATACTATAATGAATTGATGTAGAAAGTTAGTATCTTACCTTTGGTCCTGTTTCATCACGACCAACCGAACCGAATTGTATTATGTCAGACTTGCCACCGAAGTCGAAGCCCCCTCATTTCGCTCCTAACTTTGTTTTTGTTCTCCTATTTCCTGAGTCAACTTTCATATCCAATGCTACCACAAACATTTAGAAAAGGTCCTTGAAAATACAGCTCTTCTCCTGTGGCTGAAATTTCTGCCGAAGCATTGCCCGAAAATAGTTTGCAAACTCAAAACTGCCGCCATTTTGAGATATTCTAGTAACCAGTCTCTTTGCGATTTTTATTCAAGGGGTGTCGAGAAGGATCTGAAACCCAGCCTCCTATCATTACGCCTTCAGTGCGAGCGACGCTTTCCTTTGTGGGGAGAACTCGTTCATTCTGGCAATTTCCAGTGTCCAGAGATATCCGCCGAGTTACGCTTAGCTGTCTTCACCTGCATATCTACGAAACTTGTTTGTCTCCTTGTAGTTAGCTGACGATTAGTTGCCGCCTATTCCTCAAATCATATGGAAATTGTCGCTGGTGTATTTAGCGAGACAAGCAAAGTGACTTCTTTTCTCTGATACAAAAACTCTTAACCCACATAGAGAGAATTACCGTCCAGCAAGCTTCTACAGAAAAACCTCATGCTACTCCGGAAAAAGTCGTCCTCTCTAGCACAAAAACACCACTATACCATTAAAAACAGACGGACAAATGTATCAAGCGCATGAAACAAATTAGTCAGTAAAACAAGAGTTGTATAAAAACCTAAAATTTATTCACGTTTCCTACATCCTGTCGGCAAAAACGCCAGAAATCAGGAACAACAAAAGCTTATAACTTACAAGCGCCAAAATACTAGATAATATTAAGTGATCTATTCATAGCCCCTGATATGACATACAAAGAACAAGAAAATATTTATTTGTTCCATATCAGAGTAATTAAATTGATTACATCATACCATCCGAACAATAAATTACTAGTACTAACGAAGTCGGACAGTTTAAAACAAGGAACAATCAGTAACTTCCGATGAACGTTGAACTTTGGGCTGGACACTCGCAGATCGAAATCTAAGTCTACACCACGCGCCTTGCTTCCTGATTTTGTAAAATTATTTGTTATCGTAGAAAATATTAAGTGGTTCAACAGCTTTATTTGAAGCTCTACTAATCTAGTGTCGTTTTCCTTGGACTTTTGAAGTGTTCGCCAAACTTACCATACTTTTAACCAATCATAGTTTCAAGTGACCTTACACTTGTCGAGCTTCTGAGACAAATAAATATTAAGTTTCGCTCGCATGGATAATAATTAGACATGCCTTTTGTTGCGAGATAGTATTTAGAGCTTTAATCAGTCTTGACAATGATTTCAACCCTTACACTCCCAAGATCAACAAGTCAATTCTCCAAACTGAAACTCTACATTTCTGTTAGCTAGTCCTGAGAACCTAGTATTTAGTACTGAGTGTCATCTTATAAACGAACTTCTGTCTACTCGTAGATGGTGTGGAATATCGCAAAGAGAATTTACGTTCAGATCATGTTTGGGAGGTAAAGGGCTAACATAACATAACCTACAACTGCATCAACGTAGCTGGTATTAACTAATACTACGAGGGATATTTTTCTTCAATGTGGGAAACAGGTATGGATTGTTTTTAAGGTACAATTATTTTCTTCATTTTGAAAAGAGGGTAGTAATTCTAGGCGAAGGGCACTTTGCGCATGTCCCTTAACTCCTCTGAGCTGAGGATATGAAGAGTTCCATCCACCCAAGCGTGACAGCACGAGCTTCAAAGATGAAAGTATTCCTTTAAAAGCGCAGGGGTTCTGTGGCTCTTGCACGCTGATGCTTTTCAGGACTAACGACTATGGACCACAGGGAGACCGCTCATAATGTTTGACCAAAGAAGTTTAGACCAAAGATGTCAAGTGCCGAGGACCGCTGGATATCACTTCTATGTTTCATTAAAGTATACACTGATTCCCATTATTCTTCACTGGCTTTACTTTTAGTTCACTCATGGCGACAGTCTCGGCTGACTATGTTTGGGAAAAAAAAATAAACAGATTCTCATTCAAAAGCGATAACAATCAAATTACTTAGAATATCCACACGTTATAAACAAAAAACTTTTACGGCTGACTATGGGCCACACCCCTTTTGGGCCCACTACGCGGGACTCAACCAGTTCTGATATTCGTCACACCAACGACTCTTTCGATCATACGTGCGTGAACCAACATCTTTGACATGCTCCTTTGAACAAACAGCTAAGAAAGACGATTACGACCTCTAGGCCGATCATCACTAAGTCACGTCAGCAACAAGTTTGACTCTTTCGTTTTGTTTGAGCATAAATTGCTCGCTTTTCTCCTCACTACTCCGTTTCTGTTTACCTAGCTTTGCGCTTCAATGAATACTGCTTTCAGCCTAATCCTGGCCTACGTGTAGCTGTACCCTCCGCCTCAAGGGGGGGGAGGGTACGGTTACGCGTAGGCTAGCCTAATTCAAGAATGAAAGTCGCACGGCAAAATACCTAACACAATTAACTCAGAGAAAAAAAACAACATGATCTCACCACATCAGGTTTGGCCGGTTTGAGTCACGTAATCTTCCTGTTTCCTGAAGAGACAGATACCGACCGTTGGGTGCCACCAGGCCGTGAGGCGGCGCTCCTTTCTGCCATGTTTCTTCTCATGTTGGCCTCTTCGGTTCCGAGTCTTGGAAAAAAGCAGAAAAAAAATTGATGCGGATCAGCTATTATTACCCATGTGTGTTACACAAGTCTTGACTACCCGAAGAACGCACGAGAACTAATGAACCGAAACATTTTGCTCACGCTCTTCGTCCTTCTTTCCTTCACAAGTCACCTACCGACGGCTTGGTATAAACCTTATCTGTTTCGCGTAGGTATATATGCGTGGCTTGCCTTACAAGGATATCTATTTGGTCAGGCAATGAGTCTCCTTCGCAGCTGTCGTTTAGCCTCGTCATGGTACGCGCTCTATCCCAATCTCTCCTTTCTCTGGTATTAATCTCAAAAAAGAAAAAAATTAATACTAAAAACTGAGTAACCATATAATCAAAAGCACCTAACTTACCTCACAGAAGGACTTTTAATTTTCGGTTCCTTTCTGACGATTTTCTTGCTAAGGTATAACACCCACTGCTTTTGTTCATCCGCAGTCTGTGCAAGCACTAAGAGTTCCTTGGCTGAGACCAGATCCATATTAACTAAAACAAAAAGACTCGCTCATAACATGCTGATCTATCAAAGTAGAGTAAAATCTTTAAGAAAACAAAGACTTAAAAAAGTTTTAGAAGTATATAGGACTACTTACGGTTGCACATGGTGATACAAGCTTCTTCTCTATCGACATGGTCCTTGTGACACTTCATATGACAACCTGAAGACATACACATACGAAAATTAGCGAACTAGACAACAGAAATAAGTGCTTTTCATCATTCTCGAATTGTAAAGAGGAAACTTCCACGAAATACGCGTTCCAAGGGATTTATCCAGACGCAACAGAGTAATTACACTGGACTGTAAAACAAACAGAAATGAACAAATGGAACTCTTGGTTAGTTCTTGAGCAATCAAGGGCTTTTTTAATTGGCGATCATTCCCTCTATTCTCACGACAATAATGCTTGATTCATGGTTAATACTGTAGGGAGAATTTAGATGCTAGTCACTAATCAGGGGCTAAAGGGTTAATTTACTTACGTCTGCACTCTACTGCTGGAGGAGGTTTGAACATGTGCCATAGAGGCTTGTTGCAAGAGTCACAGTTTGTAGGCATGTGATAGTGCATGGGTATGAACTGATGCCTCATGTAGTCGATGGCATTCATGCGATCCTGAAAATCATAAACATTTGCAGCAATCTTCAGCACAAAACGTTACGATGACCTTGACGTAACTACTGATATTGAAAAGAGTTTGGGCCAAAGGCAGCGAGGAGTTTAAATTCAAGACCACGAGATGCAGGAAAGAACAAAGACCTCTCCAAGAGTTTTTTAGTTTAAAAGTGCCATTCAAACGATGTTACTGGAACACATTGTAGAGATGAGAGTTAACCATTTACACCCTAATATCAGTATACATATTCTCCATACAGTTCATCATACATTTCTAAAGGTGCCGACAAGGAGAATTTGTTTACTGACCAAAAGCTTCTTTTGTTAGGTATCATTTCCTTCATTCTCATGAACTTAATGTGTGATTCAGGGGTGATATTGTAAGGAGAAATTAGACACCAGTCACAGGCCTAGGGTTTTAACGGTTAAGGAGATAATCAGAGAAGTAGGCACGATTTTCCAGCAGTCAGGGGGAGGGGTGGGGGGTGGGGGAAAGGGAAAGGGAAAGGAGGCTTACACGAGAGTCTTCCTTTCATTCAAAGGCGTTCCACGTTGTTTTATTATCAAGGTTACATACACCCTGAGGAGCACCCTCCCCTTGCAAAAACGACCACACCCTTAGTTTAAATTCCACTATGAATACCTCAGACTGTGGGTCCTCTTTGTCTTTTTCCACAGGGTTAATGCTCTCGGCCTCATTAGCGTATAAAATCTGCAAATTAAAAATTACTTTGTTTTTAAAACGCCTTATTTTCCAAGCATGTAACTCGACATCGAAATGGTCAAGGAATAACGACAAAGAAACCCGAACATCGAAATATAACACTTCATACACAGCAAGAAAGGCGCCGGAGGCTAGTGCTGAAACAAATAACAGCAACTTATCTAGTCACTCAGACAAAAAGTACAACAAGGCAATGTGACATTGGTCACGCAACACTTACCTGAAATATCCTAGGAATATCTTTGGCATCGGCACGTATGACATCGCCTTGCGTTACTGATCTCACGTGAAATAATTTACTGTCAAGTGAAACGCAAGCATTTGTGAGAAACCCCTCTAGCAAATACAATAGGGTTTCCTTAATTTACAGTGTTACACTTGGATAAGAACGGTTTTCGATTGAGTATTGAAAGCAATTTCGAACTAGGTGGTTTTGCTTCAGCGCCACCCACTGGACCAATCAGATACAACACTAGTGGTATACAGGGGCACTATGGGTCATAGCCAATCAGGTTAAAGGATTTTGTATCACATGGTACATAACACTGAAATGTGATTGGCTATGTCTCATAATGCCCACGTATAGTACCAACTCTTCTTCAGCAGTTACGCTGGGTCAATGTTTGTTTGGAATCACCATTAGCTCCTTGTGATAGAGTAATTTTCGATTGTGTTTAAAAAAAATCCGGGTTTATTTAGTTTTGTTCCACTACAGTGAGCTTATTTTAGACTGAGCCTTATTTTTCCAGCACAGCGACTGGAAGTGTACCTAAACACAGACAGATATCACTATTGGAAAGTAGCTTACCTGATTTCTAAAATGATGGAGGGTGTTGAACTACTTTTATGATCAGCATCCGAGTTATAGAAAAAAATCTTGCGATTGCTAACGACTAAATACTGCAAAACAATCAAGCAAAAAAAAAAAGGCAAAATGATATTGACACTAAGACATCCAAATGAATCACAACAAGAAAACTTAAATGAAATGCGGATAATGAAACTTTTGGCGGTCATTTTAATTAACTCTCCTTGGGGCTGAATCAATTATTTCTTCCTCTGATGCCAGTTCACGATCAGCCATCTAACTCTCATGCAATTCTCCGTTCAAAAGTACTGAGAGTGTTGAATGTACAAATATCGGATCGATGTAAGAATCTGACCAACTGCGCACCTACTCCTCCCCTAACCTAACATTAAACCTAACTTGTTATCAGTTGACTGTTGTTTGATAAGGGGAGGAGTAGGTGCGCAGTTACTGTCGTTATACTCATCTTTCGGCTCCTGTCAAAAAAACTGTAAAATGGAAATTTGTTTTTCCACTTTATTTAATGCTACTTGAAAGATGAAGTAATAAGATGAGTACTCACTTGTCTTTTCCAACCATATCTTTTTATATTCTGTTTGTTTGGAATGGAAACCCATCCTTCTTTGGGCATATGGACTGGAAAGAAAAGAGTGAAAAAGAAACGGACTAAATACCGACGGACATCACAGCAATGCAAGAGAAAAAATCATCATGTTTAACGCAGAATATTGTGTTACCTGAAACAGAGAGGGCATCGTCATCAGTTATGCTTGTATTAAGCGCCTTTTGTTTAATCTGGGAGTTCAGTCTTTCGATCGAAAGATCTTTTGAATCCAGCTCCATCTTAAAACAGAAAAAATAATAATTACCCTTAAGACCGCCACAGAACACTTCCCTTTAGTGTGCTCCTTGATTTTCTCAGATAATTTAACCATTTGAAGGGAAACGAACCTCACTTTGTAAACGGTCGGCAAAGTATGTTTCCGGTCGTTCGTTAAAATCTTAGGAGCTCGGAAAAGCGATTTTGTGAAGAATTATCGATATGGTTAAATTGGAAAAGACGAAATGGTAAAACTAAAGCTTTGTTGGTACTCGATCCAAATGAACTTGAGGGCCAAAAGGTGAGGGGCAAAGCCCACTAAATCCTAGCACACATGATTAAATGGACAACTACTCATCATATCTGGCAATATACTGGTCGAGACCATTTACCAAGGAATGTCAAGGTAATAAAAAACGTCTCACTGGTTTGTTTCGGCTTGTTAAGACTGCACCTGGTCAGGAATATCCAAAAGCAGGTTACACTCACCTGCATTTTCTGTCTCTGCTCTGTCTCCATCTGAAGATTCATCTGATATTCCGCTAACTGTCCTTGGAACTTTGTCACCATCTGGCCATACTTCTCACGTTCCTGAAGACATATTAAAGTTAACATGAACAAAGATTGAACAACTGAGTGGCTCTGGTCTAAAAAGCTGGTGCAAATGATTCAGACTGGCAACCGCAAGCCAAAGGCCACGCGAAAAGGCCGGTGGGAGCTCTCCTACATAGAGTCTGGTCTTTCGCGCGTGTTGTTTACGTTCTGACCAAGATATGTCAACGGATAGAATGATTCAACTTCATGAAACCCTTAAGGCGTACAGCGAATTTAGCGACTGATCGGTTTTGGAGGCAAGCGAGATTTCCCACCTGAGACCAATCATATTACGAAGCATAGCGAAACCTATGTAATCCAGGATAATCGTTAGAGAAATTTTCGATTAAGTATCGAAAGTAAGCCATTATTGCTTTATTTTTGCCTTACTTCGCTCTGTGATTGATCCAGAAAATTTGTGCCACCCTCTCGATCAATCAGAACTAAACCTTAAACCAATCACAACTTGGTCGCCCTCGTTTTCCCGCGCTTTAGCAGTTTAGTTGGTTTCAGTTGAGTTCTTATTGGTTCCTAAGGGTATTTTCCTTTCTTCTGATTGGCTGTTGTGATTTCTTTGTTTTCAGTTTTACGACGCTTACACTCGGAACAGTCGGATGCCATTGCTCCATCTTTGATTAGTGTACTTACTGCTCCCAGCTCTTGATGTAGTTTTCTACATTCTTTCTCCTTCTTCCGCAGGTCGTCAGAAGTAGCTTTTCTCTTCCTACTCGCGTTCTGCATCAGGTCTTTCCTGTTCATTATCTCCGCAAGTTTGTTCACTGCCTGAGTCTTCAAAGTTTTCTCTATATGCAGTTGCTTTCGTAACTCCTTGGTGGCGTCCTCGATATCTTTGCTGTTATCCTTAGATTTTTCCAGCTCTGCAAACAAATGTGGTGAGAAGAATTTAGCTTAACTTTTTCAATCACAGGAGCAAGCAATAAGTAATTTTTCCTCGAAGCATTAGTACACTGTCCACGAGGAAAGTGATGTGAAGAAAGAAAAATGTGGCCCAGAGGACACTGATTGGCCAAAAAATTATCAAAGCAAAAAATATCAGAAATGTTACTGTAGGTAAAGAGGAATATTGATATTTAAATCTTGAGAGTGAAGGGTTAACGAAACCACGACACTTCATTTCGAGTTAACACAAACAAAACTATCTCCAGCTTGATAGGAAATGTAAAATATTAGTTCAGAAAGACAGCACAACACGAGTAACGCCATAATAATACAAGGCGACACAGGGGTAGCCTAGGATAGAGCAGATCAAAACGGATTGCAAACGTCTCACCTTCTTGCAAGGCCTTAATTTTGGTATTGAGCTCGTCTTTATCAGTTATTTTCTGCTCCAAGTTGCCTGTCAGTTGCTGGTTCAGTTCTTCCAGCTGAGAGATCTGAGCCCCTTTCTCTGACATGTCGCTCTTGTGTCTCGCGATCAATTCTTTGACCTCTAGCTCAATCATCGTTTTTTCTTTCTCTAGATCCGAGTACTGCGTACAAAAGAATACATCACTGCTGATAACAACTGCAAATCTATCTTTACACCCCCTATGGTCTCTCAGTAAGTCATGCAACAACTACAATCTCCTTCCCAGCCGGATTTCTGACGAAAATCAAGTGAAAATTCTTCAATCACAAACACCCTACCTGTTCTTCAGCGATGGACCTCGCCAGCTGTTCAGAGTCCACCATGGTTAGCGTCAACTCCAACTGGGCAGAGAGAGACTCTCTACAGACATAAAATTTTATTTTCAGTGAGAAGAGGTCCTTCTTCATTTTTACGGAAACAAAAACGGAAAGTTTATTACTGACGGAAAGAAAAAGTAGTTTCTTCTTCTCTTTGGGATCTTTTTTAAGTATAGCTCTCTTTCAGAACACAGTGATATGACCACGTAACTATGAATACCGATAAGCACCCATAAAAGTTTGGCCTGTTCAAATAGTTGCTATCACTAATACACTTTATGGTCTCCCAACCCCGTCTTGCTCCACTTTCCTGACCTGTCGTCACTCAGCTGACGTAACTCCTTGCTCATATCCAACATCTGCTTGGTTTTTTCGTCAACTTCCTCTCGGAGTTCTTTCACTTGGGTTTTGTACAGAGTCTGAAAGGGGTAAAATTCAATTGAAAGTGAAAATTCTTCATACAATCAATAGACTGGATGATAAAAATAACAACCTGAATAACGATCTGCCTTGGGTACACTGAACGTCATACAAATTTTTAATATTTTTAGTTTCATGCTGGTAATGTTTTCACAGGTTTTGAGAAACAGGCGCCACATTTCCAAGAGAAACTATGGTTTATTTTAAGCTGCTAGGGTTGAATACCAAAATTTATATCCTACCGAGAAGTACGTTTCTGCCTCTAGTTGGTCTTGAAGCTCTTTCATTTGTAGATCATCCACAGCACTTGCACTGAGTAAGTGAAAGAAAAAGAACAGAAGTGAGCTGCTTATTTCACTTTGTGTACATCGGAGTAACTATCATATTACGGCGGCCTTCCATCTCTAACAATCGATCAATCGGACCGTCCTGTTTATAATTACGACCTGTCTATCCTTCAGGTCGCTGGTTTGATTACACATTACCATACTTTAGTGTGCAATAAAGGAAGAACCAATACAGAGGGAACCTCCAGTCACCCTCACAACTATTAAGTGTCTCCTTAGAAAGCGTCCCTTCACTGAAGGCGTCTTCTAACAGACGTTTCCTAAAAGAGCGACTCTACTGTGCCTCCATTTCAGCCAGATTTACCACATCAAAAGCACTCAGCTCGATTGAACTCGTCAGGAAAGATTTCACCTTAGTGGTAGGCATACAAGATGAGGGTGGGGATGGAGGGGAATTTAAACTAACACAAGCCTCTCCTCCCTTTTGTACAACAGCTATGCAGGCCAGGAAAGATGTTATTTGGTGGAATATTTTACCTTTTGAGTTTTGTACAAGCATCTTCCAACTGTTTCCGTTCCTCCAACAGATCTTCCACTTGCTGAAAAAACCAATACAAGGAATATGGTCGTCAACTTGTACAAGAATCAAACATATATTACCGATAATTCATGCGCGAAGCAGGTTTTCAAAAGGAGTTCACCTGCAAAATGGCAGTATCTTTACTAGACATTTCCTACAGGTTAATAAAGATTTTTGCGAAACTTATATAATTTAAGCCAGTTATGATACCAACCTTAGCAAGTTGCTTCTCTGTTGCCCTCAGCGCAGCTATTTCCTGAGCATTCACTTTCAAGTCACTCTCCAGTTGTGTTCGCCGTTGGTTCTCCGTGTCTAAAGTAGCATTCAGACTTTTATTCTGGCGAAAAAAGTGAACAAATATTTTACATTAGTCACAGTTAAGCTTCCTAAGGAAAGGTACAACTAACCTTTTAAATAGTTAGATTATGCCTGAAAATGTTTGTTCATCGTCGTCCTTCATTTCTCACCTTATCCTGAAGAGCATTGTACTCCTGTTTTAATCTCTCCAGTCTCTGTTGCATGTCTTTAAGATCTACAGCTAAAACTGATCTTTCTCTCTCAGCTTCGGCAGCTGCTGCTTCAGCCTTTTCTCTGATCACCAGCTCCTGCTCAAGTCTTTCCAGCGTTTTACTTTGCTCAGCTCTCTCTTGCTCAGTCCTTTCTTCCAAAGTTAGTGATAATCTGTTCTTTTCTGTTTGATAACTGGCAAGTTGTTGCTGCAAAACAAGAAGAAAAAAAAGTAGTTCACCTGGCTGATACACTGGTAGGTGAGAGAATGAATCTCTGAAAACAATACTGAGCAGCTAGGTGCTGGCCACCGCCCTTCTCACACAAACACAATGTATGAATAGTAGGGGTATGTCTGCTGTGGAATGCTAGAGCCAGTCACGATTATCAAGCCATATTCTATGGGCAGCAGCTTACAATCATCAACAAAATGTTTGTGACACCCTATTTTCAGTGAATAATAGCAATTCCATATATCCCCGCCCCCCCCCCCCCAACCCCTACCTGATACAAAATTACTTTAATTTTGGATATAGCAATGTAAGGAGAGAAGGGAAAAAGAAGGAGGGGAAGGGAGGATAAAAGAAGAGGGGGAAAGGGAGAAGAGAATGCGCCCAGTGCTTTAAACATATTTGTCTTGAAGATTGTACAGTGTAGGTAGCTGATTGAATCTTGCTGCTTTACCAAAGGCTTGGTCCTACTTTTATCTCTCATGTTGTTACTCTTATTCACACGTATGTCACCATGGCATTTTTGATTAAATGTAGTACAGTTTGTTATTGATACTTTGTTAAATAGACATCTTACTCTTATTCACACGTATGTCACCATGGCATTTTTGATTACATGTAGTACAGTTTGTTATTGATACTTTGTTAAATAGACATCTTACTCTTATTCACATGTATGTCACCATGGCATTTTTGATTACATGTAGTACAGTTTGTTATTGATACTTTGTTAAATAGACATCCATTCAGAAGGAGTATTTACCAAAAATCTCATGAAGATGAGACAGCTCATACCTTGTATTCTAGAGTGATCTTATCGAATTTATTCTGGATGGACTTCAGTTCATACTCAGTGTTAGCCTTAGCCTAGAAAAACAAGAGATTAACATAAATTTAACAGCGTTGAATTTATACAAGTGGCAAAATAATTGAGGTGTGAACTGAAAAACTTCACTTACTTTCTCAAGATTAATTAGATCCTGTTGAAGCTTTTGCTGTAGTTTGGCATCTGATGCCGATCGTGCCCGTAAATGGTCAAGCTCCTCTTTCAATACTCTGTTCTGGCCTGCAAGGAAGGAGAAATACAATCTATTGACTTGGTTCTTGAGCTTCTAGTTTCTGAAAATGAAAGTTCTTATAATTGTGCAACAATCTGACTTCTTTGCAGAATGATCCGATCATAGTGTCAAAAGATATGAATTAAAACAATGCAACCATGAAGGAACCATAAGCCAATCAACACACAACCACATAAACTAATAGCAACAGCCACTTACTTTCAATGTCTGCTTTTGCACTGTTTGCTTGGCCTCTCATGTTCATCTCTGCTTCAAGATTTCCTTGTATCTTAATGAGTTCTCTCTCTAAGCTAAGCTGTTTAAAGATGACAAAACAAAACAGGTTCCATCAAGGGTTTCAATAATTTTTTCCATACATGGCTGCCGATGGTACAGTAGGTGGCTGAGCCATCAGGACAAAAGCCCACTCTAAGGCTAAACAGATGGGGGTGATGGATCTTATAGGTGGCAGTGGACCCCCCATACCCCACTTATACTGAAGCCCATAATCATTAACATATTTAACCAACTGCAATAATGCCAAAACACCTCAAAGGTTACTAAAATTAAAGAAACAAGTGGATGCCTAAATTTCAAAATTTAAGCATGAGAACCAGAATAAAATACCTTTTGTTCACTTATGATTCTATTCTTGTCCTGTAAATCTCCATAAGTTCTCTCCATCACTGTGTAAGACTGCACAAGAGAGAGAACAAGACCACAAAATTATTATGAGGAAGGAGTTGAAATTGAAAAACATAGATTTCCATACTTTCAGCTTCTTTACAACCCTCACCACAACACAAGGATTATTCAAATTGATTTCAACTCAGAGTATTCAGATGACTATTATCATTCCAAAAAAGTTGGCAATCAGTTCCCCTTCAGTGTATTTTAATCTGTCCTCTTTTCTGCCTTCATATGAATTATGAAACACCCATATATGTCAGCACTGGCAAAATGTTTGGGTAACCTTTGGTCAGTACCTCCTTCATAGTGAAAACACAGCTGTAACTAAGCTATATAATTAGTTAAGTGAAAAGAGGACATCTACATGTTGTATTATCATACTGAATTTATTTCCTCTCAAGTGCACTTTAAGTATCACACATACCTTTTGTAAATCACTATATAATTTTTTATTCTTGGTGTGTGTATCAGTTTCCACCCTGAGCTGTTCTGTCAGCTCATGGATCTGTTTCTCTTGTTGGGTTATCTTAGACTGGACACTCTGTGACGACTGGGAAATTCTATCCCGCGCATCAAGCTCTGCATCAAGACGGCTTTGAAGTTCCTGGACTTTGCCTTCAAGCTTCAAAAGTATTAAATGATAAAATTCAGAAGAAAAGGTGAAAATCAGGATAGAAAGCTTAATCAACATCAATGTAACAAGCTCAATACCCCTGTTAATTAAATTACCTTTCTCTTGGCTTCTGCTTCAAACTCAGACCTTCTCTGTGCCTAAAGATTGTAACAGAGCCCAATGTTAAAGTTGGATGACTCTCATTTACACAATGACACCATATTGTGAAATTTGCAAAATTACACACAATGAAACTTACCTCCTTTAAGTCATGTTTAAAAATTGCAGCACTTCTTTCAAGCTCTCTGTTTGATGATTCTACTCTCCTTTTTGCTTCCAACTAAAACACAGGACATTTGGATCAGACAAATCAAAATTTGAAGAACAATAAACTAAAAAGTAAGAGTAAAGTTGTCCTCTTTTGCTAACACTTTCAGTGCCACAATCTCATTAGTTATTCTCCTTACAGTTTGCCATACAATTTTTAAGATTTTTTTTAAATTTACTATTGGATCAGCTAATAATCCTATAATCGGTATTTTTCTTTGCACCCATCACTTGTTTGCTTGATATTGTATTGATGTTGTAAGGAAAAATTCTGACTTGGTCACTTATGAGAGTAAAGGTTTGTCAAGATCCTCACCTCACTGTCTAATTCTTTTATGACTTTATCGAGCTTGGTGCTCACCACTCTGTGAAAGCAAAAAAAAAACAAAAGTAAACAAAACTAAGTCTTTCTTACAGCTAATGGTATCACAAAATTGTCTACTCAGTTTCTTACATATTGCACTGGCTTCATTTTTTTCAATGTTACTGAAATATCAAAATATTCATTGTTCAATCTAGGAAAAAAATGATGATTATTGACAATCTCCATTTGACATTAAACCACTTTTGTTAACAAAGCATGGTATGCAAATGTTGACATATGTGTTCTCTTACTGTCCTTAACCTTGCAGACTTGCATGTAAAAGATCATGATCGTCTTCAAATCCCTTAGATCACCAAGGATGTACAAATAAGGTGTAAACATTTCCTTGATCCTGAGGTGTCCTAGGTGGTTGTTGTTAGTAAGTTGGTAACTCAAGGTTCTCTGACCTGTAATTATGATCCAGCTCATCTTTAGCTTGCATTTCCACTGAAACCTGCTCTTCCAAATCTCTGATTCTACGGTTAGCTGCTTCAAGCTGCAAGATTAAAATGTAAGAGAAGTTCATAGCAGTTGCAGCAAGCCACAGCTAGACAGTATTACTCATAAGCTAACTATTATTTGCAGGCATGTATCACAGTGATGCCTCAGTCAATGTCAAGTAGGAAAAAAATGCCTTGAAAGAGAATTACCTTTGAGCGACTGTCATTCCCACCACCAGAACTACTTCCATCCTGAGGAAGTGAAGAAAAAAATTACTTTATCTTGTCATATTAGATGGTAAATGAAACCAAAAATTGAAGGCAGAGGAAAGAGAGAGTGTCTTTTTACCATCCTCACCATTCCATCTGAACCTGCTTTGCCTTGAAAGTTACCCCATCTAAATAAATATGAAATGCAATAAATTAGTGAGAGTCAATACTTCTTTCTACAGCCTTCTGTCACTGTTCAACTGTGCATTAGATAAAGTACATCAGGAACATGAGGCTAGTGAAACAGCCAGACACACAATCAAAATATATGGGTCATTTGCCCACATAAATTGAAAATTGATTTTTACAGACTATACAGACTTACTCAACACTCTCTGAATAACTGAATCCTATGAAAGGAAGATGATTCCCAGCAAACGCCTGCCAAATAATTTCACACATGACAAAATTTAGTGTACTAAAAAGGCCATTTACTTCTTTCACTTGATCTTCTCCTGCAAAATGTTAACTGGCTACTTGATGAAAAAACAACCCTGTTCTGTCTTGATTTCTGTTGATACTCTTGTCAAAAAAGCACTGTTTCAATTATCATGCCTCAATTACAAGAGTATTACCCAATTATATCTAAGTGGAGTTGCACTGAACAAGCCAAGTAATGTCTTGTATCAACAAGTTTTAATTTTCAATGCATGAACCCAGCTCATTTGGCATGCTGAATGACACCTAACATTTAAAAGTACTTGAAACATCTTACACTAGCCCCAAATGACAGCACTAAATTAAATGGATACAGAATGGCTGCAACAGTGTCAATACTGTGTTACAGCTAAGCTGATACTGTTATTTCACCTGACTTGACAAAAACTAAAGAGTACCTTTGGAGTTGGAAAGAACTCCTCTCCACTATCAGGATCAGGAATGTCATCAAAGTGCGAGTAATCATCATCACTGGCCAACTCTGGGACCACAGGAGGAATAGCTGTGAAAAATAAACAATAATTTGATGGGCTGAACTATACAAGCATTTTGATTGCTTCTTGCTTATGATCTATTGGAGGAAAGACACCTAGACGATGTCACTATGTAAAATAAATAGATTCCATGTTGTAGTTGGGCTGTATGGTGATGGATCACAAATGCCATCTGTGACATAATACTGAACAGATGCATGGCAACATAGAATCTATTTGTTAAATATTTTATTACTCAAAAAAACTCAACCACAAAATGGAACAAAATTCACAGCTGACTGGACATAGTTTCAATTGCAATTATAAAAGAAGTGATATGTTCAAAAGAACTGCTCAACAGTTAACAGGTAAGCCTCAGTGTACCCTAATTAAGTGCAACACACAGGGATGACATTAAACTACTAGTTGAGGGGTTTTTTAACAGGGTGGAGAAAAAGGAAAGCTGATTAAAATTTGAAGTTAGAGACCAGTAGCTTAAACAATGAAGAGGGAGATAATTAGATTCTTTATGGCAATAACATTTGTTAAAGTGTTGATTGTAAATCAGATATTAATTAAATATTGATTGCAATAATTACCCTCTCTGATGGTATCCCATTCCCACTGGTCATTGACAAAAAATTTATGTTTTTGTATTTCTGCTATTCCTTTCTGACCAATTCTTTGTGTTCTACAAATAATTAACACATGTGGTTAGAATCAGTTTCAAATCAAACTGTCTGGCAATGCAACTCCTTCAAAGAAAATAGCTGCAATAAAACCAGTTGATGTAATTTGTAAAATTCTGGTGGAGTGCTGTTCAGCAAGAGGAATTGCAGTTTTAAAGAAAATCTAATTAGAGTGAATTTTTATTTTCGAGGTGCATGGCAAGGAATATGACATTCAGTAATTTTCTTTAACAAAATCAATACTCAATACATATGGATGAAGTTCTAATCATGTATGGTCATAAGGTTTTCATGGCATGAAAAAACTAAGAATATAGGGTGGATGGAATACTATTCCATCATGGATTACTTCCCCCTCCCTTCCTAACCATACTATTGGGTTCTCCTTGCAGTTTACTGGGATACATCTATACTCCTGAGTGGAGAGGGGGGGGGGATGCTGTACAAGTCTGACAAAAAGGCATCAGTGAGGGCCTAACCCAAAACTTTTAGACCCAGAGACAAGCTTACTAAGTGTTACTGCCACTGCATGCTCCAAAGTGATTTTCCCTTCAATAATTGACAGCTAAAAGGTGATTTTAAAGAGGAATTCCTTTGGTCTTAAGAGAATGGGTATTCTTCAGAAACTTATGCCAACAGATTACCTGTCAGTAAGAAAACTACAAATTAAATGCTTGGCTTCTTTTGAAATCTCAATGTCATCAGGAAACTGTAGTGAGTTTTTGTGATCCATAATTTTTCCTGAAAAAAATTGAATAAAAATTGCTCAAGCAAATACCATATAGGAAAGAAATTACCTGGAGTTGCAACTGTACCTTACTTTTGCTACAATCAAACACCAACCACACAAAAAAAGAAAGAACTGACTTTGTCATCCATAAGTTATTTGACTGTTGATATCATTGATGGTTTAAAAAAGATGGCATTGTAAACTAAGCTTGTTGCAAATGAAAAGTGAAACTAAGTACCACCCCCAACTAAGCCTTTTCCCCAAGTAAGTGCCACACTGACAAGTCCAAAACTTCAAAAGTGCTTTTCCAGGTAAAAATGGCAGGGAATTTCATTTTCACTGAAATGGCCTGGATGTGCAAAGTTTGATTCTTGGATGGTCTCAAGTTTGTTTTCTGTGTTCTTTCCAATGAGCACAGGATGGAAGTTTGAGTCAGAGACCATCCAAAAACCAATCTACAGTAGTCTCAAGGAAAGATTAACAAATCTGGACTCAGATTTCCTTCTGACAAGTATGGCAAGATCAAGTAGACCAGCAGAGATCTATGACACCAAACCCTCGTTTGCAAGGTTGGTATTGAAAACAACTGAATGAAAAAATTGACATACCATAGGTTCCTACGAGTGAGTCAGCATAAAATGGAGTGTCACCTGAAAAAATTTGAAATTCAACACAAGGAAAGAATGATCAAAGATCCAAAGAAAAACTAAAAACCTATTCGAAGTGTCTATAACTAATGCAAGCTTCTCATCTAACTATCTGACAATGAAGTTTGTGCAATATTTTCAAAAGTTGAGATCTTGCTGAAAGGGCTATGGGCAGAGCTGGCAAGAAGGTATAAAACATTTAAATTCTTGTAACAGAAAAGTATTTATAAAATTATACAAAACCTACCAATTAGTAACTCGTATAAGAATACCCCAACACTCCACCAGTCACATTCACGGCCATAATAGCCTTCACCACCTTGGGATTTGAGAACCTGGTGGAAAAAATAGACCTCAGTTTCTTAGTTCAACAGAGCTGTACAATCTGCTTTATTGTTTGCCATTTTTCTTACCTCTGGAGAGATGTAATCTGGTGTACCAACAGCTGTGTCTGATCTTACCATTCCATCCTACAAGACAATTTTTCAAAGTTTACAAAGTGTCTTAAAGAAACTGGCTGGCTGACCTGCTTAGCAGTTGTTCAAGAGAAAGAGAAGAATCAATTCTTGAAATAACACCCCCTTTGGATTCAAACAAAGTGAATAAAACTCAACTGGGTTGATTAATAGAATGAATAAATTTAATGACTCCTTTCTACAGAGAACCTTAAGATCAACTCTTGATGTACTGTAATTAAGAGAGGAAAAAACCTATAGATTGCAAAAAGTAGCATATTTAATAGAACTTAAAATTAATTTAGCCATTAGCTGACAGAGCAAGCTCCCAGGCTCAGTTATAGGTTTGTATCTCTGACGCTGGTTGCTAACATCATCAGTGCAGCTGCCTACTTTGAAACTCTCCTTTTACCCAAGTCAAGTTAAGCAAGTCAAAATGAAGTACTAGTAACTTGTACCTTGTCCATTCTCATACATGTTCCAAAATCTGCAAGCTTGAGGTGACCTTGTTTATCCAGAAGCATGTTGTCCGGTTTTACATCCCTGCATGAGAATAAAAACATAAAAGGACAATTTTTAGACAATTACACTAGAAGTCATGACAGATGATTTTAGCTATTTGAGCAATAAAGTAAAAAAAAAAAAAGAAAAAGAAAAAGAAAAAGAATCAAAATGTCTATGACAAGCTACGGACAGGATCATCCTCTTTCCCATTTCTTACAACAATCACTACATCAAGATTTAAGCTAATTCGTCAGATTATGTTATTTAACAATCATGAAATTTCTGACACTGAGCAACAATCCTACTAAATGATCAAACCTTCTGACAATACCTGTGAATGAACCCCATGCTGTGAATAGCATCAAGTGCTAACACCACTTCAGCACCGTAGAACTTGGCCCACTTTTCGGGAATGTCGTAGTTACTCATAAGATTCACCAAATCCCCTCCTACAAAGATAACAAATTTTCTGATTAAAAATTCTTCATTAGACAGTATATTTTTTTTCTTTCAGAATTTCAAAACCAATGCCACAAAATTCATCATTACTAAAACAAGCTTGGGAAGGCAGACACCCCCACTAAAGTACCTTTTTACTCCTAACCCTTTAAATCCCAGAGGTGATTAGCATGTAACTTCTCCCTATAATATCCATACATCATCTAGCAAACAGGTGATGGGAATGCTCAAACTTATCAGGCATAAGTTGTTATTTTGGTCTAAAACCAAATTCTCACAAACATTTTAGAAGGGAATGTGTGGCTAGAGGGGAGAATTAACAATCACATCTTGGGAGTTAAAGGGTTAAACTCCTTAGATCTTAATTATTAATTCTCACTAAAATCTGTATTAAACCTTTCTGTAAATTAGTTTATAGAATATGGTGTCCATCACTTTATCTAGCATTTTTCTGGCTAAAATTTAGACTTAAGCATTTGGCCAATCTAATTTCTCTGAAAGAAGTCTCTCTCATTCATCAAACATAATGAAATGTTCTTTCATAGAAGCAAGAAATTCTCACATTGACACCAAGGATATACACTCATTCAGGAACTACCAGCATAATTTATAACATTAACAGTATATGTTTCACTCACCAGCCATGTAATCCATAACCATATACAAATTTTTAGCATCTTGAAAAGCAAAATGTAACTAAAAAGAAAAAAGATTGAAAAGTTCACAAGTTGGTTGAATCATTAAAATAAAATCTTTGGAACATATATCCTCTTCACAACCACCCTAAAAATACTGGTACTTTCATGGAGGGGGTGGGGCACCAAAGGGGAGCAAAGGAAGGGAGAGAGGGAGGGAGGGAGGACTGGTGGGTTTACTAAAGTTCTGTTTCAATTGATTTTACATTGGGCACTCTTTAGCAGTTATCTGGAACATTGTTGTCACAGATTGTAATGCATTTCTCTCAGGAATATCCTTAATTTATTTTTGTTAGGAAATTTAGAGGAAATAGATTTTCACTCAGTACTAATTCCATTGAACTCCATCTTATTTTTGACAAAATAAAAAACTCAGTGCAATTCTTCCAATTTATGACACATCTTTACAGTTGAAGACAACATTTGCAAAGTTTATTTGAAACAAATTAAATAGGTCATTTCTATGGCATCCCAAAGGGAGGTTCTGAGTTAGAGATTGGCAGCTGTTTAACTTGAGGGACAAATCGCCCTCAAGGCACTAATGCACATGCAAGGGTCCAGACTTTTTCAAATGCAGGCTTCAAGAAAAGAATGTAGAGCATGTGAAAACAGTGTGTATAGGATCACATAATTCACATTCTTTTCATAGACCTTCCTCATGCTTTTCACATGGTAAGACCTTGTCCAGATTTTATCTTTATGAACATCTGAGCACAAGTGGATATGTGTCTACTAACCTTCACAATCCATGGGCTGATGGTATGAGCCATAATTTCACGCTCTTCCCAAAAAAAAGCTGAATCAGATCTCTTGATCTGTTAGGAAAAAAAAAACAGGTGAACAAAAGCCTAAGCCAGAAACTAGCACCTCTGCCTGAGGAAACAGTAAAAGTTTTTAATGTTTGGCAAATGGTATTTCAATAATTTCCAGAAAATAATGTATTAACTACCATAGCTACTTAACTGAACTTTTAAAGAGAAGGAAAGTGAGGCCCATCAAACAAAACAAATAGTTTTTTCTCCAATGCAGCAAAAGGAAATTAATTCAAAAGTTGGCATGATGCAAAACTCTATAACAGGAACATCTTGGGTAACTTAGATTGCTCTTGAGTTTTATCATTGTTTAGAAAAATATGGCAGTTGCCATTTAAGATTTATGATAGATAGTCCTTGAGAATTAAATAGTATGACTGATGCATTTGCAATGTAGAACACATGCTTGGTGCACTAACAAAACATTATTGAACAGAAATAGTGAGCTGACTAAGTTTATTTTTTCCTTTTTCGATTTACATGTACTGTATTTTATACCCTTATAGAGAGTGAAAAACATTGTTAAAGGCTAGAAATTAATTAGGCAGCATTTGAAAGGAAAGAAGGCTACATACATAACTAAGGCTTAACATGGTAAGAACACAGCCACAAAGTAAACAGTAAATGAGTATAGATCAACATTGCCAATTTATCCAAGGTATTTAAGGAATTAAACCAAGGGTGATTTTGTCGCTAATTTGTTTGTATCTTGGTGCATGTCAATGTCTATGTTAAACATCAAGAAGTTAATTTATGGTTGCTGTACGAGAGATCTGTCAAGAATCGAGCAGGAAAAAACAGTTCAGCTGCCAAAGTCCTTGAAGAGAATCAAAGCTATGGCTTATGTGTACATTCAGAAATGGGTACATCGGAATGAAAAAAGTCCAACAGCGAGATTCACAAATTGGTAACAGTTCGAGAAAAAGACACAACTTAAAAAAGGAACATATGACCTCAAAGGAAAGGGCACACATCAAGAATTAAACTCTCATACCCATGAAGAATGTTGGAAACAATAGTGATGATTTACAATTTGTACAACTTCGAACTGTCGACTGACCTTAGATTAAAAGTTTGTAGATGTAGTGTTGACGCGATGTATTCCAGTGTCTTCATAGTGCAGTAGTTTTTCTTAGCTATAATTTTTTTATGTTTTCCTCCTTGCCAAAAAAAAATTATCTGTTGTCTACAATTTTTAGCTAGCTAAAATACAGAAATAGAAGTTTGAACAGGATACCTATAGTATTTTAAGCGATTACATGTCTGGCTTGCTTACCATTTCAAATTTGCTTAAAAGTTTCATCGCATATACTTTTTTCGATGCTTTGTGCCTCACCTGAAAAGTGTATAGAATAAAACATTAGGTTTCTATTTTAACGACAAACGAAACAGCTCGAATGATAAAGCCCGTATTTGATAGCACGGTACTGTTAAATGTTCGCGTATCTCGTGCAGTTTCAAGTAATTCATCTGCTGTCGCATTAGCAAAGGAAATTGCATAAATCAAGAGGCAGAACTCGTGAATGCACTTCGTAGTTAAAAAGCTAAGAAATTAATCAACATCTAATGGCAACATTTGCCCTTAAGAGGGATAATTGTCAGTCATAAGCTCGAAAGTACAGGATGAGTAACCTACCAACTGAACTTCACCGAAAGCACCACGGCCGATGACTTTTACGACCTTGAAGTCGCTTGCATTCATACGACATTCTTCGATTACTTTACTAGGTTTCTCATCTGAAAAACAATTAAATCAATCTTAGTATGTACCTCTCAAAAACCGTTAGCAAATATTAGGATGCCAAAGCAACTCACATCTTTGTAGGAAGTTTTCGACATTCTTATTGCGTCTCAGGGCTGGAAAATCACAATCGCACACCAGCGACTGAATTCCATCCTGGCAAAACAGAGCAAAGTAATATCTTGAGTCACCTGACAGTGCGACAGTTGAATAAAGCAGCCATTAACTCACCAAAAGCCCTTCAATGTACAGTTCATTCCGAGGATCTCGAACGTAAGTCTCGAGATTTTCCCTCCTCTTTCGTTCGTCCATGATGCTCGCTGCCAAAGCTCTTTACAATTCCAACACAAAACTATCCACCAGAAGCAGACTTCATTCCTTCTCCAGCCAAATGCATTGAAATAGAGACATTCAGCCTCAATATAACAGATTAGAAGTTTGCTTCACCCAATGAATTTTTACAAACCGAACCTCTGTTGACATTACTTTCTAACATGGCTGAAGTTCGAAATGGATGAAACTGAATAATAGGGGGTGTTTAGTCACGTGACCTATGGGGCCACCTTACTTCGCAAAATGGCGGTTCTTTACAGAACCGTTGCTCAGTAAAAGACGACCTTTACTTCCTCTTCCGAAAGTGACCTTTGTTGTATTTCCGTATCCTCCCACTGAGTCACCTGATAAAGAGTACCCTCCCGTGCATCGTATTTCCCTTCCAATTTCGTAATCCATGTCATAGTTATTTCTACTGACTATGAGAAGAGTTGCTATGATCAGTGATAACTCACCATCAAGCGAACTGATATATTTCAGAAATGGTTTTTTTTTCTCAAGAGTGTCCTGTCTCTTTATTTTCCGTACCTTATAACAGTGTATTATCAAAGGTGCCACCATACATAGCAATTGGTGACATAGCGGAATTCTACTTTCACTTTCAAAAAAAAAAAGATCAAATCGTTGCTCTCTGCACGCCATCTCTTGAAATTTCCTAGAATAGTTTTGATTCGCCTCGTTCTCTTTAGATGCTTGACCAAAACATTCACGAAAAATCTTATCAGTAGATAAGTCAATAATCTATCATCACAATATACTGATCTTATTTAGAACGGCCTCTTTGTTCTGGGTTATTTTGAATTCAAAAGTGTCTCGTTGAGAAGGGGAGCTCTCCATTGAGTGATTGACTGAAATCTAACTTCCGGTGGCAAAAGACACTCAGAACTCAGAAACGCCTATTTTGAGGGGCTCGTCACTTGGCAGGAGAAGATCATAGAGAGAAAAAGAAAGAGACAGAGAGAAAAAAAATTTAATTCAACAATGTGTCGTTCAGGAGATTAAGTAGAAGAAAATCATTCTTATCTGGCTTGTGGTTTCACTTAATGAGTCATTCCCATTGAAAGATATTAGTTCAAGTGTTTTTCAGATATATTAAGCGATGAGTGAATTACAAACGTTATACTGAGACAGAATATAATTTGTCGGAAAATGTTTGTGGCATCGAGAATAATAGGGTGAAACCAGCCATGCGTTGTGCAAATTCATTTACGTTTTTTTTTTTTTTTTTGTCATTTCTCCAAAATAATCTTTTATTGCGCTTTTTGCCTTCTTGAGAGGCTCCTTTGATCACAGAATAAACAGTTCACTTTCGAATAGTCCCTACATATAAAATTTCCTAAAAACGTATGCACAGACACCCTCGGGCCGTCAACAAATTTTAATCCTATTTACACCACTGAGAAAGTCTGCCAGACGATAATAAATATCAGGAACGTTCCATCTTCTTTGCCTCGCCGATTTTTTGCCAAATAAGAGGACATACCTAAGTGATTCTAAAACAACAACATTAGCAAGGCGAGCCAAAATAATTCGGGTTATCTTTTCCTTTTACATACGGCCAGTTTATCTGCAGTGTAAGTGAAGTTCAGGTAGTGTTTACAAAGACCTTCCTCATTTTTTTTGGTTCAAATGGGATATCAGCTAGTTATAACACTAAGGTCGCTTATTCAGCAAGCGGATAATTATAGTACGGCAACCGATATCAAGAAGGCCAAGTAACACTCCGCCTCGTATGAACAGATCGAAATTATCACAAAGGAAATAGCGCAGAGGCGAGGTCTCAAAAAACTCTACCCACACAAGGAAACTCAAATTCTTATTTCAGAAATATAATCTGACATACTCCTCCAAGTGCTCCGCACCAAATGTCGATTTTATAACGTCACAGTACAAGTTGTTGACTTGTTTTTAAATTGGTTTATATTTAGCAAGGAAACTGCGCGGCGTCACGTTTTGGATTTCTTGCTTCGTCATTAAATCTTGAGCGATTTAATGACTAACTTTGCTTTGCATAGGGCGGAAATGTTTGGCATGTTTCTCCTAAAATCGTTTAATCAATCTTGATTAACCTGATTTCAATTTTTATCGTACCGTACACAAAACAACACCACACCACCCCCCCCCTTTCAATTTTTTTTATCTGCAACTTGGGCATAGCACGTTATTTTATTTATTTGATTTGAATTATCAGTTTCCCACATAAGAAAAGGGTCTGACGCAACCCTCGTCCCATCGAGCCACGACCTCGACAAGGTATTCAAAGTGACAAAGTTTTTCGGATGTGGCCTGTATCGCTCCAATGCGTATTAAGTAGAAGGGGAGAACTTTTAACTCGCTGGCCATTTAGACCGTAGGTTTTTTTTTTCTGACCATGCATTGAATGGCTCTCGACTTTGAATCCTACCTGGTTTCAGAGGTGTTTAGGCGCCTTACATTTACTGACTGGTCAGCCAGAAAAACTGGCCGGTGATTTTCGCACCCACGTTTGCCATATGACTTGCTTTCTCCTTCGCTGGCTTTATTTTCACCAGCAGGTAATTTAGTGTTAACAACTGGGTTGAAAACGTAAATTAGCCACCGTAAAGAGTAAAAAAGCTGACGTTTCGAGCGTTAGCCCTTCGTCAGAGCGATTGGACGACGAAGGGCTAACGCTCGAAACGTCAGCTTTTTTACTCTTTACGGTGGCTAATTTACGTTTTTAACCCAGTTGTTAACACTAAATTACCTGCTATACTCTCCCACCGACGCAGCACCACAGTTTCTTTAGAAACTTAACCTTTTATTTATTTTCACCAGGCTCCAAATAGGCACCAGCTATGCAGGTTTGGTGTCCGAAGTCATCTTTCTCATTCAATAAAGCTACGAGAATTTTAAAGAAACAGTCTCCCCTTATCTTGAAGGGTGCTTCTTCAATTCTTAGAAAAATAAGCAAGACCCAAGGGAAATAACCAAAAGCCCGCAACCGCACCTTATACCTGTTGTCCTCTTACTGAGCGTTACATTTCTCTCTACCGATCCTCTGAGGTTGCCCTCATAGAATCCGCGATCCAACAGCGGTTTTACTATACAGTCGCCATTTTGGATCTTAGCATGAAAACATCCTTGCATTTTGGTCGAATTGCTTAAAGATGTGAACTTAATCGTTCACATAACTTTCAAATTTGGCACAAAATGGGCCAGGGAAGCTCTAAGGAAAGTTACAAAAATGCTGTGAAGAAACTAAGCAGCATAGAACTAGCAAACATCGAGGCGGTGTTTAACGAGATTTCGACGAAGAGAGAGGATGGAACGCGACATGTAGAACTGTCTCTGATCAATCGGCAAGATTTTGCTGAACGCTTCCGGCTGCCTGGCTTTATTGCTGAACGCCTATTTCACGCTTTTGATCGAAATGAGGTAGAGTACTTAATTTTTATTGTTTTGAAATCCTGTCATTTATTGTCAGGGTCAAATGATGCTGGAGATTATGTGCTCACTTACGTATCATATCTGAAGTCACATAAAGAATAATTGCTCTTCCAGGTGAGCCAGTTAAGTGCCAGGGAAACTTGAGGGAAAAATAATGATAAATATGTTTGAAAAAAATGAAAAAACTTGAGGAAATGATATGGGGCGACCCTGCAATGGACCGGTTCCTGCACAGGGGGGTTGTAATACTCCAATTTACTTTATGCTGTCAAAATCCGGTTAACCCTTAACTCCCAGAAGTTATCTATATGTAGTTTTTCCTAATATTTCCAATATGTTAGCTTGCAAACAGGGCATGGGAAAAAACAAGCAAATCAGTGAGAGGAATTGTTATCTTAACATAATGCCAAATTCTCATGTCTATTTTGCATGGAAATGTAAGGGAGTTAGAAGGGAGAATTACCAATTGTATCTTGGGAGTTAAGGGGTTAAGCTTTGTTACAATGGGCCATGTGTCTCATAGGCTTTCTTCACTCTTCCAGCTGGAAGATCTTGCCAAAGGAGTTTCAGTAACTAGATAAAGTCTTAGGACAAAACCCCCCTGCCCTCCCCCTCCCTTCCACATTTGGCCTGTGTAGCTGTTGGGTTTGTGTGTGCTTCGCAATTTTGTATGCATGAGTGATGACAGGTGAAGGCATGGAAATGAGTGGTAGAGTTAATCAGTTCTTCTGTACCAAGCCTCTTGTGGCTTCATCTCTCATTACTTGGGAAATGTTAGGCAGAAAAGATGGATTCATCTTGCCAGCCAGCAGTAAAAATAAAATGATGTTCTCACTCACCCCTATGCAGAGCCATTTGTGAGGAGCATTGCAAAATCGAAATGCTCTAACAGATTTGTTATTTCCAGAGGGGTAGGAAGGTTTTACAAACTAAGCAATAAGATATTTTTCGATGAAAACATTATCTTCTTTTTAATGTGGGCTTTCCTAGTTGTATCTTGGCAGAGGAAAGAACCAAAAAAAAAATCATGATGAAGTGCTGCCAGTCATTGCATTCTGAGTCATTATTTATTTTGTTTTACTTGCAGAGTGGTACTATAGATTTAGAAGAGTTTATTGGAGGAATTGCCCTTTGCTTACATGGGAAAGTGAAGGATAAGTGCAGATTACTATTCCACATCTTCAATCTGGTACTGATTTGTTATACATATTACACTGTGCTCTAGAAAAAACTGGTGGATTTTCCTTGATCTGTAAAGCAAAATAGGTCCCTGCAACAAACAAAATCTCCCAAAATAAAGTTCCACAAAAAACTACCGTTTTCTGTTCAAGAAAAAACTATGAATGCTAATCAAGTGTCAACTTGTACATTTTGTGTTTGGTGTCCCTCAAGATATCTAACTATGGATCATTGACCATGTAGGTCCCTGTACCTTTACCTACTGGTAACTCAATACATTGGAAAATTTTAAATTATTAACTTCCTTTCCTTGTTAATGATGTGCTACTAGAACAGAAAATTTCAAACACAAGCTCCTGGCAGAAATTTTTGTCACCTCAAACCACAAGTCTTTTTTTTCGCAAAGCACAAAAATTGTCACCCTTCAAAATAAAACTCCTACAAAACTTTCATTCTGTCCCATACATCCTGAGGTCCATCACATCTGATCTCTTACTCTGATTGCAGTCTGATGATGATGGTGTTAGCAGAGATGAATTGACTGCCGTTCTCTTAAGTTCTCTTGAGTCAGCGCATGTGATATTGGACAATGTGGAAGAAACAGAGCAGCCTACAGAGGGGAACAATACAGACAAGCTGATTGAAACTGTTTCAAGGTTTTTTTTAATCAAAAGATTTTCCTGATTCTGAAAATTTAATAGTTGTGTGTTAGAGCAATGACAAAGGGCTATAGCTTAAACTTCAGCCTTAGAAACTCTTACAGTAGCCAATTTACATTATCAACTCATTATCTTCCAACAATATTTTTCCCCCTCACCCCATCGGTTTCTTAAGAAAACTTACCCCCTTTAATTTTTCAGGGTTTTTGGATGAGACCTCAATTTTGCAAAATATATCCTGAGTTAAGGAAATTGAAGAAATGTTACCAGCAATGCAAGCTACCCAACATAGTGTTTGATTGGTTGATTTAACCACCATGACATGTAGTTAATTCTGTTTCAGGATTGTCAGTGATGCATTTGATACCTGTAATGTGTCTAAAACAGGAAAGCTTTCAGCTAAGGTTAGTTGAATGTGGTCAATACCAAATATCCCAGTGTGCAAATTTGTAAAGAAACTTTGATGTAATTAGGTGTCCTAACTTTTGCATTGAACCATGAACATCATTAAGCAATCATTTCTGACCACCATCACAATGTAGATGTTTTCATTTGATCTATATTTTATAAAGGAAAAAATTCTGAAAGAGTTTGATACATTATGCAGTTTTATCTGTGTTCTCAGGAGTTTGAACATTGGCTTTATCGAAACCCAAAGATAATGGACAATGTGTTTGGCTGGCAATGCCCAAGTCCAGAGGGTAAGTTTCAAGGTTTTATCGAAATATAGCAGATTTTAATGACCAATTTAATAATCTTTTGATGTGACATCCATAGAGCCTGGTAACCCTGAATCATTCTCAGTCATCCTCCACAGCATGGGTGGTTGACCCTTTGACCCTTAAGAGTGACTGGCATCTAATTTCTCCTTACAATATCACCCCTGAATCACCCCAAGATTATGGAGAAATGCATGCTGATGTTAGGGTGTGAAGGGTTAATAAAGGCAGCATATCAATGTCAAGTGAGATGGGTTGAGTAAAAGAGAGAGAGGGCAGAGTCTAAGACTTCCCTTTCTCATCACTCCTTCCTCCCTCATCGGACTCTTATATCATACCAGTACATGTTAGGTAGCTGATTGGGATTGTATCTAGTCCATCATCCCCAACTAGGAACATAATGAGCTTGAAATTTCCATGTGAAATGACCATTGGCACCTAAGGACCCTCTCCCCTTCAGCTATGTTTATTTATGGACAGTTGGATGAAGTCATGTGGGATAAAAGTGAGAGTTATTGAATTTGTGGATCAATGTCATTATCTCAAAAACTGTGCACCTACCCCTCCCCTAACCCAATAACAGTCACCTGATAACAAGCTAGGGTTAATGTTGGAACAGGGGAGGGGTAGGTGTGCAGGTGCTCAGTTACTGACATTGATCTAAATTTGTTTTTCAGAGGGTCAGTGGATGAATGAAAGCTCACCAGAAGCAAGTCCTACTAAAACAAAGTTTACTAGCATATTGTCTGATGAATCTGTTCAGAGTGTGGAAATTCAGGGTGTACCATCTGAGCAGAGTGACAACCGTACCCTAAGTGACTTGTTCTCTTCAAACACCAGCACTAGTAGTGATGCAGAAGGACACAGCTTCTTTGATTCTCTTGTTGCCCCAGCTGCTTCTGACCCATTTTCACAAATAGGGGGACAAACTTTTCCACCATCAGTTGTATTCTCAGAGCCAATTCATCAACCTTCTGAAAAACAATCAGCACCAGAACCAGCTCAAGGGGATTTGGGTTTTAAGGTGGTGAACAATCAGGACACAATACAACAAGACTCAGAACAGTGGCCTCCGTTCCAAGGGGCTGAAACGCCCATGCCACCTGTTGCCCCAATTCTCAGTCAAACTTCAGTGGCCCACGATGATCCTCTAAATGCCATGCAAAACCAGGAATCATCTAATCTCAAACTTGAAATTACTAAGGAACAAAAGCTTCCTTCAGCACCACCTACCCCTGAAGGAGAGTGGGTGAGAAGCAAACAAACTGAAGCTGAGAGAAGATCCTCAGCATGGATAGCAACACCCCAGACTAATCAGTTTCTGGTCACCATTGGATCAGGTATGCTGAACCCTGCAGATGTGGATCAACAGTTCTTAACATCTCCTGGATTGGTTATTGAAGGTCCACAGGTAGGTTTTTGGTTTTGATGGAGTGTTTCTTTATCATTATGTGATTTAGTTAAATGACAATTTACTGAAATTTATGCCCACAACTTTAGCATGCCCCTTCTGATCATCAGTCACAAGTGAAGGTAAAGGTGGAATATTGCAATTCATTTCAGCTGGACCTCAGAGTTCATATGTAGTTTTGAAGCTGTTGTTTCTGGCAGTCCTGAGCAGTTTTGTAGAGTTTGTCTCTAGGCGCTTCCCCCATCCTAAGGCACCCCCTTTTTATCTCTACCTATCTAAGCATTGTCGATGGGTGCTTGGAATAGGGGCTTGTGGCTGGGTTCTTGGGATTTGCCAGCCATGGAGGCAGTTTTCTTCTTGGGGGCTGGCTGGAGACAGTGGAAGCTCTTGGATTCCTCAAGTGCCCACTTTCCTTTTAAGCAAGGCAGCTTTTAATGGCCCATACTCGTAAAGCTTAAATCATATTTACTTTTTAGGTGGACCCTGTGAAGGAGCTGATGTCAAAGTTTATGGGTGAACAGGATGCAGAAAATAGAAAGACATTGAGTGTTGACAGTGTTCCATTGGATGAGTCTGGGCTCAGAGAATTACTGGTAGGTGAAAGAAACCCATCTGCAAGAGTCCACAACTTTTGCATCCAGAACCTGTATACCATCCAAATTTTGGTGTACACTGAGTTGTTACACACTTATTCATACCAGAGGGCCTAGCTGGAGTGTGTTGTCAAGTTAGGTTGTTGATCCTGGTCAGTAATTATAAGATAACTCTTGCTGCATAAGTCAGTTGCTAAGTGTCAGTTCTCTGCTAAGCAAGTTGAACTACCTTTCATTGTCTTTCCTAGTACCCTTTTTTGATTGTAAAGTAGATATTGTTGAATTTGTGTCATGATCCCAATCCCCTTTCAGAGACAACAGTGCTGGCGAGCAGCTCTTGAATTTACCACCAGGTTCTTGACAGCACATGGCCAGGGTGTGGGACAGAAGGGTCAGAGAGCTTTACACACTCACAAGACCTTACAGGTATAGACTAGGAGTAATGTTTATGGAATGAATCACCTCCCATTTTGCACATTCTCCTTCTACCCCTTAGGGAAAGCCTGTAGAAAAATTACAAAATTCTTGAATAAAAATAGCTAAGAAGTTACCCCTCTTCCTTTTGTTTCTCCTGTTTTTTCCCTTGATTTCTCGTTATCTAACTCAGTTTATATCTGCTTTGCAATAATGGCAGTGATGATATTGATGATAATGATGATAATGATATGAGTAAGATCGTCATGTATACCATTATATATCTAGTTGTAACAGATGTGGTAATGTAGCTACACAAATTTTGTATAACAAACACAGATATTAGCTAGTAAGTTTGATTAGAAGTCATAAAAGGAATTCAATAGATTAAACCACGTATAACGAGTTCCAGTTTGAGTAAAGGTACTAGGATTTCCTTTGACTCGCAAACACCATGTAATGAAATTAAAATTTTGTATCAGATGATGATTGAGTCCCATGCATCATTTCTTGAATGGTTTTGTATGTTTCCCTCTCCTGTCAGTTGTCATCTTTTCTTGTCCATTGATATTTTCATAAGAAGAGAATTTAATCCATGGAATAATGTTGTTCTATGAGTTTGGTGAATGAGGGGGTGGGGGGTGGTTAGTTTGTGGTCTCACTGATGAGCTGGTCTTCTTGTCATCTACCTACAGGTTTGGTTTTGTAGAATAGCTCTTATGTTCAAGCTACAGATGTTTAGTACTGCTGAGGTTGAATTAGAAGCCTTTGGGAGTTTTAACCAGCCTGACCTGTTTTATGAGTTTTACCCTGATACATATCCTGGAAGAAAAGGTATGTGTCTCAGTGATACCTTCTCATGAGTCTCACACGTTTTTCAGGAGGTGAGGTAAGGTTCTCAACTACACTGTATGCAGGACCTCTCGTTTGCAGAGCTTTAGAGCTGACTTCTGTGCAAATCGAGATGTTTACCCTCTTCCTTTTTTTGTTTACAGGGTCTATGGTACCATTTTCCTTGAGGGTTTTGCATGCAGAACTACCTCAGTATATGGGCCGACCAAAGGATGCCTTAGACAACCTGTATGAGCTGCAAAGGAAATGCAGTAGGATTCAGAAAAACTTGCAGGACAATCTGACCGAGGATGGTGGCCAGGGAGAGATGACACCCGAGAACAGATTGGGTAAAGTAAATCCCACATCCCATGAAATAGAAATGTTCAATCTAGAGTTAAAAGCTGGATATCGAAAGCTGAGTATCGAAAGCTGAGTATCGAAAGCTGAGTATCGAAAGCTGAGTATCGAAAGCTGAGTATCGAAAGCTGAGTATCGAAAGCTGAGTATCGAAAGCTGAGTATCGAAAGCTGAGTATCGAAAGCTGAGTATCGAAAACTGAGTGTCGAAAGTGATACGGGATAACTAATTTGGTTTTACTTCACTGCGCCTTTGCTCTTTAATTAATCTAGAAAACTTGCGCCAGCCTCTCAACCAATTGGATGCAAAAGAGGGAAAAATCGCAACTTTGTTTGTTGTGTTTTCCTGCCCTCTAAGCCATTACTTTAAAACCCTTTCCGCTCACATTAGCATTTATATTCTCCATACAGCTCTCCCCATATTCCTAAGGTGTTGAAAAGGAGAACATGTCTAACATGTAGGAGCTTCTTTGGTTGGTGATCATTTCCTATATTCTCATGACCTTTACATTTGATTTAAGGGTGAAACTGTAAGGAGAGATTAGAAGCCAGACACTTAGGGGGTTTAAGGGTTAAGTTCTCGTTGGCTCCTTGTAACAACCACCTCTGCGCAGAAGCGCCTATGTGGTTACTTTGGTTTCGTTATTACTACGCGTAATGTAAAAGCGCCCAATAACAGAAACAAGTCATTTAGTAATTTTGTGAGTTCGATTTTTTCAGCTGCTATTGAATTGTGGATCACCAGAGAGGTGCGCGTTCTTTATTCGATAGGAAACTGTTTTCTTGGCATGAAGGTAAGATGAGCTAAATTTCTCTTTTGTATCTTTTGTTGATGAGAAATAATTCATATCGAGTAGCCCCTTTTTTTTAAATCTTAGCCTCTCTCATTTTCCGCGCTTTGGGCAGTTTGCTGGTTTTAACTTTAAGCTTTTATTGGCTGCTTGGTTTTTTTTCCCTTTGCTTTGATTGGTTCTTGTGATTCCAAAGGTTTCGGTTTTGCAGCACTCATTCGAGATGCTTCCAGGGTTGATCGTGGGACAGCTAAGAAAGAAGAAGACAAAAAAACAGAGCTAGCTATGTATTTACAGTATTTTAAAACCGGCAGGATTACAGTTTAGCTGTGACAGTGTTCAAGTCTATTATGGATAAAGATCCTTCATGTGAATTCAACTTGTTATCTGGGATAGGAAGAATCTACTTACAGGTAAGCCATGTGAAATTTCTATCTATTTTTCTTTCATATTTAAGGCCGTAACCTTAGACTCATTTCAGTAGAGTATTCCGATGTAATCACAATGGCTCTTTAGCAAACTCACTGAACCGCGGGAAAACGTTGGCGACCGCGTCGCCACCGTTAAAAGTTTTTCATCCGATTGGCTGAGAGGGTGCACTGGTTTACTTAACCAATTACCGAGTGTCTATGAAATTAAACCTAAGTAGTACCAGCCTATTAGATCAATGAGAAATACCACAAGTAGCCAATGAGAAAAGGCGGGATAGTCTGTAGACTTAACCGCGGGAAAACGTGAGTGACGAAGTCGCTACCAGGTCTTTTCTCTCGATTGGATGAGATGATCCGCGAGTTTCTTGAGCGATCACAGAATGTATTGAAACAAAACTTGAGAAATTCTTTTTAATCTCGAAACTGTTGGATGTTACCTTATATGATGTTTGTTTACAGCTTGGAGACTTGGAAACGGCACAGAGTTATTTCAAGCAGGTGGAATCAAAAGCAACTGGTGACCCAAACTCACTTAGTAGTGTAGTCATGAATAAGTAGGTGCTCACTTTGGAATTTTTTTGGTACTAGTTTAATTCTGGTCTCCCTTCGTTTCTCGCTCCGTCGGGAAGTCCAGCTTGTAAATGATACTTTTGTGCTGTGTCGGCGGGAAAAGTTGATTTTCAACCAGAGTTTGATAGGTGTAGGTGATCCGCGGTAGTAAAGTTTAGAATGGTGAAGTTGCATAGACGACTCGATCGTTAACTTTTTGGAAGAGCAATAATGAATTACCTACTTCAAATCTAACTCAACTCGCTACCATGAAGTATCGCGTAATGTCAGAAAATGCCGCCCGTGGTAAAGCTACGTCCCATGTAAAAAAGCAAATTCTTTACCAAATTTTCGCCTCTTAATTTTTCGTACGGTTTAACTCTTAAGTAATCCTTAAGTGAAACGTAATCCTTACATCAGTTTGCAAGCTCTCGGTACTGTTTTTTATAAATTTCTTATGCTGCTTACAAGGAGAATTTGTCCAACAATCAAGGGATTCTTAAGTTTGCGATCATTTCCTTTCATTCTCATGACCATAATCACCCACAATAACACTGTTGGGAGAAATAAGATGCTTACCCTTGGAGAAAAAAAGAGTTAAGACACAGAACAAACAAAGAAGATGAGAACTTTCGAGGAAAAAAACGGTTTAATTCCAAGCGTTGAATGAACAAACACAGTTAATTCCTTCCAAAGTGGGAGAGGTTATTCTTGCTGTCTCAAAGCTCTTCTTTTCCCCGAACAGAGGCTTGCTTGCGTTATCTGCAGGATCATACGATGAAGCTCACAGACATTTTGTAGCTGCTACTAAACTAGATCCATATAGTTCTGTGGTAAGTGTTCATATGAACTTTTAGAAACTACTAAAGCGAATTTCATTTCGGCCTCAGTCTTTTGCATCCTGTTCCAGTCTCGCATTTCAGTCTTAGATTTTTATTGTCTTGGTTTTAAATATTACTGTAGTTTTCTTTTTAACCTTGAGATTATTTTGGTTATTTTCTTTTCTTTTGTGCGCAGGCTATCAACAATGTAGCTGTTTGTTTGCTATTTCTTGGCAAACTTAAAGAGGCAAGTCTGACATACCATTTAGTTTATTACCTTCTAAAAACACATCGCTATAGTGCGTTTTAAAACTGTGATGTTTCTCTGTTTTCTTAAACGATGGCTTTCATTCGCTGTTATTTCCTTGAATCCATTGTAACTTGATAAAAATGATTTTGTAATCAACCTTCAGTCGCCGAACGAAACGTGCACGGTTGCTCCCGTTTTGAAACAAGAAATGCATGATTTTTTCCGATTCTAATTTGTTTATGCCACCTGAAAGTTTTCAATCTGTTCAAATGAGAGCACGCTAAAAGCAACGAGCGTGGTTGCGACATTTGATCAGACTACGCCATGCACCCACTTTCCCTAAGTTGCAATGTTGCCACAGAATCAGTTTTAATAAATATTCACAGTTGGGTGAAGAGCTAGACAAAACGGCAGCCATCTACAAACGCAAGAAAGGCGAGAGCTCGACCAATAATCGACCTAAATTTATCTCTTGATTAGCTGGGAAAATGATGATGTTTATTTTGATTGTTAGAAGAGCTCAAAAGTGAATCCACTCACAGAACTCAGAAAGTTATGCAAAGAGGTGTTTTCCTGTAACTGAAGATAGTTCAATCCTTTTTTATTCTATGGTTGTCTTTTTCAGGCGCTTTCTTTACTTGAGAGGATCATCTGGAAAGACCCTGAAACAAATCTTCAGGAAGGGCTACTCTTTAACCTCTGTGCCATTTACGAACTTGAATCATCCCACAGCATGCAGAAGAAGCAAAAACTTCTAGAACTGGTTGCCAAACATCGAGGAGATGGGTTTAATACCTCCTTCCTGAAGATAGCTTGACACTTGCACTACTCTTAACTCCGAAACACTTTCGTTGCCCTTTCGGAACACATCGGGATCAGATCGGCGAGAAACTACAAACATTCTCGAAACTGTTGTTGCACTCGAAATTATGTTTAGTTACTCAACAATGGGAATGAATAAGCTAAGGAAGTATTACGGACCCTGAACGCCGACTGCGATTAAACCTCTCTCACTCATTTCAGTGGTGCTCTCAACTGCTATTTCGTTTTTCTTTTGATATTGACTTGAGGCAGGCCTGCGGTCAGCGGAGACGAGCGAAAAAGCGAGCGCACGCACCCGTTTCTCACACAACTTTACGACTAACCGCTGTTAGTCTATCGCCCACCCCATCAGTGCAAGAGCGACTACCTCTCCCTCCATTGACTAATGGCCTGGAACAAGCTACTCTGATATCAAAGATGGGTTTTGTGTCGCCGTCCGTTAATTTTTTATTCGCCAGTTTGTTCTAAATCGGAAGCGAATGATTGTCTTTTAAAACAGTTACGGATCTTAAAAAAGCCGCTTTATGTTAACAAGAGTTAATCACCCAATCCAATTAATCTTCTTTTAGCACATGGTATTTTACCACGGACATTTTCAGAATATCGCGTTAATCAAAGTGGAATCGGTGGACAAAACTTGTATTTTGAGAGAGTTAATTGATAAGTAACATAGTATTAAAATTTAAAATTCCACTCTAATCAAGGCGAGGACTAGGTTAATCGCGTTTGACTCAAAGCGCAAAGGGCGGAAAAGATTATAATAACCTTGAGTGTGGGGAAACATGAAACGCGTGCCATGTGCGGGGGAACATGTATGTGACCTTTTCAGAATGCAGGGGAAAAAACAAGCTAGTTGCTAAAGGGAGATTTTGTGACAGTTCCATTCTTGTTTGACAAACAAAAAGCCATCCCAATATTAAGACATTTCCGTCCCATTTCATTCTTTCACTACTAAGATCTCATCAGTAATTCTCCCCACTCTCTAACATATAATTTTTGTGATGTTAATTCGGAGAATTTGGCATTGGATCAACTAAACTCCTTTGAATTATATTGTGGTCACTCAAGGAGTTTAAGGGTTGCGAAATTTTCGTTCGATTTACGTCGGATGGTTCCCTCTGACTTCGGAGAGTTGCCCCAGACTTTTGCCGGTCCTGTTCGATTTTCTTCAAAGCTGTCAAAATTTCTAACTGATTTTAGACTGTTTTGGGCGATTTTGAAGGGCTCCATATGATTTTAGATGGTTACGTGTAAGTCCTAATTTAAAAGTCTCTGCTCTATTTTGAGTGCTTCCTCCCGATTTGAATGATGGATCTTTCCTACAATGACAGTAATGAGAGTATCATTCATGTAATTTTGGATCGAATAACGTGCGTGTCTGTCTTTCATTAATAACATACTAAATGGGCTGGGGAAATGATCTTTATTTGTTGACCTAATGTTTTGAAAACATTTGCTGACATTTAGGAACGTAAAAAGAGATACGAGAGGTGTTCTCTGACGTCAACTTGGGAAAATCAAAGCAATCTGGAAACTCCTTTTAGTCTTCTTCACGTCATTCAAACGTCATTCAATGTTCTAAAAACACTTTTAAAGGAAACAAACTTTGGAAAGGGTTGAAATTGATTATAGTCCGAGTATTGTTTGCATTTAAATATTTTAATTCTAACATGGTGATTGCCTCTAAATTTAGCCCAATTAAGTTGTGAGAAACTTGCCGGTATCTCTTTAACAAGGCAGGATATTTTTTCTCCAACAACACTTACTGAGAAAACTCCCAATTGTGTTTATTTTCCAAATAAATGACTCTCTCTCCGTTTTAATTAACAGAGTGTAATTAACTTTGCATCTCATACTGATCTCTCTTTAAATTGAATCGTTTCTTTGCTTTATGAAGAAAGCTTTGCGGGAAAAAATTCGTTCCTACGCGAATTTGATAGAAGTTTCTACGTGCCACGGTTTGACACACACACGTATTAATTAAATATGCTCAAGGTCTCTTCAATTCCAAAATTAATTACTTCAGCACCTTTCTCGATAAAATCTTACAAAAAATTTGCGCAAATGCATATTTGACACCAAACGTAGATAACTTCTAAGTGCTTGCGAATTTGCATTTAATAATGATTAAAACAGAAATGAATTCACGATAAAATGTATTTACAGACTTATGTGTATACATCCGTCTTCACTTAAATACCGATTTGTTTCTACTCCATCAAGTGAATTTCCCGTTAGTCCTTAGTCCAAAGCTTCTTAAATCGGTGGAAGCCACAAGGAATTTAACCTATACAATATTTTTTGTTGTTGGGCGGGCAGGAGTGGGCGAACGACAAGATTTTCCCTCGGGGTCATCAAATATTGCACGAACGAGTCTTGCAGACAGTGCCCTACCGCTCTTGCTAGCCAAGTTCTAATAAAAATCGTTTCCTTTTTCCTCCCTTGAGTATCATTTCGCTGATCAGCCGATGTAAAAGCGAAAATCGCACAGTAATCTGATAACTGAATTTCCTCTTTTTGTGCGTTTTCGACAAATTTTAATATTTGACAGACCTCCAGGCATAACAATATTTTCTTTGTTGACGACAAAAACAGATCGCAGATTACCTTTTTGGAGCTGGCCAGGTGGTCATTTTCAATATTAGATCGAGGCAAACGTGCAGACAACGCGAACATGTTTTAATCACATACTTTGAGTGAAGTGAACTCCTTTTAAAAATTAACAAACACAACCGATGAAAAAGGTAATTTAATTTTTGTTGTAAATGTACGACTCGTCTACATTTCAATTTCGATCGCACACTGCACAATGTAAAAAAAAAGTTCTTTATCATAGATTTACTTCAGGAGTCGTGTAGCGAGTATTTTATCATGTTTATAGCTTGCCTTAATTATAAACTGAAACAAAACCAGATGGATGCTTATCAATGATACTTTTAAAAAACCCGAAATAAAAATTGAACAGTGACTCTTTATTTGTACATAAACAATAGAAGTCGAACGAAATTCACCCCAATTTTTACAAAGCTGATGGGAATTCTTCCTAAGTTTGTTCGTCTGCAACTAATTGACTTGTATGGAAGCTGGAGGCTTCAATCGAAACGAAATGCCTGCAGGAGAATTTCTATGGAGACTTTATTTTTGATCGCCCTTAATATTGTTGTTTGTCAAAATCTATGAATGAGTTAAACATTTGGAATTGTCAACTGCACGATTTCTAAAACATAATTTAATGCTGCTCTTACTAATAAAAATCCCTTATTGTTTAACGGGAAAGCTTTGCTTTTGAATGTTCAGATTACAGCATCGTAAAGTTTTCGTTCTTTTTCACTTGACTGCCATCTTTCGCGTGATCCTTCCATCGCGCGAGATTGCCGTTTTACACGCATGCGTCAAATTCTCTGTGACGTCATAGAGTCACGGTCTTACCTTCGTTTGTGGCTCTAATCTGTACGCAAAGTCGGTTTGGTAGAAGGTGCGTTCTTTAGGTGAGTAATTTCTCGGTTATTTTAATCTCAGACAACTAAGAACAGTTTTATTTGCCACTTTCTAGAGGTAGAAGTATTTTAAACCAACCCTATTTTGCAAAAATTGGGCATTCTTGCTCAATTTTCCTTTACGCAAAACCTAATGTTTGTTGTTAAATCAAGCGACTTCTGGCAGCACTTTAGCCACCTGCACACACCATTTCCTTACGAGCCGACCTGAATGCCTTCAACGAGCGAGTGGAAGTCAGCGAAGCAAATTTGTATTTTTTTTTCCCGACTAATTGAGGTATTTCGCCGCGAATCGTCAAGGCTAAATTCGCTTTTGAATGTATAGCTTAAGATGAGATGATAGGATTTGGGTGCTTGAGCGCTTGTTCCCTTCGAAGGGAATTCAAACGACAAACAGTGCCCTCCTCCAGCTGTTTCAGATCTCTTCTCGCGTTTTATTTACTGGCAAGAAAAGGGCATAAAATTTCCATCACCGAGAATGGGCTAACAAAACCATGAGTTGTTTGAATTACGCGACAAAGAGGTTCGCGAGGCGCTCCTTACGTTTGTTGACATGTTTAATGTTTTATACATGCGAAACGTTCGGCTCTCCAGCAGGAAATGTAGCTCGATTAAATCCAAAACGGAAGGTTTTCCCTTCTCATACTGAAATTTGATTCAACAAAAGCGTCAATGGTAAAGCGCGCAAATCAATTGGGATTGCCGTTTAAAGTCTAGTTGACTAGTGAAAGTAGCAGGGTACGCATTGCGTAAAAAATCGATCTACTTTTGAGGATTTGTGGTATAGTCACTTAGCGGCATCAAGATGAGAAGTTTCCGGTAAATCGTGCTCTCGTATTGTACCTACGCATATGAATCCTTTAGGTGCTCCCAGGACAATTCTGGGCATCTTGGTACCTTTTGGGATCGAAGTATTGTTTCTACGCTACATCTTCTGGACCGTGTCTAATGAATTATTAAAAATTATGATCGAAAAGAGCTCTGTTTCAACGGGAAAGGTGTAGAGAGTGCGTTTAGCGCCAACAGGGATTAGGGAGCGAAAAATTGCTTTATTCAGTCCCTAACCTACTCGCTTACAGGTGCCAAAAGTCTAAAGTAGCTTAAATTTGGATGTCAGATATGTGCAACATTAATAATGTGTTCGAGTGGACCGTTCAGAGATTGTTTGTGTAAATACCAAAGCAAGAGTTTTTACCATTAGGTAGATATGGGTTCTTTCGGTAATTTTTAGCAGTGCTTTGCACATGCGATGCCTAACGTAACGTATTATGCGTTTTGGAAGATATTTTCAATATGAATAATTTATTACTGTAATGTTTCCTCGACCCTTTTTCTCCTACCGTGTGCAATTTCCACACTTCTTGGAGATGAAACTTAGCAAAGGGCACTTACGAATCACTATAATACTGTATGGTTTTTATCGTGCTTAAGAAAAGAAAATGTTACCTAAATCTTTTTCATTTTATGAGTTTTACCTCCCTGCTGACCTCAAAAATAGGTTCACCACAAAAGAATATTATTATAAGCTATGTGTTATATTCCAAAGTTGTTATGGTTTTTTTCTAGATGAAATATATAGCAGCAGTTTTCAACTTGATCTCTTTTTGGTTTTGTGTGTCTGCTGATGGCTCCTAATTCTTTTGTTATTGGGTTCCCAATCTGTCTTTCATTTTGCTTTAAACAGATAATTTTTTTATATCTGACATCAATGGGTGGCAGAGGACATATATTATGGCCATCAAGGTGTGACGCCTTGGTTTCCTTGAACCTTGTGCTCTAAATTTGTTTCCTTGGGTAAAGGGCTTCATCTAAAATTGTGACTTTCTCTGAGGTTGTCTTGTGAGTGAACACATCCCTGTTTGTAAGAAAATAGTTGGAAGATTTAATCTATTTTAGATTAAACAAAAGATGACATTGGGACCTGAATATGTTTGACATGTAGTAAGGTTTATTTGTGGTTATGAGTGTGGGTGAGTTTTTCCCAAAAGGTAGGATGGTTTCTACTTTGTCATCTCACTTTGTCTTTTACTCTACAGTAATTATTGCTGCTCTCACTTAATTATCATTAAGAAACTTAATTTTGAAAGTCAAAAGATTATGGTCTCAAAAGAGAAATAAATTGCCCGGCTTAAGTGTTTCCACATATGAATTAGCATTTGAATAACATTACAGAGTCTTCCTTTGTTGGTATTCTCTTAACCAAAAGTGCAGTTTATCTAGGTGAAAGTTAATTTAAATATAGAAAGGGTCAAATATTTGGCTATTTCCTGTCTGAAAATTTTTCATGTTACAGAGTTAGTTACCATTAATTTTGCAAAGTAGAGTTGATAAAAGAAATACAAATTATTCAAGTTTCTCCGAGCTAGTGACATGCATTTTGGAGAATTTTTTTCTCATGCATTCCCTGAGGAAAATGTTTATTATGCTATTGTGTTATCAATATCTGCAAACTAACTGATAACCACTACTCTTGACATATTAAGGCCATCTAAAACTAGGTCCATGACTACCTCTTCCTTGTTCGAAAATGCAAGGAATGCAGAAAAAGAATGGTATAGTCTAGTCTAAAAGAAACTATAATCAGATTCTGTACATACCTCCTTCTTCCCCCCCCCTATCCAAACTTGCCTTTTTCGTTTATGAGGTTATTGGAACAAGCAGGTATTTTCTGAAGTTGAAAGTATAGCAGTGCTTCATGTTAAAGGGCAGGTCTGATAATGAATGCTATTTGAAGGTGTTTAGTGAAAAGAATCATAGAATTCTTTTATTTTAAAAATGGCACAGTCAAATCTGACTTGTGGGTAAGACTGCTCTTCAATGAATGTTAGTCTTTGAAGTAATAACATATCTGCTAATGGTAAAAACTCTTGGAATGCAGGAATGAGGGTCAGTTATTTTCTGTTTCTCTGTCTTTTTATGTCAAGTCAAAATCAAGACCCTGTTGCTTGCCAAATGCTTCATTTGTGTTGTCAATAGCAACTAAAAAGTGATTTTAGAATGTTCTTTGTTGTATCCTGGCTATTCTCTGAGTAGAGTATTTTTTTAGGAGATATCCATCTTTTCCCATTTGGAGCTTTTCAGTTACCACAAAATTCTGGTAGGTTTGATGGAAAAATGTTTGAAAAGCAAATGTTGGAAAAGTAAATGATTTAAAAGAATGAAGAGAAGGGAATTTAGCAGTTGCCTGGACTATCAACTAGTATTACAAAGCTTGTTAAGTGTATGTCTTATTAGCACTCCACCATCACATTTTTGTTTGTTTTTGTTCCTTTTCTTTGATTTCATTTTGATTTAATCAAATTTGTGTTATCAACCAACTCCAACAATGCTGCAATCTTCTTGCATTGGTTTTTGCGGAGGCTAATTATTTGAGGGTGTTAGAAAGTGTACAACTGACAGAGTACTTATCAGCACACGACGTGAATATCTATTGAAGAATACTGAGACCTCACTTGGAGCACATGGACTTTGTTGGGCAGTATTTCTCTGGAGCAATTGTTATAAAACTCCACTTGTCACAACAGTTTATGGTATGTACTACACATTCATTTGTTTACTTTATTTATTTTTCTTTTATCTGCATCTCTATCTAACACATTTTTTTCTTAACCAGCAATCATAACTGCATACGCTATTATTTTTCAATTTTTTCACATGTTGCTTTTGGAGATGGTTCTTGTGCACCATAAGAAGCATCAAAGGGGAAAAGTTGGGGTTGATCAGGAAAACAAAAAATTTAACTTATAAAAATAACACTTTTCATAAAAATGTGCTGTCTAGATTAATTTTAACTTGTATTTTTGGCAAACGACATCAAAATAAGATGGCCCAGTGTAGACCGTCATCATGAAATTAAATGTCTAATCTTGAAGTGATTTTTAAAAATTTGAGTTGCTGAATGTAAATTTGTACTTGGAGTTTAAAAATAATTGTTGGTACATGTTTTCAGATGTGTCCATCTAAAATGTTGTAGAATTACCTAAGTGCTGTTGTCTGTATTAAATCAAGTTCCCAAAGTTTTGCATGTTCTTTCGCCATCCTAACATGAGACAAAATTTTCCTATATTTGTTTTCATGGATCTAATATACATGCATTTTAAATTGTTTGATAAGTTTGATATGATTATAAATAACTGGTAAGGCTCTATCACCTTTATAGTTGCAAAATAAAATCAACTGAAGACATTACAGTCATAATTTATGAGATTTGATATTGATATTGTAGCACAAATTCTTCTTTGATTTTCTAGTTTATACTTGAAGTAGTCATAAATACTAGCAACCAAGTACTATCTGATAAAAGAGTAGCAGACTGTAGTGTTTTCCCCCCAAAACAAAACTTACAGTGTTTTCCTAGGCCCTTCCTGTAAGCACTTATTTTTTCCATAAATTACTTTTTGTAATAATTAGTGAAGGTCTGCCATCAAATTTATAGCAAGAAGATTGATTCAGTAATTTCCTTGATGTTCTGCTCAAGTAACCAATTTTTTTCAAAAAAATGTTCAGCTATGCAAGACAATGATTATCCTCATAATATCTGCTACTTTGATCTTTAAATTTTCAAATTAGAGAGTCTTTGAAAAGAATTTAATGAAGTAGTCTCCTATTTTGGAGACAAATGAATGTTTTTGTTTCACATACAGCTATAATTGTTGATGTCATAATTCTCTTCTTTAGAAACTTGAATGTTTTGTTTTTCTTAAGCTGTCTACCTGCCACACTAAGAATTGTGTCCATTTCATTACGTTTGCATAAATTATTAATTAGGATTGAACTTCCTATTTTGGAGATATACCTTCACTAACAATGTTATCTATTTTTGGAATCATTTGCACTGAAATTGTTTGACAATGCTACAATAGAATTTGCTGTGGAGCCTTTTGAATTATGAATACTGATTGATTTGATTTTAAGGACATTTAGAAGGCTAAGCTAATTTTCTGTGTGAAACATTGGTATAATTGTACTTAAAAGGTTGTGGTCACCTATCATGGTAAAAAATGATGATACTTTTGTATTGTCATTTGTTTGACATTTTAGCCATTTCCAATGTGGATCACATTGAAGTATGCTGCTTTAAGTGATGCACAGCTAGTTGATCTTATTACCTAAAAAAGACTGGCAGTAGACTGCTGTTAGAAGGCTCTAATATACAACTGAACTAAATACATTGGAAGACAAATATTAAATTATATCTTGTTAAGTTTAAAGTCTCTGGAATAGCTTTGCTTTGAAACTCAGTCAGCCTTGAACTCAATAACTGTTTATAAAATGTTATTGTATTTAAAGGAAAAAACCAATCAGACATAAGATAACCAAACTGCAATCAGCAACAATAATCAGTTTGTGGATTTTTAAGGTTTGCTTGCATGTTCTAAACATCCTTGTGATTGATCAGAACATAATAATAACCTATCAGTACCAAATCAAAGTGTCTGTGGTTTTCACAGTGAGATGAAAATTATTATAATGGTTTATTTTAATTGCTGTGACCGAAAATTTGAAGAAAAGTTGGTGATTGTGATTTCTTAATTTATATTTTAAGGCTAACACTTATTTATTTCTGTGCCTTTAGAGTAAATAATGGGCAAACAGAACAGTAAGCTCAAACCAGAAGTGTTAGCTGACTTAAAAGAAGAAACAGAGTTCTCTGAGGGGGAACTCAAAGAGTGGTATAAGGGATTTTTGAAGGACTGCCCTACTGGACATCTCACTGTAGAAGAGTTCAAGAAAATCTATGGCAATTTCTTCCCTTATGGAGATGCATCTAGGTTTGCTGAGCATGTGTTTCGTACATTTGACAAGAATGATGATGGCAATATTGATTTCCGTGAATTCATGGTTGCACTGTCGGTGACATCTCGTGGAAAGCTGGATGACAAATTAAAATGGGCTTTCAGCATGTATGACATGGATGGTAATGGTTACATTTCTAGGGAAGAAATGTTGGAAATAGTCAAGGCTATTTATAAGATGGTAGGCACTGTTATGAAAATGCCAGATGATGAAAGTACACCAGAGAAACGTACTGACAAGATTTTTAATCAAATGGATACAAACAGTGATGGAAAACTTTCTCTTGAAGAGTTCATTGCTGGGGCCAAGAATGACCCATCCATTGTGCGTCTCCTGCAGTGTGATGCCACAACTTCCACACCTCAACCACCTGTAGGATGAATACAGAAATGTAACCGATAAAAAATTATTATAATTCAAAATGAAACTTGAATATATGCTTGATGCCACTGTAGTGTAGAATACCTATATCTTGCTTGCTAGTTCTCTTGCTATAAGTTTCCTCTTTTAGCAGTGGGTATTTAGAACATTGATCAATTACTATTTATACTTACTATAATTTCAGTCATAATGCTGATATTTGATTTACAAGTGTACATAATTCTCAAAAGAAAATTGTATTTGATTTATATAATGACAGCCTTTTTTAAAGAGAGGGAAGATAGACATTGTGAATTGTGTTATGAGGTTGATTTTTTTCAATTGCTATATATTTTATGCATGTATTTAATTCATGTTCCTGCTGTGTACCTCAGGAAATAATGTTATGTATTGGAGTCTAAGCATAAGTGAAAATGGACTAGCATACTTAACATGTCATGTGTTAATTAATAAGAAAAAAGAGAGCTCCACACTCTGAATACCTTCGGAGCTTCAGAAAATTGTTGAAAATTTGTTTTCACCCACTTATCTGTGGCTTGTAAATGTGGATTTATGAAATAAAGCACTACAGAAACATGTAATCGTTTTTTTCTCTTTCCATAAGTTACTGCAATAATGTTAATCTGACATACACTGTTTTGTTTTTGCAGTTGTGCTGTAATATTTATTTAATACTTATTTCAGGATTGTCCTCTTTTGTTTTGACTCCTTAAGGGGTGAAAACAAAAACGTATTTGTAATTGTTGAGTTACTTTGGACACAAGCTTCAAAGTCAGCTCTTTATTAACTAAATGTTGATGCCAATTACAGACTGTTTATATTGCAAACATGTATTGAAGTACTTCCTTATTTGTTGTTGTGCATTTTCTCAAGAACTTGGGGATTTATTTGTTACTTGTAATTGATTACTCACTATCCTCTATGGTATGATTCTTCCTTCAATCTTTGCACAAGCACTGGTAAATAACCTCACCAACTTTTACTATATTAACTTTCCAGCAGTGAACGTTTCCTAATCTCTCTCAATTTGGGCAACCAAGTACAAAGGTTGTAAAAGATTGGATAATCCAAGATTTTTAATTACCATTTAGTGTTGCACGGCAACACCCAAACATGAGTTTGCATATCCTTTATACCGTTCTCTTTACATTTCCTACAGTGCTGATAAAAAGAATTTGTTTCACAATTAAGAGCTTCTTTTGTTTATGATCACTTCACTTATTCTCATGACTTAAATGTTTGATTCAGGTGTGATATTGTACGGAGAAATTAGATGCTTATCATTCTTAAGGTCTAAGGGTTAAGGTTAAATGTAACTAGGTCATTTCTTTTTTTCTGTCGAATATCAAGTTGACTTAAGTTGTCATTTGAATGGTTGCACATCAGGGTTTCATTAAAAAAATTTTTTTTTTTTTTAGTTTTGAGTTAAAAGAAAGCAAAGTACCGCATAAGACTTCTTGGGTTTTATCAAACTTTATTTTTTCATACTTCTGCTGATTTGAAATACTCGACGAGTTTAGTGGCTTTGCTCAGGTGATGTAAGGACTGTTCCTTTAAACAACTTTGTGCTAGAATGTTTCTGACAAATGAAATATACAGAACATAAAAGAGAGTGTAACTAACTGTTAACAGCGGTTGTAATCGTGATCAAATTAACCCTCGTACCTAAGCTTGAAAGTCAGGTGTCACTGCTGGGTGCACGGGTAACAAACACTTTTCTTCTCACTTCAACAAAGTCTGACCATAATTACTGACGCCGTCAACTTCATCTGCTCTCTTACTAACCCAACTCACCGCTGACGTGCACCAACCATCCAAGATGCGTGGGATTCGCCTGTTCACCTGTACTGCTCTTGTGTGACTGTCTCACATTTGATGATGTACTGGTTTAACTCAGTTGCCCTCCACCCTTTTACAGGTTTCGCGCGTGAACAATGGGCAAACAAAACAGCAAACTCAAGCCCGAAGTATTGGCGGATCTTAAAGAGAACACGGAGTTTAATGAGCATGAGCTACAGGAATGGTACAAGGGCTTCCTCAAGGATTGCCCGAGCGGTTATCTCTCTGTGGAAGAGTTCAAGAAAATCTATGGTAACTTCTTCCCGTATGGTGACGCATCCAAGTTCGCAGAGCACGTATTCCGCACGTTCGATAGCAATGGCGACGGCACCATCGACTTCCGTGAGTTCATCTGCGCTCTGTCCGTGACGTCGCGCGGAAAACTCGAGCAGAAGCTTAAGTGGGCTTTTAGCATGTACGATTTGGATGGTAACGGTTTCATCTCCAGACAAGAGATGCTGGAAATCGTCAAGGCCATCTACAAGATGGTGGGCTCTGTTATGAAAATGCCCGAAGACGAGAGCACGCCAGAAAAACGGACTGAGAAGATTTTTAAGCAAATGGATAAAAATTTGGATGGAAAGTTATCTCTAGCCGAGTTCATCGAAGGGGCCAAGAGTGATCCATCGATCGTGCGCCTACTCCAATGCGACCCTGCTCAAGGATCTTCGGGAGAATAGATTTCATTTGAATTGTTTTAGTGTTGACTTTTATTCTTCCTTTCCCATAGAGGAATGTAAGTTTCGTCTCATATCTTGGTTAAACTCGTGATAACTTCCTTTTAAGATATTTACTCTCTTAACACTTTTCTTCACTGACAAGCCATAGATTGGGCCGAGCATGTCAAGTTTATTGAGCACAGCTGACCTCTTTTGACGCGGGCAGTCAAAAGCTAGGTTCTTGGCAGATTTGAATCGGCGCATTTAGCCTTCTAAGAGGAGCAGTTATAGATAATTTTTGTCGATGCACGATTTGTTGTATATCTTAGGGTAAGTTTTCTAGATCGAAAGTTGTTTCATTGTCTACAAAGACAGCCTTACAGAGAGAATTCATCCCTTTTCTTTTTCCTTCGAATCAAATGGTGATTTAAAGAGCAGAGTTTCGATCACTTAAAGAGAACTCGCTAGTGGAATATTTATTTATTTATTTCTATGATTGGTTTGTGGCAGATAAGCACTGATGGAGAATATGTTTTTCTTCTTGGTGTTTACCAGTGTCTTTTCTAATGTATCGATGGAAACTCTCGACTTGAAATAGGAAAGAAAACACAGAACAAAACACAATTTCTTTAACTTTGTTGCTTGTTAGTGTAGCAATGTGTTAATAGTCCTTTACTTATTCACTTTTTTGGCTTCGAGAACTAAGAAAGGTAAAGAAATGTCTGCGAACATTTTGACCTGTCATTCCTATATAGATATGACAGTCAACGCCCCAAAATTTTGAGGGAAAATTCCTTTTTGTTGGAGAAACGGGTTTCCTTTCCATAGCAGTTCTCAAGCATCCTTGCTGATGCACCCAATTTTCGGCTTGGTGGTAATGTCTTCTCATCGGTCAGCTTTTGGAGCTGACGAATCCTTACGAATGTAAACCGAGGGGGTGATTGCATTTTTGCATAACGGTTTTTATGTGTGGAAGGTAATATGTTTTCTGATAAGGCGTGCCATAAAACAGAATATTGTTGTTGGGCTGCTCATGAGAAGTGTACGTCCTTGAAGGGCAGATATGTTATTAAAATATGAATGGACTAGAATATTGTTTCTCATAAAGAATGTGGACGGTTAACTCAATACTTAAGTTAGTTCTAGTTGTTCCAATTAGTGTCTTAACTTAACTTAATGAATATTTTGTCATTACAGTGTACGTCGTGGTCCAGCAATACTTAGGTTAACTTTTTCTGTAAAGTTCCACTAGTCGAAAAGGGAAAAAAATTAAAAAGGTCTATGAATTGTTAATGACAAGCAGACCTTGCGTTGCAGACTTAGAAGTATTGTTTTAATTTCTGAACGCCAGACGGAAGGAATTCTTCGTTGTTGCCCCCCCACCTCTTAAAGTCTAGAAGGTGGGAGGTGTCTTTTGATCCCACTGCTTTTGCCTTGGTTTTATTGCGCACACTATTTAGATTTCAGAGCTTCTCTTAAGTTATGACTTTACAGAAGTAGCCAAATTCTGCTGATTTCATTGATCTTGTCTTTGTCAATGAGAGTGGTGAGAAAAATATATTGAAGCGTGTAGAATAGAACCCTGACGTGTGAACACTTCGACTATTAGTGTTTCGGTGAACCTTTTAACCTCAAATGTCCGCTCGGTGAATGTCTCTTCTGACTGCCTACGTTACCTTGTAAATTTGACAAAGAATTTGACGTTAAAACTCGTGATAAACTTGTCCATGTACAAAATCTTTTCGCAGGAAAATTTATTGAAATCCCAAGGATAAGTCAAAGCTAAACACTTCAGGGAGTAAAAGCCCTTAAATTGGCATCTTTTCCTGCGTTTAATCGCTGAATTTATTTCTTCCTTTTTTTTTGGGAATGATGAAAATGTATCAGTATTCGCGTCAACTTCCATGTCTTCACAACACAGCTCTTCAGGTAGTAAAAGCCCTTAATTGGCATCCTTTCCTGCGTTTAATCGCTGAATTTATTTCTTCCTTCTTTTTTTGGGAATGATGAAAATGTCTCATTATTCGCGTCAACTTCCATGTCTTACCTCGCCCCACCCTATGTCATACATGGCCCCCCACCCTCTGCACCTGTGAATTAATACCTCAGACTACAGGGGTCTTGCAGGTGTATGCAGAAAGATCCTCTTATAAACGATTTAAAAGCTAACTGAGTGCGGTTAGATCGTTTTGTTTTTGTCGGCCGTTGCTTTTGAGATCATTCGATATGCTTGTGCATTAAAACGATACAGATACCGTGTTTACGTTAACGGTAACCACAAATTAGGCAAATTCATGATTTGGTCCATGATGAAGTCTAGGCTGAAGGCTTGTTTTAAATTATCTTTTCGAGAAATTCATTAAAAAAGAATTTGTTATGGCTAAACTTGACAATGGTTTAATGGAATTTAAAGTTTAAAAGCATCAGCATTACTTAGTCTCCACTTCCCTTGATTAGTTGCAATGCGAATCCTTACAAAGATAACATCTAAGATCGCTTATTTTCAGGCTTGTTGTTCTGACATACTCTTCCGTGGTGTAGAGATTATACGGCAAGAGAATGACGACAGACCGCATTTTAATTATTACGAGGCAGAGACAAGTGATTTTTAAGATTTTCTCGTGTTCCCCTATTTTCCTACGCGGGTTATTATGCTAGTAAATATATGTAAAGAACATTCAGGTACTCATTGTGAAGCTCGGTCTATTACATTTATAAAATAACCAACGCAGTCAACGATGGGCTTTTTTACCAATCAGAGCTTGCGTACCCTCTCAGTTATTTTGTAAATGTGAATACATCAGACTTGTTTGCATAACATAACACATGGGTTCTTTGTTTAAAATTACAAATTAACTTAGCGGTGTATGTATGTCGAAAACAAACAATTGGTTTTGGTTTTGAGTCTTCACAGTAGGCAAACTCTGTCTGGATCAGGCATGAAAGTTTTTGTGAATTTCATTTGGTCATGCGAAGAGACAGAAAAATATATACGGATCCCGTCTTTTCTTCGGTCTTATACAAAAGGATACTCCAAATCTGACAAAATTAAGAGTAAATGTAACAATTAATATTTAATATTAAATCTTGTGCTTCGCTCGGAGCAGTTTTCTCTAAATTTAAATTTTCGACTCTGCGGTATTTGCATTACAATGACACTTTTAAAATTCTTCCTCCTGGAACGGCGCTGTTTCTGCTTTCACCTCCTAAGGTTGAGAGAAAGTGAATCGTAATAGGTTTTTTTCTTCTCGGTCGTAATTCGTAAAATATCTGGTGTACGTCCGTGGTGAAGTGAAAACATTACATATCTCAGGTCTGTGAAAACACAAACGAAATACAAAGTATTGTGGATGTAATATTGTGAATGAAAATTCATCAATTCACCGAGACGCTGTCTTTTGATTTGTCTCGCAGGTGCTGAGAGATGGGGAAACAAAATAGTAAGCTTCAGCCGGAGCAAATTACCGACCTTGTTCAACAGACGGAATTTAACGAGCAAGAACTACAGGAATGGTACAAAGGTTTCCTCAAGGACTGCCCCAGTGGTCACCTTACTGTTGAAGAGTTCAAGAAAATCTATGGAAATTTTTTCCCGTACGGCGACGCGTCAAAGTTTGCGGAGCACGTTTTTCGCACGTTTGATAAGAACGAGGATGGTACGATCGACTTCCGTGAGTTCATTTGCGCTTTGTCGGTGACTTCGCGCGGAAAACTCGAGCAGAAGCTGAGATGGGCGTTCAGCATGTACGACTTAGATGGTAATGGTTACATTTCCAAAGAAGAAATGCTGGAAATCGTTAGGGCCATTTATAAGATGGTGGGATCTGTGATGAAAATGCCTGAAGACGAGAGCACGCCAGAGAAACGAGTCGAGAAGATTTTCCAGCAAATGGATAAAAATCTGGATGGAAAGCTCTCACAGGCCGAGTTCATCGAAGGAGCCAAAAGCGACCCCTCGATTGTGCGCCTACTGCAATGCGACCCTGCTGGGGGCTCCGGCTAGGCTTGGAACAAAATTAGATTGTGAATAGCAGCTATTGTATTATCTTGGCCGAAAACTCTTAAATATGCTTTCTGTCCTTTAGTCAAGAGTAGCACCCCCAGTTTTGCGCTTACACTTACTACCTTGAAATTGGAGTGATGGCTTTTATACACGGTTAGGTACTTAGTATTGAGTGAATAAATGATCTAGACCCTCTCAGAGGATTATTTGCGTTGCTTGGTGTATTACCCGCTGCTTAGAAGTGCTTCCTTTTTAACATTAGTTCAAACTAGCTTTTTGAGAAATTTTTCATTCGTTTATCTGTGATCAATCCGTGGTCTCCTTTATATCAGACTAATTAAACAACCTTGTCGCGATCATTGGTAAATATTCGGGTTGTGTGTTTCACAATGAGTCTGATAATTTTCTTGTAACAAGAAGATTTTGGCCGACAAGTTGTAAATAAAATACTTGAAGGAAGCGTGACCTGACAGAGAAAAAAATAAAATCTTAAACGGAAAAGAAGAGGAAAACCATCATGCTTCCGCTCTTAAAATGTTCCATTAACTCCCTTTCAGATACGGTTAAGGACAACCCTTTTTTTTCTATTAAGAGAGAGGGCCCAGATTAAGTTGTGTGCAAGTTTGGTAACAAAGAGGCAACTTGTGTTTTTCTGTGTAAACTTGTCTTTGAACAAAGATCTGTTACCACATGAAATCGGTTTTCCCCAAATTCACTCTTAAACGCTTTCTCACATTTTCCACCAGAAAAAACCAGCACAAGATAAGTTAGACGACATTACGACAAAAACAATACCTTAAATTCCTTCGGAAGCTACTTTCTGTCTCGGTTATATTTCACTAATTTGTGTAAGGTATCGCTTCAAACTGAGGTCGAAATTAAACCTCAGTTCTCATTCTCTAATAGTAAGGCAGGCAAATTTCAAAAGGTAATATTTCGATTGGTACCTCCTGCCTTCTTCAGAACGTGCTATGATAAAGCACTGATCACATGATAAGAAGAGAGGACAAGGGGAGTTCGACCTAATTTCATTGTAACTTCAATGCATCCAAAACAAACGGTCAACGGTTACACCTCGAACGGGATCACTGCGTCCCTTTTACACCACACCGCAAACTGAAGTTGGGAAGGACATTCGAGGGACGGATTTTGCCTTCATCTAATGAAGATTGGACGACGGGCTCAAGATTGAGGCAGCGACTTTCCCCGTGAGTGTTCACAATCATGAACGGTATATGATTCATCTAACGAAAGGCGCCATCTTATAGTCAAACCGACAGGAAGCGGTTTTCACCAGTTCTGTGTAAATTAGAAGTCTGAAACATATTAGTTTGAAACTGGCACTCAGCAGTTTCAGTCAACTCCTTACTAAAACAATACAAGTAGAGGTCGCGTCTGAACACTGTCTCGATCGTTAGAAAATGTTTGGCTCAACGAACACAGGATTTGGAGGTACCTCGTCAACTTTTGGTTTTGGTACCTCTACTTCTACGACGAATAGCCTCGGCCTTGGAACGCTGGATAACCCAATGAAAGACTTGGAAATACAAAGTCCGCCAGATGACACAGTTAGTTCTTTGAAGTTCTGTCCGAAAGCTGACTTCCTTATCGCATCATCTTGGGCAAATGATGTGAGTGTTTGAAATCTGCATTTGTTTGCTTTCTACGATCCTTTCTACTAGCTATGCTTTGATCATTTCACTCCTAAAATTGATATTTTCATCGTCCTTATCTGTTAATTTGAAAAATAAACCTCCCTTATCTAAGGAAGGCAAGCTTCAGAATACAATTATCAGTTGGTCAATTTAGGGCAGACATGTACATGTGTACATACACGATAAAGGATAACCAGCTTTCCTTCAGATTAAGACACCTCCAAAGTTTGCCAAAAAAACTATCAATAATATTATTTTAAAAAAGCAAAAGCTTAAGAGGATATATTTTGTGTGAAATAAATAAATTCCAAGCTCTTTAGATTGCATTAATGACCTGAAATAACTGATGGCATGTATCTACAAAACTAGGGGTAATCTTCACCTCATTGCTAATGTACAAAAGAGAAACTTAATGAATCTTTTGGCTTGGTTTCCTCGTAAAGAATTGATAATAACTCATCATTATAGAGAAAGACAAATAAAAAACAATTTTATTCCCCTTGAGAAATCAAACCTCAGATTTTCAGTGTCCTTGCACCAAGGTTTGTTTTCTTAATGGGACTGATTTTTTTACTTTATTCAACATTGTGTAACTAGTGGAATAACATCCCTCCTTATTCCACTACAGAGTTCATAATTTGCCATCTTTCTCACTCCCAGAGTGCAAATTATTTTTTTGTCTCTGTTAGATTCGATGTTGGGAAGTCAGAGAAGATGGTCAGATTGTTCCTAAGGCACAGCAAAATCATACAGGTCCAATCCTGGATTGCTGCTGGCATGATGTAAGTTATTTGCTTTGCACTACTATCTTTACTCCTATATGTGTTATGTTTTGCAGTATATACTGATGTTGGCTTCTGCAAGATTTCTTTGCCCTGTTTTTGCTGTTTATTTGTAGGATGGCACAAAAGTGTTTACAGCATCCACTGACAAACAGTGTAAGATGTGGGATTTGAATTCCAATCAAGCCATCCAAGTGGCTCAGGTAATACAAATGCACTTTCCACATCTCAGCCATATCACATTTGACCCTTTAACTCCCATGGGTCATCAAGATAGAATTTCTCCTTACAATATTAATACACTACCAAGCAGAAAGGTGATGAAAATAAGAAAAAATATAAATTGGGGGTGTATTTGGTGAACCAATACCAAATTCTCTAAATTTGCATGTTAACCCTTAAACTCCCAAAATCTGATTGACAATTCTACCCTCTAGCTACTACACATTTCCTTGTAAATTGATTATGAGAATTAGGTGTTCAATCAAGGTAATAAATTTTGCCTAATGAGTTTGAGTATTCTCACAACCTGTTTGCTGTATAATGCATGGATACTATGTGGAGAAGTTACATGATAATCACTTCTGGGAGTTAAAGAATTAAGAATTGTATGGCAGACATCAAAGAGAAGTACTGATGCTCAAGAAAATATATGTTTTTATCAAAGAACAGAGAATACACTATTCTTTTTTGCCCTCAGTAATTCACATCAAGCTAAGAATTCTTTGGAATTCAGTAGTTTGTTTAGTGACAGAGGCAAAGAGGGCTTACAAACTGAACCCTTTCAGTACCAAGATCTCAAGCATAACTCACAATCTTCCACGCTTTTTTAATGTTAGCTCTAACATTCCCCAATTGATAAGTTTCTTTACTTTCATCACTTGTCTGGTTATTAGTGTATTTATAATGTAGGGTGTAATTACCTTTTGATCACTCCTAGAAGTGAAAGGGTTCACTATAAAAGCATGTCAAAAGTGTCCCCACATCATAAAGATGAGTAATCAAACAATTATGAAAGTTGTAGTTAATTTCTTTCATGTTCTTTTCCTGTTGTTCAGCATGACAAACCAGTCAAAACATGTCACTGGGTACAGGCACCAAACTACAGCTGTCTTATGACTGGCAGTTGGGACAATACACTGAAGTTTTGGGACACTAGATCAAATAATCCCATGATGGTTATAACACTTCCAGAGAGGGTCTACTGTGCAGATGTGGTGTACCCAATGGCCATTATTGGAACTGCACAGAGAGGAATAATTTGTTATCAGCTGGAGAATCAGCCATCAGAATACAAGAGGATTGATTCACCACTGAAGTACCAGGTTTGTAACTTAAATGATCTATCAGTTTAGAAAAGGTGTAAATATTATAACATATTGGTATTAGCCAGGAATGTAACAGACAATGAGGGCATCAGATTCAGTTTTAAACAACAGCCCTTCCTCCTCTTTCTATTCAACTTTGTACACCAAAGAAACAAGTCTTTGAGATTGGAAAGAGGGATTGTATTGCTGCCATAACGACTTCAACATGGACAAAGTGTGTAATTCTGCAAACCCCCCTTTAATGGGGTTCGTGCATATGTATACGCACTGTTACCTAGTAATGCGTGATATATTTTTTACATCATGTTCCACAAGGAGTCTCAGATGGAAGCTGTGTAGTAAAACCTGTTTCGATGCGGTCGGAGAATCTAGGATAGATTAAGAAATTCAAAGTGAACTATGTCTGGTGTTTTGACTGTAATTTGGAAAGCTTTATTTGCTAAGTGGATAAAGATAAAGCAGATTAAGTTAAGAAAATTGTTTTGATCTTTGAAATTCATAAAGATTTTGTCCATGAAAGATTATGCAAATTCACACCTGAAATTGAAGCAAACCGTAATTTGAGCTTTTTGTTTTCATAAGTTTGGGTGATATTTAAAAGTAAAAGTTGGTCTTCTTAAAGCGAAGACATTGTTCACTGAAGGGAAAGGTTTCTTCACTTCCTTTTCCTATTCAGGCAATGTTCGATCCCTGATCTCTCGTGGATCACAGACATGGCGATTCCACTCTGCATTTATTCTGCAGTGTAGTTTACTTCATCTTGCCTTGAACTGAGTACTAGAGCTTCTGAGTGATCCAGATGTCATGAGGTCAACTCCTTCTCTTTGTCCTTTGCATTTGACAAAGAGCTCACATCTCTCGTTTGTGTGATGATGATTAACTAATATAGTTAAACAGCTTTGTTTGTCTTTTGCTACTTTCAAAAATGGTGATATGTCATTTTGATTGGGACAATGCTTTTTTATCATGATATGTGATTTTGATTGGGATGATGCTTTTTTCTCATAGAACCGCTGTGTGAGTATTTTCCGAGATCCAAAGAAAAACAACCAGCCTGTGGGCTTTGCTCTTGGCTCAGTTGAAGGAAGAGTTGCAATCCAGTTCATTCAACCACAAAACCCGTAAGTCCAAGTCAATTCCTGTTTGCTTGACATTTTATAATCAAAATGGAACTCTATGGCTGAAACAATAGTTTTTTTTTACTTGTAGGAAAGACAACTTTACATTCAAGTGTCACAGATCTAACGGAACAGGAAATGCAAACTATCAAGACATTTATGCTGTAAGTTTATAATTATGAATACCTAAGTAAGCTTTCTGACAAGAGGAAGGTATGTGCACCTTTTGATTGAATTGTCTAGTGGCAAAATTCAATTATTTGGATGGATGTGACGCAGGAAAGCTGCAGCTTTGTAACATTTTCTCACTGTTGTACTCATAACCTTGTCATTGATTCATTTTTTTTTAATAAAATTAATGTCTTTGCTGAGGGTGTGAGGTAATTTTTCAAACAATTTGTCCAAGACAGTGGGTTAAATTAAGGATTGATAACAGCAAACTTAAACAATCTCAGTACATTATCTGAAATAAAATAGTTTTGAAATTTAAAAGTTGTTTCACAACATAGCCATGTCAAATTTGAATTGATAATAACCTGATCTAAGGGTAGAAAGGTTTTCCTCACTTTTCAAGAGAAATGTTCCAGAAAGTCTCTGTTAACTTAAATAGACTCAGATTTCCTGCATCACTTAAAAGCTTTTTCAGTATTGGATATTATTGTATGCAAAGGAAAGCAATCACCAATTGTTTTATTTTTCAGGTAAATAATATTGCTTTTCACCCTGTGCATTGCTGTCTGTTGGCCACTGTAGGATCAGATGGAAAGTTTAGTTTCTGGGACAAGGATGCTCGTACAAAGCTTAAGGTATGTACTCGTCTATACTTTGGAAGACTGGATGCAAGACCTGTCATTTGCTTTTATACTCCTTATGGAATAGTTTCCTTTTGTCGATCATTGAAATTTTATCACACACAACAAGATTGGACATGAAACATTAAGCAAATCTTTTTCAACAAGCAAGCACTGGAGATGAGATGGCAGTCAACAAGGTGAACAGCACCAATTCAACCAAAACTATCTAATGTCAGTATCCATAATTTCCATACTCTGCTTTATACTTCTCATTTAGTGCTGATGAGGAGAATTTATTTGACCATCACAACTTCTTAGGTTGATGGTCATTTCCTTTATTCTTCTTATCTCAATGAACAATTCAGCAGCATTACTGTAAGGAGAATTTAGATGCTGGTTACTCATGGGGTTTAAAAGGATATCCAGTTGTTGGCTTAATATTTGAAAATCTGTAACAGAAAGACTCTCAGCTTCACTCACTAATTTTTAGAGTGTACAAATAGTTATATTGAAGGTTTTCTTTCTTCTTAAATACTTTTGTTTTCTTTATCAGACTTCTGAGCAGCTGACCATGCCCATAACGGCCTGTACTTTCAATTCAAAAGGAAACATATTTGCTTACAGCTCTAGCTATGACTGGTCAAAGGTAATTATAGAATTATATACTTCCTTAGTTCTTCATGAATGGATTGGAAATCGTGAGACTGAACCGCAATATTTGTTTCTTTCAAGGGACACGAGTACTTCAACCCCCAACTCAAGCCCAAGATCTTTCTCAGAAATTGCACAGATGAGCTGAAACCCAGGAAAAAATAAATATTATAAAGGATGTTGTAGATCTCTCACTGACTTCTGTGCAATGAGCAAGTCCTGCATCAGCCATCAAGAACTTGGCTTAGTTTAAGAGTACTTGCATTGAGATGTAATCAAATGATAGACCATATGACAAAGTCAATGGAATGGAAATTATGTAGCTGTAAAGCAAACATTAGATATCATGGTTATCATGTCTAGTTTATAGGAATTACTCTCAGCTCAGAGGGTACGAGTATTGTATCACTTAACCCTTTACTCTCTGATATCAGCATGCATATTCTCCTTATTGTTCTGTACACATTTCTTTTGGTACTGATAAGGAGAACTCGTTAAAAAAATCAAAGCTTTTTAAGGTTAGCGTTCATTTCCTGTATTCTCATGATCTCAATGAATTATTCACCAGTATCACTGAAAGGCGAAATTGGATGCTGGTCACTCTCAGGTGTTAAAGGATTTATGTTGATATAATAGAGCAATATAAATGTTGTTCATAAACTTCTACATGTACTACGTGAAGAAAAACCTGAAGATGCGCAGAAATACAGAATGTTTTTAAAAATACTACTTTGCTCGTAGAGATATATTAGATTTGGCGCTTGAAAGAAAGACACTTCACTCTCGGAATGCCCCTCTTTATCTGGAGGAACATATATATAATTTCTTAAGCGGAAGTAAAGATGGCTAGACATTGGATATCTTTTACGTTGTTTTGCTTATCAACACGAATTAAAGGTCCATTAAAACATAGAAAAGGACACAGGCCAATGTTCCGCCACCCGCACTACCAAGTTTTGTCGGTAACAGCTGCGGTGTACGGCCAAAAGGTTACTCTATGAGATTAAACAAATTTGTCATGATGTTGGTGTGTTTTGTGCTTTCATTGTTTTGAAACTGCTGGAAAGCGTTCGTCCTCTGAAAGAAAAAACCACCCAGAGTTAGCAATTAGTAATGTTGTGTACATTTGCAAGAAGCGTGACCAAAGTAAGCGTTTTTCTTGCGATGTCATTGCAATAAGTCGTCTAGGTGGAGTGGTCATAATCTCACGAGTCGCTTCGTGCAAGCAGAACAGGAAACATTTCTGTCATCAACAACACAGTTCTCGCACAAAAACATTCAGTATTCTGTATTCCTTTAGAGTATTCTTCATATTTTAAATGCTTAGTTCCTCTTCAAAATAAATTCGTTTTGGTGAGTTCGTCACAGTCTATCACCAAGACAAGCTGTCAACAGTAAATAAATTTTGTTTGTTCATCACAGTCTATCATTAAGACAAGCTGTCATGAGCGTCAGGAAGTTAGTACTTTTTTAAGATCTCGCTTTTTCCCTTCATTCCACCTTTGGTCCCATTGCGTACAAAAGTGAACCATTTGAGTTCGTGATTGTTCTGTTTTCCTTTTGCGTGCTTGACAGTCTCTTCCGTTTCCTTTGAATCAGGAGAAACGTGCGTTCGCGTGACTCACAATTTTCCCAGTTTGCTACGAGGAAACGTAAACTACTGCTACGGAAGCTCGTTGTATTAAATCTTTAAAAAAAATCGGAATGGGGCTTTCAGGAGAGGGAGAAAAAACTTATTTTAGAAAGCACTTGGAGGAGCCGGGTTATATTCAGTCTTGAAACTTTGAGTGGAGCAACCTTCCAGAACACTTTTGTTCGTGATTTTCACTGTGACGTCAAGTAACACGATTAAAGTGAAATATTAATGTCATAATCACTTTGTCCCTAGAGGCGGTCTCTTAATCCTTTGATATTGGATTAATGACTGATGGGTGATTGAGGAAGGCGGTGGAACCCTCTCCGTTGAGAAAAGGAAAATGAGCCTGAACTAAGAGTGTTCATTCTGACTAAACCTTGCGGTCGCTTTCATTGTAATGAAATCTTCGACGAGTTGTCGTGGAACCCGATTCTTTTCTAGTACCATCCTAAACTATTTTGTTTCTCGACTCTCAGCTGAGTCCGTTGACTGCTCTAAGGAAGGGGACAAGAATTTGGACTACGTAAAATAAATAGGATATCTTTTGTCTGAACGCCAGCACCTAAATTGGTAGACAAGATTAAAGAACAACAATAAATGTGTTGAATCTGAAGTATATCTATTCAGTCATAACAAGGAATGGATCAATTGTTCAGGAGTTTTACCAAACACACAAATATTAGAAAGAATTAATAAAAAGCACACTCTTGTTTTTAAAAAACAATAAAAAACAAATTACTGTCCTTCACACAAAACTCTTGTTTTTTTTAACAGCTCGATCGCTTTCGCAAAAAGCGATCAAACAAAGCCTGTTAATGCGTTTCACGTCGTTTCCGGCTGAAACAACGACGCTGAGTTACACAGCTATAAGTCTTTTGTTTTCCTCTAATATTGATTTGACAACTTCACTGTCGTGCAACAGTTTGCAACTTAAGATGTCACAACAAAGGAAAGATCTTCTAATTGGTTCATGTAGATAAAAATAACCAATTTGTTTAACTGTGTCTATTTGCGAACTCACGGCGCTCGATTTTTAAGACAACTAAAATTAAAAGTCACGCAATATTTTGAGAAGCCATTCAATACTTTCGCACCTAAACTTGACTGAAATTCACTCAGAAATATCAGCAAGAGAAATTTCTTAGCTTCTTTAGATTGAACCCACGGGAAAATAAATTTCGTTGTGTTGACCATACAACCTAACTTTTGCTCTCTTAAATACTATATCCCCATCTACTCTACCAGGTCAGACAGTCTTATTTTTTACCAAAGGTGATTTACGATTTTGCTCAGTTTTGCGGTAATTCTTGAGGATTGTAATGTAACATTTCTCACCACATGATCATAAAAACGATCAATATTCTCGCCTCAAGTTTAATATACCAACCGATACTCCCTTTAGTTTAGAAAAGTATATCAATATTGGATTATTTCACACTCCTCAGAGAAGTTGTTTTGAAATTAAGAGAAAACATTCATGTCAAAAACGTACCCGTCTAGAAGGAGTTGACAAGATATCTCTGAGAGTTCATGAGGAAATGATAAGAAAGGATAGATTTATAAAAATATTAATCAGCGGAGCTCTCTTATCTAGTACGACACAGATTTGCTTCTTGTGGTTCTTGTGCCATTAGATAGTAGAGGTAAACTGATCTTTCTTCGTGGCAGGCTAGCTGTCATTAACTCGTTTCGTTGTCGCACACCTGAGAAATTCCGACTGTACATTGGCACTCTTGTGCCATTTGGAGGCGTTTGTAACGGAGATGAAAATCCTGTTTTGTTCGGGCTGGTTCCTTTTTGGGTCGAATCGCTACTAACAGATAACAAGTGACCAGATGAGCCGGTAAAACTGCTACGCGATGGAAGTAAGTCCATCGAAGGCATTGTCACGGTCTTGTGAAGTGCTCTACGATTTCTCGACAAGGGTGCACTTTCCAGCCTTACGTTTTTGGTTACAAATGGTTGAAGGGTCAAATCTTCTTTTGAATCAGATGCAAGAACGCTTTTACTGAGTGGCGTGCGACCGGAACAGTTTTGAGCAGGTGGAGCACTTGGAACTCTTCGCAACGAAGCTTTATCTCGTATGCCCTGAATTTGTTCCTGTCTCCGTGCGAACGCTTGAGTTGCCTTCTCCATTTCACGCATGCGAGTCGTTCTATCTCTTTCCAGCTGCTGGAGTTCGAGACTAAGTCTCGTTTGATGCACAGAGTTTCTTTTTAAAGCCGAATTTTCGTCCGCAGAGGACATTTTGTCTCGAGATTCGTAGCGCTGTCAAAGTCAACTGTGTTGTCTGCCTTATACGATTCTCATGCTTGTTATTTTATGACACGTATCTGACCTTTTCACCACAGAGGCAGTGACCCCGAACTTTCTATTGATTAGCAGCATCATTCATCTCATGCTATTGGTAGACATCCAGAAAGTGTTTCTTTTTCATCATAATTGTGTTTTATGAACTAAACAGGAATTAAAGGCTTTTCTTTAAAAGGTTTGATAGTTATGCAATGAGCGCTATTAATACAGAACGGCTTAGAAATGTTTTTTTTTTCGGTTTTTGTTTTTGTGTTTGAGATTAAAGAGAATAATTACAGGCTAAAAAACGCATTCTTGTCAAAGAGATTTTTAATTCATCGAACAAGAACTTAGGCTGGTAGTTTTTGTAAGTGCGAAGCTTTGGAGTTTACAGAATATAAATACAATATCACTTTCAAAGATCGAGGTTTTCTCACGTGTCTTTAGGGTAATCTTATTGACTTAACACCATTTACCATTTACTCAAAAATCAAGGTTACGTGTCTATCATTTTTCGGTGATCTCAAAGTCGTCACTGAAACCTACTTCAAGACTCTTGAGAAAGTATCCGCACTTGGATATCCGCTCACAGTTAATACCTTTTTATGGCATTTCCATAATACTTAATTTTTTTGAACGCGATCGGTTCTTTCAGCCCATATAAACAGATTTAACAGCCCCAACCATTGTTCCATATGTTAATTTGTACGTCAACACTTGGAAATCACGCAAGACTGAAAAGTTTTCCTTGAATAAACAAGGCGCAACACATTATCATTCATTTCAAATGAACGCTTCTGATTTTTGAAGGTTTTCTATTCTCGGACTCATAGACTGCTTACAACGTCAGCTGAAGCTCACTTCTGATATTCAACTTTAACATCACGAACACTTTTATGTGTGTTTTACAAGTGTTTCTACTTATTTTCCACTTAGCTCATTTCCTTTCCAAATATTATATATTCAATACAAAAAAAGTAATGACAAACTGCCTCCTCTTCTATTCTCTTGTTGGTTCAATGAACATGTGATGTTCTTTGAAAATTGTCCACTGTGCTTCTTATTAGATTCAGTCGTCCAGTCCAGAGTTGAATACGTATTAATGACGTCATGGTGTCCAGGACTCCGGTGTAAACAATAATCAACATGGCGGCTTCAAGCGACTGGATTAGTAAAGATGAAGCTCTTACGGACACATTTAACCGCTTTGATACAGATTTCTCGGGTGAACTAACAGCAGAACAACTGCAGGAGCTATACTCTGACATAAGAGATGGAGGGATAAGTTTACCGCAGGTAGAAGCGTCAATAGAGGCCGTTTGTGCGGCCGAAACTTGCGACAGGCAGGAACTTTATGATGTTCTCAACGAAATGGACCGGAGGTATTTCCTCGTTCGCGACTTGCAATGGGAATTTTCAATGCTGGACAGGGAAAATAAAGGTGCCATTAGTGAAAGAGAAGCAAGATTCCTATTCCAGGCTGTTCACGACGATTTTTTCTCGCATCGCCGGTGGCTCAAATTCCTTCGTAGTCGCGCTGCTCCCGGTTCTGGAATTAGCTTTGCAGAGATTGAAGTTCCACTTTGCGATATGCCAACCATGGATTGGCTGGACGAAGAAAGGCAGGATGAGGATAATGAAAAGGAGGAAGAGTTGAGACGTAAACGGGAGAAAGAGAGAGCCGATGAAGAGGCGAGGAAGGCCGCCGAGAACAAGGTGAAATTTGAGAAAGAGGCAGCGAAGAGAAAAGAAGAAGCGGCAAGGAGAAAAGCCGACGCAGAAGCTGCTAAGAAGAAAGCCGAACAAGAAGAACTGGAGAGGAAGGCGAAAGAAGAGGAGGAGGAAAGAAAGCGCCGGAAGTATGAGGAAGATGCGAAGAGGCTCAGCGAGGAAGAAGCAAAACGAAGAGAAGAAGAGGAACGACTGAGGCAGGAAGAAGCTAAGAGACTAGAGGAAGAAGAGAGGAAGAGAAGGGAGAAGGAAGAAGCTGATCAGAAGTGGAAGAAAGAGGAACTGCGAAAACAGCAAGAGCTGGAACGAGAAAAGGAAGAAAGAGGTAAGAAAGTATTTACTTAAAATTGTTTTTACAAAAATTTGTAAGGGATGTTGTCTAAGATTACAAGCCTGAGGTAGAGTCTGTGGTTACATCCTGGGCGGGAAGGGGGTGTTATTCTACAACCCATGACTGCTGATTTAGAATGGTAATTGAATCGAGTGGAGTGCAATTTGGTCTGACAATGTGATTTCAGAATTTAAAGAGCACACAGCACAAGTTTGATTTGAAATTGCAAAACCAAACTTGCACAACATGTAGTTCAATTGCCACTTTAGTACATCAATTCTGAAACTGCAAAATTCAGACAGTAAAATACAGGGTATTTCAGTCTGTAAAAATATTTTATTGATCCAGTGCTGATCTGGTTTGTAAAAAGTTGCAAAAATTGTCTTTCATTTTCCACTAATGTGATTGGTTACATTAAACAAGCTTTGAGATCTGATTGGCTATTATGCTTTAGTGAAGGTTTCTCTTTGGCTGAGAAAAAGATGGAATTTAGGGAAAAAAATAGTGATTTGTGAATAAATCATACCAATAAGGGCCAATCAGATTGCAAAGGATAACTTGCTGTCTAACAGATGAGTGAAACAAAATGAGCTGTGCTATCCATTGGATAGCAATTTATCTAGTGGATAGTGTTTTACACCCTTCAAGCAACTGGAATCAAACTTTTTACTGCCAGTCTTCAGTTAATTCTTTAAAAAAAAGTGACATGTGACCAAATTAATGTACTTGAAACCTCCCTTTGGGCTCTGGTTGTACAGGTTGGTGCTTTTAAAGTTGTTCTGGAAAAATTGGAAGGCTAAAAAATCTTCTTAGACTATCTTATCTTAAGAAGGGATATCCATTGTGTTTGTAAGTTCCTAAGAAGATTTTCATTTGACCTCCTTGGTGGGGGATGGTAGTTACAGCATAAGATAACGATACCCATAGTTGTAAGAGACAAAGTCTGCCAATGCAATCAAAGTGTAATTATTTGAAAGTGTGTCTGATGTACCATACTTCTCTGGAAATGGATACTAGAAAGTATATTTTTCCATTATATTTCATGATCATGCAGAAAGAGAGGAGCTGGAACGAAAGCAGAGAGAGGAGGCGATGGAGGCTGAAGAATTAGCTGAAGAAGCAGAAGAAGCAGAAAGAGTAGCAGCAGAACAAGCTCGTCTAGCAGCTGAAGCTGCGAAGAAAGCAACAGATGAGGCAGCAAAGAAGGCTGCTGAAGAAGCACAAAAGAAAGCTCTTGCTGAAGCCATGGTAAACAAGGAAAAGAGATTGAGGGCCAACTTAAAGGGGGCAGTGAAATCTAGAAAGGAAGAAAAATTGGAAGGATCAATCAAGGAAGCCAAGACTGCTAAAATGCCTGGTAAGTTCTGATTCTTATTATTGGTCTGTATTACATAAAGAAAATTTTTCTGATGCAAATAGTTATTTGGGAGGAAGTTGGCTAAAATAGGTGTCTTTCATATGTAGCAGACCTTATTGCTCTTCTTTTATATTCATGTTAATTATCTTTTCTGAGCACATGGACATGTTATAAGACAATTATAGAATTTTCACTATAAAGCAAGGCCAAAGCCTTTGTAACAACCAAGATCTAATGAGGTTACACTTTGTATGTGGCAGGTTTGAAGAATGACATTGATACTGCAGAAAACACTCTTAAGGATGTCCAAGCAGGAGAAGCCTTAAAAAGCGCAATAAGGCGTCGACATCTGGGTGATCTGGAGAAGTCAATGGCCCACATTCGAAAAAATGGCTGGGAGAAAGGCTGGGGCATTGAACTCAAAGAAGGAGAAAAACTGGCAAGCAGATTAAGACGTCTTGAGAAACTGAAAGCAGAAATCATGGAACTGAAACAAAGTGTAATATCAGAGATCAGGAGTTATGGGAATCCACCTCCTGCAGTCCACAAGGTATATACTTATATGGGATTTATACATTTATTTAATATTCTATATAGATTATAGCAGAGCTCACAAAGCGTAGCCCCATAATTATACAAAATAGTAGTAACCCATCAATCCGAAAAAATTTGGATGTATGACCATACAAGGTGCTACTTTTAACATGAGTGGTCAACTGTACCACAGGCACACCAACGCCATGGCTTTGTTAAGTAGTCCAGTGGTCAGTGCACTGGCTGGAGCAACGCGTTGTGCCCTTGAGACGTATGGGAAAAAAAATGTGAGCTCTGCTTTTAGGCTTGGCTAAATCTATATATTAGAAATATTTTTTATTAGTTCCTTTTTTTACAGTTCATTAAAAACATTTCATAATAAGGTGATCAGAAATGCACTCTAGAGAAACATGCAATGGAAAGTAAAGATTATAATTGACAAGAATCAATCTTGATTAAAACAGGATTTAAAGCTTACCAGAATGTATTGTCATTGAGAGTTAAAAATATCCCTCCTTTCAAACTGTCCAAAGGTTCCAATTTCCCCCCTCCTCCTACCACACTCTCTCTTGTTAGGGAGGGGAAAGTATACATGCTGCTATTCTAAATTTAAGGTTATTTCAATTTGTGCAGCACACTATTAAAATAGAAAAGTCTTGATGCAGCTATCTTGAATCTTAAGTCTTTATTACTCCAACTTTCATTGTCTCTTGTCTTATCAAGTCTAGATTTATCAATATTCCTTGATACTTGTTTCTTTACAGGTTATGATTGCCACATATCTGCTGCTCAACTATCCTGAGAAGGAGTTGCTTAACTGGAAGAACATGCAAGCACTGCTTGGCAAGACAGGCAAAGAGGGTTTGAAGCGGCAGGTCACATCACTAGATCCATTACATGTGGACATGAGCAAGGCTGACTATGCTTTTGAAAAGTATCTGAAGGAGACTGATTTGGAGACAATCAGAGATACAAGTGCTGGGGCAGCCACATTCTATGTTTGGGTGAGTCTAAATGGTATACAAGGGGCGGGGTAGGAGGGAAGATTCCACAGAGTGTGCTATAGCCCAAGTGAATAAGATGAATCCAGTATCATGTTGGTGCAGACTTAGTAGTAAGTGTTAGCCTGCAGTTAGCTTGTTTTCATTGGAAGAATGAGATACAGTTACAGGCTTGCAATCATTTGTTAGACTACCATGTCTTCAGGGTTTAAGTGGATGGAGAGGGTTAGGGGCATAGCATTCTCAACAAAAAATATACCTGTGCTGCAGACTATGTTGGTTTTCATCCTTTTCCCCAGGGTTCTTCCATGGTTTTTTATTTTTCTCCTAAGAAAGCAATACTTTGAGCTCATTCAGATTATTTCAGGAACTTGTAAATAAAGAGTGCCTCAGTGTGTGCATCAACCTTAAATCCTAATTACTTTATATTTTTTATGTATTCATTTTTATGTAAGGATTCTCTACCAACTCTTTCTTGCTGTCAAATCAGCCCACACTTTTTAAAATAGTTTTGTCCCTTAGCAACTGCCCATGAAATTAACAGGTAAACAGTAAAGATTCACCTCAACAAATAGATTCCAAGTTTCTGCGCATCTGTTCAGTAGTAGATTGCAGATGACGTCAAAACCTGTTCAAAAAGTGGCACAAAGGGCAGCCAAGGGTGTCACTGATGTTGTCATTGCATTTGGATATCTTCTGTGATCTATTACTGTACAGACCCATGGAAACATGGAGTCTGTTTGTTTTATATAATAAAAAAAATGTTATTAACCCTTTACACCCTAACATCAGTATGCATATTCTCCATACTGTTCTCTATATGTTTCCTAAGGTGCTGACAAGGAGAATTTGGTTAGCAATGTAGAGCTTCTTTAGTGGGTGATCAGTTCATTTATTCTCATGACCATAATGTTTGATTTAGGGGTGATATTGTAAGGATGGGTCTGTCCTCTAATAGATCATAGGTAACAACTAATCAAAATGTGTGGTTATTCAATGTATTATGTAATGCTTGATTGACAATGATGCTTTGGCTTTTGTAGTCAACCAACATGATAGAGGAAGTCCATTCTGTTGCTGAGCAGAAGGAGAAACTGTTGGAAGAAGAAAAGAAAAGAAAACAAGAAGAAGCTGAAGAAGCAAGGAAGGTGGCAGAGAGAAAGAAAGCTCGTGAAGCTGCAAAGAAAGGTGCACCACTGACTAAAAGAACGTCACAGATACCTGGAAAAAAGACTTCAGTGACTGATCAGGGAGGTAGAACATCAAGGGATGAAACAAGAGGAAGAAGTAATTCTAGAGGCAGAGAAGGGAGTAAGGAGAATTTGAGCAAGTCCCCTGCCAGACCAGGTGTGGCACGAAGGGCCTCTAGCAAGTCTCCTGCTGCTCGCAGCTAATTTAATAAACTCATACGTACTTGTTTGAATACATATCTTTCAATGGGGCTGGTTCATGGTTTGCTCATCGTGACAGTTTTAGCCCTAGTTTTTAATTCCACCATCAGCAATCTGTGTTAATCTCTGCTGGATTCTAAACCATCCCCCTTCCTGTTGGGTAGATTCTTACCTCCTTGTTGTTTGTCTACTGCAGTAAACAATTATCACAAGATTTCATTCTTTTAAGAGCCAATTCTTTATGGTTTTTAAGATCACTTCAAACATTTAATTCTCATAAAAACCCACAATCACCAGACTTCCAAAGGTTATACATCTTTTTAACATGTATCTGGTTAATATGGAAAGACTCAAACAGCTTGAGAGAGGTAAATAAGTGAACAAGCAGTCATCTGCTTGAAATTTCATCTTTGGAAGTCAAGAGTTTTCTTTGCCCAATATTCATAACAAGTGAATCTGACAATTGTCCTTCTCAAAAAGATGTTTTTCCATCTTGTCATAAGGGTGGGATAAAAAAAGTTCTGAGTTCCCCTGAAGAATGGAACTTCAGACCTTTCAAAATTACATGCTCTGATGCTTTACTGTTGAGCCTCCAAGACTCTTCAATAAGCTAGGTCATTACTAAGTTCATTCTAACTAACACACACTGGGAGCAGGTACAGATTGCCCTCGTACCTGCAGATCACAAAATATAAATAATGATATCAATGTTTAATTAAAAGTAGTCTGTAATGCAGGCCACAATTCAGTTATCTAAGGACGTTTTTGTTCTTTAGTAACCTGCTCATTATTTATTTCTGTGGCTAATGCCCCATTCACACCAAAGCTTAAACATGTTTAAAAGTTGTTTTGTTAAACACAGTTTAATTTTTTTTTTCTTCATAGAAACTATTTAGCCGAATATTTTTGACTTGAATGTAGCACATTGGAAATGCAAGTTAGCAAGTACTTGAATCCAATGGAAAATCAAGTTTTTCAGTTCTCTGTTTATAATTTTCATTCAATGAAAACCAGTTTAACAAAACATGTTTTGCTGGTGTGAATGGGGTATAAGATGTACATATTTTTCACATTAAGACTGCTTTAAGAAATCATTGTTTACTCAAACATACCTGGATTGCATAAAGGAAGTCTCTATACTGTGCAGTTCAGAGGGAAAATGTATTTTTGACAACTTCAGTTGCATATTTTTGTAATACAAAATAGGAGAGCAAGGGAATTATTTACTTGCCTTTGTACATATCAGCAGTGTCCCATGTTTATAATAAAAGAAGAAATTAGTTTCTAAAGAATTGATTGTGCAGCCTTGATGGGTCAGTAACATGTACTGGTCTATTTGTTGTTTGTGTTAAATAATTTATCCTTTGCAGTAATAATAGGAACAAGCACACCTTAAAGTTTGACTGGCTGAAGGAGAGTAATTGTTTTAGTACAATTACTTGGGTGAACAACAGAGCTACTCCAATTCCTCCTCTTTTTTATCTACTTTCAAAGGCATCAAAATATTGTGCAGTAGCCATGTTGAAATCAGTGCCTGACTTCTATTACAACCTAACAGTGGATGATTGTGGCAAGATGTTGTGTTTATGTGAACTAATCAAACTGTGGAAATCTCTATAATCACCTGGATGGCTTCTTTAAAGGGTAGATAATGATTTTCACCAGATAAATTGCTATTGGTTGGATGATTTAGAATGTTTTGTTAACCCTTTAATTTCTACCCATAATATCCTTACATTACACAGCAAACAGGTAATGAGAATACTCAAACTTATCAGGTAGAGGTTGTTATCTTGATCTAATAACAAATTCTCATAACTAATTTACAGGAAATGTGTAGCAGCTAGAGGGGAAATTCACAATCAGATCATGGGAATTAAAGTGTTAACACTCATCCACTGGATGGTGATTTATCCATAAGATAACGTTATCTGCCCTTTGAAAAATTGGATCCTGTAGGTTTAGTTTCCAATATAAAAAATGACATTCACTCATAATGCTGTAAACATTCCTTTATTGAAAAAAATGCTGACAGATTCTTGTGTTTCTTACACCTTTGCATCTCCATGATATACAGCACAGTCTAAAAGAGGAAAGGGGAGGGTTTTTACATAGAAGACTTACTAAACTGGATAGTTAAAAACCAGCAATAATGTAGCATGAATACATCTTTAACATTACAGCACCTTGATTTTACATTTCAATATTCAGTCTAGATGAATATGGAATATCACTAACAAAACCTAGCTACATTACAGGGTAGATAATGCATGACACTGAGTTGGAAACAAAGCTGTTTAGAATCTTGTTATCAGTTCTGCATCAGACGGTAAGACATGCGCACAGCTTGAGCAACACTGAAATATAAAGAAATCAATTCACCATTGTACTAAAGTTTTCTTTTAAAGTTGGAGGCTAACAAGAAAAACAATTTTGTTTTTGCAAACAACTTAAGGTACCTCAAAGTTGCCACCAACCCAGCTGGCATGAACTTTCCTGATCTTGCAAATCTTGATCCCATCACTCCAGACAGGACCAATGATGTCACTGAAATGATAGGTAAATGAAGATTTATGATACAGAGGAAGAATTGTATAATCAATTTTATATAGTGCAGCGTTGTCATCTATGGGGTAAATTATCAATACGCCATTTCCAAATTACCTTTAAGCCTCTTTTTCAAAGCCTGGTGGTCAACCATTCATATGAAATTGAGTTTAATTTGCATGTGAATGAAAGGATGAGCAGCAGGACTTACTTTGGAAATGAGACCAAAGGTAACTCAGAAATGGCCTATTGTTGCAAAGAGTTAATATGTTCTTACCGAGCATGACCCAAACATTTCTTGGATTTGAGGAGGTCTGGTAAGCACCAAGTGCAGAAATGCCACCAAATGCCAGCCCAGCAGCTAAAGATGGTACGCTCCCTATGAGGCAATAATGCAGTTTTAATAAATTCCATCAATAAGTCAGTCAAGTTGGTAGACAACCTTTGGGTGTGGGTAGCCTACAACCAGGCTCCTTCATGAGGAAAAGGGTAAGTTTCTAAAGAAACTGTGGTGCTGAGTCAGTGGGAGAGTATAATAGGGTAATTTAGTATTATCAACTGAGTTGATGGCATAAATTGACCACTGTAAAGAGTTTCAAAGATAACATTTCCAGCATTTAGAAAGCCTCAAAACTCTAGAACAAAAATTTCTTTCAAATTGGCCTTCTTAATCCCCGTGGTATCAACAGGCGCTTTTCATTTATCTAATTTATTCTTGTTTTCTAGTCATTATATTCCCACTAATAATGTAGCTCCATTTTCTGCTTATAAACACAAACACACACAACCCACAATTCCTCCAATCACTCTGACAAAGGAATTATGTTCTCACCTTTGATTTAGTGTGCAAGTGAGAAATTTAAGAGTATTTAATTTTATTGTATGACACCATGTTGAATTCACTTTACTGCTGACTCACTCCATTGTTGGCTGAAACTTTTTTTAATAAATGTGAAACACACTCCACCCCCAAAAGGTGTATGGGGTGGAGTCGGGGGGGGGGAAGGGGACGATGAGGTGTCTGAGAGAACAAATATTGGGTTCTTCAAGCACGGGATGTAACGTAATAAAATCATATCATCCAAGTTTATTTTTTAAAACAGTTAGAGGTCCAGAAGGCGAATAAAATAAAACTTAGACCATTTAATCCAAGGTTGGCGTTCGGACATGAAGCGACACACTAACTTAACTTTTAATCTTCCAGTACGACACGGTCCATTGATTTTTTTAAGTTGCAGATAAATCGAAATGCTTTTCTTTAAACCCATAGTTACAGAATTTAAGGAAAAAGTCATTTTCTTGAAAAAGTTCTTTTCCATCTCCATCTATGTCCAGTTTTGCAAGAAATTCCTCTTTCATACAGCTACACCAAACCTAAAATAATTCCCGAACCACTTAAAAATGTGAGCTGAGTCATTGCTGACATAACAGCTGTATAGCTACATGCTTTGAGAAGCTTTATGGGCCGTGAATATTGAAATCCCTTACCCTTGTCAGATCAAAACATGACGTAGCTATCACTTACCGGCTTTCACGTATCCTACGACGCCACCAAGGGCAACGATTACGGAAAATCCATACGAGATGTAGTCAGGAGACGCCATTTTACCTGAGGACTGCATGGTTACCGTGAGTTTACTGGGCACGAGTTTTTTTACAGGGAATGTAGTAACCTAAGGCTTACCTTGAAGTTTTCCTTCGAGGAAAGAGTAAATTGAGTAAAATTTAGGTTTTTTGATTTAAGATGATTGAAGATGTTGAAGAAGGATTCAAAATCAAAGAAATAAAGCCGCGAGTTCCCGCGTAAAGTTCAATTTCCCTGGAATTATGAGCCCCATATAAAGATAGCCAGCGGACTACCTCACAAGTCATTCTAGGAGGGAAGTGAAACTTATAAGGATGAAGGGGCGAGAAATTTGTGTCAGTGTTTGGTATTTTAAGGCAATCATAGACGACTAAATGGCCAGGTCTGCCCTAAGTACGGATGTTGAGTTCCACATTCTTCATAACTATCCCTGGTCAAAGCTTCCAACTAATATAAAACAGGTAAAAACTTGTATATTTCCTAACCTCGGCACGGACTTTTACTAATGCTCTGTATTTACCGGAATTAAAGGCACTCTGCTGTTCTGCTTAATATTATCTCTTGGAAAATAGCCAGTCCTTGCGAAGAAAAATTATGTGTTTCTGTAATATTCTTTTTTCCTCAGTCGCTGGGTAACAGCCAGAAAGAATGGGAAAAATGTGTATTCGATTACAGTGTGAGGAATCAATTGAGATATCGCGGAAATATAGGTTAGTGCCCTTATTTAAGTCTTCAACTAAAAGGTGCAAAGAAATATCGGCTTCCAGTTATTGTCCAGCTTCATGTTGTGTTAAGTGTAAGGAAAAGAATTGGTAACTTTATTCACTGAGTTGAATAAAAATTATGCGGAAATATTACAAGTTATTGGATATCTTTAGGATTATGAACACGCACGTGAAGACCCAGTCATCATTCAGATGTTATGTTAATGTAGGTTATAAATCGTTAATTATTCAAGGCGTGAATAATCTGGTTAACAGATAATTCGTTATTAACACTGAATTCGGCAATATTCCTAAGTATTCATGTGGGTTTGAATTTTGCTTTGTAAACAAACAAAAATATAAAATATTTTTGAAAAGATGAAGGGATATCATTAATCCTCACCAACGTGATTAAATATTGTTCATTGTGGTGTAGGATAGGAGATGAACTTTATTCATTTGTCTCGTGATGGAGTCACATTGCGATCAACATCCAAGTAACTCTATCATTAGACAAATGAATAATGTTCATCTCCAATCTCACCAAGTTTCCTTCTATTAGTTATTCCTTGGAGATCACCTTCAACAGCCTCAAATCACAGCTGTTACTTTAACACCAGCTGTTAAATGTCATGTTTAGCTTTCCTAGCCTCGTTCACAGGTGTAAATATTGCACAAACTTTCTCTTAGAAACAGGGCTAAGAAAGAAAGCTTACTTGCATGCATGTTTTGATTACATATTTTTTTCCTTTATGAAAGATGCTTTTAGCTAGGATGCACCTATCCCTAGTATTCCCTGAAATGTTTCTATTATTGAGAGAAGTGCAAGAAGGGTGAGAACCTTGCACACAATCATGCAACAAAGAGGGCATTTTTTTTTTTTTTATTGAGAGGGGGACTTTCTTTCCCTCCGTAAAACTTGAGTGCTTCTGTCATTTGAACTTAAAAGCAGCTCAGGTAAGAAATGTTTATGTTGATTATAGTGAACAGTATCAAGAGGGGTAACAGCTTGCACTTACATGGGAAATTTTATCCAAAAATCCCTAAATGAGTTTAAATGCTGGTTGTTGAGATCAGTGAAAATCTCTGGGTTTGCATGACCTTGGCAGTGTTAAAGATTCTCACTGATTGTAACAAATGAATTCATAATTATTGGAGTACAAAATTGCCATTATTGACACAGAAAATCACCTAGCATATAGATTACGTCAAGGAAAGATGAAATCTGCTTGTGATTTGGATTTTGATGAGATTGGCTTCAATTGGTAATTAACATTTGCTGTTGCGTCACTTGTTTGACTTTACAATATATTGTTTTTACTTGTTCAGAGTAGTGATACAATATTTTGAATAATTACACTGTTTTGTTCTCAGTACGACAAGTCAGAAGGGATGAGAGAAAGTATTATGAAGATTTACTGCAGTACAGTAAACAACACCTCATGGTAAGGATGCTATCGGACTACAGATGATACTCTCTTTATATACCCTCTTAGATACAACAGATTCATCCATAGCATTCTTGACAAAATTAAGTTTTTAACAGGGGTTTCCTTAAATTTTTCCATAAATGGCTACCAATGAATGTAATAGGTGGCTGTGCTGTAAGGTGAAACCCAAACACTAGAGTCTTCTAGTAGGCTAAACAGACAGCAGTGAGACGTCTTGGAGGTGGCAGTAGACCACCGATAACTGGCATTTATTGAGACCCGTGCTTTTTAACCTCCATATAAACTGTTAATAAAAACACTACAGCCTTTCTTACCCCTCCATGACTATGCATTTATAGAAGTAGAGGGGTCATAAACTAGCCTCTTCTTGGTGTTTGTCGGGTTGTAGCTGTTTTAATGTATCAACTATTCTTTATAAGTGGAGTCTTATGTTAGGCCTAGATGCCCCCTCAGCTAGGCACTTGTGATTGGCTTTTGGTTGGTTGTAATAGAAAAGTAAAAAGCTTTAGACAAAAATAAAAGCAAAACTGAGGGACTAACTCAGCCCTTGGTGAATTTTAATTCAGAGATGTGTTAAAAAATTTTTGTTAGTGTCTGGTTTACTTGCAATATTCCGTATGAGGTAAGATAGCAGCAGAGGATGGTTTGATATAGGAAACACAATAAGATAATAAACATCAGGGCCAAGTTTTTTGAAGGATAGTTGGAGCTAATCCAGATTTACCTGCCAAGGCTACTAATAACTTTTGTACACAATCAACTTGTGGTATGTGTCATTCAAGTTTCCCTGACTTGTCCCTGTCTTCATATTCTTCTTGTCTTTTCACTCATGATTCATACATGGCTTGCTGTTTATTTTATAGCTGTTCCCTTACCACCTGTCAGATGTGATAGTAAAAGGTTTGAGGATCACTCCATTTTCATACTACTGTAGCATCATGGAAAACATCATGTCAAATGAAAGGAGCTATGACTCATTACCAAACTTCACTGCAGCAGATTGTAAGTTTAAAGACATTCAGATATGAAATCATTTTCAGTTTATGTTATGAGCTTTAGAAAATCCCAGTCAACATCTTTGATATAAGCAATTTTTTAAAATAGAATTTTTCTGAATATTCTGTCTGAATATGCTATGCTGGATACGCAGGATGAGGCTATTATGCTACAACCTATACCAAATTTTCATGTAAACAGGGTTGAAAAATGAATGTATTTCATCTTAAATTGGGTCAGGAATTTTTAAAGCTTTCAAAGCACCCCCTCCCCCCCTCCCTTCCTTAGCCAAACTTCTTTTAACTGCCCCCCTCTTTGCCAAGTCAAAAAGGGAAATGGTGACCAACAATTTGAATTACTGAGTAAAAATGAATTTCACTTTCTACTGGTTTTGAGAATTGTGAGGTTCCTTTCTGTTTTTTTTTTTCAGGTTTACGGCTGTTGGCAATTGGTAGAAATCAATATATTGAGTTGATGAATCAGTGCCGGTCATCTAAGGTATGAGTAGGTGCCACTTTGATTATGCAAAAGTAACCTTGAAACTGATCACTTGTGAACAATAATCAATGTTTTATTGTTGGTTTTCTGTTATTGAAGACATTTCTAGAAATGACTGAAAGAGTCTTCTCAAAGGATATCTTAGTATGAAGAAGAGCTGTATTATTTAAGAATGACTTAAGAAATTATTCTGCAAGAGCTAACTGGAACTGTGTATTTCAGGAGGGTGTCCTTCTTATAGAGCTGTCTGATGAGAGGAAGTGTACTGTGTTGAAAAAATTAACATAATGCTTTGATGTTCAGTCTTAAATTTATATATAACAACACAGAAATAAAACCATTTCAATCAGACATTTTTTATCTCCTCAATCTTTTTATCCATATGTCAATATTAGCCTGTAAATTAAAGTCCTTGATAATCTGAGATAGTACTGAATCCTGGATCAAGGAAAGCCTGAGGCAAAGAAAGTAGTAAGCAGGTAGGAGGGTCAGGGAGAAACAAAATGTATATTTGTCCCATCCCCTCCTCCTTTACTAGTTTGTCATTCCCACGACCTCCCTCTTGGTACTCTTTTTTTTTTTTTGTCTCCAGGCTTTCCTCAATGTTACTCGTGCTCTATGGGGATTTTAACACTCAAATGGCATATTGAGCACTCACCTACAAGAAGATACACTGTATGCCTGCTTCACAGGCAAGGTAACACTATACCTTACTCAGTCCTTACATTAAATCTTTTTCAGAAATTCTTTAGAAAGAAGCCTGTGCGGGATCTTCTGCCAACTAAACCTGCTGTGTTAAAGGTTCTGGAACCCTGGTGGATTGTGCAGATTGGTTATGTGACAGAAGATGACATCAGGGTAAGAAGGAAAAGGAGCTTTCAATATGATTGTACGTTAGGGAAGATTGGTCTTTTGGAGAATTGCTATTAGTTTGTGATTTTTGTATGATGTTAAATTTAAAAATGTAGTTTCTTTAAAAGCAGTGGAAAAGCTCTAATAGCTGTTACTGTTGTTGAAGCTTTTTGAGGCCTGAATAAAAATATCTGAATATTTGGCCCAGCCTCAGTGAGTTTTTCAAAATTATTATATATAAATTATTATATATAAGGTTTATTTCTTCACTATCTCTGTTAACATAGTAAGTGGATTACTTATTGTAACCAATGGTATTCAGTTTTCAGATTTCAGAATGATACTTAAAAGTGATTTCTTTTTAAAACTGTTAAACACTGTCATTTCTGTGCAGATGTGTTCAAATGCTGAACACCAAGCCATTGATTCCATAATTGATAAAGGTGCCACTCAAGCTGGGATGATGGACCTCAAAGTTGCACAAGGTAAAAGAATGATCATTGTCTTATTATCAAGTCACATGCTGTGTAACTTGTTGAATATATTACACTAGCTTTTTTGGGAGGCAAGGTTGACTCACCATGGGTCTTTTTGCAAAGCAAAATAGTCTGCTCCAACTGGTTGGTTTTCAAGGGCTGTGATTAGTGCATTTTGGTCTTTTGCAATTTGACTGTTCCTTGAACCCTTGAAATCCTAAGAGTGACCAGCATCTAATTTCTCCTTGCAGTAATAGTGCTTAATATAATAATAATAATAATAATAATAATAATAATAATAATAATAATAATAATAATAAAAATAAAGATCACAAGAACAAAGGAAAATTATCACCAACCTCAGAAGTTCTGATGGTTAAAACAAATTCTCCCTGCCAGTACCAAAGAAAAAGTATTAAAAAGAGTAGGGAGAATATTAAACCACATGGTGTAGGGATAAGTTATAAGAAAGGGAGAGATGTTGAGTTATTCTAGTAATGCTTTTTGAAGAGGTATGATTTCATGTCTTTATGTGTTAGACATTGATGACACTCTTCTTTTCATAAAATACGAGGTAAACTGTTGTTTTTGCAGGACTTTACACCAAAGGTCTTATCTACATAGATGTACCAATTGCTGATGACGACTATATAGTTGGTAAGAAATTGTATAATCATGTTATATGTGAGCAAGGGAAGAGTCTAATATTTGCGGTGATCCTGAGAAAAATTATGAAGACATTGATGCACACACAAGTTGCTATCAAAGTTAATGCAGTGAAAAATGAATATACAGCAACATGAGAGATGTGGAAACCTATAGGTATTTACAGTTTGACTTTTGTTTCAGCATGTTTTTCACATAATGAAAACCAAATCTGAGATAACTTTGCTTTTGGTGAATTTTGAGTAAATATGCATAAAAAAAGGTCATATACATGAGTACAGCTTTTGTCAAATAGACTCAAAATTTAATGAGTCAATGTACAAGATATGGGAGATTTTTGTTTACTTTTTAAGATCTTGGTTGCCTAAACTTTCTTTCTTCTTGGTTTCTTTGCAGTTCCACCTTTAGAGAATTTTGTGATGAACAGGGTTTTGGGTGATTACTTTGAAGTTCTGATGTACAAGATATTTGTTTCAATAGATGAGCACACTAATATAAAAGAGGTGACTTTGAATTTTTTAGCATGCTTTCAAATTATGTCCTGGATATGGAAATGTTTACCTGAATGGTCAATAAAATTTCTTTGAGTCATCCTCTTTGTGGTCTGTGATAAGGAAATGATGAAAAAAAGCCATTGGTTTATGATAACATCAAGTGATTATGATAAATGATATTTCATCCATTTTTTTTATTGCAGTTAGCAAATGTTTTGCAGATAGATTTGCAATTAGTTAAGGTAAGATTTTGTTGTGAAGTGAAAAGAATGTTTCTATGTTTCCTTTTCATTTTTTGCTTATTGCAACCCACTCAAAAAAGAGGTTAAGCTGTGGACTACTAACATCGTTATCCTTTTGTATCATCGTACAGAATGCTGTGTCAGTTTATATCCGACTTGGTTTTGCACATAAGAAGGGTGTGGAAATTGAGGAAACTAAGTTACACCACTCCTGGACAGAGAAAGTCAACAGTTTGGCAATGAAGAGGTGATAAATAATTATGATAATAAAATGTTTGCATTGTCATTGTGTCATTATTGAAGATGGCCTGTGTAAATTTGCGAGGCACTTGTGTTTTAGGGGCTACAGTGATGTTTCAAACAGAGGCCCTTAATGGCCTTTTAAGGGTGGGGGGAGTTGGATATGTGCTCCCATAAACAAGATAAACCTGGCAGGTAAACAATGTCTTCTTGATATCAAACCAAATTTTCTTGACCAATTTCAAGGAAAGGTGATACAACTTGCAGAGATAATCAGAGAACTGATTATGATCAGTGAAAGGTTAATGATTCAACAGCTCAATGATATGCAGCTACATGTCTTGTTTAGATCTACATCAACAGTATGGAATACTTATTTTGTTTTTTGGTTCTCAGTCCCATGTCTGTGACAAAACAAGAAGATGTGTGTCTCCATTCCATTACCAAGCTCAAAATTTACCATCTTTCTTATTCTGTTTGTGCACGTGATGCTTAAAACATTTAATTTACTGATCCCAGCAGTTTGCAGGAGGCATGTCATATATAACCGTAGTAATAAACCAGGTCACTGTAGAGTCTCTACAGCTCAGTGGTAGGGTATCAGAGTGCAGAATCCAAAGGTCTGAGGTTCAAATGCTCATGGAGCATCAGAATTTTTGTTTGCCCACACTCATGACAAGACCAAAAAAGTGTCTTTTTCTTTACTTTGGTTTTCCAATTTTTCCAATTTTTCCAATTGTTTCTTCAGATGTAGCAGCAAAGACAATCTCCTGACTCTGGACCTTAGTAACCTCCCAGACAAGGCAAATTCAATGACAACTTCTCTAGATATTTCGTCTAGTGATTCTCATGAAACAAATGGAGAGCTCTCTACACCAGGTAAAAACATAATACGTCACTCAATTCAATATGAACAGATCTTTTGGCATTGGTAAGAAGGTGCTTGGAAGGATCTGGGGTTTTGAGATGCAAGTAAAATGAATCTGCAAACAAAGCAAATGCCCATTCCCTTTCAAATTATTCCAATGTCCATATCATTAGGTGATTAATATTACCTTCCCTGCTGTACAAGGTAGTAGTCCATGATGATTTATCCCCAGAGTTTCATCAGGTTCCTCTGACATTTCACTGATGACTCTTTATACTCCTGGATAGCAAGAGGCACAGTGAATGAACCCTTTAACTTCCAGAAATTATTAATATGTAACCTCTCCCTTCAATATCCATAAATTATCCAGGAAACAGGTGATGACAGTACCCAAACTTATCTGGCAGAAGTTGTATTCTTGATCCAGCCCCAGATTGTGAAACTAATTTACAAGGAAATGTGTTGCAGCTAGAGGGAAAACTAATTATCAGATTTTAGAAGTTAAAAGTTTGAGTTTCTTGCCCAAGAATACAACACAATGACCTAGCCAAATATCCATTTCCCATTTCTTGACCCATGGTCCACTGCGTAACCAGTAGGCTTCCATCTCCCACAAATTGAGGTTCAAGAACTGCTATAAAATCATGTTAACTGATTTCATTGGGATCTCTGATAGGGATCTTTTCTTTTTCAAACAGCAAAAATTACACGTAGTTCAATTGTGCAACTTTTTTTTTACAGCTGAAAGTATTTCAGGAGGGGCAACAAAGAGGATTGCTTTCCTTTTTGATTCTACGCTGACTGCTTTCCTCATGATGGGCAATTTATCCCCGGTGAGTACTGTAGGACTGTGTAGTGAATCAGTTATGTTGAGCAAATATCATCATCATCATCATCATAGGGGTGTCTTCATGTGTATGATTTTTTTCATGCTTGAAGAGCATGGGCCACTTTTGTAGCAATTGTGGATTCACTTGTCAAAGTCAGTCTTGTTATACATTGTTTTACAAAGCTACATAGCCTCAATGCTTGCAGTTTTTGCTAGTCTTGACCAGTGGCATATGACAAACCACCTTGTCTACATACTATTATCTAAGCTCGCTTATTGACCAATGAGAGCACGCCTAATGTCTCATTTATTGTATTATCAGTGGTTGCATGTTTCATTGTACCTGTGTGGTGTAAAGTTGGCTTTTAATGAGAAGAGCACGAGATCTGCTGTCTTTACATAGAAAGCTGCTTAGCCCTTAAACCCCTAGGAATGACAAGAGTCCAATTTCTCCATACAGTCTTACTTCTGAATCAAACATTAAGGTTATGAGAATACAGGAAATGATCACCCACTCAAAAAGCATGTAATTCGTTGGACAAACTCTCCTTGGGAAATGTATGGAGAACAGTATGGAGAATATGCATACTGATGTCAGACTGTAAGTGTTTTAATTTTTTTTTCATTGATGTAGGGTTTGAAGAGCCATGCGGTCACAATGTTTGAAGTTGGAAAACTCACAGATGAATCGTTGGACAGTTTTCTTGGAGAGCTTGAGAAGGCAAGTCCTAAAAATCTTGATTATCGCAATTATCTTCCTACTTTTTATTGGCATCGATAAGATTTTCCTGTCGAGAAAGAGGGGGGGGGAGCATAGAGTAAAGTTTTAGGAAGATATCAGGTTGTTCTTTACCAACGTATTATCTTTTCTCGTGAAAACGAAAGAGGTCTTTTGCAGCCGAATAATTCTCCCCTCTTATGGCCACTCCCTTCTCTCTCTCCTATAAGTCCAAATGAGATATATGACCGTGTATTTACCGTTCTTTTAGGTGGATAGTGTTGCAGAAGGCGAAGCTCAAAGATATTTTGACCATGCTATCACACTTAGGGACGCTATTTTGTTCTTGAGGTACAACAGGAACCTTGGATTGGAACCTGATCAAGTCCCTGCTAAGGGTTTAGGTGAGTAATGTGGCGTAACGAACCTATCGACTGAAAGTCAAATTATATAAAATGCCAGCTTGACTGTTGTGCATTCTGTTCTACTTACAGACTTGTTGCGATGTGAAAGTCTCAACAGTTTGGATTCTGCTGCTTGTGGTCGAGTTCTGCAAAAGAACTACAGGTATTTGAGTAACCCTATCACTTCCGAGATATGCAAGTTAATTCTCCCAACTTGTACATGAGGAATTAGGTATTATATCAAAAACCTAACGCCTGATTGATATTGTTTCATTCTCAATACCTTTCTGCTTTAAAGTGTGTTAAAATGTAAGGAGAATCTACACACTGGTCATATCCGGGAATTAAGGGGTAAACACAATTTTCCACCAGCTGTATCTTTCGCTACGCATAATAATTTGTGCTTTGCTCCTCGCTTTGGGGAATTATTGGAGAGTTATGTTGTGGTATGTAGCATGTTTTAAGCGGCTAGCGCGACTAGCGTGACTAGGCGATTTAGGTTAGTAACTTGAATAGCGTGACTGTCTAATTAACGTTACTAAGCTCTAGTTTTGTTTATAATTTTCAGTTTACTGGTGTCGATGGCGCCCCTTAGTCATGAGATCCGACCTGTGACGAGTTGTTGCCCGCCGCATTTTGGTCCAGCGGTACCCGAGGTCAACTCAGTATGGTTCAAACTCTTCATATATGAACAAGTGAAAAGTGGCCCACCCTCCCTTCTTTTAGTTAAGGGTACACGCCTCCGGTGGTTACCCAAAATTTTCGAGGTAATATTTGTTTTTAATTGTTTAAGTAAGGCTTGATACAGGTGAGAGCGCTCGCCTCTCTTCCCCACCCTCCTCACTGCGATCTGGGTTCAACTCCCGGACGGGACTTCCCCAGCGGCTTCAGTTTATTTTTTATTCTCTTCCTTGCTCCGAGAGTTTTTTATTCGGTTTCTCTGTCTTTCCTCCCTCCACACAAGCCAACTCCCCAACTTTCAATTCGATCTGGATACAGCGGACTAAAAGCCACTTTATCCACTACTAAAATGTTATCATCGTCGTTGTAGTCATTGTCATCATCATCATCATCATCAGCATAAATCATCTTCATTATTATTATCAATTTTTAAATTTTTTCCCAGGATTTTGAAAGGTTGATGATAACCACGTGGGGTCACGATCCAGGAATTGTGTCCGTGTCCAATGTTTTATTAGCGCTAAACGATGCTCTGTCTCACTCGGCTGTTTTGGTACAGGTAAGCTTACATCATTACAGACTGTTGTCTGAGGAGAATCAGCGGGGATTTATCCATTAAACGAAAAGAACAGGTTAAAATAAACCAAGAGAATATTATAATCTCTCGAGTAAACCTCATCTGAGTGTAGCAAATAATCCGGAGTAACTTTGGTTTTGCTTGACCTGGTTCTGATTGGCCCCAGAAACAGGCCTGTTACTGTTGCCTAGTCACTCGTATTTTCTCGTGGTCGAAGGCTGCTGGTGACTAGCGCGGGCAAATCAACAGTTTGCAACGTGCTTGAAAACGCGAAAAGGATGCGTGTGTGTATCTCCTGGGTCGCGCACTTGATTTGTTCAGAAAATCGTCATTTTTATATGCCTCTGATATTTGGAGTGGTTTAAACGAATTGTGCGAATCTATACAACGACAACTTGTTTCCTTGAAGCCTCGTAGTCCTTGATATGTTTAGATAGAAAGGATGCGCATAGAGAAAGACTGACACAATCCAAAGAATTGAACATGTATTTTTATAACAGGCTCATGGACTTCATACAGAGGGTGATGTCGTCTATGTGCCTTTTCCACTCGATTGTAAATACGGTAAGTGACTAAACCCCGGCTTTGACCCCTGAGAGTGACCAGCATCTAATGTCTCCTCGAAGTATCACCCTTGAATCAGACATGAAGGTCCTAAGAATACAGGAAATGATCACCAAGAAAAAAGCTCTTGATTATTGAACAAATTCTCTTTGTCAGTACCTAAGGAAATGTGTAGAGTACAGTATGGAGAACATGCATACTGATGTTAGAATGTAAAGGGTTAAAAGAAAAATGTCAGATAGGAGAGAGAATCTGTAATCTTAACCATATGATGTCTTTGATGTTTGATTATCAACCGGAATTGTTCAGCGCGTAATCGTCCATAACTCCTTGCAGGTGAACCGTTCTCTGAAGACAACATGGAGGCGCACCCTGTTGTTCAACAGCTTTCGAAATGTCTCGATTTGGAACACACATGTGGCTTTATATCCATGCTAAAACCATCCGTCACCAAACAAGCCGCGAGCGCACGCCGGAGAACCATCTCGGCAAACTTCGGGATGTCGTCGGCGGTCGAGAGCGATCCTAGTTCGCTGTCGCCGCTGATCGTCATCAACGACGCAGACAGCAGCGTTGACTCGGCGAGCGACGAGCAGAACGAGGAGGACGGAGTTGATGGAGTGACTTGTGGGTCAGATAATGATATGGTGATGGTTGGTAAAGAAAAGAAGAAAGAGAGTGAAGGCGATAGAGGTGCTGAGAAATGGCTGCCGCTAGATTTGTGTTATGGTCTTCCTTTGTTTGATGGTGACTTGAGCAATCAAGTCTATCAGAAGGTATGATCTACCAATCTTTGAAGTAAGCTCTCTTAGCCAGGAGGGGAAGCCAGGGTGTTTTTATCGGGAGTAATTTTGAAGAGTGCAAAGACTTAAGGAAAGTTTGATATGCTTGTTACGTTTGCGAACTTGTTGTGGTACGAAACCTCTGCAAACCAAATTAATTACAAACCTAAATAGAATGCACACAACAGTCCTGCAATTGGAGTTGTCTCAAATATTTTTGATGGAATAATACCAAGTTTTCTATGGTCAGTTCACTAATTTTTTGGTATGTTTGGAGAATAAGTCGCTTTGGTGGTAACAGCAATGTTACAAGAAAGTATCATGCGAAGATCTGCTTTAAAACAAATTGCTTAGTTCAATGAAAAATCGAATTCGTTCTCAATTTATTTTTGCAGATATCCTCGAAGGGATTGTGCCACGAGGAAAGGTAGGTTGCCATGAAATTTGTCGACACTCTTCATGTTTTTCTTTTTTCGAAAAAGGAATTCCTCTTGGCTGATCTTTCCATTTATCCTTGCAGTTTAAAGTCACTCGTACACTCGAGCCGAAAACTTACTCTGCGACTCCTGGATTTTATATCTAAACACCAGGTAAGATTGCTAATAACGATCTCGTTCACACTACGGAACAGCTGAGAACTAGCAACATGCATGTGATAAAAGTATAAATTTTAAAGCCCGCGTCCGCTTAACACAGATTGTTAGCTTATTATGGGATTCACTCAGCACAGGTTTAACCTTTTTGGAACAATTTCAATTAAGTGTCGAAAGAAATTCGGGTTTGTGTCGGTTTTGTTTTACTACGGTCTGTGATTGGCCTCGAGAACCCGCGCCACACTCTCGACCAAACAGATACGAAAGTGAACTCAGTTGCGAATGTATCGCCCGCGTTTACCCGCGCCTTGGGCCATTTGCTTCTTTTTAATGTGAGTTTTCTTTGGCATCAAAATTTCGTTTTGTTCCGTGTGGTTCCTATGAAGTTCGTGCTACGGTCTGTGATTGTCACGAAAACCTGCGCCACAATCTCGGCCAATCAGATGCAAAATAAAACTATCGCAAATTTGTCGCACGCGTTTTCCCGCGCTTTACTGAGTCCATTTGACTTGTTGTATATTCAGCTTTAGTTGGCTACTGTGACATTTCGTTTTCTGATTGGTTGTTGTCATTTTGTTGGTTTGGTCTTTTGACTCTCAGTTTAAAAGCTTTCTATTTGTTAACTAAACATTCGCTTGTTCCTTCAAAGGACGCCACTGTCTTTCAAGAAACAACCAGCGACCCTATCTCCTTTCCCTCACAAGGACTCAGTTCGCCCGCTTCAGTTATTCCCTACCCAACTCATAATCTCTGCTTTTACAACGGCAAACTCGATGTCTGGGATGGCAGGTGACAAACGCAGATGCCATAACTTAGACATAGTTATAATAATCTTCATTCCATTAAGTTTTGTACGATATGTGAAAAGAATATGAGATGAAAAATTTATGCCTAAGTTATAACATTAGGTTACATCAGTGATTAATACAAGGCATTTTAGCTGTTAAATTGATATTTGGCTGCCAATTAGCAATATCGCAATCTGACTAGTTTTGTGACGCAATGATTCTCTGAAGCTCTTGAAACTCGACTGCAAGTTTTTAATAAAATCCTGAGAAAATATAAACTATTGGAGGCTTAATTTTATTCTTTATAACATCAAATTTTATCATAGATTGTTATACCTTTTCCTACTTTAAAAATGTGGAAAAATTCAATAACTTGTTTTGAGATCAGCGCCATCTTCGCTAAAATTTCGTTGTAGAAGAACGATTTATTGAGAGTGACCTTGTGATTGGTCTGTAAAGCTCACGCCACCGTCTTAACCAATCAGAGACAAAGAAGAAAGCAATCGCGATTTGGTCATTCGCGTTTACCCGCGGTTTAGACTGTCAACGTGCATTCAATTTGAGATCCTAAGGTACCTTGCGTTGTTACAGTTGACTGTAACAGTCAACTGTTGTGACAGTTGATTTGGATGAATTTGGGTTTCGTTTTTACGTTACTTAATGTAAAAGCGGTCCATTTGCAGATAGTCGGCTTTCGTAGCGTGTGCTAGGAAGCGCTAATTGATCAGCAACTAGGTAAGCTTCCAGTCTTCTTTAGTCCTCAACTGAGGTTTCTGATAGAGGTGACAATTATAGTGTTAGAGAGAATCTTCTAGCTTCTTGAAATATTGATAGAGACAAGACAATGAGATTCAAGTGTAACAAATGGTTTTTGCGACTAGTCGTATCAGGGCTAGCATAACACGGACTTAATGGTGACTCGTAATAAATGAGAATCTAATCCCTGTCTTAAATATCTCTGCCAAAAACAGCATAGTAAACTATTGAAAAACCCTGTTCTTTTTGTGCCTTATTATATAAACGCGATTTGTAAAGACAGCGTTCAATTTGCTCTTGTTATTCTTTACTTAGGGGTTGGTGTTAAACAGGGAGATAATTGTTTATTTGTCTTACATACATAAACCACAAACCGGGGAATCTTTTTTTGAGACAAATTGAAAATTCAAGATTATATTAACCTTTGCTTATTGCAAATGAAATATTCATGTAAATATCTTAGTAATTTATTTTTACTCTTAAAAATACTGATACGATTTTGAAGGTTGTATTCGATTGACCAAATAAATTTAACTGTTGGATTTAATGTGTTTTAGCAGTGATTATTTAACAATTATTCCGTGAGCGCGCATCGGATATGAGATGGTAAATAGCCAACAGGAGGCGTAGCGCCAAGTTGGCTATGATCAATCTCGTATCCAACAAGCGCGAATGGAATAATTGTTTTATTAAATTTCATTGAATCCTGAACGTTTGAATAACTAGAGCCTTTTTCATCTTCGCAACAGTTGGCGCAATGCATTTCCATATAAGGTGACTCGGAACAGGAGCCGTAATCGGAGTTGAGTTAACCAATCAGAACACTAGAAATGTACTATTCAGAGTTAAAAATTTATTAATACCCGTTATTGAGTTCGTTTAGCTTTTGTTTCCGTGTAACCATGGTAAACGTAACGTTTATGAGTAGTGTAAGTTGTGTTAATGAATAGTTTCTTTGCTCTGTTTTTTGTAAAACTATTTAATAAGTTCGGCAAGAAGTAAAGTTTCCAGACAAAAATTTTATTAGAGTGCCAGTAAATGGTATTGCGGTTACGTCTAAGAAAATAACTCAACGATAGCAATTTATTTTGAACGTTTTTTGGCTGAGATTTCAAAACAATTAATTGTAAAAAATACTTCCGAGGCTCCAGGCTTTCTTGGTGTCACCTCGAAAAGATGGTTTAAATCTCGTAAATTATATTTTAAAAAATAGCAGTAATAAAAATATAAGGCGTAGAGACATCGTACGCTACATTTATTAACGTATTGGTCAAGTTTCTCTGAAGATGGATTGTTGATAATGGCGGTATTCTCTTCTTAAAGTTGCTTCGTCGAGTACCCCGTTTAGATGCTGTTCTATCCAATAACTGGGGTCGTTCATCTGCCACAGGGGAACAAAAATGCACAAAGAACGGCTTTGTAACGTCTTTCAAAGATTATTATTAGCAATCTGGGATTGCATTTACTTCCTCTTATTATTGGTTTAATTAACTATGAACCGAAAACTGGTTATGAATTAACCAATGGATTTTTTTTCCAGCATAGGGATAAGTCGTTATCGCCTGGGGAGACGGAAAAAATAGGTTGTGCCAAAATAACACGTACCTGATTCCCCCCCCCCGTAGGCTCTGTAATATTCTAATAATCCCCTTCATTGGCAGTCAATCTTCTACAGTCCCCCATTTATATTCTGTTAGCGGCGACTGATCCTCCCTCGGTTCCCCCTGAAAATCATATGATCCCCCAAATCCTCCTAAACCCCCCCGGCTCTGTAATACTCTAAAAATCCCCTTCATTGGCAGTTAATTTTCTACAGTCCCCCTTTATATTCTGTTAGCGGCGATTGATCCTCCCTCGGTTCCCCCTGAAAACCATGTGATCCCCAAATCCTCCTAACCCCCCCTTCCCCAACTCAGGAGATAAATGACTGGCCCCCCAGCAAAGTCCTTGGTTGTACATTGGTTCTACCACTTACCTTAAATTTGTGTTGTTCTGTCCCCTTATCGGCACTACTGTCAGAGCTGTTGATATACTCTGTAAACACACTGTTGCTCCACTCGTTAAAGAACCTCACAGCGTTGGTTGCTTTAGACTCATTTGGACCTCTAAAACTGACAGTTCTCTTGTCTGCTTGAGAATCCCTGGTTGCCTGCTGTAAGATAGGAACTGGTTTTGTGATCACCTGGGGTACGTCGGAGCTTTGTCGGTCTGATGATCGAGTGAGCACAGAATGGGCGCGGCCTTGCCTGGTTACGTTGTTAGTTCGAGTACCAGACTGACCTCTAACACTGTGAGGTTGCGCAGTACTGCGCGTGTAAACGTTTTGTAAATATTCCGTTATAATCTGTCTCCGTTCTTGATCCTTGATTTCTTGCAGAAACCTGTTTCGCTCTCTCTCCTGGTATTCGAGCAGTTCCTTCTCTTTTTGTCTTTTAATGGATTCCTCTTGTTGCGGTCGTAATTTACTCTCTACTTCTCGACTGTCCTGATTGGTAGCACTGTGGTCATCTGTACCGACTCTCACCTCATCCATATTGATGTTGTCAGGTCTGTTGTCATGAAAATATGGTTCCCTTGAGAGGTCTGGTCCAGCTTGCCGTTCGTAGCTCGACACATTTTTCTTTTCACGAAGATTTTCCTCACGATTAATAACGCATGCAGTTATTTCCCTTTGTTCCCGGAGTGAGGGAATTTCTTTGAAGTAGTTTCGCATGCCGAGCTGGAAGTACGTTTTCGTTTGAGTCTCGTTTTTTTGGTCATGAGTAACGATGCTTTCATCTCTGTGGTGTGGCACTTGATTCTCAGGCTGTTTACTTGAGTCTGGGTTGCTATTGCTGTCCTCTGTGCCAAGTCTCCTGCCATATTTGGTGTGAAACTTGGACTCAAGTTGAAGAATTTCCCGCGCCTGCATTATGGACAGGCGGGGATGTTGCGGTGTTTTCTTGTTCTTCATGTAGGACTGGCACAAAGCAGAAATACTGGAAATGAATAGAAAGAACGGTGTTTAAACCGTTTAACCTTTAGGTGTGACTAGCAAATTTTTCCTCACAATATCACCCCTGAATCTAACGTCAAAGGTCAGAATAAAATAACTGAAGTGAAATGAAGTGATCACCAACTAAAGAAACTCTTGATTGTTAAATAAATTCTCCTTGTTAGCACCTCAAGACGGGTGCAGAAAACAATATCGAGAATATACATACTGATGCTAGGGTGTAAAGGCTTAAATCATGGCAACGCTTATGAACATACTACAAGAAAACCTGTGAAGGAAATTTATCCATCGAAGCAATACCTGTCATTTTCTAATCTGGCTCGGTAATGCTCTAAAAAAAATCAGTTTTAACTTAACCCTTTAAATCCCATGAGTGACCAAGACAGAATTTCTCCTTACAATGTCAATACAATATCAACCAGATAAGTGATGATAGTAAAGAAAAATATCAATTTGGGAATAATTAGTTGATGCAACACTAAATTCTCTGAACTAACATAAGAATTGTACGGTTGGCGGTAAGGAGAATTACAAATTTGATCCGGGAATTAAAGGGGGGTGTCTATAGTTGTTTTCAAAAAAAGGTTATGATTAGAAATCGCTGCAAATCTTAAAATCTTAAAAAGTCGTCGCAAATCAGTCTAAAATTTCTTTTAGCTTGTCGTGCTAAACAGTGTGTGCAAGATTATATTATCTGATACGCTGTGGTACCTAAAGCAGAAGCTTGTTTTCTTTTGCGCAAATTATTGGTCCAGTTTTGAAAGCGTTTACCTGTCACATCTTCCTTCCCTTTCTTCTTCTTTGGGTGGAATCCGCGATGCGCCTTGTTGTGGAGCACCACGTGATTTTGGAGGCTGAGGAACGTGCTTGTAATAATCAGCAATATCTACAAACTGACTTGTTCTTAGAGATGACACTGTTCTGTTAGAACATTGTGCTAGTGATGAAGGGGAAATCTTACTCCCACTTTTTGGGGACCGGATTGAATTCCTTGCGGATGAAAACTTTTGGTTCAATTGCAGCATTTGCGAAGCGTTTTCACCCTTGGCTGCAGTCGACTTTGTGGTCTGTGTATTTCCAAAGGTAACCTTGAGACCGTATTCCGATCGTATTGTCGTTTTCATGTCAGCTTTGTGCTCGAGATTCACGTCGGCATTTTCGTTTTGAATGTCTCCGGCATCCATCTTTGATTGTACGCAGTTTCTCTCTGAGGTACTTACACTAGGTTTTACTCTCTCTTCCGAAAGACTTCCACTATTTGCAAACTTTTCCGAAGTCGGAATTTGAATGTTTGTTTCTTGTTGCGGGGATTGGGGAACCAATAGCTTGGTCTCCAGTTTTATCCGGGGGGACACAACCATCTGTGTTCCTTTCACCTCACTGTCAATTGTAATCCGCGGAACACATGATTTACATCTCGTTTTGCGGGTTCTTTGCAAAGCACGTGTACTCTTATTTCTTTGCTTACAGAAAGACGGTGTCTCTCTCGGTGCATGTTGCCCTTCGAGGGCTGTGTTGGGTCGTGTTTTCTTGTGGGACTGTCTTCTGGTTAGCGTCGACTGAGTGCAGCGAACTTTATGCCCCCTGATCCAGAGGTCCTAGTAAAATAACAAAATTAATGTCAAGTCAGTGTTTCCAATACTTCTCTTTCTCTAATAAGCGATAGGATGGTTAGTTAACTTAAATTTCTGAAACGTCCAGTTATTACCTCGAAATGTTCTTCGACAGACTTGTTTTCTCTAAAACAGAAACAGAACATAAAATTATTACCTTAGTGCATGTGAACTAGCACTACAATATGAGAAGCGAGACGCGCACGTTCAATTAATCAAATTCTATTGACTCGTGAGACAGCTAACCCTAGCAAAGAAGCGAAGCGTTGTACTGAAAAAACTTCAATATTGATCAGCCTTACTGCCCGCTGTCTTTGCCATAATAGACAGGGAGCTAAGTGAGTCGCATATGGCGTGACCTAAATTTAACGTTCATTCCACGAGCGCGTGTTGGATGCGAGATGGTAAATAGCCATTGTTAATTATTCGATAACATGAGCCTGTCTTTTTGGTAAGTTTTGCTAGGCTAGCAGACATATGTTAAAGCAATGGAAATTTCGATCTAATGATTTATTAAGACCAGAAGAACCGATTACTCCTTCTGTGCTTTAGGAATCGTATGCACATCTGGGGGACAATACGAGATGACCAAACCACACCTTTACCTCTTATTTTAAGCACTTGAAATCATATAATCTCTTAACAGGAAAACTGTGGCTTTGTAACTCAATTAAGTTTAAACTTACTCAGGTTTGTGGACTACATGCTTTTGTGTTCGCGCTTGGTCCCAGTCGGGCTCGGTTTGTGAATTCTCACTGTCAGAACCGGTCGAGCTTTTACTTTCATTACACTGGGAACCATCCTCCTTGCCATCACACGTGGTAGAATTGATGAGTACCCGTATGACCGAATTCCCTTGATCACTCGTTCTCATAACACCTCCAGCGCAGTTGTTTGACGAAAGTACTTTTTTCCTCTCTTCATCCAAAAGAAGATTGTAGACGCCTGACACAGCGTCATATCTCTTCTGACGAACGTGTCGGGCAATCTTAGGTTTATCAATGTTGATGAGTTGTGAAGCCCTACTCAAGGCCTAACGAAAACAAATTGATAAAGACAGAAGTTAGAGATACTTTAATCTGTTCTGTCTTTTCTTTACATAAGCGCATTGGCAATATCTGCCCTTACAGAATTGCTGTGGCGGATCCCCGTTACCATGGTGTGAAGCGGATAAGAGCATTGCCAATCTTCGTGGATGCAGTACCAGTCTATCGCAGGTACTTTCCAATATTTCGCCAGGTTTTTCTGACAGTTCGCCAGCCAGTCCCAATGGCAGGTCCAGTGGGAAGGTCCACGGGATACGAACCCGACCATAAGACGTGTGGTTTTCTTTTACCTCTTGACTGACTCCAAAATTCATGCAAGAACCGCATGCTATTACTCAATATGAAGAATTTAAAAGTTACTTGAACTAAAATATTTCTGATCTATTGCAAATAAACTTTCTGTGTTTTCTGACTCAAATTTGGACCCCCCACACCCCCTCCTCCCCTCCTCCCCTCCATCCTCCGTCAGTCCTTGAAAGAGACACTGTGGGAGTAGGGTCTTGCCCAAAGTTACAACAAAGTGGACTTCGGCCACATGTTTACAAAGTGGGAGGGGTGTGTTAGATGTTCCTACACCCGCTCATCTTAAGATCTGAAAGCATCGTTAGGCTGTTATTTTGATTATTACAAAGGGTTCCAAAGTTTCTTGCGTGAGACATGCTTTCATTACGATATTTCTCTGATAAAGGCCATTAATTTTTCGCGGGCAGTGACCAGCTTTAGCGGGTGTGCCATTTTTTATTTACTCTAACTCTGAACTCCACAGTGCAATTGACTCAATTTAAAATGTTAAATTCATTCGGCACCTTATCTCGCAGTTGCTCGTCCATAAGTTGCTCAGTGTTTGGCGCCAATGGCACAGTCCCATGAGCAGTTATCCAGGGGTGTTCCATAACGTCCAGAAGGGGCGCACGCATCTGCGGATTGGGCTCTAAAAGTTTTCTCAGCAGATCACGGCAATCTATTATTAGGGAAGACAAAATGCGATTAGCTTTCACAAAAATTTGATTGACAGCTTTATATCAATTATAGAACGTTTTTGTTCATACTTACGTGGTGTTAGAGGCACTAGATATTTGTTGTGCGTGCAGCTGAGCCCGCGAGACGTTTGATCCAGTAGCTCACTTCGGCCTCTGCTGCCAAAGTGGGGACTTCTGTCACATGAAAACAAGTAGCATGAACGTAAATGCTACGAAGCTTAAAAATCAAGCAAGAAGTGACTTAAACAATACTATTCTATGTAATCCAAGATTAGTTATACTCTTCCGGCTCTAGGGTAGTACCTAGTTGGTTTCGAGCGAAGCGAGTTGCGATGGACTAACCCTATCCGTGATTAAGAGGAAAACAGAATTTTCTGAGACAATTTTTCCCACTCCGCTAATTAATGAGACCCCTGAATTCCAGGTTTCCTCGTCGGTGCCGGTAAAGTGTTACTACAACAAATGAGTCGTCCAAAACTCTGTGTTACAGGTGGAGGGAAACATGCGGTACAATAAGAGTAGAAAAACAGTAAAAAGAAAAACAAAACAGCTTAAAATCGAGATGAAAATAAAAAATAAAATTTAAAAAATATGCATTGAATAACAAAAGGGGCTAGAACGCGCGAATTTCGGCAGGCGGGATGGGCCTTGCGACGTCATGACATTGTTTCCAATCCTCCAAGGACACAGGGGATGTTCCTCTTTGTGATGTACTGGTTGAGAAGGGTACAAACGGTAATATATACGTCAACATCTTGTGGAACATCCATGTTAACTTAAGAAATAGCCGCATGAAATTCGAAAATACCAGTGCTAAACCTTCTTTTATTCACGGTGATAGTTGTCCAGTGGATGCCAATCAGCGATTTCTGTTCCTACGCTATATAAGGCACAAACATTTAGAGGAAAAATTTTGTGGTATGTAGATTTATTTGTTATAAACCTGACTACATTTTTATACACTTATCGGCGGCCATCCCGGGGGGTTGACCCCGGGGACATACGGGGGAATAGCGCGGGATTTGCTAACTTTTGGCGCCCATTTCTGGCCCAGGACGGGGGCATTGGACCGCTTTTGCACTTCCGAGGCAAGACACGGGGAAAAACCCGCTGGATTTGTAACATCGCCGCCATCTTGAAAATGAAAGATCCGGACTGCGGGGACTGGGTATTACCGTTGAACGGCTTCCAAAATGGCAGCGGAGAAAAAGGTAAGCGTGTCCTACGTTTCTCTCGTATCTGTCCCCTTTTGTTGGTCATCCTAACATAGCGAAAATATTTTTCGCAAGAAATCGTTAAAATTGTCCTTCTATGACTTACAAGGTATAAAGCTGAACCTCGCTGTGAGCAGAAAACAGATGGACTAGCTATTTTTGCTTACTGTATATATTATTGTTAAACTTTTATTAACAATTTTGAAGGAAATTACGTTACAATGTGGGAGTCCTTTCAAATTATGCTCCCCGAGGGAGGGACAGTGGTAGCTTTTTGTGGAATAATATTGGCCCTGGGTAGGTGGAATTTGCAAATGTCTTGGTGCAAATGCCCCGGGGTTCCCCGGGGTCAACCCCCGGGATGGCAGCTGATAAGTGCATTATGAAACCAGTGTGAGGCTGCTTTGAATAAACAGTCGGCAGGGTAGAGCTTTCTTGTATTTTGCCTTTCACCAATCAAGAAATGACGGCGACACCTCTTTTTTTTCCTTGGTTCACATCAAAATGAGGCTTAGGATGCGTTCCTTTGAGAAGATCCGGATTAGGATTTGTGATCGAAGATCACACAGATCACGGTGCATGAAAGGAACGGAGTTTAAGACGAGCTCTCAGAGAATTCCAAAAAGTACGCTATTTTAAGACTTGTGTATGCACGTGGGTTATTGAGCTCTTCCCTGAATGGCTCGTCTAACTGCACGGGCTTTTAGCGCGCAAAATTTTTCTAATTAGCACTATTCATTAGAAGCACACTTTTTCATGGTAAACTCAAAAGATGGATTTAAAACAGAAGCAAGTATTGATTACGATATGGAAACTTGGGAACCCTGAATTCCTGTGATCAGTGGCCGATCGATTTAACATTACAAAATCTATTTTATTTCGTGTTTATCGCAGAATTTGTGAAGCGATTAACAACAATCTTTCCGGTCAATATATGAAGTACCTACTTGTCTGAAATTGAGCCCCGCTGGGCAAAATGATTAATTTCGTATCCTTTGCCCAAAGGAACGCATTGGATCATTGATCCAATGATCCGTCTTTAGATCACACAGATCAGTGATTTGATGAATCCTTGTCTAGAGTGGATTTGATAGATCACTGATCTGAAAATGGATTTGCTTGAAAGTAACGCCACAGATCAGAAATCCTGATCTGGATTCTCCCCAAAGAATGCACCCTTAATCGTGGCATATCACCTGGTTGTCTTGCAGGCGATCTAATCAGTCCCTAGGATTTTGATAAAGTACAAATTCTCCTAAATGAAAAAAGGAGTTGTGTGGTAGTTTTGTGCAACCTGCCAAAAGGCCGTAATTTGTGGTCTAAATGGTTTATTTATTTTCATTTTGACCTTTTTCACTTGCAAAAACAAGACGTAAATTCGAGCAATTTAAATGATAATAAATAAACACTTAGCGACGTGCTGTCTGGCCGGTCAAAACTTTATTTCCTCACAAAATATTCATTACAAGTGTTGGCGATCTGACATTCAATTTTTAATTTCGTAAATAATTTTAAAAAACCCTTTCCCTGAAAATATTTTGTCCAGCACAAGTTTATGCTTTATTAAAAACACTTTTATGAGTTGCTACCGCAGACTATAATTTATTCCTCGCTGGTCATCTGTTACTCAGGCAACCCTTGCTTTACATCAAACGTCTTTAGAGTTGACCGAACATGCAAAAACTTAATAAAATCCATTGGGTTTTTCTTCACCTTCACAAATGAAAAAAGATCTGTAATCTTGAAAGAATACAAAGTGGCTGCCAATATTTGCAACGTGACTGATCAAAAAAAAGCATTTGTTTTGTTTTTCTTACGCATTCATCTTGCATCTGATTAATGGCAATTAATACTATTGAAATTATTATGTAGTTATAATTTCAATAGAAATCTTCTTTCATAAATGATTTGAACAGGCCACTAGTTAACATTAAACTTAAATGTCATTTTTTGACCAGCCTTTGCCATTGTACAGGGCATTACTTTGCGGGACTTGAGGGTACATGTATAAAATGCTAACAGCATATCTTGATGCACACAGTGCATTACAGGGTGATATATTTGGAATACCTCTGCTTTATAGGTTACCTTTTCAATATAGCTCAAACAATTCCTCTAAGCAACTTTCATGGATAGATAATACCTTTTGGGGAAGGCAAATTGTGTTGATGAAATGTTCAGATATCATGTCTGATCATAATGTGAAATTGGCTGGACATATTCAAAATTTGGTTGGACAATGTCAGATGACCGGCTGTTATTTCCAGCTCTGGGTTATGTTAACTTTGACCTCAAGTGTTTACTTAATGAACACACAAGTCACAAACTCACGAATCTTAGAAGAGGTAAATTCATTTTTACCTGAATGGCAGCCTTCCAACGATGATGCCATACATAACAACGCCTCTGGAAAAATTTAGATAATTTTAGATAAATGATAACAGACCAAATGGGACATCATTTGTCACAAAAAGTCAGAAGCTCTGGTGGTGTTCAAAGATTGGAAATGATGTACAAGTGGTGTCAAAATGGCTCTGCTTGATCCCAGTTTCCATTTTTGTTTAAATATTTTGATGGTGTCATGAATTTACACCTCTGAAAGCATTCATATGTATAACGTATTGAAGCTCTAATAACGGAGGTGTAAAGATAAATCCTTTCTTCCATCCCACTATGAAACTCAAACCTTTACAATGATGACTTTCCCCTTCCCTGAGGACTAGCTCAAGTCATCATTAATCTACAATTCCTGTTGTCAATTTTCTTGTACATCTTCTTGCAAAAAAAATTCCAATCGCAAATTAAATTTAAAAACTGTCTCTCAAATATGATCATGACAATTCAGTTTCAGAGGAGGATAACTGTGTCTCACTTAGAGTGATATCTAATAAGTTATGGTCTACCACACAAACATTCTATTATTTTGGTTTTCAAATTACTTTTAGATGTGAAAAAAAAAGAAATGGGAGCAACAGAGAAATGATAACCTTTCAGATAGGAAATCATTTAGGTGACCTTTAAGGAATGTAACGTACTCAGAGGATCAGGACCAAACTTGTTTTAATCAAGGTCAAATTCACGGCAAATATCACAGCAATATAGAATCACCCTTTAGAGCACCTCACCATCATGCACAATTTGCAATATTCATGATTTTTTTTATTTTATGGAGAGGGGGTGCAGTGTAGAAATGATATGACCCTTTCCCTTGATTAAGGGTCTTGTTGAATTAAAGGTGAGGGGAAATATCACTTTGAGATAAATTATTTTTTCCCAATTTAATTGAGGACAAGTACTCTTTCTGGTATCTCCTTGTGCTGTGGTGGTGATTTAATTTCTTTTCTTTCCCCATGCCCTTCTTCTTGAATACGGAGCTTTTTTCATACTTAAAAATAATTACTCTTATAAATTTTTGTACTCACAGACTCCATAAATCAACCTCTGTCCCATATTGACAGCCACGTCTGAACAATTCTGGTGCAGCATACTCAGGGGAGCCACATTGTGTTTTGAGGAGTTTGTCACCTTCACAGATGTTACTGAGGCCAAAGTCTGCAAGGAAAACAAAAGCACATTTACAGACAGAAATAGTAAAGGTCATAGAAAAGGGTTTATCTCTTTAGCTTAATTTTAATTTTGTTAAAATCAAACACATCATCAGTATTTGTTGTCTGATCCATATTTGTGTTGGTCTCGCTCATCCAATTCAGCACAAAGCCAAGAGTTTTGAGGCATAGTGTCCTGCTTTGTAGGAAACTCTTGGCAAGATGTCCCAAAAAGTGTGAAAAATTACTTTGGATGGTTATCAAATTTTTGCATAATTTAACCCTTTTAAAAATGTATATTTTTGTCAGCAGGAAATGTAGAGAGGGGAAAAATGACTTTTTCATAGTTTTTGAATTTATTCCATTGTAAATGCTGAGATTTTAATAGTGGTTTACAATGTGCGGGAGATTGGAACTATTTATGTCTCTTAACATCATCAATAGCAGTAACTTAGCACCAAGAGGGTTTTCCCTTTTTTTCAGTCAAACATATAAATCTTAAATGGGTACTGAATGTATACAACAATCCATTCCTAATACATGCAACTATTGACAATGAAAAGACCAAGTTTCTAATCAAGCTGTTTGTGATAAATATCAGGAGGAGTTGTTTAACCCTTGGTCTCTTCATGAGTGACTACCATCTACAATCAAACCTTTATTAAGTGGTCATTTACAGGGAATGGTGGAATGACCACTAGATACAGTGCAGGTTCCAAAAAATAGGGGTAATATAAAAAACCAATTTTAAAAAAAACTATTATTTTATGTGGTTATTGACCACTAATTGTACTAAAACTCACTCAAGAATAGCACTAACATTTTGGGGAGGGAAGCATGGATTAAATTTACTTTCAATATTGTTCTCAGCTTTATTTAAGTGGTTCTGCTTTATTTAAGTGGTTCTACTTTAAGTAGCTGTTTAACCCTTAAACTCACAGGAGTGATTTATAACTTATTTCTCCCTAAAATATCCATACATTATCTGATGGACAGTTAATGAGAATACTTAAACTTATCAAGTTGAAGTTGTTACCATGATCTAACATCAAATTCTTGTAGCTTACTTACAAGGAAATATGTAGTAGGTAGAGGGGAGAATTAACAATCAGATCTTGGGAGTTAAAGGGTTGATTAGGTGGAGAAGAAAACAAACAGGTCATCGGGACTCACTCAAAGGTGACTCAACCACTTAATAGAGGTGAAAATTGCTTGCTGGGCAAAGGATGCAAAATTAATCATTTTTAAGGGTGAAAAAAAACATTGGGACTTTTGCTAACCGACTGCTTATTACAGGGTGACTACTTAATATTGTGCCTCCTAAAATAGGTTTAACTTTTACTCCACCTAACTTCTTCAGTCTACAATATCACCCCAGAATCACGCATTAACCCTTTTACACCATAACATCAGTATTCATATTCTCCAAACTGTTCTCTGTACATTCACTAAGGTGCTGACAAGGAGAATTTGTCTAACAATCAAGAGTCTCTTTAGCTGGTGATCAGTTCCTTTTTTCTCATAACATCAATGAGTGATTCAGGGGTGATATTGTAAGGAGAAATTAGATGCTAGTCACTCTTTGGGGTTAAAGGGTTAAGGTTACAATAAAGGAAATGATCACCAACGAAAGAAGCTTTTGATTGTTGAACAAATTCTCCCTATCAGTACCTCAGGAAACTTTAGAGAATAGTATGGAGAATATGCCTACTGATGTTAGGATGTGAATGGTTAAAGAAAGCATTTCATCTTCATACCAACTATCTTGATGTTCTTTTTACTTTCATCCAGAAGGATATTTTCCATTTTAAGGTCCCTAGGAAAAAACAAATGCAAGAAAAGAAACTTTTTTAGTAGTTTTGTGGGCATTGTCTTAGACTGTATGTACAGTCAGTTATTGTAAATGATGCTCTGGTTGGGTAACAGGCATTTGGTTTAATTGGGTGAGGGTGTTTTTGATCAAAACCTTGACAGCATGAACTAACAGAGGCATGAGGAAAGCATATGTTTTTATTCTCTTGTGTGTCTACTTTTTTCGCCTTCACCCTGAATTCTTAAAACATAGGCTAATAATACTATCAGTTTCCAGTGCTATGATTAACCTAAAGGTTATGGGAATTTTTAGTGGCGAGAAAATAAGATAATATTCAGAAAGGGTAGTTATCATGATATCATCATGAAATAAAATATATTATGCAGTCAAGCTTCCAGACATCAATGAAAATTTATTTCAATGCTTGATATCATCATTAGACATATAAATATTTCATAAAAGGCATTCTCCATCTTTTCCTCACAAAATTGATTAATGGATTTCTGTAGATGTTATTACTTTACTGTCACTTTTGTCTGTCTTGTCATTAATTTCATATCCACACTTTCTGATCTTGGAGGTCCCAAATTAAATTTAGTGTAAACGGTTTTTCATATGGTAATGTTGACTTTGTTTTCATTTATTTCTGAAGATTTGCTAGAGAAGAAGTAAGTCAAAAAAAGAAAGAAGAAAAGGCAAAGCATTCACCTACATAGAACAGATTTTCGATTCAATCGAGAAAGGTAAATTTGTCCTAGTATCGTCAACTGTATTCTTAATTCGCTGTGTGATTATCTTTAAACCTTTTTGCCATTCTCTACAATTTCAAATTCTCACTGGATTTCAATTGTGTATGGCTTTTGTACTTTAGAAAAATGCCCCTGAACGTGTTGAATCTGTTTACAAGTTATTATTAAATTTTTTTCAATGTTACCTTCCTCAGTTGGAGTGAGGTAAAGCTGTAAAATTTTTGTCTATTTGTTTTAGGGTGGAGGATACGGCAGATGTATTGGATATGACACACCTAGGAGTCTCCTCTATGAATGAGATATTGAAAATGATTGACAGATGTGGTCCCTAAAAAACCAACTGATGATAAAACCACGGTTTGCGTGTAAATTATTGAAAATATGTTGGTACAAAACACAGGTTATTTTTGAAACTTTAGGTTTTTTTTCTTTCACCATCACTCAGTGAATACGGTACTTCTTTTTATTGGCCTAGCGAAGAGTTTTCCTTGCTAGTGTCGCTCTTTAGCGCATTTTTCTCGTCGATAACATTGAAAAACTTAAGCTGTTTGCGGTAAAATTAATTACATGAATAAATTCATTTCTTCTTTAGTCTCGGGTGACAATTTATCTCAGACGATATTCCATTATTTTTACTCATTTGAATATGTTGATCGACTTAGATTGGTCCTTCTTTATTTTCTTCATGACAGTGTTTATTCAGATGTGGTGTTTTAGACCGAATGAATCGCGGATATTGCTTTTAAAGAAACTCAATGTCTCCAGACACTTGTTGCGCACGGAAATTAAGTGTTTTTTTTTTTCACTTGGAAAATATGCCGTCAATAATTTATGACTCGGCTGGAGGTGAACAGGCAGATGGTCTCTTCAATCTAGAAATTAACAGACTCTTTAGTTTCATGATTCATCTTCATACAAAATAACACGAAGTAGGGAATTGTAAGTTTCTAAAAGTTGAATGTATTCTGCAATCATTAGCATATAAACCCAGCTTGCAGCTGGCTAAATAATGTTCAAAACTAACTGGAAGGTTTAAAAGCTTTCGTCTAGAATCTACGGAAGTCGTAATCTTCTGTTTTGAACACGTCGCTTATTGTGTTTTGTAGAAACTCCCCAATGTTTTTTTATTTTCATTAAAACAGGAGAGGAAAAAGCCTTCTTAGTGTTATTGTTTTACTTAACGCACAAATCGTTTGTTGTCCCTGCAAATGTTAAATGGGGAAATTTCCGGTGCTTCGATCGTTAAATGTTTTGTCCAAAAAGGAAGGGATTAAGATTGGAATCAGTCAGATATTGCCTCTAAAAGACAGAAGAGCTAAGCTTCCTTCGACATTTATCGCCACCGAAACATCCTAGAGACGCTAATTTATTCAGTCGCTCGGAAACAGCCATGAACTATGTGATTAATTACCGCACTGTTTTCAGACAGAAGTAAATAACACAACAAAAGCGTGAAGTGCGACATGACACAGAACAAATGTAGCCATTCCGCGCTCTTTCCTAGTGTTAATAGCAAAGGAAACCATTGAAATCGCGTCGTTTAGGAAAATTTAGTTTTTACCTCAAACTGTCCGTTTTTGAAAAAGTATTTATGCGATTGATTTTAAATTCGAGTAAAATCGTCGCGCGCTAAAAAGCGGGTTATAAGTTTTAGGACCGCTAAATTAATATATTTTTCGAATTTTAAATCCAAATTGAAATGTACGTAGCAGATGGACAAGAGATTTCTTCTCACACTCTTTTACAGACACATATTTCTCGCTTGTCCTTGATCTCCAAGCGACTTCGACTACAAATTATCATTAAAATAAAAATGGAAAAATTTTAATAACGATAGTGATAATGAAAAAACGTGCTGTGGGCCCAAAGCGACACCTTTTTTTTTAACTCCCTTAAGTGTTTCTTTTTTCCCCGCTGAAGAACTGTTCAATCGTTCTTCGTTAGTTTTTTAATATCCTAGCAACGTTGATCGTGCTTATTATGATAAAAGCATTATTACTCATGTGTTGTTTTCAAAATTGATGTTCAGTTGGTACTAGTTCGGTTACCCATCTTACCGATGGACGATTCCATTTTCGTGCATGTGATACAGCGCCGAAATTAGTTGTCTCATAATCGGTCTGGCTTGTGATTCGCTCAATTTCGACTCGGGCTGACTTCGTAAGTAAGTCAACAACTCGCCGCCGGAAACATACTCAGTCACGATGCAGTAAATCGAGTGCTGTTTGAGAGTCTCGTACAATCGAACTATGTTCGGATGGTTGACTTTCTTCAGGAGTAGGGCTTCTCGGAGGATGTTTCTCTTAACGTAATCGTCTTTGATTTTCCGTGTATCTATGACTTTCATGGCAACCTAGGAGATTAGATTTATTACAAGCTGGGTAACTAGTGGGGAAAAAAACAACATAATACTGAATGATAACACAACGCACGTTTAGTAATTTATCTTTTGAATAATATCCCATCTCCACACCCATAGTGCTTGACAATAACTGTAATTAAGCCACCGAACAATCACTTGTAAAGGGCTTTGAAATTGAAAAGGCAAACCGTTGGATAACAGACCTTACTTTTAGTGATGCGGTTCGTTGCTAACTCTACGTAGGCAAAGTTTCCCTTGCCAAGCCGGTTTCCGGTTAGATCATAGGTCCCAATGCGTTTTAAAACTAAATTGTTCGAATCGGAGCTCATAATAGAAGGCTCACTTCAGATAGCGTACAAAGTGGCCCATTTGTAAACAGGAAAACCCCGCGACATTGCAATTTACAATCGGCATGTGCGATCAGCGAAGATCAGCCAATCGACGGGTGGAATTTTGACCGCACGCGCCAGCTATTGTTTTGTATGGTTGACGATTGTGTCGAAACACGCCTCTGATTGGTCGAAGAACAAAGAGGCACTATCTGACGCGTGCCTTGCTGTATGAACGCTCTTACGAAAGCCAACATTTGAAAAGCGGAATATCGCGTCCACAGTAAACACACGCTAATTTCGGCCCCACGAGATCTTTTTTTCTTTGCTGTAAATGACTACAAATTAGCAGTTCAATACGTTAATATCCGACAGAGGAAATACGCACGAGGAATAATTTTTTACGCTTTGAAAATAGGTAAACAGAACCTCGTGTTGGCATTGATTTATTTTTCTGTGGGCGGCTGTATCTAAATACTTTTGCGTATGACGCTTTAATACTGACTTCGATCGTGCCTTATTTTAGCAAGCTGTTAATTTTAGCGGATCTCTCAAGTCAAATTTGCCATCTTTTTTCCAGATTCCACGCTCCACTGCGATCACATAAAGTATTTATAACACAGTTAAGTGGACACGTTTCAGCAGGGAAAAACCAGACTTTTGCTTCAGGCGATCAAATATCTGTAATGAACATCAAGCGCGCGCAACTTTCGCAGTTGGTCCTACCCTGTGGTCTCCCTTAAGGCGGATGATTTTCAACAGCTAATCGTGTACTATTCTAATTTTAATACACAGGAAAAGCTTAGTTTAAAATATGCGGTGCGAAAACAGATGCAGGCGTCATACCCCGCCCAAAATGACAACTGACGCGCTCGGGTTAAATTCGAACAACAGTCGCCGAATTCTTTCTAAGCCAACGGCTGCGTTAGCTTATTGCAATACTGATGTGTTGTTTTTCTTTACGCCCTGTCTTCCAATACAAGTCGCCGAAGCTATCACCCGCAGTAAGATTATAAAAAATTCAGTTTGCGCAGTGATGCGTTCAGCGCAGCTATATAAACACGGTGTTGCAACTTTTGCGGGAATCATGAATTTCTAATGTAGGTGAAGTAAAAGTGAAATGCTCACGTCTTAGTAACGATTACAGTTATTTGGCTTTGGCGATCCCTTTTTGAAACGGCTGTCTCTGATTTGCACCGTGCATGGCTCGTGCGCGCTTTGGAAGAATAAACACACACAGTTTAAATTTTCATAATAATAGTATTATAATTTTCTCCTCTTCAATTTTGATTCACTTTTAAACACGCTTCATGGCGAGGGAAAAGAGAAATTCGTAAAAATACAGCACTTCGGAGAACTTTTAAATTATTTAGGATCCTTTTTTGTACAATTATCTTAATAAAAGCTCTCTAAAACGAGAATACACCAGTCAATACAAAATGAACGAAATAAATCTTCGGTCGAAAAAAAAACTATACACAGATAACGTGTCCATAGCGGTTAGAAAAAACGAAGGGTTCAAACAACAACCCCGCGAATGTTTTTAAGCTTATAAAAATCTCTAGAAGGGGAAATTCCACAAGTCAAAAGTAGTGTCCTTCCACCAGCACAACATTTCACGGCGAAAACTACAATCAGCTACAAATGTCCGAGAGAGTTCTCTAGCCACTGACCTTGAATAAGCTCAGAAACCTCAGGTGGGGTATAAAGATCGGGAAAATCAAATTGGCCACCATTTGCCCCGTTCAGATCAAGCAAAGGGGAAACAGGCAAGCCATTGAAGTTCACATTACCAAATTCTAAGCTTGGCCACGAGTTGGGAATCTGTTGGTTGTGATTTACACTCGTAGGCACTTGCTGATCTTGTTTGAACGCTTGCTCGAAGTCGTCATACAACGAAAGCTGATCAATAGGGTCCTCTGGTGTGGTGCCGATCGCATCGGGAACATTCGGTGGTGGGGTGATCGGCGAAACGAAATCGCGTCGTTGCTTCTTGAACGGAGGCTCGCCGAGGGAACTGCCGTGTTTCTTGGAGGAACTCAAGCCAGGAAATCCGTGCGCGCCGGGAAGGGCTTCGCGCTTGGTGCCCGCCGCTTCTGCGACGTTCTTCCTTGAGTGCCCTTCCGCGGAATTCGAGTTTTTACTATCTGGTGCACCGTTGCTATTCTTCTTACTGGGTTGCTTTTTCTTACGCGGACGGTATTTGTAATCGGGATAAGCTTGCATGTGTCTTATGCGAAGACGCTCCGATTCCTCTACAAACGGTCTCTTTTCACCCTCCGAGAGCAGCTTCCAGCGTTTTCCCAGACGTTTGCTGATCTCGGCGTTATGCATGTCAGGGTGCTCTTCGGCCATTTTTCTACGCTCGATCTGGCTCCAAACCATAAACGCGTTCATGGGGCGCTTGACATGTTGAAGAGATTTCTTTGGTTCTTCCTCGGGTTCGTCCACAGTGGGCACTTGTGCTGGCGGGCTTGGCGAGTTGAGCTCGCTTCCATGGAAGACCATCATCACTTCAATTACTCGTGCGCGAAGTAAAAAAACAAAAAAGTCTCTATTATACGAACAGTGGATGGAATTCAGTGGTTCCAGCCAGTCAGGGAGTGCGGAACTCGATTCGTTGTGTCCACAGGTGTGGAGTAGTCGTAACACGGTCAGTAGGAGTGCAAGCTCTTTTCCGCTCGACACGTTATCAGCGAGTGAAGTAGCATAAACTGATCGTGGCAATTTCTATTTTTAATTTACATCCAACTTGAATTTGCGTTGGTTTCTCTGTGACGCCGTGACACGTCACCTCACGCTAACACAAAGGAACCAATGATGGGAAGCAAAACCCGCTCAATGCTCCGCCCCGTGTTCGCCGCACGGCCTTCTAATTGGTTCGTTTCGTGGCTCCATAGTCGTTTTGCTTGTGTGTTTTTAAATGGGGTTTGCGCGCCAAGTGTCGGCGTAAGACACGATTTTGATTAAAACACAAGAATCGAGTGAAATTACCGTGATATCGGCAGTGATCTCTTGCGAGATGCCCCCTGCTTATCAATGGTTCAAATTTTGTCGTTAACGCGCTTGCATGCGTGCGGTTTTCCTTTTAAACGTGGAAGTAGCGAGATCGGTTTTGTCCAGTTTGTTTCAAATTCATGCCACGTGCTTAGAACAATAGAACGGCGCATCAGTAATGACTTACAACACTAAGAGATTGTCACAACATTGGAAAATTTGCATCTCATTCTGGACTGTTTGAATTAAAAAGAGAACCTCTGGATCTATCTTTTTTTTCTGGCATAGTTTCCAGTTTTGGCGTTACGCCCTCACGGATTTACGTCTTTTTCCTTTTTATTACCTCAATCATATAACATATCTTTCTGAAGAATTTTGACAAACAGTGGGAATGAGCGCGTCGGCGGGTAAATTAGGAAAGATCAGTTTTGGTTTACCGTGGGAAGTTAGAAATGGGGCGGGGACCACTAGTAAGGAGGTGCAATTAATCCCTGTTTCTTAGCTACCTGAATTTGGATTAAAAGGTAGCAAAGAATTTGTGTATTTTTTTACTGCGGTGAATCTGCGGGCAGTTTAAACCGTGCGTGAGAGATAGTTTGGTATCGGTTTTTCATCTTATTATGGAGAAGTCCCCGCGGACTGCGTCAATTAGTGCTATATTCGTCTTTCCGCCTCAAGGGCCAAAAATTAAATTATAATAATGCTAATTCGGTGGCGGGGTGGATTTGTTGATCCTACGGAAGTCTGATGAGTGACGCACACCTCTCTAAAGAGTTTGTTTTTTCGCTTTCATCTGAGTTTTATTGTGTCAAGGCTCGGAAATTACGCGGAGCTGATGCGCGATTTGTAGAATAAACAAAGTTTGGGGAAATTTACCGTTGGTGCTACCTTCGCGAAAGCAAAACAACCTGTTGAATGTGAAACAACCTGCCTCGTAGAACTCAAAATGGTCGCTTTGGAGACGGAAGCTCCCAGCCAATGAGATGGCGAATGGCGGTATATTGGTAGACAGGTGTCACTGGCGTCCGAAGCGATAGGGCTGATTCATTAAACACACAGGTGACACTGAGAGGTCACTGCACGATCCACGTGCTTAGAGACCGCCAGCTGGCTGCCAATCATCGTTCGACTGTTCTTTCGCGAGTTGGAAAAAATATAAGCCATTTAAAAACACCTCGTTCTTGCTGGCCGGAGCGGTTGCCGCGGTTTCAGCGGACGCGGGGCAGACTTTAATCTCCCGCTCAAATTTGCCGCTCGGTTTAAAGTCGTGCCCCGTGAGACCTGGGGCTCATTAGACCGAAACGTAGCACCACAGCCCTGCCGATCTGTTAATGCAATTCCTTTTTTCTCCTTTTCAAAACCCTCGCTTTACTCATGTCGGTGTTTGTATTGTATTTGACCGGATTATGTAAGTGAAGTGGAGTGACCGCCAATGGCCGCCTGTGATTGGCTGTTGCCACCTGAGCCAGATGTTTGGTGGTAAATTTACGGCGGCAAGGTCTCATAGGAACAACTAAACGAAACACATCCTTGCGAGAGAGTGCCATCTTTGGCTGTAAGACGATAAGTAACTCTTGTAAAGATGAAAACAACGAGTTCATCCTATATTGGTTTAGGTGCTGTATAAGTACACTATCTGGCGCAAACGATTCTCGTAAAAAGCTCCGGTATTTTATTTTCTATTTTATTGTTCTGACACCACAGTGTATTTAATCTATCTTTCTGATTTGTAAGATCAAACTTAGAATTTTTAACACCTTAGCTGTAAATCTTTTGGACGAAATTGTTTTTACTGGAGAAACAGAATAGTATAGACTGTGAATCGAAAATGATATACAGTATAGTAGTTCATCTTCAGCTATTGTTCGTTACAGATTTGTACTTGGAGATCGTACTATAACTTCAGGCTCTCTAATACATCATAGTACGTGCGACAGAAGAAGGAAATAGTAAACATCTTTCCGCGTACGTGACAGTAGAAATTAACGAGTTTCTATTAACTGTTTTGACGATATTGTTGAACGCATAATGGTCGAGACATTTTCTAAATTTACAGACGCTACCACATTTGGCCCTATTTTTTGACCTACAACACGATGCGGACTTCTGCGGTTTTAATTTTAATGTCTTAGTCCATTAAACAAAACTATATATAACGATAACAGATCGATCCTGTTGGAAACCAATACTGATCATCGAGTTGTTTATATGCTAGCCTCGAGTTAAGTTTTGTTTTTTACATATATATTTGCACAGATTAAAGCGTATAATGTCACAGAGAATCGATCAATTCCTTCCGTGTGGCGTTCATATATGTTTCTGCCAACATATTCATTCGAGATGTCTCCTTGAAATAATTCCTTGATATCAGCTGAAATTTTGGAAACGGGTACTTTGACTGGTAGCCCTAGATTTTCTCAAATTTTTTTCTTGTTTCATGGTGGTACATAGAAATGTCCTCTCACCTATCTGAATTGGACCTGAAATTTGCTTCCACCCGTTTATGCAAATACATCAGAATGTCTTGTTTGCGAGTAAGTCAAACTAAGCATTCGTTCTAATTTTATGCTTTCCTGTAATTTACACCTTTTCATTAAATTTCCAATGGATGAAAAACGGAACAAGTTTAGTAGTTTTGGCGCTGAGCATTTCCAAGATTAAGAGTCATTATTCTCTTCAGAGGTGAAGACCTATTTTGAATTTGAAGGTCTCAGGATGTAAGCGCCGATAACATTCAACAAATTGGAAAACTGTTTCATTATGCTAGACTCAGATGATGATAAGAATTTTGAACAGTTGTTTCTAACAATTTTACGTATTTCTTGTTTGTATTTCACAATTACTTCGCTGTGACTTGGCGCTTTACGCAATATTTAATTGCTGTGTAATATTTCGCTTAGTTGTAAGTCTCGTTCATATATAAACAGTGCCAATGACACCCCCACTGTTCTTTATATGTTGAATCATCTGCCAAATTTTCTTTCGTGGCGCGATCGAAGTATTCGCTGAACTTTAATCTTACGTTTAAGTTGGTATTTTACGTGCTTAGGGAATATTGCAACAATTAACGCACTTTGAAAAGCGGAAAAAAGGAACACAACTCCGCGCTTAAAGGATATTAAAACACACAATGAAGAACTACGGTGTTTACTGGGCAGGCTATTTAATCTTCTCAGCTTTCCGGATGAACGGAAAGGCATAAATCCCGCCGTGATCGAAATAAAAATCAACTTTGGTAAACAATTAGACATATTCCCCTTTCATTTTTGCAAATAATAATTCCCGTCAATGTCCATAAATGGCATTAACCCCTCGTAGATGATGGTTCAGGCGAGATTTGTTAGCTAAAAGTAAACGCGGGTGTCGCTGAATATCGAAGATTGTAGAACCAGGAGATGCTGGTTTAATCGGTGTAAAAGCAGCGTTTTTAATTTAGAATCATGTGGCTTTTAGTATTTAACTCGACAGAAGTTTTTTCTGGCAGCATCTAGAAAAAGATGCAAACTGCGATTTATTTGACACAAAAAAATTGATTGATTTCACCGGCTCAAATTGGGTGAAGGTGTCCTAATTGTCAAAAGTTCACTGTGATTATACCAACTTAACCAATATACTAACCGTCAAGCAGCAATTTTTTTTTTCAAAAATCCTTTGATTTTTTATTCGTGTTGAAAGTCTCTTTCTAGAATCAAGATCGATGTAATTTTCAGAGCGTTCATATCCTTAAAGGCACGTTTTTACATAATCTTGTAGAACACTTTTATCTTCTCTTTGTCGTTTGTAATAATTGTGTCACGAGTGTTATGTAATAATCCTTAACGCACATGAAATTTTTTGATTGTTAATCTGCACTGCCGTTTTTCTACAGTACAATAATTCTGTCCTTTATCGTTTGCAATATTGAAGTGTTTCTTTCTTGCTGAACATTGTACTTTCACAAATAATTTTTGTTGTGAGTTTTATGTTTTGAACAGCTCTGGGCGTTTGATCAGTTTTGGATAAGGCCGTGATCAAAGCTCGTTGGCAATGCACCGAACATATTACACCTGCCCGTTGCCTCCGAGCTATCAAAAATCATCTATATTCTTAGCTCTCCATGTCTTAAAATAATCTTTTTGTATTTGAATAGCGTTGCAACAGAATCCGTCCTCCTCCTCCAGATGTTTTTCAATCACTAGTTTTAAGGTGCAGATGTTTTTCATGAACCTAGTGATACTAACAGAAAGGCCATCTTGAAAACTTTTCTAACGAAAAGGGCTCGGAAGATCGATAAAAGATGTTAAGCAGATTTGAAGAGTTGAGTAGAAGTAACTTTTTTTTATGAACGAGGTACCTCAATGCTATTAAGAAAGTAGATATAGGAAACATTTCATTTGGTACTCAATCGGATATTTAATTCAATTCATTTCTAAATTAATGCTCGTTTCATGATAGTGAATAGCGACTTTTTGGAGCTCAGTATGCCAGACTTCAAGTATATTCTACAGGTAGACATTCTACACAAAATAATTTACAGATCACTGGTACTAAAATAGAGGAAAATTCTAGCCTTAGGTTCTCTCGCTATGTGCTCCAACATCTCCGCGTGAAATAGTCTCGCCCTAGCAGGATACTACCGGTAGTTTTCTGTAAATTTTTTTTCAACGCTAAAATTAATATATTACCACTGCGTTTCCTGTAATCTAAGTAGGTTTTAGGCTCATCTTGATCAAGCCAGAATATAAAACAGCAGCCCCTTAATAAATGACTTTTATTGCGATTTATGTCGAAGTAATCCTTGCTGTTTATTTGCCTGTCGTCATGGCCTTGTCAAACGCTTTCTCCCTCTTCTGCTCTTCACATCCTTGATATTCCCTCTTGCCTGTTGCCGGTCTTGTGATTTTCTTTCTGCGAGTTCAACGCTCGAAGGAAAAATTTGAAAACATCGAGCTGTGAGTAGTCTAAACTGTGATTCGTTCATAAAATGTAGGAGTACGTGTGAAGTGGTCATTAAAATTCCAAGACTTTCACCCGAAGGAGATTTGATTACAGGAGTGGAAGGGGGGGGGGGGGGGGACGCCTGCCGGAATCAGGGGGTTCCAGGATGTAAAAGTCAGCACAGAAGACGTCGGTGGAATCGATAGGTCTGTTTAGTCGTAACACTCAGTTTAAGGTTGCTGTGTGGAACTGAATTAGTGAAAGACCGAATGGTTGGGTGTTAAATGCCCGAGTGCAGCAGTGTTTATTCAATGTTGTCAAATCCGCTGTATACGTAGCCTTCCTCTAACGAATGAAAGCATGCGAACCATTTCCGACGACTATTTACCAATCAGAAGATTGAACTAGCGTTCCAGTGCCTGCACACGGTAACGTCTGTATTTCACTCGTTGCCGTCCGAAAGACATCGTGTTACTCGACCACGATCATGGTATATTTTAGGAACGGCTATGCGAACATAGAAAAGTTCTGTCCAATATCAAAGAAAAAGCCACCCGCTAACATCTGTCTTTGAAATTGGGTAACGTGTATTGGCTGTTGTTCGGGAACAGTCTTCCAAGTCTGACTTTCAGCTGCTTATTTTTGATTGGTTTGTTCTGAACATTCCTGAGGTCCTTTTCATCGTGCCCTTCAAATCTTCCACTCTTTCTTTTTCCATGTATCCTACCCTCTAAGAATATTTTAGCTAACCTATCCCTGCTTTTAACCGAAATTACCGAGGTTTTTGACTTCTTTTGAGTTTCGACGAATTGCGTGGGAAATGTATCTCAGCTACTGATCCTGCTACCGAGACAGTGCGTGCAGAAAGATCTGGTGACCCAGTGAACACAGGTGTCAGTAAGCACAAATTGAACAAATTCCAAGTTGTGCGTGGGCGTGAATGTGAGCTGTCGGAAAAGAGCTGTAGCCGCCAGCTGGAAGAATCGGCTACTCTTGGGAATGGGGAAAATAACCACGCGAAAAATGCATGAAGTTCCGCGTGGCGTAGAAGTGTAGTTAGTGCTCACGTATCTTTGACGTTTCCGCTTGGAAAAGTGTTTTACAGCTGGATCTGCAATCTTGAATGTGAATGATTTCAAATGAGAAAAATAAATAGGTTAAATGCAACTGAAAATCGCTGTAAATCCAAAATAGAAAGTTAAAACTCAGAGCTATTGTGATGTAATCACATTGGCAAAGAGAGTTTTCAGTTGTTAAACGGGACAAGTTCGAGAAGAATTCAAGCAGCTTTAAAATAACTTGAATTAATATTTTAACTCGCTAAGGTAGCGTAAGGACTTTCGAAACGTAGACAGGTACAATCTTTTACAGGTATTTTGGTTGTTGGGTTGTTTGACATTTCGCGAAGATGCCTGTCAAGTTTTTAAGCGGCTTACCAAACTTGAACCCATGCATAAACGGCTTGTCAAGAGCTACACACAGTACCCTGATTGTTAGTGAATTGAGAAATTCAGTCTCTTTTGAAGGACTTGATTTAAAACTGTATAAAGAGAGAAAGAGAAAAACATAAACTGTAATCGTATTACCGGTAATTTTCAGTGCCCTTTCTGGTGAACGTCGTTTCAAGAATACGAACTACACATTCGTTACCGGTTGTCCTTGCATTCATTAAATGTTGTTTATAAGGGAAGAAAAAAACGGAAGAACGACCATATGCAAGTAGAATTTATTTCTGCTTCGAGAGACAGTGCTGTTTAGAAGACGAAACGGTACCTGTGAATTATTTATGGTGAAGTGAAGGAATGTCGTTTTTAGTTTAACAGAAGCCGAAGACTTTGTAAAGAGTAAACAGAGTTAGGATCAATTTCGGCCTTAGTTAAGTATGGTTCAGTTCATAGATTACGTTTTGGCAGAGAGAAAAGCATTTTTTATGCTTCATTGATTCATATCGTCCAGGTTATTACACCAAAAGAGCTACAATCGTAGTTTATATTGGGGAGATAGGATTACTGAGCTGCAATACTCTTGTGGTCAAGAGCATTCAGATGAAAATGGAAGAGTTAACTTCTGTTTAATCGTTTACTTCACTTGGTTAAGAAAGTTCAGAATGACTTCATGTGGGTTTCTTATTCTAACGTTTCTCTTCGTCGGTTTGAATGTTAAATTTCGTCAGAGCGAAGGTGATTACTTTGGCCAGTGGTCACCTGCGCAGTAGGTGCTGAAATTTAAAGAAGTGGACACTAGTGTTTTGGAGCGACATACATGAGTGATAACTCGTTTTGTGCGCACCTCAAAAAAGTCGTGATTGATCAAGGGTCCTTTTGCGCTCCCTGCCTAAAAGGAACGCCTCGCTGCAAATATCAACGAAGCACGCATTGTCGATCAGGCTCAAAATCTGTGTGGTATTTATAATCATATCCACGGCTTGTTATACCAACCGCTGCAATTATAATTAAATGAAACTCCCGCCGGTCTTTTTTGTCATCCACGAAAATCGTCAGCGAGGTGGAAACCATACTCCACTATCCTTCATCTTTCGGGTCGGTTTACTGTCGTCTTTTTGATAACTTACAATCTCATGGTACTCATTATTGAAACGTCCTTCAATCTGACGGAAATTTGTTATGTAGAAAAAAAAAAAAAGAGACCCAAATTTCGTGAGGAAGGTACTTCCAAACCCCCTTTTTAGCTAACTTAGTGCTTTTAAAAGGCTCTTTCAATTGAAGGATTTTGTTTTATTTCGAAACCTCTTCATTGCAGTCTTATGGAAGACCCATAGAAGAGTTTCAGCCGTTTTCACAGTGTAATTGAGTGAGGGCTAAAAATATATATAGAAGTTTCTACAATTTTTGTCAAAGCTTTGTCAGCACTATTTTTTTTCTAATTAAGGAGTCTTTCCACCACAGCTAACCTGCTAGTTCCTCAAGAAGACATGTGCTGTGAATACCAAATCAAATGAAGCGCTAATGGATTGTAAATAGATGACTGGTACCTGTCTGCAATTAGGAGATTTCAAATGGTTCTTTTCTGTAAATAATTAGTAACTGGTTGCCTACTTTACTATTTTGGAGACTGCCAGCTTGTTTTCCACGGATTGTTTTATGTTAGAAAAAGAGAAAAGATAAAAAGTGGAAGGGTTATTTTAATTTCCTGCTGTTTTAGGTTGGTCCTTTATGAATAGCAACAACTAAACTGGTGCTTGCTTCTTGCCCAGTGTCCAACCATGCGAGGGAAAAGTTGGAGACAAGTTTTAAGTTCATTTATGCTGCACGATTTGTCACAAAGTCATCACTGGGCCGTTTTTTAAAACAACCGTGATAAAACACGAAATGTAAACCTAGTTAAATGCATAAGCCATCTTTATATGGCTAGATCTTTCCTTTTAACGTTTCGAATTGTCTTGGGCTATCCAGACTTCACTTAAAAAGTGGGGGGTGGGGTTTGTCAGAAACTTAAAGCTCAAGACATGGACACTTGTTTGAAAGGGGGTTTAGTACTGTATTAACAGTAGTTTCCCAGATGGAAAGTTTGTGGAAAAATAATTGGGAATAAATTGATTGGAATGGTAGGTAAGCAAAATGATTTTTTAGGTTAGCAGATTTGATGTTCAAGGACTTTGTGGCCTTGGTGTGATGAAGAGTTTATCCAAAAAATGATCAATCAACTCTAATCAAAGATAAAATAAACTCTTCAGGCTTGACAATGATAACTACATTTTTCATTTTCACCATCGTAAAATTTTTAATAACAATGATGTTTATGAGAATAACATAAATTAACATTAAATTGGTTGTGAGACAAACTTTACCTTACACAGTTATGAAGACAAGGTGTTAAAATGTTTATCCCAGTGTAAACAGTGCCTTTCTTATCAGGATTCTGGAGTGGATTTACAATGAACCATAGCACTCCTCCAGTCAGTTGGTTTTCTACTTAGAAGCAGAATATCTTTTACATCATCAACGATGGTTTACTCACATAGATACAAGATAGAATGTCAGAAATCCAAGAGGAGCGTTATGACTCACACACAGTTTTTTCTTGTATGGATGCCTTCGTAAGAGTGTATAAGAGTAATAAATAATTGTTCCAGCATTCTTATTTTGCAAGAATACATTGCATTGCTTGGTGACTCTTATACTTGTGGTTTGTACAAAAATTCTCATTCTTGATGTTTTTAATGATGTTCTTAATGGCCTTTAGAGTTCGCTATCATCACACAGATTCTCACACTCTCCATGCTATCAGCATATTTGTAAGTGGTAAAGATAGCTTGCATGCCAAACTTGATCCTTTTTGATATTACTTTCTTTACACAGGGTTTTTTTTAACAATATTAATCATGCTTGGAGCTTAAATAATATTGTCATAAATATATCTTTAAGTCGTTGTGTCTTCTCCCAAATCATAGACATATATAAATGTATGTAGTGGTACTTCAAAGTACTAGTTGTATGTTGGGAAAAAGATTGTGGTTAAAAAAAAAAAGTCCATCCTCTCTTCTGTTTACTTGAAAGGATGACAGCAGAAGTATTCAGTTTTGTCAAAAAAACAACAGTCTTAAACTAAAAAAAAAACTGAATTAACACATTTATCTATTGTTTGGAATTAAAATTTATAAAACTTTAACTAACATTTAAATAGAAGTTTATAAAGTAATTAATGTCAATCACAGCTAGGAGCTTGAAGCCTTCTTTTTTGATTTTTTTGTCTTCTCAAATCTAATTGTTTCCACTTCTAGTTGTGCCATTTCTGTGATTCTCCCCTGGAAAGATGGACTTGCACCCACCATGGGGTCTTGATATTTACATCCTGAGGAATGAAGTACAGAAAGTTGAAGGGGTAAGACTTGTTTGACCAAATAACCCTTGGGGTTCCCAAGAAGTGTTGTCTCTGAATAGAAGCTACAATGTATGCCTAGTAAGTCTTGCCAAGATGAAACATGTTTGAGAGAGCTACCTATACAAACAAAAATTCACAGGCTTTCAACTTGTGAAGTAAAGAAATATTTTCGTGTTTGATTAGATGTTTGACAACCTTTGTATTTTATCCAAAAAAAAAATTCCCGTCTCAACAGTGCTTTGTTTGTTAAGAATTGTGTGACACTTGTCTCACAGACTGAGACTATTTACAACAATTGTTTGTTTGGTCATATCTTTTGTTCAGTGGTACTGTGAAATAATGTAGACTCTGTTCTGTCAAGTTACAGTCTTGGTAGCATTCAAGTAAAATGAGATGGGAGAACAAGCCCTTAAAATGTCCCCTTAGAAACCTTTTGTTGTTGTTTATTGGTCCACGGGATGCAGTCATAAGGAACAGTTTCAAGTAATCTCACCTTTAAGATTTAAAGTTGCCTTCGTTTTCCACCTAGTAGACAAAAAGATAAAGAACACCACAAATGAAAACTAGAATAAGAATTTAAGTTGTTTACTATTTTCTACAGATATATTTTGGAGAGGCTGCTCCAAATAATGGCTCCATCTGTCTGAGATAAAAAAAATAAAAATGCAGGGAAACATTAGCCAACAAACCAACAAATGTTAAAAATTATTCATTTAGTATTTGATAAATACTTATTCCAGTTGTGAAAATCATTGCTTGAGGGTCAGATGTATGATTCCAAAGGTAAAAGGTTTTGTAGGACTCAAATATTTAGCTTACTTTTAAAATAACATTCCAAGTGCAGTTGTAGGATCATAGATTCCAAAATAAATTTTTTTAGGACTTACAGTAATTTGCTTCAGCTATAGTTCATTACAAAATTGATTATCTATTTTCAAATTTATACAGAATGTAGTTAGTATTTTGATGCCTACATTCTTGCATGTTCCATAGTAATTATCAATATTAGGTAATGATTTGTTTTGATGTTAAATTTTAAGTTGAGTTTTACAATGAAGCTTACTTTAGAAATGTTATGGTTAATAACGTTTTATTTTATCAGTGAACATTTGTCTCAAGTTTTTGAAGGATATTGATACAATGTTAAATAAAATTATAGAAATTAAAACTAACAATCCTCCTGGTTTTGACTTCTGTAGAGGTTGAATTTCCTCTTCAGATGAAGATCTGAAAAGTTAATTACACATTTTTTACAATGTTAATCAAAGTTTGTCAACAACATGACTGATGCTAAACATTCTTTCATAAATGTGAAGCAATTAGACTCTTTAAAAGCTATGCTAAGCTACGCTTTTAAAACCTTGATGCTATTCTGACCCTTTTAAAACAGTGGAAGAGTGGATGTCTTGAAAAAACGTTTTCATATCATGGCTCAAGTGTGACTTTTATTACCACTTATTGCCTGAGGGTATAAATATTTCAGCTAAGGTTTCATATTTTGTCTACTTTTAGTGAATTAATTTTCTTTGTTTAAATGAGAGTTGATTCAACAACACTTTGACCCCAGGGTTGTGAAATGATTCTACCAGTAGAAAATTTTATTTTGAATGTTTAAGTTTTGGTTACGTAGCATTTAAAGAAAAATTAATACTAACGAGGTGTTAAGCACATTGCATGTTTTATACTCAATCAAGTTGTTGAGAGAATGGACAATACTACCCACTGGATTAATAATAAATTATTAGTAATTGTTTACATTCATGGAAAGCCAAGGAAAGTTTCTATTTAAAAAAATTAGCATATCTTTGAAGAAAATTTCATGGATTGCTCAAAGTGTGTACTTTTTAGTGGCCCCAGACCTCAAGAGGAGGTTGTCTGAGTTGCAACGAAACATCTGATGTATTTTCTGTCAGTGTTTTTGTTTGCAAACTAGACAATTTTTTCCATTCCAAAATGTTGCTCTGCTGAGGAAAATTGAAGTAATCTTCTCATTAAATCATTTGTGTTGCCACATTCTTGTTGCCTTGGTGTTTTGGTTTGTGTGAGAATGATACCCTATAACAAAGGTGCAGGTGTTGGCAATAACTAAATACAATATTCATTAAAATCCTCTGCAGTGACAACTAACAAGAGCTCAATCTTTTCCTTCTTATTTGATTTTATAAGTGGATGATGATCTGTCCAACTGGAAGTTGCCTCAACAAGACTGTAATGGCACAAAAATGAGTGATCTCAAATTATTTCTACATTACTGTGCATTTCCATAACATATCAATGACCGAGATGTAATTTCATTGTAGACATTGGATTTTAAAACCCCATCAATCATGTTATGAACCTCACCAGAATATTAAGCACAGTTTATCAGAGGATTTTGATTCAGTCCATAGTCACTTATGCCCAATTGCTCATGTCACAGCTATGCTCACTAGGTTGTAAATACCATGGTCTAATTATTTAAACAAAGTTTAGGTGCTGTCCAACAAAGAAGACAAGGTTATCACCTTGAGACCTTTTTCACTCTGAGACAATTTGTAGCGTTAATTTTTCTGTACAGTAAATCTTACCTGGACATGGGTTTCACTGGAGTCTGTCTATGAGTTGTTATGGGTATTGTTCCAATAGCTATTAGATCACTTGTGCTGTGAGGCATTGTGGGAATTGATGAAGCACTACGGTTGAATGTCACTGGAAGTTTAGGTCCTGGTCGAAAGAAGCTACTTCTGTATAAATCAGTGGATCCAAGATCTTCATTGTTTATATTACATTTTCCCAGAGGTAAAACTCTTTGGTTGCCATTCTCCCCCTCACTGCTGCTGTCCGTTGGTAGGTTGCCATTCGGGCTTCTTTGTGTTACATCCATCTGTCTCTGATGGACATTGTTACTTGTCTGTGGTTCACTAGAGAAGCAACAAACAGTTTTTTATTTTAGTTTGAACAAAAATAGTGACTGTCAGAGCATTATTAGATCTCTAACAATGTTTCTCAAAACACATTGTTTGCCCAGCATAAATCACTTGTCAACATTCTGTTGTAATGAAGTGTCATTTTGGCAACCAACCATGAAATTGTTAATATTTTCAGCATCTCTGCAGGATTTTACAAATTGTATACACTGCCTTAGCTCCTCCCTTCAGAGTGATCCATCCTAAGCATTAATTGAAAATACCTCCTGTTCATTGACCCCATAAAAGCTTAATCTGCCAACACCTTTTTTGCAGCTTCTTACTAATGTTGAATTTCTTTTCCACCATTCCCCAGTCTCATTTTATTTTGTCTTCATCATCACATTTATATGAACTTGAAAGAGTCCCATCCTGGCTCTTGATTCATCACAAAATACTTTTTGCCATTTTTAATAGACATTATTATAAGATTACTGAGGTAAAGGTGCTTAATTGGGTGCCAGTACAATTATCCTTATTTAAAACACTAATTTACTCAATGAAAGCTGTATTTAGCAGACACCACTTATCAAAAGAACAGTAGAAAGGATCCCGTGGGAGTATGATTCCTACAAGTTTTACTATACTCTCAGTTGCTATTTGGCGAAGCATCTATGAACTAATGGGTTTGACCTTTTTAAGAACGTACTAGGCTTTCAATTATTTTTACTTAAGTGCAAATGAGCCATAATTAAACTTTAATCAAACGGAAGAGGAAGGCATTCTGTTGTTGCCATGCAAACACCAGATTCATCTCTTTTCAAATTTGGTTTGAAAAAAAAAAAATCTTTATTAAGACTACAGCTCAATATACTTGAATTAATTTCAATGGGAGACCTAAGATTAAACCACCTTTTTCGAACCTCGCACGGCAAGAATACAAGCACCAGGTGAAATTTAACTCCTTCAACCTTGGATATGCATTCGTCAGAGATTTACAAATTCTGGTCCGTACTTAGCCATGAAATGTTGAGGTCAGGGTTTGTTGGGTAATGAGACAACTTCTCTGCTATGAAAAGTCGATTAATACTTCAACTTTAGAATAATTTAGCTCGATTTATCGCGTTGACTCTTAGTCAAGTTAAATCGCGGTTCACGGTTCTTCGGAACAATTTTCACGTACAATTCGAAATGGTGTTTCGAAGGAAGGATCGATGACGAAAACTTGCTTTACCATCAAGAAAAAAGGATGAAATGACAAACAAAACCAAATTCAATCAACAAATGTTCTAGAAAAAAACTTTGCTTTGCGGAACTTAAAAGAATCCTTACTATGTCTAAACAAAATACTTTGGTTAAGCGATCTCGTGCAAGTTTCAGGAGTCGTAAAAAAAATCACAATCTCCTACCGTAGAAATAATTACTAACCTTGCATTATTCCTTGTTTTCTGCTGGACAGGTGCATATCCAGTATCCGCCATTCTCTTCTCTACAGTAAGTGGTTCTAGGTGGAACAAAACAAACATGCCATCAGTTGTACTTCGTGACGACAAGTGTCTCTATTGTGTTCAAATTACATTTCCATGTCTGCGTTTTTGTGTCATTTGACGGTGACAGGACAGAGTTGAATGCGAATTTTGATTAGATACTTACTTAAAATGTATTTCTGTCTTGCTTCGCAGAATCGGCGGGGGCTGTGAGCTGCCATAAAGGTATCTAATGAAGTAAACGCCGTTTGAGATGGTCGCATTCTTAGCGTAACCACATTGTTCGAGGTGGAATGTTTCCACAGCGGCGAAACGCAGGTTGTACGAGGAGCAAAGTTATTCCTTTTCCCGCCTTGTGCCATGAACAAGCTTTGGAGTTAACCCCAAAGCAAGCGATCCATTGGAGGAACCACAGATAACATCGGAAGGCTGAAGGTCATTTCATCCGGCCGGACGAACCTTCATCACTTCACGAAAGCCGTATGTAAATTTCTGCGCCCGCGTCTCCTGGGATCTTGGTCTCCTAGCAACAAATGTTCTTGTGCTCAGTCCTCGCAGTCATGTGAACCGATCTCGTACTGAGAGTTTTTTTGTTTTGTTTTGTTTCGTTTTTTTTTTTTTTGACGCGAGAGATATCGGAGACTGATCGAAATCTTAGGTTGCGTCTAACATAAATTTTTATTTCCGCCCAATTTGCCAATTTTAGCGTGCACTGAATTACCATCTGTAAAATTGATCTTATGATTAGAGAAGTATACAAGCACTGATTGGTCCAAAATTGCAGTGTATCTCATCGTAATCATCCTGTGTGCGGTAAAAATAATATGAAGGGACCAACTTTGAAATAATCTGCATGTGAACTGTTAGTGTTTCTAAGAAGTTCATAAAATGAAACAAAAAAAGTTGTTTTTCCATTCCTCAAATCCTTCAGTAAGTAATGGTTTTAAAATAATTAGATTTCGACTAGCCAGTTGATTAACCCAACACACAAGGAACTCTAGGACTTGGCATTCCATTTTTCCCCTTTTTTTTTCAAATTTTTTTTTCTGTATCTCATGCATCATTAAAAATATTTTATGAAGAAGACTTACTCAGTACTAAGAAAGAAAGTACAAAGGAGCTTGCTTGTGGACTAAACAAATGTATTATTCCTTTTTATACTGTTGTATCAATGGAAATGCTTGTTTGTTCCATTGATATTTTTCTGAAATACCTCTATTCTTAAGACAAATAGGAATGTATTTTATTTATGAGACTTGCAATAAGTATCTCCATTTAAATTGTCACCACTTGAAAAATACAAAAATAGCATATTATATTTCTGTAAATGTAATAATCTCTCTTACAAATTCCAGTTTAGCAACTATATTTCCCTAGTTTGTAACAACTTATCATTAGAAAAGCACATTGCTCTACAAGAAAAATCTCTCTTACTGTGAAACTTAGAAAAACAGTGAACATTTTGATTTTATTCCAACAGGTCATTGTTGTACTGATCAATCATGCTTACAAGGTAAGTTTAAAATATGGCAGAAACCCTCTAGCCACAAAGTATACACCCTTGCTGTTTCCATTTTTTTCCTTCAACTTAATAAGCCTCTTCTCTAAAACACTAATATTTTTTGTGTTCATGGTTTTCAAAGTTTCACCTTAAAAACTGGTTTCCAAACAAAGCAAATATTTATAATAATTTATAGCCATAACATTGTAGAAAAACCTTTAAAGCTGTAGTCAAACTTTTTTCAAACAGTATAAAAAGTCAATTGCTTCAATTAGTCAATAATAGTTTCTCCTTAATACACCAGCTAGACTGATTTCATACAATCATTTTTTTAAAATAAATTATTGCTTTGGTTATTGAAGCAAAATCTTAAAAACCTGTAATTAAACCTTTCACAAATTGTACAATAAATTAATTACTTTGACTTATCTTTAAGTAGTTTCTCTTAAAAAAGGTGATCATATTTATTATTTACTTTTAAAACAGTTAACTCTAGTTCTTATCTAGATTTCCTTCCTTCCCTCCCCTCACTGGAAATAGTATACCACAGAGTATCCTCTTGGTACAGCAACTTACCAAGTGTGAGGACAAAACTATCTATATGCAGGTCATATACTGTATGGCTAACATGGAGCTGGAAAAAATTTCAACTGAAATTCTTCAAAATAAACTGCAGAGTCACCTACGCTCTGAACGTAGTTTTCTGTACAGCAAACTACATCCAGAAAATCTAATTTAGGTTCATTTTTAACTGTCAAAACATAGCTGTCACATCTTGGAGTACTTCTAATTAGAATCATTCATGGTATTCATATCCATTCCAATTTCTGGGTGGTGCTAGATAAACTCTCAGATTTTTGTACATAAAGCTGACCACACCTCGGTATGCCATTCTCGGTACACCTGCCTTAATATCGTTCATAATTCCTAGCTGATTTGCTAATGACCTAAAGGTTTCCTCAGATTCATACTGAACTCTTACTGATGGAGCAGGCATCACATGACCTGAGTGAAAATACTCATATGAAACTAATGGTGATTTGTACACTGTATTGATGAACATGGGATCATATACATCTTTCATGAGGTATGTCAAATTTCTCTCTGTAAAGGGGTAAAATTCATTGTTCAATTTTATGTACTTAAGATGCTCATCAAAGAATTGGCCCCGACTAACTCCTATCCTTCCAAATGTCACCACCCGAGGTATCTCAGGACGAATGCAAGCACGGTCACGTCTCTGCTCTGGATGCCGCATCCAGTCATCCCAAAAAGCTGCAGGCCACTTAGGTGCCAGCTCCTCCCAGAGAGATTTTTTCAACATCCATCCTAGCCCAGGAAAAAAATCTGTTCGGTAGAGCAAATCATTACCTTTCACCCTGCCAGTTTTACCATTGTCATTCCACGCTGATACACACCATAGTGTAGGGTCTTTGTCAAGCAGTGCTTTAGTAGCCTCAAAGTATTCAAAGAAATCAGGAGCAATCTCCAAATCATCTTCAACAATAATAACCGTATCTTGATGAAGTACATCAAAAACCCGCGATAAAGCCCATCTATAGTGTCTTGACAGTTTGTAGTATCCCTTTAAATTATCTGAACCTCTTGGCACAGTGATATCGGATACGTCGGGATGTCTTACATACATGATTTTGTCTCCGTAAGAGGCTATAACTTGAGCTGTCTCCTCGTGTCCGCAGTCTTGGCTGACAACCACGGGAAACTTTCTTTCCGATGTTCGAAACCTCAGTAAACTGTCCAGGCTTCTCTCCACTTCTGGTCTGTTGCAGGCGATGACAAGTACAGTCGCAACTATTTCTTCTGTGCTCTCCACTGAAGGAAATCTCTTTATAGAGTTTGTTTTTCCGTTTTTGAAACGATCATGAGTGGTAGATCTTGTTGGGCGAGATATTGTCCATATAATTGCGATTACGAGGCAGGCAAGCAGTCCTGCAAAAATAATCTTGCGGTTGAAAGTTACAATTCGCATATTCATAAATTGATAACTTTTAACCACGAGATTGGTTTACGAATGTCATGTCAAAGCCTCCCTCTGACTGCCATTTTGTTTTCATAGTCGAGGGTACGCATGCTAAGTGAGCGAATGTGTTGAATATAAGCCCGCGATTCACGGCTCGGTCGCTAAGTCATCGTGTGGTTTTCAGCAAGCAACATGGAGTGTTTAATAGGAATTCAAGGTCCCGACTTTGTCCTAGTTGCTAGTGATTCTGGTAGTGGGAGAAGTATTATACGCATGAAAGATGGTAAGGTCATTTTTAAATTTGATGCATCCGTTAAAAGGATCGCTGCAAATGCGTTCGATTGTGAAATGTGACATGACAACCGAACGCGCCATTAGGCCAGTTCGTCAGTGATCATGACTCAGGTCTTTTGTCAAAGTTTACCGCTTTTTGTCGCTTTTAAGTTTTCTATTTTCTTGTATTTGTCTTTGAAAAAAAAAAGTCAGGTGAAACTTTTCTCAAAATGTTCTGAAATATTTTACTCTGAAAGACTTGTCATCACTTAACTATATCCAGAAGTTTTTACATTTGTTTTTCCATTCGTTTTTTTCACTCTCTTCATGAAATTTTGCCAAGTGAATAAGTATTTGAAGATGCTGGAAATACCATTCTTTGGTGGGTTGATTAATTTTGTTATGGCTGGGAATCGAGGACAATTACCTGCTCAGGAATTAAACCTGAACTTCTAAACCAGAGCAGAACACACTTACCGCTCTTCAGGGTTCTTACAAAGTGAAGGGACCCATGTACCAGAACCATTATACACTCTTGTCAATCAGGGCCTACCTTTGCTTAGGATTTGAGAAGTTCACTTCAAATAAGATTTTTTTCAGACCACTTTCTTAGGGTAGCTCTAATACTTGAAAATTTTTTTAATTCCCAGACTATCACCCAATGTGCTACATCACCCTTCCAAATTGACTTGTATTTCCTTATAAAACAAGGAGAAATTAATTTTGTTTCAGAAGTCCCTAAGGGCTTAACTTCCCGCATGCCTTCAACTGGTCAATGAATTACTATGAATGTTGTTTGTGTAGACCAGGACAAAATGTTCAAGTTGAGCAGCAAATTGTTGATGCTGGTGACTGGGGAAGCTGGAGACACAGTGCAGTTTGCTGAGTACATGGAAAAAAATATACAGCTGTACAAGATGAGAAATGGTGGGTCTTGTTAATACGATACATTGACATTGTTGCTTAAATTACTATTTTCACCTTCAGTAAAGGCTTAAAATTGGCTAGCAAAGGCTTATTTACTGTATTTTTCTTTTATGAAAAGTGGGTCATTACTTTGGATTTTGAAAACCAGTGGAGGGTTGGGGACAACTAAATTTCTTTTAGGAGCTTAGGACCTAGAGGGAAGAGGAGAAGGGAAGGGGGGGGGTAAGAACTTTTGTCTTTGATTGTCCTCTCTCCTCTCTCCTCTCTCTATGCACTTAAACCCTGAATTAAAAATGATCCCAGTGAAGGGTCACAAGCTTGTAGCGCTAACTTGATCTCCTTAATAAGACATCTACATTCCATGTTACAACTGTGATAATGGGCAAAATATAGCATTGAAATTCAGCCAAAGATTGTACTTAAAATGGCATCTCATCATAGTTGTTGTAATGACGTCAACTATCATTCGAAGATCACAAAGAGAACTCTTGAGTAGAATCTTCAAAGATTTTGTATTAACAGAAGTAACAGTAATAAATGAGTAAAATGTGGTTTCTTCTTGTGGAAAAGCAGCTATGAATACTTTTTTCCTTCAAATTGTTAGGATATGAACTTACTCCTCATGCAGCAGCCAACTTCACAAGGCGAAACTTGGCAGATGCTCTACGAAGTTCTGTAAGTATAAGTTTAAGGCCATGCCCTTTTTTGTTACAAAAAGTGTAATGGTACCAAATGAAAAGTTTGACTGAAATGAAAGAAAGAGTTTTCAGTCCAAGCTTTTCTTTCTAAGCCAATTATCACCGCATTTTGAACAAGCAAAGTTGAAACCAAACCTATATAGAGAAAAGAAAGCCCCTTTAGGAAGTGCATTATGTGTCAATTAGATTGTTAATGATTTAATAATGATTTATGTTTATTTCTCTGTTTACTAGTCTGCTTACCAAGTCAATTTGCTGCTAGCTGGTTATGATGACACAGAAGGTCCAGAACTTTATTACATGGACTGGCTGGCTTCACTTCAAAAGGTTTGTCTAGTCTCTTTTTATTGGAGTGTGTGATAGGTGCTGTGTTTGAATAGGAATATTCCCTCCTTCTATTTGAGATATCACAATTTCCAAGAATATTGAGCACATTAGATATATGATCCAGCCAGCAATGCTGTCTCTGCCATTTCCTTTTAGTCAGGTAGACAAAGGGTAAGCTTAACTTGTTATCTCCCAAGATCTAATTGTTAATTCTCCCCTCTAGCTGCTACACATTTTTTTGTAAATTAGTTACAAGAATTTGTTAGTAGATGAAAATAGCAACTTCTTCGCCGGATAATGTAAGGGTATTATAGGAATAATTTACATGTTGATTACTTGGATCAATATCAGTATCTGGGCAACTGGCTACTTACCCCTCCCCTAACTCAACAACAGTCAATTGATAACAAGTTAGGGTTAATTTTGGGCTAGGGGAGTAGGTGGGCAGTTGCCCAGATACTGATACTGAACCATTACTTCTGGGAGTTAAAGGTTTCAGGAAAGTCACGAAGCAGTTGGCAAAATAATGCAGATGTTTCAACCTTAACATAAAAACTTCCTGGAATATTTCAGCAAACAAGTTGTCTTGACCCTCTTAACTGTAATAGTAAGTTTCACCCTTACAATATCACCCTTAACCCTTTAACTCCCATGGCTGACCAAGACAGAATTTCTCCTTACAATATCAATACAATATCAACCAGATAAGTGTCAAGAATAAAGAAAAATATCAGTTTGGGGATAATTAGTTGATCTAATACTAAATTCTGGGAACTACCATTGTAAGAATTGTATGTTTGACAATAAAGAGAATTCCAAGTTTGATCCAGGAGTTAAAGGGTTAAATGAAACATTAAGGAATAAAGGAAATGATCACCAACTCAAGAAGCTTTTGACTGTTAAGCAAATACTCCTTGTCAGCAGGAAATGTTTTGAGCACAATATGGAGAATATGCATACTGATGTTAGGGTATAGAAAATAGGGAAAATGAAAGACTTTAAGGCAGTTGTCAAGTTATTTTGATATGTGCAGGTGCTTAACATTTTCCTTTTTTTCTTTCTTTTTTATCAGATCCCATTTGCTGCACATGGTTATGGATCATTCTTCTCCCTGAGTATTTTGGATCGCTATTACAAACCAGGTACATTGATGGTTTACTTGATTGTACAGAATGAAATTACTCAATGCTCAATGACACGCACACAAAAAATTAATAAATAAACAAGGAATTGTGCACAAGGAATGAAATAAACAGAGGATGAAAAGCCACCTGCAGATAAGTCATCATGGAAATCCAAAATCCAAATATTTCCAACAATACAAGGAGTTCAGAATACGTAAATGATGGATCGCTGTCAGTATCTGAACAACTGCGCACATACCCCTTCCCAAACCCAACGTTAACCCTAACTTGTTATCAGCTGACTGTTGTGGGGTAGGGGAGGGGTAGGTGCGTAAATGCTCAGACACTGGCATTGATCCTAAACGATTTTATAAACACGGAGTGAGTAAACGTCTAGTTATGTGTCTTTGTCACCGCACCTTGATATTTTGTTTGTAGCTTAAGTTAGTGATAGCTATGTTTAAGAACACTTATTTTTTAGATAGTTGAAGTTTGAATGTCATTTTTTTTCTTAACTAGGTTTAAGCCGTGAAGAGGCTACGGAGCTCCTTAAGAAATGCATTGAAGAGGTAACATAGTACGAGAAGTGATAACCTCATAAAAAGAAAGCAACGCTTCTTGAAATTAACGCGAATGTTGAAGATTTTCTTTAATTACATATTTTCTTTTTTTAATTTTTACTAAGCACTTAGCTTCGTGTTGTTCAATGTAGTTTTTTTGGCGACCATACTTTTTGTACTAGTCTAATGTTCCATTTTTCTAAGAGGGCGTTTTTATCGGTCCATGTGAGCTCCTTTTTTTTATAAGCCAAGGATCCCTACTTCGTTACGTTATGGCCATCAGGGTATTTGGTCACTTCACCGACATGTCAATTCGCCGACAAACAACTTGCCAACATCTTGGGTAACTTCGTTGACATCTTCGGTTACTTCGCCAATGTCAAGAATTAATTTTTAGTCAGAGTTTTCATTAAAGGGATTAATTTGAACAAACTGCAAATGCAAACCGAAGTTGTCGGCGAGGTGACGTCGGCGTGTCGGCGAGTTGGTTGACGGCGAGTTGACATGTCGGCGGTGTTAACAGGTGTAGGCATTGGTTAAGTTGTCGGCGAGGTGACGTCGGCGTGTCGGAGGGTTGGTTGACGGCGAGTTGACATGTCGGCGGTGTTAACAGGTGTAGGCATTGGTTAAGTTGTCGGCGAGGTGACGTCGGCGTGTTGGCGTGTCGGAGGGTTGGTTGACGGCGAGTTGACATGTCGGCGGTATTAACAGGTGTAGGCATTGGTTAAGTTGTCGGCGAAGTGACGTCGGCGAGTTGATTAACGGCTAGTTAACATGTCGGAGGTGTTTACAGGTGTAGGCATTGGTTAATTTACCTTTTTTTTCTCTTCCTTAGGTACAAAGGCGTTTCTTGGTTCGTCTCCCAGATTTTTTCGTCAGAATAGTCGATAAAGATGGTGTCCATGATGTTTCTATTCCCTCTAAAAGTTGAGAAAGGAAAGATCTAAATGTTATCAAAAAATAATTTTAGATCCTGCGCGTTTGATCTCTTCTCAACGTTTATCGTAAAATGTTCGTGAGACATTTGAAGTATCTGTCGTATAAGTTATATTTTGAAAGTACATTGTTTTCAGAGTTATAACTGTAAAAGTAGCCGTGAAAGTCTTTTGTTTTTGTACCGTCGAGCAGCTGTGATAATAAAATGAAGACATTTCATCAGTGCCGTGTCTTTGTGTGAGTAAACTTGGAGTGGGAGCAAATGAAACCTTTGTGATTAGACCAGTTGGTCTAATTTCTCCTATCTAGCTGTTGAAGAGTTTGTCTGTTCTCAGCACTTGCTTGCTTTCTGATAACGTTTGATTTGTAGTAATCACTCCTTAATGTACTTGGAGCACCCTACCGCAAAAAAAATTACAATGAATTCATTTTGCCGACAGAAGCTGACTGATCACCGCTATCATTCTGTTTTGTCGACCTGCTGGTCTTTTCTTCGTATTAGTTTTGAGCGGAGGAATGGGGCAATGAAAAAGAGGGAATGAGAGAAAGGGAATGGAACTCGCAGAAGAAAGGGATAGGAATTGAGGCGGGAAAGAGAGAGAGAGGAACCCTGAATCCACTTTACCTCGCTCGTCTAATGCCAGCGTCACGCTCCAAAAGACGTCCTGTTTAGACGTTTAGATTTGGTGCAGAGAAATAAGGGTTGTTGGTGATAAGGGATGTTGGTCTTTGGTGGAGGAGAGAGAGCTTGCTGTTTGATGAGAACAAACAACAGCTGCGTAGAACAATACGATCCAGATGATTTTTAGGGGGTTTTTTGTAAAAATTAATGGCTGCAGGGGACTTGCATTCGACGAACGCGAACGTAAGAGATTTCTCCGATGCACTTGCTCTGCGCCGCCACTCCGAACTAAAGAAAAAAGAAAACATACAAAAAGGAGGGAAAAAAAGTGGATATGGTCACATTAAATATGAATAACCTGGGTCTTAACAACATTCCTATTCCCCAGGATCTCTCCGTCTTCGTAGTCTAAGACTTTTACTTCCCATCACTCTTTGTGGGTGTTTTCTGATAAACGTAGTGGCCATAACTCGACCTAATCGAAGTTATAATTTTGCAAAGGTTTGTTCTTCAAGCGCCCAAATCATTTAACTTCTTTGTGTTTAGCATTACTTAACTTGGTTGACCTTGCTTACAGGCTTGAGTCGTGAAACACTCGTCACATCCCTACATCAATGATGACCTCGATCAGAAAGATTTCTTTGCACTTAAACTGGTAAGATTTGTTGGCTCATTTTACTCTGTCGATCAGTTCAATACCCAAAGTTTTCTAGGATTTCTCAGATACGCCCTTAGGCTACGTTGATTTAATTAGATTGTACATGTACATGAACTTACCAAGATTATCCCACACTTGTAAGGCAGACAAGCTTTTATGGCTATTTATTTCATGCTTAAAGTTTAGACACTAGCTCTGTTTTCCGGTGAAGTCAACAGTTAAAATCCTAAATAAACTATAGTTTTACGCCAAAATAACTTGTTATCTCATCTCCCCTTGATCAATATTAAAAAACACAAGACCTTTTGATTGACTAACACACAGACTGATTGACTATTGACAGACACAGAGCTTTCAAGTTGATTTGTTGAGAGAGAGTGAGATTTTGTACTGTGTAGCCATGGATTGTGACGCTGTGGGCATCACCTTCCAAGAGGGGGGTGGGGGTGTGGTGGTTGTCAGTCAAAAGTAAGGAGAAGGGCAGGGGTGGGGAAGTGAAGATTACACCTGCTTGAAGTCATTGTTATTTTGCCCACAAACAGAGTTCCTGATTGGAGCAGTCAAGCTCCAGCTGTCAATCACAAGCTAAATGTGTCATTTGAGCATCATTCTGACATTTGCTTTGGCTGGAGAAAGAAAATGATTACAAACTCTGATCATAAAGTTATTAGTTTTGATTCTGCTCTCAAGGAAGTATAGAATTTAATATATTTGCACATTAAAACTGGAACTAAAAGAAGCAATTTCTACACTGGTTTCTGGGAAGGATTTACTGGCCATGTTGCCAACTGGCTTTTGGAAAAGCCTGATGGAAAAAACAGCCATACTGTTTCACCAGAGTATGCCAGTTTGCATCAAACAAATTGTGGCGGGTAAACCTTCGAGTGCAGTTGTTTGTCGGTTCCAAGTATCATTTATGATCAAATGGAAGAAAAATTGTCAAATAGATTAATTGCAGCTCTATTCAATGATTTTTGTAACGCAGCAAATATCAGCTCATATTTGTGACCACAGAGGAGGTTTTGTGAAAGCCATTTCTTTCCTGGCTGAAAAAAAACTGCCTCAATATTTCACTCATTAGCTCTATGTGTGTCGGTTTTTAATTTCACTCATTTTGATTGGTTACCTGCTCATTTCTCAAAATGCAGTGATACGCAACTAATTAGACAGACAAGGTCCTTTTCCTTTATATTAAAGTTTGTCTTTACTTTGAACAAAGGTGAAATGACAATCATTGATAAAAATTAATGGAAAAAAAACTTATGCTTCTTATAAGGCTGTTACCTGTTACACCAATACACATAATTTCACTCTCACATCCATATGATTTTGACATACTGTTCCATGAGTGTAGTTGTTGTTAATGCCTGTGTTGATATGAAACTTAAGATTGAAAAATGGGCATTTAATATACAGGATACCCTGTAGATGCCACAGGCTACTTGAAGATCATGCAAGTGGATTAGACGTCTAGTGATTGGGATGTTCAGTTATGTTTAGGCAGTGATTGTTTTACTCTGCAATCCAACTGTTGGGAGAACCAGGTAAACAAAACTCATGCACATGCCAAGTTCAGTGTTTAACTCAGCTCAGACATGCAGTTGATCTTAAGTACCATGCATATAAGGTTGGACTTCATCCTTTTGATTCAAGGGTACCCTGGGACATAGAGCATTGAGTGTACCATCCATTTTTGTCAATCTTGGGCTATACTTTCCTCAGGATTTTCATTAGGAATCAGAGTGTTTGACAACAGTTCAGGGGTTGGTTGAGAAGGGGGTACTCACTTGAAAGTCATAAGTTTTTTAAGGGGGGCAGGGGCATCCTCTCCTAGATAAATCAATGTGTTGCCCTGTTAAAATCTTTTTTGTGCACTCTGGAGCAAGAATTACTTTGATTAAATGCATGGCTTTACAACTTGAGAAGTGTTATGAGCATTTGTGAGGACAAAAGAACCATGAGGCATCACCAAAAGTACTCAGAGTATAACCAAGTTTGTCTCCCTTTTCATGAAAAACTCTTGGCCAATCCAAAGCTCATATCAGTGTTCTCCCTTATTTTAAGCATGATAGGTAAAATAAATTTTCAAATTTAAGAATTCCAATCAATTTTAAACAGTAATAAGAAGTACTACAGGCGATAAATGTTACCAGTTACTGCCTGAAAAGGAGAAAACTGCATATTATTTCTCTGTAGTTTCTCAATCCATGGTAAAGTCCTGGGAGGTTCCTTGATCAAAGTAAACAGCAAACAGTAAACAGAAGAAAATGACTCAAGAATTCTGCTGACTGCCAAGTCCTTGAATTATTTTTATCTGAACAAAAGTCTGAAAGTCTTTATGTTTGAACAGCTGATAATTTTTTCACACAGCAATTCTGAATTTAGGGTTGTTTCTCAGCCAATATACTTTTAAATAAATACAAAGAGAGATTGTCATTTAATTACATTTTAAAAGAAAGATTAATCCTTCCTTCTGTTTTCTTTGGCCCTCTCTTAACTTTACTTTCATTTTGTCCAAACACTAGGGGAAAACATAGTCAAAAAATGGGTCAAATATTACTGCTCCCACTTTTACAGAGCCTTTTACAATTTTCTTAAGCCCTTCCTCTAATCTATATGCATGGTTTCACTTTGGTTAAGAGCATGTCCAGGTTATTAATTTATACAGTCAATCGTCCTCAAGTCAGAACCTTTGATGCAATATAAAATGGCAGCACAGTTTATACAGTGGCCAGTGAGAGCAGTTATCAGTGAAGACAAGCTTGCAAATTTAGGGCTTCAATGAGATTTGAACTTGTGACCTTTGGCATTACATAAATATTGGTTTCTTTTAGGGTCACTTTCAATGTTACACAAGACTGAAAATTGAGAGAATGAAGCCTTAATTACTCAGTGATCAAATTTGCCACTAAAATCTGTTCTGAAATCTGACCTTAAACACCTCATCCCCAATGAATGAAAGAAAAGCAACTTAGATGAAAGTGGAAGGATGCCACCAGCTTATATGTATTTCTGCTATCAATGTGTTGAGTAACTGAGGCAAAACCATTGCCTTGAAAATGAATATACAAGTTTCTAAAGGGAAGTGTGGCATCCTTATCATGAAAGAGACTGGTGAGATGGCAGTTCACATGAGAGATTTCACAATTTGTCAATTCAGATAAAATATCCACTTGCAGATCACTTGATGAATTTCTTCTCCCAGCAATCTAAAAATACAAATGATTTCTTTTATTGTGACTCTTGAAGCAAGGAACTTTTTCGTGAGTGCTTTATGAAGTTTAGAAATTTTTCTTGTAGTGCCAAATTATTGCCAGGTTTCTTGAAAGTAGCAGTTGACATATCTTGTTTTATCTTGTTTTATCAAAGGTTGTGACTCCTGGGTGGATTGACTGTATGTTTATTACTGTGAACTTGACTGCTGTGTTTTCTTTAAATCTCTCCCACTTGTCATCAGTGAACTGAATTAAGAGCATTATTGAAAGTGCAATTTATCAGTTTGTTCAAAGTTTCTGAGTTTTATCAAGTGTTTGGAAGAGAAGCTTAAATCAGGCATCTTACTCAAAGGAAACAATCACATTGTTCAGGTGTGATTAATTGTACCATGCCTTACCAAAACAATGTCATGTCACACAAAGCTGTACAAAATGTTTTCTTTCGTGTTATTAAGGAATGAGGAGAGGTTTCAAAAAAAGTCTCAGAGCCCTTCAGTCCCAATTAAAATCCTATTTCCACAATTACTTCTGGAAATAACGAAAAGAGGAAA